TGGAAAAGGAAAAGGCTGAAGTGGAGACTCTGGCAGAAGAAGCACAAAAGGATTTAGAAAAAGCAGAACCTGCATTGAGAGCAGCTGAACAAGGATTGGAATAATTAGATAAATAACAATTGGCTGAAGTTAGAGCTTACAGTAAACCTCCTAATGGTGTGGATAATGTCTTATAGGCTGTCATGATTATCATGGGTAAGGAGGCAACTTGGGCAAGTGCCAAGAAGGAAATGACTGCTCCTGATTTCTTGTAGCAATTGAAGAAAGTCGACAAGGATCACATCATGAATAAGACTCTAGTTAGAATTGAGAAAATCACAAGTGATCCTGAAATGCTTCCCTCCAAGATTGATGCCATTTCAGTTGCTTCTGGTACTCTTTGGAGATGGGTCTTGTCATTGGAAATGTATGCCAAAGCATTTAAGGACATTGAACCCAAGAGAAACAAGGTCAAGTATTTGAAAGAGAAATTGAAGAAGAGTGAAGATGAATTCCAATAATTGCAGGAGAACTTCTAGATTTTGAAGTAGAGTATTGAAAAATTGAAGACCGATTTGTAGAGAGCAAAGGATGATATGGAAATGTATACCAGAGAAACTTCAGTGTTGGTTAACAAATTGGAGAGAGCAGAAAAGTTGATATCAGGATTGGCAAGCACCAAAGAAGGTTGGGCTATAAGGAGAAAGGAATTGTAAGGAAAACTAGAAGTCTTGGTTGGAGATGCCTTAATGACAGCTGCATTCTTGAGTTATGCAGGTCCATTCCCATCTGAATATAGACAACAATTTGTTGCTGAATAGTTAATTGGATAAGTCAGATACTTAAAGATCCCATACTCTAAAGATTGGAATTTCCCTGATTTTCTAGTTAAACCAGTTTAGTTCTTATAATGGAGTCAATAAGGATTGCCAGATGATCAATTTTCTAAAGAAAATGGTGTTCTAGTCACTTAAGGAAGAAGATGGCCATTGATGATTGATCCACAAGTCTAAGCCAACAATTGGATTAAAAATATGGAAAGAGCCATCAATAAGAATAATCTTAAAGAGCTAGATCCATAGAATGAAAAGATGATGAGCATAATTGAAACAGCTATTGCAAATGGATAAATTGTGATCTTAGAAAACATGGGAGAAGATTTGGATCCTTCTTTGGAACCAGTCTTGAATAAATAATTGAGAACAGTCAATAATAAGTTAATGATGTACATGGGAGAAAAAGAAATCTTGTACAATCCTAATTTCAGATTCTACATGACTACTAAATTGGCTAATCCAAAGTATAAGGCTGAAACATAAACAAGAGTCACTTTAGTTAATTTCACAGTGAAATAAAAAGGTCTGGAAGAATAATTGATTTCAGTTGTCATTCAAATTATGGAAGCCTAATTAGAAAAGAGTAAGAATGATTTGGTCAATAAGAAATCTTAAAATGAGATAACTTTACGTAAGTTGGATGATGATATTTTGAAGATGCTCTAGGAAATCAAAGGAAGTTTGATTGATGATGAAAATCTTATTGTCACCTTAGACAAATCTAAGGAAACTGAGGAAGAGGTCAAGAAGCAAATCGAAACCTCAGCTGTTTCAATGAAGAAAACCTTTGCAGCAAGAGAAAACTATCGTTCATTAGCCAGAATTGCATCCAAATTATTCTTTGTTTTAAATGATTTTTCACTTATTGATCACATGTATCAATTTGCCTTGTCCAATTACATTGAGTAATTTTGGTGAAAATATCAATACATATCAAAGCAGAGGAGCATCCATAAATGACTCTTTGTAAGAGAAATTATCAGATATTGCAGCTAGACATTCTGAAGAGATATTCAAAACTGCATGCCGAGGATTATTCGAGAAAGATAAACTCTTGCTGGCCATTTAAATGGCTGTGAACATCACAAGCGAATTGAAGAGTTAGATTACAATTGATTTAGAGGAATACAACTTCTTCTTGAGAGGTGGAGATCCAAATGCAGATAGAAAGAATCAACCTCACAATCCAATTTCAGATTGGGTCACTGAATAATAATGGCAAGCCCATTTGTGATTTGGATAAATTACCAAACTTTACTGGTATCATCAATGCTTTCAATCACAATGGTAAAGAATGGAAGAAGTGGTATTTGAGTCCAACACCAGAATCAGACGCATTACCAGGCGAATGGGATCAAAAATGTGATAGTCTTAAGAAGATGATCTTACTTAAAATAATCAGACCTGACAGAGTTCTTTTGGCAGCATAAGCATTTGTTAATGCAACCATGGGACAATTCTATACCTAGCCACCTGCAACTACTTATGATTCGATTTACAATGACACCACCAAAAATAAGCCTGTGATATTCATCTTGTCTCCAGGTGTTGATCCCTATCATTAATTGGAGCAATTTGCCAAGATGAAGGATTGCTAGTTGTTACCAGTGTCCTTGGGTTAAGGTTAAGCTTAAAAGGCTATTGATAAATTATATGAAGGTAGCAAGGCTGGTCTATGGGTGTATTTGGCAAATTGTCATTTGAGTTTGAGTTTCTTGAAAGAATTAGAGAAGTGCATGGAAACTCTGAGATAATCAGATGCCACAAGTGAAAAGTTCAGATTATGGTTGAGTTCTGCTCCTCATCCAAAATTCCCTATTAGCATACTTTAAAAGTGTTTAAAGGTGACAACAGAACCACCTAAAGGAGTAAAGGCTAATATGAATAGATTGTACACCAATATGTCATAATCAAAATTTGATCCATCAATTCTTTCATAGTAGAAATTGACCAATCAATTACATTATATGAAATTAGTGTATTCACTTTGTTGGTTCCATAGTTTAATTATTGAACGTAAGAGGTTCAAATCTATGGGATGGAATGTTATCTATGATTTCAATGATTCAGATTGGGAAACTGCTGATAATATTCTTTTGATGTACGTTGACTAGACATAACATGATAGCAAACACAATTAACAACAATAATAATAATAACTTGGATAACAATAATAAGATTAACCAGTGTAGAAGAGTCCTCCTTGGGATGCAATCAGGTATCTAATAGCTGATGTTATCTATGGAGGTAGAGTGACAGACAAGTATGATTAAAGATTGTTGAAGGTCTATGCTAATAGTTTCTTCTAAGATAAGATTATTTTTGAAGAGAAATATAAATTGGTTGAGAATTCATAATACTATTATATTCCTGAGGAATTCAAACCAAAAGAAAGCAAGAATGATAAAATTAGCAATCATGTATTGTTCTACAGAAGTAAAGTTGAAGATTTCCCTCCAGTGGAGAGAGCTGAAGTGTTCGGCTAACATATTAATGCTGAAATATCCTCATAGATTGCTGATACAAATGCTCTAATTGATTCTATCATCTCATTATCGCCATAATCTGTGAAGGCTGGTGAAGAATCCATGGAAACCAAAGTGTAGAAACTCATCCAAGAAACCTTAGGCAAAGTACCAGAGGAAATTGATATGCAAGAAGCAATCGAGAAAGTTAGACCTGGAGATTAAAACCCATTGAAAATAGTGTTGATGTAAGAGATTTCCAGATACAATAAATTATTAAACACAGTCAGAAATTCACTCATTAACTTAGACAAAGGTCTCAGTGGTCTAGTGCTTATTTCAGAAGACCTTGAAACTATCATGCACAGTCTATTTGATAACAAAGTTCCTCAATAATGGAAATTCTGTTATCACTCCTTAAAACCCTTATCTAGTTGGATTGTTGATCTTGAGAAGAGAGTAGCACAATTAAGAAGTTGGATCAAATAATAACCCAGTGTCTTTTGGATTTCTGGATTCTCATTCCCTACTGGATTCACTACAGCTTTATTACAATAGAGTGCCAGAAAGGTCAATACTCCAATTGATCAATTTGGATGGGAATTCTCTTTCCTTCCACATGGATCTGAACCTCAGGCTGCCAAAGATGGTGCATATATTCATGGTTTATTCCTTGAAGGAGCAAAATGGGATGAAAAGAACTATATTGTTGATGCTGAGCCCATGAAATTACACGATTAAATGCCAATCGTCCTATTCAAACCAGTCAGCTAAGAGGGCAAAAGCAAATCAAAGAAAGGTATAAAATGATCATATATTTTTAGGTTAAAACTTTTATTTATGTCCCACATATTATTATCAAGTGCGTTGTGGTGTCATGGAAAGACCATCATATCAGTTTGATGTTATGTTGCCCTGCAAACCTAATCCAGGCCAGGCTTCAAATGAAGAAGATTTCTGGATTAAAAGAGGTACTGCTTTACTAATGCAATTATCAGATTGATTATAATTATGCAAAAAATAAAAATATTTATCAACAACCTTCTTCAATCAATCTGAATTCCTCTATTATCTAAAATAATTTATCTCTCAAATCTGTTCTTGTAAATGTAGTTGTCTATTCTCATCATATTCTGACTTTGCAATTCCACTCAAACAATGATTTTACAATTATGCAAAATCGATCCTCCAATCCAGGTGTATAATTTTTTTGAAATATGGAGCAATCTTTCGATATTTTAAATTCGTGATGCAATAGGTGATATTCTTTGCTAAGTTTCTCTTGATATTAGGGACATATTAGGAAATAAATTAAACAAATAAGTGTTAAGATCAATATCCAAAAAGAAACAATACTATTTTAAATAAATCAGAAAGATAAATTAATAGTAACATTAATAATCATAAAATGAAATTTAATGGATCCTCAAAAAAAAGAGAAATCTTAAAAATTTGAAAAGTTCCAAAAATGATACATCATCTAAGAAAATAGGTATTAGGGATCTCTCAATTAAAAAAAAAATTGATAATTTTATTTGTCAAATTTTCATTTTTAAAAACTTAAAAACTCCTCACAATTCTTAATGTTTTCTAATTTGTATTTCTTTTGATACATTATCCCAAGTTATAAGATACTATGCATCATCACTCATACATCCATACAACTTACTGCTTTGAAACTCTATAGATTGTTAAGTTATAAATTCTCCATTTTCTTTGATTTTAATAATATTTACATATTAGCAATTCTTACTAACAAGCAAGCATTTTGACTTTATATATTATTAAGGGAATAAAGGACATTCCTCTTATTGACCTCGCAATACTTAAACATCTTTAGTTTTAGTAAATTTACTTTTATTCTTCATTTCATACACTTCCAAAATCTCATTTTAATATGTTTAGATTGTGAATAAATTATCCTCTATGAAGCAAATTCTAATTCCTTTTTTTGATACCTTCTGTTTTGCAACCCAAATTTTATTTGATTTTTAAAATTCTAATATTAATATTTAATCATCCTACCCACATAAGATCAATTTATTCTACTGTTAATTTATACTTAATGCACATACGCTTTATTTATTAATTGTTTATTGTAGAATCCATTAATTTTATTATTATTATTTGACCCAAAAAAAAATTGTATCATCAAGGTCACATGATACAATTAGATCTTCGTTGTCATTCAATATTAAACATCTTATTCCTGCAGAGTGTTCTATTAACTTTTCCGATATCAACCATTCATTATTTGGATTTAGCGACCAAATTATAATCAATCCATCTCCTTCGCTTCCAGATATAAATTAATTCGACTTTTTCATAAAACTTAAAGCGACAACATTACCTCCATGTTCCTTGAGATCTTTATTTTTTTTTAGCCTTTCCTATCTAAATTCATATACCTGTATTTAATCATTACATCCGACCAAGACTATTGAACAATCCTTATTAAAAGCCATTGCACGACATAATTGCTCTTCTTTGACTGAGCTTTCTCTCATTAGTTTATATGTGAAATTTTAATTATTAATTTAGCCTTTTGTTTATACTTCCTTTTGGATCTAAGTTGAATTAACTCCAGTTCTGAAAACATTATTCAAATTTGAGTTCGTTTTTTAAATCAGTGTTGTAATTTCATCAAATATTTAATTTTATAAGAGTGGGTTATTTAATTTGCTAATTTGAGCCAACTAACATGCTTATAAATACAAAAGATTTTCTTTGATAATTTAGTTTACTAATTCCTCTTAGTTAACATACTTTTATAATAGTGGATCTCTATATATTTATTCTTCTTCAGTATTACTAATCTCTTCTACTATTTTGAGTATTTCTTCTTTTGATAATTATTACCATTTAATTTTCATTTGACATGTACTTTACTCAACATCTTTTTTATATTAGTTATAATTTATGTCTAATTTCTAGTGATTTTACTCAAAGGATTACTTTATGGATTCTTAAATTGAATATATGTCTTTATTTATTGAATTAACTTTTAGATCTAATGTTCTTAAATTCCTTTCCATGTTTTCTTGCCGCTTTGTTATAATTTTATTCCATTTTAAATGAACAAAATTTACTGTTTAATAATTTTATGAAGATTTTTTATCTATACATTATAAACAAGCCAAACGCTTCAATTGTGTATCCACTTTCCCCAAATCGAATAATATAACTCTCTAATTTTTATGTTCTTCACAGAATATATTTAATTTCTAATTAATCTATAATATATTATTACTAACTTTTAATCCTTTTCTTAAGTTTCTATATTAATTATCTTAGTGTCAAATTGAACTTTTTTTACAATTTAAATACAATCTTATAATACTTCTGGTTCTTTAAGCAATAATAATTAATTTTCAATATCAATTTAATTTTAAGACAATTCTTGAATTTGAATATTTTACAATTAATTAACAAAACATAAAAATTATTCCTAATTATTTTCTTCCTGTTTGTTGACCTATTCTATAGAAGAATCCCCCATAATTTGAATTTTCTGTTTCCAAATTTCCCCAAGTTCATCAATTTTCTTTATTTAAGTAATATAGAAATCTTTGAGCTATGAAATTTTTTCTATCAACTCTGTTATATATTACAAATTGCCTTTGATTTATTTTTGTCTGTCTGAATTAAATTGTGATTTTATGTCCTAGACATTTTTAATCTAATCTTTTATGAGAATAACTTTCCTCTTATGTCCATTTGCTAAACATTTTAGACATAATCTTCTTTTTTCCATTTCATTTTCCCCATTTTCTATAGCGACAAATTCTGATTGATGAATATCACAATAGTTAATTTATTCTCCAGACATTAAATTAATGTTATTTAAAATATGAATACTTTAACTTTGATAGAATAAGAAATTAATATATATATATTATTTTAATAATATATCTTAATTATTATGGAAAATCCTCTCTCAATTTGTTGATCGTTTGGCAAAACTTATCATCAAGATAATGAAAAATAATCCTTTAAGTCTACTAAAGGTTCATTAGAGTAAATGCAACATCTATCTTAGTATTTAAATTCACCCCATATGCAAACTAGAAGTATATGGGAGACTCTCTCAAAGGTAAGATGTATCGAATATTTGACAGTACAGAACCCTTAGAGCTTTAACTAATTTTGGCTAGGAGAAAAAAATCAAATCACTCATTCCCAATCTGAAATACCTAGAGATATGCCCACTAGAGCTTGACTCTAATGTAGTAATTTTCCCTTACTCCCAGTAATCATAAATGTGGGAAGTTTTCTTTTAACGATGATATCAGCTTCATATTGAGATATTTCAAATTTTCATATAAGTAATTGTTAATGGTATTTCGTTGATTAATTTTATTTTCTAGGATTAGAGTAACTAAATTATTTGATTATTCTTTTAAACTTAATGCTAATAATGGATTTCATTTACTATTTTACTAAGGTTAAGTTTAATCTCGTTTCATTAACAATTATGGAATTTCAGGTTCTATTGATCTATTTTTGGCAAAGGCAACTTAATTTTTATTATTCTTTTCCTTATTTAAGTGTCCAGCTTTACTAGTTAAAAATATCCTCCAAAATTATTGTTAATTTTATCTCTTTACTCCATATCTTCACCATATACTTTAACTAATTTGACACTCCAAGTTACCTAATTAATGATTTAGGAATCAAGTCCTAACTCATTTACCTCTTTTAATTAGTCAATATATTCTCTTTGTATATTTGTAAAGATAAAATGCATTCCATCATAGAAAGTATATGCGTCTTTTATTAATAGAAAGTTACTCAGGGTAAAGAGCACTGAAGTTTGAGTTGGAAAACACTATTCCCTTCTCTTTAACTATCCTAGCAAAAGTGAATTAGTCTATAATAAAATCAGCCTTAGTTATTAAGTTCTTGATTAACTCTTATTTAATATTATTCGATGACGTATTATTATTTTTTTCTATTACAAATTAAATTAAACCATTTTTTTAAATGAAGGTTTACTTTTTTAAATATTGTTTCTTTGATCAGAATCATCTCCAAAAACACCAGTCTTTAGGTTAGATATTGGAGTAAAAAAATCAATTAATTGCCCACGGGCAGATGAATAGTAACTTGAATTTTTGGAACTAGATCTGTTGGAGTAAACCTAGAACCTTAGTTTGGATGATAGAATTTTTTCATAAAAAGAATTTTAGATATAGATATTTAGGTTAACAGTTAGCTCAGGAAATAATGTTCAAGAATTAAGGATAAAATTATAGAAAATGTTTAAAATGTTTCGGTAAATTTATTTATCCTATAGAATTCTGAAAATAATTGAGATTTATTTTGTCATGTGTATGAGATAAAACCAAGTGAATTAACAAAATTTTTGATCTCTTATAAATAATAATAATAATTAGCATTATTTATAAGAATACCAGATTACATTACATTCTTCCCTGCAAGGGAGATAAACACAAAATATATAAATTAATTCACATTTATTCAAAGTTACTTTTTTAAATACACTCCTCAATCTAACGCTCCATCTTTTAAATTCTTTTCTTCTTTCCTTGAATACTAAAAAATTAATTTTAATAATTTGTCTTCCGATATTTTTAAATGTCTCTCTATTAAATGTTTCGCTGTAGCTCTTACCTTATGTTTTTTACATCTAAGCATACACAGTTTATAGATTAATCTATATTATTTGGTAATTATTTCAATACCAGATTAATAAAATGTTAAATATTAAAGGTGGGTAAATAATTTATAATTTATGAAAAGTGGAAAAAAATTAAAAAATAAATCGAATTGGAAACTTTTTTTCATCACAGTAGTTTAAATTTTAATCAAAAAAATATGTGGCTTTTGTTTCCGAATGTGATGATAGAGATGTTTCTGAGATTATTAGTTAAAGTGTATAAGGTATCCTCTCTTATGAATGATGTTCAGTTAATCCATCTCTCCCTAAATATCTTTGAAATTTACCTTATTTAAGTATACTATTAAATGCAAATTTAAAAATATATTATTCTTTCTGGTTTGATAGTAATATCAATATTATTTCAGAGAAATTAACTATACTCGCCTAAAGAATTACTTGCCTCACATCATTAAGAAAATTTCTCTTTCTTGATTTGTAAGTTTTTTGAATACAGTGAGAATTACTTTGAGTTACCTAACACAGTTTTATTCTTTTATATAGCCTATAAATATTATATTTATTAATTACGTTATTTGTGAATTCATTTATTCGATGAAATATTGCAAATGATAAAATACCCCTCTCCACCTAAACATATGAATAAAAATACTAGTCTATTGGCTAAATATTAGATATTAAATAATTTTCAGAACTCCAAACTTTGACTAAATTAATTTTACAACTCACCAGAACAATAAAGAAATTATTGCTATTACTATCTAACTGGGTTAGCCAGTAGTAAAATTCAATTTTATAGTGAAAGTAATTGCATAAAAATAATTACTAAAATAATAAACGAATTTGGTTAATTAATGTAAATTACTAATTGAGCTTTATTACGTTTTCCAAAGATAAATAATTGATTGAATTTAATTTCATATATCGATGATCCACTTCAAATGATCTTTAATCATTCATCCCTTCATATATCTGCTAAATTTAATCAACAACCATCTTTTTGTATATCAATCATTTTTCATCAATAATTCTTTTATAGAGAGTAGTTCTTTTAAGGAAATAATTAAAAAAATTTATTTGATTAAAAAATATTATTTATTTTTTTACCTAATAACAAAGCCATAAACTTAAATCACTTAATGCATATCAAGTTATTAAAGAATAATAGAAAACTGTCTTTAATATTGTGATAAAATGTGATCTGAATGCAAAGCTATAGACACTATTTTATAATTTTTAAGTGCAATTTAAATTATTATTTGTTACAATAAGAAATTAATCTGATGGAAAATGTTCTCAATGTTCTTACTTATGTAAAGTTTGTTAAATTAGACTAATGGAACAAATATATATATTTTTAATATTAATATAGTTGAAAATACACCATTATTTATATTAAATATATAAAATACCCTTTAAGCTTTTACATGCTTAAAATAAATTCAAATCAATCCAAACCTTCAAATAGCATAACATTTTTATGAAAACAGTTGCGCCTAAAATTTAGAATTCTATTATAAATTCAGGTATTTAATTACAGAGAATACTTACTGTTCTGAAATCAGTGATATTCATTCTTATTTAAACATTTATTATAATTACTAATATTTTCACTATATTTGATTTAGGGAAATATCACTTTACCTCAAATTCGGTCAAGATTTTTATGTTTAATAAAATATGTATATAATTTTGAATGGTTATAGAGAAATATTTTTTCTTTGCAAATAAAAGTTTAAAATTTCTAAGCCCTGATGATCCTATTTTATTAGTAATTATGTAATTTGACATTTTAGAAATTTAATTACATTACCTAATCATAAATTTTAAATTCTCTTTGAGTGGTTTTTGAAATTTTAAAGAGTGCTTAACCGAACAATTTCCAGATTATTGATGCTCAATTTTATTCAAATCAAAGTAGCCCAGTATCATTATCCATTCAAGGGGATGATTTACTGAATTTAAATCTGAAAAATTATCAATATTTGATCCAAGTGTTGAAAATACAATTTTTTTGAACTTATTTTTCTCAGAATTCTTTAAGAATTGAAAATTACATACTTACGAATTGCTATTTCACAAATACTAGTTTATTTTTATTTTAATACTCTTAAGGAAGTGTTCTAATTAAGAACATAACTATTAACTCTTGAACATTTAATAATTCATCAATCGCTCCATTAGTCTAGCTTTTAATAGCTTTTTCATATTTTTTACGATATTAATTTCATAACATATTTTAATAATCTATTCGAAGTTAGTTTTCATAAATTTTTGTGATTCAATCTTAATTTATATATTATGAACACTTTTCTATTCAGCAATAATTTCTAAATATTCTACATCTTTATCAGTGAGAACCTATAATTCTTTTACTATATTCTTTATCTATCAATTGTATTATACGCTTTTGCGAAGTCAATAAATTTACTTATTTCTTCATCTTATGATAAAGTCTCTTATTTAGAATTAAATTTCATCTTCTTCTTTATTCATGCATTATCCATCCAAGAGCATACTATTTACAACTACTCTTATCATTAAGCTAAACCCCCTTCCTTTTAATATTACATTTTCAGGTTCCTATTATTTAGCGTGGCCCTTGTTAACAGGCTTTTCTTTGGCTTTAATTGAAGTGTTCTCCATTTTATACGAAGTGAAATCCTCAATTTAATATAATAAGGAAAATTTTGACTTCTACTTTGATTACTTTGATGAGAAATTTTATTAATTTTTTTACAGAAAATGATAGTTCAATTAAATATGTAATATATTTATTGAAATTATTAATTGAAAATGGTTGAGATTAAGACAATATATTTTTGTTTTTTAATTTATATTATTAAAACTTAGAAAATGATTATAATTTAATTATTAATTAAAATGATCATTACCCACATTCGAATTTGAACTCGCAGTTTTTTATTTCAGTTCCATCTTTATTAGTGGCAGTAGCATAAATACAGGTTGTTCCAAATAGCAGAGTAACTTTTACAGTCTTATCCTCTACAGACTATAATGGTTTTCCAATATCTATGCACAATTCCCCTAATTATTGAACATCTTATTGATCTACAAACTCCACTTCCCTTTTCTCAGTTACATAAAAGATAATTCTCATTATGGTCTATCTAGATCTGACTGGACAATATATTTTAGTATGAACTTCATCGCAACTAAATTTTAATATTATAATTATACCCAACAGCATCTCCTTTCCGAACAAATGCATCAAATACATCTTCACTAAATTCTTCTCCTTCTATAATTACTTTTTTTTTTATAGGATGTCTTTCAGGATCAAAAGTTGTTAATGTGTTAATTCCATAAGTTTTCTTAGCTATTCTACTTGTGATGGATCTTGGACTTAAACCAAATAAGCAAGCTCCTCTTATGACTGAGACTTAAGGCCTTCTTGGTACTAGAATCTAAATTGTATTATTTTCGAATCTTTTAATAATTTCTTACTTCAAAAAAGGAGATTCGCTAAAACCTCCAACCATAAAAATAAAGTTTACCTTTTCCTTTTTCTATTCCACTTAGAGTAATAATTAAGCAACTTTATTTTTAATATTTTCAAAAAGTGTCTAAAAGAATGAAGCCATCAAAGCTGATGGAATTTCAACATTTGACAGTCCTTTTAATTTAACTTGATATTCTGGAGGATGTTTTTGATTGTGTTCTTTAACTAATAGTTACAATTTATTTGTGTTTAATTCTTCTCCCAAATAAGAGAATTTGATCATACATTTTTCATCCTTATTCCCTTTAAATTTCCTTTTCAGTATTTCAAAGTCTCTTAAAATATCTAAACGAGCTATAGCATTTAATTAGTATGATGTAAATAATTTATCACCCAAAAACTCCTTCAAAAATTCCTCAAAATAGAGATCAACGTATTTGGATCCCCATTCACAGCCCCCAGAGGATGGTATTAATTCATTACATAAAAATTTTTCATTTGGCTCGCATAATAATTTATGAACTGTTATATCAACCGTACCACCTCCGCAATCTAAAACCATCACGACAGAGTTCTTTGCCATTTATTCCTTTAGTGTTTATTCGGCATCCTCTCTACATTGAATAGATGCACCTTCTGGTTCCAAACATAGTAATAAATTTGGAGAATTTATATGATCAACTATGCCTGCTTCGACAGCTGCCTTTCTCATAAATTATTTATGTTCTTCACTCCACAAAGCTGGAACTGTTAATACCCATCTGATTTTTGTAGGTATCACTTTTCCAACCTATTCCTTCAATTTCTATATTGCTTTGCTGCTTATATATTTTAATGTTTCCCTTATTATTAACATTAATGATAGTTCTCGATTATCCAATGACCTAGCTTGATTATGCATATGATACAAATGCATTTTATACTAAGAATTTTATAATTATTTTTTACATTTTAAAACAAATAGGCTGTTTCACCATCATCAAGCATGCTTGCATATTTTTAAAGTGCTTGAGATCCAAATTCAATAAATTAACCATTATTATCAAATAGAATTGCAGTTGGTGTTTTTTGATCATCTGTATCATCGCATGGATTGAAAACCTCAATTCTTGGTTTGCCTTCTTTATCTAGAATTCTTGGAGCTAATCCGAATCTAAAATAATTCCTCTAATATTATACCCTGATGCTCCAGTCCCAAAATCTATTGCAATTACATGAGTAAATGCAGTATCGTCTTTTAATAAAGCCATTTTTATTAACTGCAAATTATGATTTAAATTTAAAATATAAAAAATAAATGTTGTAACAGCATAATTTATAATATGAAGAATAATTGTGCCAAAGAAAATTACTAAAAACCTTCAGATTATTTAGACGGAACATAGGAAGAATTGAAAGGAAAAATAAAACTATTAATGAATAAATTGCAATTAACTAAGAAAGAGAAGGAGAATTTGACTAAAGAAAATTAGAATCTATAGCATGAGATCCTATAAATGCAATCTCATCTAAGATGCATGGTATCTGGGTTTTCAAACACAAGTATATAATTTCCTATGGCAAATGAATTAAGTAATTCTATTGCGGAATTTTATAAATGCGAATGTTTTGATATATTTTTCGATGTGTTGACTTAAGAATTAAATCTCAAAGGCATTATTTATTTTTTTTCTGCTTCTATGATTCGGATAGATAAAATAATTCAAGAATACTTTACACCACTATTCAAAAATATAATGGAGGTAATATTATAAACGATAAGTTTAGGTGGGATGTTTCACTAACATAGATGGACCAATATTGAATGTGATGAGGAAATCTTTTTAAGGAAATTACAAACAGGTATATGAAAAATGTATGCGAAATTACACATCTATCAGTATAGAATTATAAAAATACCTAAAATTAAATAGTAATGATTTGATAGAGGCTTTCTTCAGTAAATTATCAGAAATTATGTTTAACTGTTACATTAGCGATCCTGTTTTAACATTTGATATCTAATCTATTGGGTAGAAGATAACTTTTAATCAATAAAAACATGACCCAATTGATGGATTCATTAAGAACAAAGAAGAGTGTATAATATTAATGCCTGCAGTATTTAAAAATTAGGAACTAATGGCCAAATCTTTGGTGATATCCTATTCGTATTAATTAGAAAATAACTGAAGTTATAAATAATTAAATTATCAATCATTCATCATTTATTTGATCTTATATAACAATTTAATCTTGTTCTTATTACTAATTCAATTGCAATTGCAATTCCTCCTTGTCTTCCTATAATACTTAAAATTATGACTATTCCTGATCCTCATTCTCCACCTCTTCCACTTTCGATAAAGTTTGATGATGTTAATTATTGGTTACTCAATTTACATTTTTAAGTGCTTTAAATTATTGTCTAAGTTTCCTAATAAATCAACTAACTGTTTGTTATTTTAACCACAATGTTACTCACAAGCAATATTTTATTCCTGGATTAATTACATAAATTATCAAAAGAATCAGAACTCATCAATATTAATAAATAATTAATATGAATATTAGTTATAATTTTTAACGGGTTAATATATCTAAGAAATTAAATATCGTTTAAATTAATTATACAGACTATCCTTGATTCTTCAAGTATAATTTCTTTGTCTAAGTCTAATCATAAGATAATCTTTAATTTAAATTTTCAAAAAAAGAAAGGGTACTTATTCTATGGTTAATTTTATAAAATTGGAGAACAAAAATATTTTATTTTATTTATATTTCTCTTTCTCTATCAAAGCAATAAAATAAAAGTAATGTATTTAAGAAAAATCTAAATGATGGATTTTTAATTTTCATTTTACAAAATTACTTATAATTTTGGTTCAAGAATACGAATAACAGGTATTTCCTTAATAGAGTAATTTTAATTATCCAGTGTGCTATTTTTAGAATGGTAAACTAAGGATATTAAGTGCTTGTTTATTTCTTTATTTATCCCAATGGGTTTTAAAATGGGCAATTATTATTAATAATATTAATCTTTTGCAGTTTTATACAATCAATCTCTAAAATTGTTTTAACAATAGAGAAACTCAAGAAATACCCTAACAAAGTTATTGCACGCAGATTTAATCATTTTAAGAAACAAGTTATGTATATGAGTAAAAATAGCTAATTAATCACTATAAATTTTGATGTTTGTTGGGCTTTGATTCTTAATAACGATTTGAAAGATTAATCTACATTGTTATTACAATTATTAACAATATTTGATTAAAATGACAGTAATTTAAAATCTTATTTCAATGAAATTTATTAAAAAATGTCTTTAATTTCTTTATAGTTGAGTGCAATTTGCAATTTCGAAATTATATTATGAGGATTGATAATTTTAAAGCTGTTAAGATTTTCAAAATTAATACGGGATGGCCAAAGCAATATTTAAATATTAACTCTATAAATTGTATTACTTTTCATTTTTCTCTATTATAAATAAAATGTTTAAGGAAGTTTTTGGTAAATTTGTTTTTCGACTAATTAGCAATTCGATCACAACTGAGTAAGAGTATGAAGTAAGTCAGTAATTTATTTATTTTTTTGGCTTACTAGGAGCATTGCTTCCTTTTTCATATGCAGTGGTTCCGAATAAAAGAATATTTTTTGGAGATGAGTCCTTTATTTTTATAGCAAAGTTGGTTAGACCATATTTATTTTTCAATCATTAAGAAACAACCTAGATATTATTGTTGTACATTTTTTATTTTGGAGTTATAATATCCTTTATTAACATCGGACTGTAAGGATCAAATACTTAATAGTTGATTAAATTGAATGATAAATTTTCTCCCATCAGCAAGACAGTGTTTTTAATGAATTAAATATTTGATGTTTGGCTTTTTAATATTATTGTCGAAGTGATATTATTGCAAGAACACGCTTACTCTTATTTTTTAGCAAGCATTTACTGCTGCATATTAATATATAGAATTATGTTTACAAAAGTAAGTATAATGTTTAAATATCACACTTTCAACCATTAGAATTAATCATTTTATTACTATTGCATCCAAATTTTAAATCTAATACAAATATTTTTGTATGCGTAAAATTACGAAAGTAGGTTTTTGCTATTGCTGTAAGTCGCCATATCAATAATAATTTGTTCTTTAAATATAGCCAACATTATAACTTATCTCCCATAGACAAACTTAGGCCTTTTAAAATTACAATTGCCCACTTTTTTGAATTCAGTGTTTTACTGTTTTGGAATTCTAATAACTTAGTTTTAGAATGTAGAAAACCGTAGTCCTTAAATGTTATTTATTCTATTATGGCCATTCTGGATTAGAATTTCACATCACTTTTTTGTGAATTAGTTTATAGTTTCATTAGTTTGGGAAAATTATCAAAATAAAATTATTCATATATTCTACTAAAATTAAAGCGATGATGCAAGTATCAAAGTAGTTTACTATAGACGAAATTTGAACTAAAAGCTTTTCAAATTTAGTGAGATAATAAAAAAAAGAAGTAATGCTAAAAGCTATTCTAATTTTTTGGAAAAAATCAAGATCTAAGTAATTATTATCAAGATTTTAGGATTCTCAACAGCACTTTTCTCTATTTCTACTTTTTGAAGACTATTTTGGAGCATATGAATATATTATTAAGTAAAATAAGTCTACATCCTTGATATAACAAATGAAGTTTGATATTTGCACTTTAAAATGCAAGTTTGAGTTAAAATAATAAATGACCATATCTAGCCAAATGATACATAATAAAGCATTTAACCTTGATATAGACAATTTTATTAAAGTGGAAAATAAAAGCGAGGAGTTAAGTAATTAGTTAATTAGAGATTGCTAAAATAAGATAAAATTTTTATCACTTGTTAATTAAAATGAGATTAAGAGATCCAAGCTTGAAAAATAAGTAAATCATTGTATCTAAAAATTTGAAAAAATTATAAATGAAATTGAAGTACTATATAAACAATTTCCTTTGAAAAGATATTAAAGATATCTGATATTTGCATATGCAGAACTTTGTAATGACTTTTTGCAAGCCTTAAGAGTTACAAATTTGACCTCGTTTAATGATGAAGCAATTTATACAAAAATCTTGTCTCTGACATTAGATTTTTATTCAATCAAGACCATTTATTTAATTACTAATTTAGAAAATAGAAAAGTCCTTAGAGTTTCATCAAATTACAAGAGCATCATGAAATATCCTATTTCTAACTTAGAAGATATCGTTCCAAAAGGGATAAAAGAATATCATGAAGAAATGATAATAACATTTTTAAGAACTGGAGAATCTAAATTTTTTTAGGAAACAACATCAACATTTTATTAGAATGATGATTTTGTAAATCCAATTACTATTATAAATGATGTTTTTATCGAAAATAGCCATATCAATTCAATTACAATTGCAAATGTTCCCAATGAAGATTAAATTGCCTTGATAGTAGATGCAAATCTTTGTATTGTTGGGTTTAGTAGAGGATTTTTTGATTCGCTTGAGATTAGTCATGATTTATGCGAACATTTTCATGGAATTAAAATAGGATATGTAATTCCAGATTTTACAGAGCTTTCTCAAAATGATTAAGTTTAGTATTTAGAACTTAAATTTTTGAGAGGGTTTCAACTTCAAAAATATCTAGATTTTATTTCAAGAAATTACAATAGCAAACTATAATCAATGGTAATGAATGAACTTTGGATGGATAAATCAAAATTAGACACTTATATTTCCCATTGTAATATAATAAAATCAAAATATGGTTTTTACAAAGTTATTTTTAATTACATAAAAAACTAAGTCAAAGTTCCTTTTCGTAATTTAACCATAAAAACATATGCTTAAATAGCAGTGCATGATAAGGATGATATGGATGAATAAGTTAAAGTAATCTCTCCCTACGATTCATAAGATTATTTACTTGAAAAATAGGATGGCTTTTGTGCTGTTAAAGATGAAGTACTGTTATCAGGCAGAGATCATCAAACATTGGCGTTGATAGATTTTGATCAAGAAGGTGAATTTTAAACTAGAAGAAAGAATCTATAAACAATGATAAGACCAACTACTTACTAAAACATCTTTTAAAGTTAATAAGATATATATGGAGAAGAGGAAATTGAAAGTTGTTCGATAGAGGAAGAAAATAAAAAATAATTGTATTTTGTTAAAAATATAGCAAAATATGGAATTTTTGAAAAAATAAGACATAATAACACTATTAGTAAATTTAGTAGGTTATTAATCATAGTCTTAATATTTAACCAAATTTTATTCCTAAATTAAATTCTCATCTCCTTGATTACAAGCCTTAATGTATTAGAGTAAAATAATGTGGATATCGATTTACTTTAGATAAAATATTATTTATTTTAACCAGTTGAATCATTTATTGTAACAAGATATACTATTATCAATTACAATGCATAATTTACGGCAAAATTAATCACAAAGAGTTAATTAGATAGATATTTAGTGTTTCCAAATTCAAATTTAAATCTAGGTTTTGATGATGTTTAATAAAATTAAGCCGCTATTTTAAATAGATTGACTATTTAGGATTTTTTGGCTGAATATTATGATTTTTATATTTATGTTAAGACTGACGTTGGAGAACTGTATAATATCACGATGAGATAGTCATTAAGCGTACTAATCAATTATTAATACACATTTAAAGCAGCCTATAAATATGATGGTAAAACTGTCTCAGACTCACCCTATATATTTTATTCTTATAGAAATCTCTTAACTTTATACAATGCTTTTGACGAATTAAATTAACAATTATTTTTACAAGCTAGTCTAAGAATTTAATTAGATTTAGATAAAGAGTTAACTTTATTTTATCCTTTTATTATTTTATAATTGATATTTTTTGCTTTGGAAATTTTTTGCTTATATAAAAATGAGTAATGCTTAAGTAGGTTTTTTCTTCTCCTTCTTTACTGCGATTTAGAAGTAACAAAATAAGAAATAAGGCGTCTCAATAAATTTATTGATATATATAATAAATCAGAATAAATTTAACCTTTCTAATTTAAAATAGAGCAGAAAGAAAATGAAATTGAAGAATATAAAAATCATTTAAATGTGACATCAATAAAATAAAACGGAAAAGAAAAATCTATTAGATTGACTATTGGAAATAAATACATTGTTCTGTTATTTTAATCAATAATTCTTATATCTTTTGGTTTGTTAAAATATTTTGTAATGAAGAATTATCTGAATAAATATTAACCAACCTGCGAATTTTATTTGGGGATGTCGTATCTTGGCACAAATATTCCAACCATATATGCTATGAGAGAGGTGCTTTATTATAGATGGAGATATCCCTTCTATAAAGATGAAGAAATATCTTAAATATCGTTTTAAATTGAAGCATGCTTATAACAAGTCTAAAATTTCACTCTGTATTTTTCTTAATTAAAAATGTAATTTATATGTTTAATTTTAGGGATGAGTTCTTACTTAGTCACAGCTTCTATTAATACCTAGAAGATCTTAGTAATAGTAATCTGTGCGACCTGCTATCTTAAGATTTAATGACAAAAAGCAAGGACTTATGCTTCTCAACTTTAGGTGGAAGTCTATAAAAAGGGTTGCAGGGAGCTTTAGTTTTTGTATACTCTAGCATAAACAATGAAAAACAAATAAACTAGTTTCTCAATAAGACTGAGAACACTGTGAATGAATTAGAAGGAGTGTTTATTCTATCAGAATTAATAAAACAAATAAATGTAGCTTTTAAAGATGACTTCTTATCTTAGGCTAAATTAGTTTAGGATAGTTTATTTGTAAAAATATCTATATATTTAGATTATCTCCATTATTTATTTAATTTTTATGATTACTACCTTAGTAATTATTTTCGCACTTATTAATCGTTATTTGTACAAGCAATTTTACTATGCTAGAAGATATTTATATTTAATCCCATAAGTGGTAATTTATGGGGATGCTGCTTTTGAGAGGTAAACGAAACTCTTATTTAAAATCTCATCCTGATGATATATTGTAATTGAATATGATATTTATATCAATAAAAACTAACTAATTCATATCATATAAAAAAAAATACTAATGCATTTTATTATAATTTCACGTTGATAATCATTTTGATCCATTTATCTGAGTGATATAAGATCAGATAAAAGAGATTTTCATAGTTAATCATTCTAAAGAAATAATTTATAATCAATTAAACAATCTATATAATATTTAACTAAGAACAAAATTGGTGTAATAGTGAATAATTAAAAATAAATCATTTGGAGTTTAGAAGTTATGATTTTTGTAATTTCAACACAAACCTTGGAATATACTGAGATTTCTTTTAAATTACTAATACAGGATGTTGATATTCCGACTGATTAAGTATGCTAAATCCAGAGGAATTTTGTAAGGAAACAATTGATGCTTTTAGTGGCACTTAATTTTTCTGATTGAAATTCCGTAAAGATTTAGCAGTAGGTTTTCCTGGTGGCTTCTATGTTATTAGTTAAAAATTCTTGACTCTTGCTGGGAGCCTCACAGGTTTGGTTAAAGATCTGGTTTCAGTTTTGAATCTAAATTGAGTAGGAGTTTTCGAAGTTGTACGAAAACTGATAGTATTTAATCTAGTTGACATTTCTGTCTTCTATTTTTTCAATCTTTCGGTGATTGTTCTTTACAATATTTTCTTGATTTCGCATTCATAATCATCGTCATATTGTGGTTAATCGTCATAACAAATATTCAGCAGAGATTCAATAGCTTTCTGCTCAATTATTTAATTATACATTAATATTTATGTTCAATATTCAAAATTCTCCTAATCATAGTGAAGTGGGTTCCACCTAAAATTTTCAGTTGTAAGCTCCATGTATGACACATTAAGGCTAGAGTATCACTAATTTCTGTAAACAACCTGGCTGCTTAATGCCACTGTGTCCAAAGTGTATCCCTTAGCATCTGGATAAACATAGATAATAGGGACAGTTTGCAGACTTAGTCACTGTGGATGAAATGCATGAGGAGACATTGCAATTGATTAATGCTTAATTAACAAATTTGAATTAAGCCATTTAGTTATTATAATAATTCAAAGATTCAAAAACAGATGCTCATGGAAAATTGCATACAAAGCTGAATAACTCAAAATTGCGTGTTTAGCAAATGGTTGATTAATTTTTTGATGAATTGTTGAACGAACTTGATTAAGTGACTAAAACTGATAGAACACATTTAGATGTTGAATTATAATAAATGGAAAGATCTTTAAATTCAAAAATTCAGGAATTTTAATAGATTGACTAAAAACTAAGAACTCCAAAATATCTCAAACAAATCATCTAATTGCAAACAACCAATTTCCTTCAATAAACACAATAATAACGAGTCGAATGTGAGGCATTCATTGAAGAAGTATCAAAACACACATTAGATATCTAAATAGATGAATAAGAATTGTACTTTTTGAAAATATAATTGGCTTAATATGCCTCAATAAAGAATGCTGAATATTACAAAAATTAATAAATTTAGTCCTCTGCGTCAATTCCAAAAAACACAGCCTATAATCATCCATACTTAACAAGCGATATTTAAACAGCTAAGGTAGAGTAATCACCATATAAACGATTAGAACAACAATGTATTATATATTTCATAAAATAAACTAGTTTAGTAAGTCGGAGTATCCAATTTTACAATAAATTTACCAGACTATTATGATCCACTATGTAGTTAAAAATATCTACATTACTTTACTGATAAATCCATATTTTTCTTAAATTTGGAATGGGTTTAAAATCCAAGATGGTAAGAAATCAGATTGAATTGTTAAGTTCCAATTAAAAGTTCTTCTGTGCGTTCGCAATAAGGAGATATATTTGTGATCGGTGGCTATATTGGAAATTAGCTGAGTTCCTAAATTTTTAGAATAGATTTTAAATAATAAACTCTACTTTCAACTGATCAACTTTAGTATCCTCGACATTCTTCAGCCCCAGTATTCCTACAAAACAAATTATATGTACTTGGAGGGTAAAATTAGAGCGAAGATTTGACTTCAATTGAGGGTTTGGAATTATAATTAAATAAATCAAGATCAGTTTTAGAAACTAGAGTGACCCTACCGAAAATGAATTAAGGAGGTGCTAATTTGTCAGTTTGCGCATTTAGACAATATATAATAAAATCAACTCCATTAGAAGTGTTTGATACTAAACTATTAAAATGGACATCCTTAAATCATAATATAAACAGGGGAGTTGGAATTGTGGCTATAAATAATTCTAATGTTTTAATATTTGGAGGTGGACAATATTAATTATTGAAGATGGTGGATCAATAGAATTTATAATTTGCAATTGAGAATCTAACAAATCCTCCTTAGATTGGCCAGATACAGAATGGTAGTTTGATTCATTTAGGGAAAATTTATGCTGTAACAAGCAGCTACAACTTCATAATTGGAACACCTGATGGGTGGACATTATGAAAATTATTGATATTATAGAATATTGATTATTTTAAAAGATAAAAATCAATTAACAATTATCTTAGCTGAGTTTTCTCTATTTCATTTCTATGAGACGAATTTATTAAAATAATTTAATCGATCCATTCCATTTAATTCAATCTTCCATTACTCCCATTCATACAGCCAATCAGGTTTAGATATGAAATGATCATATCGATACTAGTTTGTCAATCCTAATTGGACATAAAATTAAAAATGCAGCCCTCTAATAAAATCCATAGGGTTTATAGGTTTGTAATGTAAATAATTCTAAATGGTAATGACATAATACATCTAAATCAAATCTATTCTTGCAATTCAATTCGTAGGCTACCAATAGTGATCCTCGTTTTATTTTTTCTGACGTCATTTCTCCCCTAAAAATCTCCTCAAAAAGAGCATTATCAATAATATCAAGTCTCTCTCTATTGAAAATGCTTTTCTCAAATTTTTGTTTACCTTGTTTATCTGTATAGCAAACCATCTATGAAACTGGATCCCAATCATAATACGAGAATGTAGTAGTCAATCCTCTAGCCAATCTTGATTGTTCGTAATATATATAATGCTCTCTTCTAGCATGATAAACCCAAATTGGAATCAAAAAGTTTGGTTATTTTCTAATATCAAATTCCTTTGTTGAAGTCTAAAAATTACATGTTTCAACCAATTATGTTAAATCCATCCATATGAATATAATGAAAACAAAAGACTTAAAAACATTCTCATTTTTCTCTTATTCACTGTTGTATCTTAGGGTTGGAAAAACCCTCGCAGTCCTCTTAGATACATTTAAAATATTTTGCTTTTGACTTACAAATATCTCATAAAATTATATTAATATATATATAGTTTTAAGTACTTTTCTTATTTTATATCATTATGTTCATCAGGGATAGTACAAATTGATATGAAAAAATATAATTTAAGTACTTGTCCTTAATACATCTCAATGAAACATATTAATTTTAATAATGATTAAGTATTTTTTTGGATCTGTAAAGCTTTTTAAAAAACAAGGTATTTAGGAAGCTACTAAAGCTACTACAACTAAATTGGATTTAATTACAAATCCAGAATTGACAAAAGAAGACATAGCCAATTTTGATCAATTTTATTCAAATATTGTAAAAAGTATGGTAGTTAAAGAGAATGGAAGGAAAAAGGTTATTCAATAAACCTATACACCTAATATTTACTAAATATTAGAATCAAAAATCGGAAATGATCATTTTTAAATCAGTGCATTTTTACAATTTCGAAGAGATTAATTAAGAGAAGAGGAAGTTGTCTATTGTTTGGATGGTTTAATTAGAGCAAAGCAATTTATACTTCTGAAAAACTCAGATTATCTATAACACATAGATTTCTTAATTTCTAACAAAAAATTGTCATTTACTAAGGTTGAATGTCTTGAACAGATATTAATTATCAATAAAAAACTTTAGTTTTTGTCTATTGATTCTCTGAGATTGCTTGCAAAATAATTGAATGAAATAGGGTAGTACATAGAAAAAGAATTCGAATTGACCAAAAATGAGGAGCCATTAGAAATTTTAGCATAAACATTTATTTTAGCAGCTTAAATTGAATATAATCACACTATCACTTAATCGTAACTTATTCATGTAAGGAAGATTCTTAAGAGACATTTTAAACTCCTAAAGTTCGATACAATAATGAAGTACTTCGTCACTATAATTAAGGTATAATATTATTAATCAAATTTAGTATTAAAATAAACTCTAAACAGAATTGGATTCTATATTGGATATAGAAGAATTCTTTGGTGAAAATTATAATGTCTTAACTCTCGAAAATTATTTGATGATTATTGAGCATTTGGCTCTCATAAAGTACAAGAAGAGAAGTGAAGTTGTTATATAATTTGTCAATAACATTAGTTCATTCACTTTCACAATTTAGCAATTAGCTTAATTAGCGAAGAGCCTAGCAATAATGGAAATTAGATTGGATGAATTGTGGAATAGAATTACCGCTGAATTCTTATAAGTCATATAATTGGTTGACACTCATTTTTATTTAGGAGAGATAACCCTTGTATTTTAATCTTTGTTAAAGATTAATCCTTTATCACCATAGGATCTAACAACTATCTATAAGGCTATCAAAAACATAACAATTGATGAATCATTTACAATTAAATTTTAGATTCTGTACAATTTCAGTATTAAAGGTCATTTCAATTTTGATTTATTCCAAGATTTATGCAATTATGAAAAAAATAACTTTTAATTTAAATATTTAAATAATTACAAATAAGAGAAATTATTTGAAGTGACAAAAGTTATTTTATATAATTCAATATTTTACAACAAATTAGAACGTTTGGATGAAAATGTTGATTTTGGCATCTAAAAGGCATTAATAATATTATGTACTAAGATTTATGAAATACTGAGCAATCCAAATTATGAATTAAAAAATAGTTTTCAAACATATTATGATTTATTTATAGTAAGTTCTTTATTTTAGAAATTTATTGAGAATTCAGATGGACTCCAAGATGTCTTGATTAATACTAAATTAGAGAATATTAGATATGAAGCAGGGAAAAAATTAGATAGAAAAATACAAAGGAATTAATTTAATATTTAGGAAGCATTAAAATTATTGGGATTTATTGATTACTTTAAAGTTGGGTATAAAGAGGAAGCATACTAAGAGTTGGTTAGAATGGTGTAAGTAAAATTAATTGAATACGAATCTGATTTTGACGAATTAAATACCTTATTACATCAATATCACATTTAGAATTAAAAAATTATGCAAGAATACATAACTTTGATACTTAATAAACAAGCTGAATTAACAATTGAATAATTATAAAAGTATAGCCATGTTTTGAAAAAAAGTGGGAACTAAAGCTAGGAGTTAGAATTAATTATGATATAAAGATCATTAACTAGTAATTCATATCTTGGGGTTGTTGGATTTGATAAGCCAAATTATGAAGTCAACTTTTTATTTAATTGATGAATCATTCATATTAATTCATATTTTAATAATTATTCTAAAATTAACAAACATATTTTAATGAATATTATCATAAAAAATTATATTTGTATAAATATCTTAACCTTCAAGATTTTTATCTTTACGAACATCTACATTTAGTCTAATTTATTTATGTAGACGTAGGATAGCTCAATTATAATCAAAATCAACTAATAATCAAAATCTAGTTAGAACATTTGAGAGTTAGTAAGTAAGCAGCAGGATAGAATATTAATATTAACTATTTGTTTATTATAATTTTAATAGTTAATAATTCAAATTTGAATGAGTTTCGTAAACGATTTGGATGATCTGTGTGATTTTAGTAAATTAAGTCAAAAGTGGAAACAAACCAAAAATGAATAAGTAAGATAGCCTTCTCCAAGTCCTTCAAAGACTGAATCTGAAATTACTGCTAGCAAATGTGTGACAAATCCTTGGAACAAAGGTTAGATTCCTAAACTATAATAGAAAATTTTGTGCCTAATAATGAGGAAGCAAAAAAAAATGTTAGCAAATCTAGAAATCATGCTCCTCAAATAATTGATGAGGACACTGAATAATTTAAAATTAGATTAGAACATATTTTAAATGTTTTTAAAACAGAGGCCACAAGTGAATTTATGGCTATGAAGAGATCTATGTTGGAGGATTAAAAATAAACAATTAAACTAGACACTGAAAAGTATTTGTAGATGTACGAATTAAAAAATAATGAATTGTCTCAAACAAAAGAATAATTGGCAGAATAAATGAGAATTTGCAATTAGATTACTGAGAGATCAGAAAAAATAGCATAATATTGTGGTAAAATGAAGAATACAAAAAGAAGATTGTCAGTTTTATTAAATGTCTTTAATAGTTTAAAATAATATACAAAATAGTCAATAAAGAAGAAGCATGTAATAAATATATAGCTATAATAGAATTAAAAAAAAGGAACAAAGCATTACAAGTTATATTTGTAAAGATGGATATTTAATCTATGGAAAAAGTAGTTCAACACTCAAATTAGAATTAATTAATCTGAAAAATTAAAATTGTCTCATTAAAGTGATGTTGATTTATTGATGGCTAAATTTAAAAAAGAATAGCAATTATTGGAATAGAAATTATTGGAAGCCACATCTTAACTAGATGAAGCTAATAAAGTTAAATTATCGATGTAAGAAAATCTAAAGAGAGCCTTTATGAGAGGAGTCTGTGCTCTGAATTTCGAAGCCATGAATGTTTTGAATGGATCTTCTCAATAAATGGAATTGGATTCCTTAGCCACTAATTTATTAATGAATCCCTGTTAATAATCTACTACATAGTAATAATAATCAACACTTCATTAACCATAATAATTTAATTAATTAAATGAAACATTGAATTTAAATGAAAGCAAAGATCATTGGTAGAGATAGCATTCACCTCCTAAAAATATAATTTATCATCAACAAAATCGATTAGAAACAAACGATCATCGTTGGAAAGATGCCCCAATTGTTGGAATTAAATAGTTATCAGAAATTCCTGAAAATTAGAGTATAAATATGTCAATATCGAAATTAGTATAACAAGGTAATACTCTCAATTTATTAAGATGATCTATAGTTCGATAAAGATGATGAATAGAATGAAGGAAAAGTTATTAAGGTAACTTTCGATAATCCTTCAATTACGTAAGCATAGACACAGTCTGTAAAAAAACAAACAGTTTAAGTCAAATAGCCATAAACTAAATAACCATCCAAATAGACTGCTACAAACAATTCCTCAACATTAAAGAAAAAATGAATTAATTAATTAAGTGAAAATTATAAATCGTAACTCTTCAAATATTTTATCATCTATATTAATATTTTAACTAGTAAAATAAAAGTATTTCATTATACTCTATCATAATTTGAATTAATTAGATATATAAATATTAATAAAATGAATTTAAACTTAAAATAATATCAATAAATAATGATAATTTATTATCAATAAAACATCTTTTTTTCTATTAGAGAGGATCCGTGTTCATCATAGTCTGATTTATTTAAAGTCCATTGATCATAAATTTAAGAACTTGCAACGATTGAAGCACCTATCCAGGAAGCATGTTAACGATCAAAATATTTAGGGAGAGTTTGCACTTTGCTTCTTGAAGATAACCCAAAGATTTTGAGATTATTGATAGTTCTTTAAAATCTTTCTACCATGTTAACTGTGCAACTAGCTCCTCCAATCAAAACAACATTTTGAACTAGTTCTTTTCTATAATCGGAATCAATTTTCTCTAAACTTGTTTCCAAGGCTTTATCCATCCCTTCAAAAAATTCAGTTGGTTCATATAGAAATTCTGGATACTTGTACATCTCTTCAGATATCAACAATTTATTTTGGTCTGGCAATTCATATGCTTAATTATCGACAGTTGGATTAAATTTTCTATAAATTAGTAAATATTTAAAATTACAAGTTCTCTATAGGTTAATCATATAGTTTAACACACTAATGCTTGATTTCTCTAACTATCTCCAAATCTCCATACATTTAAAGAGAGGGTGAGAGTTGACTATAGTTTTTAAATCTAGAAAATGCTAATCCTTACTATTTCCAAATATCGTATAATTTATTTGTTATATACTCACCTCCTATATCTCCTCTAAAAACACCTTAAAGAAATTAAATTAAGATTACCCTTTTCTATGACATTTCCATCCAATATAGGTGTAATTGTTGTGTGAGATGCTCCACAATCAACTACTAATACATTGTCTTTTCCTACTATATATTATGCCAACATCGTGTTTTTGTGGAAAAATACAGAAGAAACATCGATTTCTTCAAAGAGCATTTCGATGATTTTATTTCTGGTTTCTTTTTTAACATTTCCATTTTCAACAAAGAAAAATGGGAAATGTCTTTCTTAAAATAAAACATTATTTAGGATGTGTTCTACATATTCTTTCCATATATCGAAATCAACTATCTACCCTCCTTACAGGATATTCTTAACATCAAATCCAATAGGTTGATATGTGCTATTTTACTCAATAAATTTCATATTTCCCTCACTATCCATTAATAAATCAGATGGTAAAACTACTTCTGGTCCATCAGTTCCTGCATATCCAACTCTTGTATTTTATTGCCCGAATTCAAATATTACAGGGATTTTATAACCTTTATTCTTTTTGTATGGTATGAACATTAAATTTAATTAAACAAATATTATTTTCTCTAAATAAATCACAAATATATAAATAATTAATTTGAGTTTCCCTATTTCATTATACCCTTAATTATAGTGTTAGTGAAATATTATAAAATTAATTTTTGAGTTTCCCAAGGATTCAATAATACCCTTCTTTCTTTAGATATTTCATAATTAAATTACATTTTTAATAATAAAGAAATCAAATCAATAATTGTAAAATGTACTATTATCCTCACCAAATTAAGCAGTCTTATTTTTTGAATAGAATGATTATTATTTTGTTGATTTGTTTTTGTTTGGTAGTTGTTCCTCCAATTGTTCAGGCATATCTTGACTTAATGCTCCTAAAAGAGCACATAAAATTAGCTATGATAGTATCCTAGAGTTTACTTTAAATATGAAAGACACAAAAAGTAAAATCAAGGCTAATCTGTTGGGACCTTTCTCGATGACATAGTATTTATCAGTTTCAGAGTCTTCACTACCCCAAAATCCTCTGGAGTACTTGATTGCCCATACCAAATCACATAACAATGAAATCCCCACAGCTATAGAATAATATATCAAACGCTATTTGTAAAGTCTATTGAATTCAAATTCAATGATGAAGAAAAAGCAAATAACCAACTATATAGGTGTTAGGTATTAATATTTACATCCAAAAACTAAGATTTGCCAAAGCAAATGAATACACTAAGTCCCATTACAACTAATATACTTAATCGAGTGTATAATTTGTAATCATATTAAGAGCTAACATTATTAATTGGGGTCATCACTAATGTATTTGGAGGTTAATGGTTAATGGCTAGATCTTCCTTCTCAATACTTCGAATTAATTAAACATAATTTGGAAAGGGTTCATATAGAGTTGCAAGATCTTTTTCAAAATCAATTAAGTCATCTTAGGCAGTTTTGATTTAGTCATTGCAAACTTCAATTTAATGGCATAACGATTTAGATTCATTAAAAATCCATTGTGATCTCAATTTAATTTTGGTCTAAGTTTGCTATCCATTTTTATTAAATAACTGACAGCAATCTTCAATTTTAGTTTGATTGGTTAAATGTGATAATGATAAAGTCACAGTTCCTAATAATTGTGGTATGTTAGGATGATTTATGGTATAGAAGAATAATTATAATTCTTCAAGGCCAGTTGAAATTTTACTAACATAAAGAAAAAAGATACAAATTAAGCGTTTTGTTCCATTATGGAGATGGCCCATTTTGCTGTTGAATTTCTTATTTTTAATTTTCCAATTTTAAAATTACTGATACATTTTAAGCTGGAAAATTGACTCCTTCTAACAATTCAACTGTCAAATAACTGTCCTCTTTTATCCCATATTAATTAACTCTTTCACTATCTTTTATTGACTTAATTCTTTATTGATAATAAATACATCAAATTAGTTTGATACATATTTTCTTTATTTATTATAATCTAAAATCTGCTTTTTACAACCTTCGATTTTATTCTTTAAGATCTCCTCCGCTTGGAGAAACACTTTAATAAATTCATCCACCGTGACTTTATTGTTAAAACTTTTGTTCATTCTTTAATATAATTGATCTCCTAATTCTCTATCAAATTGTCTTCTCAACTAAATTTTGTAGCAGATTATACTTTCTTATCTAAGCATCTATAAAATTATTCAATAGATAACAATTCGTCATGATTTATTTCTATTTCCAAAAACTCCTTTCTCAATACATTAGCCTTTTCAATTGCATTAACCGAAGTTGGCATTTTATAAATATATTTGAATAAAATTAATTATGAATTAAAGAAATAATCATTTCAAAGAAAAGTGAAAAGAGTGTTTAATTGTAGCTATAAATTTTACTGTGATATTCTCATGCATAATTTAAGAATTTTTTATTTTTCAAATTAACTTCAAATTGTGGAATTCCATTATAGGTTATTTTTTGTTTTCTATATGTGTGACGATTTAGTTATTGATTAATATTTTTAGTTTAATCTCAATGGGTTATTATTACTTATTCGTTTACTGATTGTTAAAAAGTATTTAGATATTCATACAACTATCTAGTCATTTCATAATAAAATTTTTTACAATTTGTTATTTTATTATCCATGGAAAGTCGAAATTTAACTCAATTCTAACATTATTCTCATAATGGCACTAATCGATATTCTATATAGAGAATTGTTTACCCACAATATGCAAGTGGTTTGGTTTAAGAAGAGACTGTATCTTAACACAAAGATTCAATTGATGAAGATTAATTTATTGAAGGTGAGTGTTTTGTATACATCGGAGGCTAACAAATATTTACTATTGAACTTAAGTAGCCAGATTTTGTTCATTAATAATTATGCATTGATTTGACAAAATATTAATGTCCATTAGAATGTTTAACTGCATTCCCTTTACCAAATGAGTTCTAAAATACTTAAAGGATATTACCTTTGAGCACTGGAATTTTAGTGGTTAGCAGTGGAAAGAATGGGTAACAGATCAAATTATTTGATGATCAATCCAAGGAGATAAACATCAATATATAAATCACAAAGAGAATAATCTGGATGAATTCAAGATACTTATTGGAAGTTATAATCTTAATCGTAGGATTCAATGACTTAAGTGTTGGACTCTTTGAGATTGATATCAAAAATAAATAAATTAGATTATTGCAAGAATTCACTTTTGAACAACTCATTATATTCAATGACATTTCAACTCAGAATTAAAAATATTTCATAGCATTGACATCTTACAACGGAATTATTTCAATCTTATCAATTGATCTCTTTTTTAACATTCAGCATCATGTTCACAACATTAATAGAATAACTTCACCTCCTAAATTATATTTTTAACACAATAAGGCCAACTTGATGGTTCCAATATAGAATGGAGAAATGTTATAGTATTTTGAAATAGAAGATAATGGATTAAAGAAATGGAATGTCATTAAGTATCAAAATAATAACAAATCAATGATTACAGCATTTGATATAGAACCAAAAAAATGTGATATATCATAGAATTAAAGTGAAGAATTTGAAATTTGTATGATGCATTTTGATGGAACCCTTAGTTTTTATGATTATGCTGATAACAGTATTTATATAGAAATATCAAAACAATTGAATGGCTCCAGATTTTTTATGTCTAACATGCAGCTTTCTTTCAAACAATTCATATTAATTGGATCTGATGATGAAGTTGAAATATATCAAATGTCCTTTTATCACATAAATTGATATTTAATTTTGCATCATCATTTAGTATACAATCATCTCTGCCTTTAATATTTCTAAATACGGACTGCAGTATTGCTGGTAATACGCCAAGCTCCTAATTTGGAAGTGAAGGTTCGACCCCTTTCGGTCCGCTTTTTTTGATATTATTTTTATTTAATTAAATTAATAAATTTTGAAGACAAATAAAGATTTGTTGATCATTTTTCTGTAAGCTCTCTAAAACCTTTCCAATCTTTGGGAGCTTTTCCACCACAAGAATGAATAACCTCTAAAAGAGTATTTGACGGCCCATCCTTATGTTCAGGTATCATAATCTAAACTATTAATTATTTGATTTACTAAGGTTTTCTAGAATATTGATTATGCTTCTCCCCAATTTCCTTTAATGTATTAATCAAATCCCTATTTCCAAGTCTCATAAAATTACTATAATAAAATCATAATGAATATTGTACTTAAGTGTATGGTTCTCTAGCAGCTGACAATTCGTCATCCTTTTCAAAGAGATCAGTAATATTAGTTTAATTGTTCATCACCTATTTCATCTGTTAATCTCTCTTAAATCTATTCACGACTCTAAATTTCTTTGATTCTTTTTAAGTCATCGAGGAAACATCAAATTTATCCCTTAGAGACTTGATTTTAGCTTGCAAATTTTTAATAGACATATCCACTGTATGCAGTTCTTAAAATAATATGATATAATACCTAAAGGAACAATACTTCCTTTCACAGTAACAATATCAATCATTCTCATCTGTTTTTAACATTCATCAGTCAAATATTACTTTAGAATACCACTAACGAGAATAAGAGCTCCAAATTGCTTTGTTGCTGCCTCTAATCTTGATGCCATATTAACATTTGGACTAAGATATGAAGCATCAATTTTAAATCCAGAACCAATAGCTCCTTCAATTCCCCAGCCCATGTGTAAACCAAAACCCATTTTCACAGAATAGTCTTTCATTCTAGCATTAAGTCCCTCATGTTTCTTATACTTCTCCAACTTTTTGGAGATAGAGATTGCTGTTATAATCTTGAGAAATGCCATCACAGCCATGTCTCCCTTTTACTTAATGTATTTTTCTGTTTTTAATTTCAGGTTTCTAGGATTGTCAGGATCAGGATGATAATCATTGGGTGAATACTTCCAAACGAGCAAGAAAGCATCACCAATATTTTTATTAGCAGATCCACTCATAGAATCAACTGTTGAATGAACAATCTCAGCAATTTCATTTACAAAAACCATTACTCCTTATTATAATACTTCAGTTGCCTATATTGTTAATAGTTTATATTACATCAGTGAAATTTCTAATATCGCAAAATCCAAAGATTGCCAAAATCTTCTTACCAGGAATCATGGGATCTACACTGCCACCCTTTTTAATGTTTTCAGCTATAATTTCAGAACCTGCTTCACCAAATCCAACAGCTAACAAAGCACCTACTTTCATTATTAATCTTTAGAGGACATAGGTTTCCATATGCTTCTCTATCTCTTTCTATTTTAATTTTTCCACATCCTGAGATTTCTCCAACTCTTCCATTATTAAATCTTCTTATTCTTCTATATTTACTGCTTCAAGTGGATTTGCTGCTATCATTTCTATTTTCTACATCATTGCTTCTATTGGATCTATCACTAAATCAGATACATCTTTATTGAACATCAAAGCTGAAACAGCTAAGACAATGCATACAAAGACGGTTTAAAATATTGACAAAATAGCATTAGTTTGATTATAGGTAACCAAATCAGCTGCAGCATATGTCTGTAGATCTGATCCTTCAGATTTAACATAATATTGTAAATCAGAAAATCTATATTAGTCTTTAGTTTCATATGCAGGAACTTCAAAGATTTCTGGATTAGTATTGTAATTCCATTCATCAAGATCGGTACTGCCATTTCCTTTTAAATTAACATCAACACTATAAATTGGGTAAATTTCTCCTACATGGAATTGAGCATATTAATACAAAAGAGATTTCATTATTTCGGGATTATCTTTAAATTAATAGATTCTGTAAATTCCGGAATCATAACTGCTAATTGTTTCTTAATAAGTATCTAAGGAAAGAACAGGAATACTTATTAGAATGGCTAAAATAATAGTAATAACTCTTCTCATAACAAGATCTGATAATTAAGCTCCTACAATAGATTCCTTTATTTGGTTTTCTGGTTAAGATGAAGTTTAAGAGGTTCTTATTTAAGAAGTAGAGCTTCTATCTGGTGTCTTGGCAACTTCAATTTCATTTTGAGAATTATTTCTGGATTCATCATTTTAAGGTATAATTTATTATATTTATGAATTTTACTATTATTGTTATTGTTATTGTTATTATTGTTATTATTATTATTATTATTATTATTATTATTATTATTATTGTTATTATTATTAATCTGAACTCTTACTTTATTATGCTTATCTTAATAAATCTTAAAGTAATTTTCTTTACTACTCTCTTTCCATTTACTAGCGAGCATGTTTGTATAGTTTAACCAATCTCACAAGTCTTATAACTCTAATAACTCTTGCTGCTTTTCTTGCTGCTCTGGATGCAGTACCAATAGATTTAATTTAAGATGCACTTGTTAAATCTCCAGAATACCAAGTATCTGTTATCCAACCTAAATCTAATATCATCGTTAAGGTTGATATTAAATCTAAGATAAAATAAAACTAAAATTTGTTTTATATTTACATTCAGAATGTAGTCTGGTTTAGCGATACTTGTAAGTGTAATTTCGATAATAAATGCAATCATGCATATCACGGTTAGGATAAAGAATACATCATCTCCCTACTTATCTACTGATAAAATTCGAATATCATCTCCAAATAAAGCATAAATAGTGACGATTGCCATGATTATTGAGAAGATTGTGTTTTCTGTGATTTTCATTATACTTTTTGAGAAATCTGATTGTTGTTTTTATTGAGAATGTCGACTCTTGACTCTGCTGTTCATTCTTTTAATGCGTTTCTATTGGGCTTCTGATTAATTATAGCAAAATGGTACATTAATGAGGAGATTTGGCTCCTCCTGAACTTTTAACTGAGACATCATCTTAACTATGATGAGCAGATCCATTTCTTGCTTTGGGAATCTTTTTTATTTCTTCAGAACCAGGATCAAGCTTCTTGATTAATGGTTACGCTTGCTACTTATCAGTTAACTACATATATCCATCTACATACCAAAGGAGCTTAATTCTGAAGGTTATTCTCTTAAGTAGGCTTAGCTGACCTATCAGATGGGAACTATAATTATTATCAATAGAGGAAATACAGGTTGAGGATCAGCAACCATTTGATTAAAGTTATTCACAACCTGAGCTGGTACAAACACTTCTCCCAATCCTTGTTCATCTTAGCCCTACTTTTCTTGGTCGTTTTATGAGTTCATATTTTAATAATAATTATAGATTTCATTTTATATCAAAACTCATACTTTATTTGACAGAAGGAAAGATTTCAAAAAATAATAAAGCTGTTATTTGTTCATTTTTTGTAAATTTAGCATTCAATTGTATTAATGTTTTTTTAAAAATTGAATCACATGTTTCAAAATATTATTGTTATTCTTTGAAAATACAAATGGAATGTTACTTTATTTCAATAAAAACTTCAAATTACATTTGTTATCTTTGTGTTGTCTCACCTGTAATTTAAAAAAATAAGAGTAATTATTACTTTAAGATATGTATCTAAATTAGCGAGTACCTATTATATCAGAGATTAAGATCAATAAAAATAAAATTAATTAATTTATTTATGCAATATCATAAATAACCAAATTTATCAAAATTTACTAATGTTACGTGAAACTTAACTTTTACATATCCCACCGATTTTACTCGAGTAACTTCTCTTCCTTCACCTGAGGAAATAACTTTATCGAAGTTTTTGAGTTCAGCAGTGTTCCCTAACAAATAACCTAAAAATCCTGTGAATCCAGAAATTGGTAGAGGTTTGAATATTCTAATTACTCTTTCATGACTAGAAGACTATTCAGAATTCATACTATCCTGGTTAAGTTGGAACATGAACGGATCCATACCCTTTAGCCACACTTCTTCCCATGAAATCAGGACCTGAAAGTCTGACTACAACCTGGGGCCATCCGAATATGTTTTTAGTTTGAAAGTTGCATTCAAAAGGGAAATTCCAAACAATATTTCTCGAGTGTAAATTTCGTGAAGTGCTCAATTAAGATATTCCACTTGGTTCTGCATCATCAGCATTATTCTAATTTTATTTGAAATCATACACTAGTTTTCAAATATGTCCAATCTTCTCCTCCATATTTTACTGCATATTCTATTCTTAACGATTCTTCATCTTCACACTAATTTATTAAATAGCTCTTTTACTTCACCACATTCTAGAACTCCGCTAAAATTCACAAACATAGAATCAGGCTAAATGTTTCGAGGATCCATCATCTCTTCTTGAATTCTCGAAATTCCATCTTAAAATTATTGAGGTTGTGAATATCCAAAGTTTTAATTTGTTTATCCTTTGATAGAGCCTTAATCTGATACATCTTTTTTATAATTTCTTGTATTCATCATTTTCAATTTTTTTAAAATTATTATTAAATGAACTGTGAAACTTACACTAATTCAATAATTTGCTTAAATACAAAAATCTTTCCTATGTATGCATAAAAAGGAAATATGGTTTCATAATTTATCATTTATTTTTTTATATAAATCATCAAAGATATTGGTGCAAGCAATTGAATTAACTGAGTAACTTATTTTCAAAAATAGAGTATTGGATGTTTGTTAACTTGTAAAATGCAAAACCTCAATATTATTAAATAATTTAAATATAATGAAATAAATATCTGAAAGTGCTCATATTTTACAAAAAGTTTATAATCCAAATAGAATGAATAAGTTGTTTATGACTACTCATTATTAACTGTAAAATGAAACTGATTTGATATTCGACAAATATATGTTGATGCCTCTTTTCGGATTATCAGTGGCGAATGGAATATCATCAAATTGCATCAAACCTAAATACTTATGCAGCGAATACAAAAAACAAGAATTATATGATTGCAATCTAATATTGATTCTGTCTGCATATTCTGATTAAGCGGTTTATAGATCCAAGACCATGTATGAAAAAAGGAACGGTTTAGAATAAATTTTTAAATATCTTGCAAGTCCCAATTACACATATAACATTCACATAAGCTTATTAAGTTATTTTGTTCCATAAAGGTATTTTTTTGAAATTATTGAGAGTATTTTATAAGCAAGTACTATAAGCCTTAAATATATTTGAATTAATAGATTAAAAGCAAATTGAGGAGTTGACTAAATCTTCATCAATTATCAACTAGTCGGTTGGAGAGGACAATCTTGATTCAATTTTGTTTAAAAATTAGGAATTCATAGACTATTAGAAATGGAGGAGAATGTTGAAAAATAATACCATTATAAATTTAAAGACTCTTCATCAACATTAACTTTCTTAGTAGATATTTTGCTAATATTTTTTGAGATATCATTATTATTAAGGTTGTGAAGAGGAAATTAACAAATTGAATAAATTTTTGGTAGACGATTTTGACATGTTTAAGGTAATAATACAATATTAATAAATACGTAGTTTCGTTCTAGATTAGAGCATAATGAAAAGAAGATGAAATTTTATTTTTTAAGAATGCTTAAGTATTTTAAATTGAATGAGAAATTAGAAATATTTTTGAAGTTCTCGTTCAAATCATATTCTCTGGATTGGAACAAAGAACTACTACGAGAAATGAAGAATAGTTTGAATTAATATAAAAAATAATGATTGAATTTTCATGTATAATTAAGTTCGATATGATAAATAAAATAAAAATATAAAATAACTAGAAAAATGGTTAAATCAAGTAAATCAATGATACAATTAATTTTTGAAATAGAAAGCTTTAATGTTATTGAAGTGTAAGTTCGCATCATCCTTAGCTAATAGGTCTAAATCATTGAATTATTCAAACTCTTATTCTACTTATTCGATAGTTTTGACCCTTTCCTGAAAATGCTTACTAGTTTCCTTGCAGAAGGCTTATTACTACTGTTATACTACTGTTTGACTTTTCCTTTGGCCTCTTGGCAATTATTTTTCCATAATTCTTCTATATTTATCAACTTCAACAATATTTTTTTGACTTACTTGATAATTTATCATTTTAGAGGTTCCTAATGTATGCATACTTACTCCCTAATTTAATTATTTGATAATTTACGTTACGACTCCTATTCTCGATATTTTCTGGTTCTGGAAGAACTAAATTAGTAGAAAGTTATTTTTTAGGATGATCTACAATAGCCGCAGATGATCTTTTGATTGTACTTCGTATTACAGGAGGATTCTCAATTTTGCTTTAATGTATCTGTTTTTTGTTTTTCACTTCTGCAAGTTTTTCCCAATCAAACATATAAAATGATTCCTCACACTCTTTTTCAGAGATTGCTTTTTTAAATTAATCTTTAAGAAATGCATAATTAGGTGATTCTTAAAATTCTCTTGACTTCGCATGTTATAGTAAGAGTAAATAGCACTAAATATTGTTTCAGATTACCTAAGAAAGCCCTTCAGTTAATAATTCTAATTTTATATTTTTCTTCAATTCATATATAGTTTTATACTTTTCATGTTTGTCAGCAATTTAAAGATTCATCCAAGGAAGCTTTCCAAAGTTCAAATAAATTAAAACATAACCTAAGCTCTCTAGATCATCTTTTCGAGATTATTCCAATCCTTAATGAGCTGCTATACTAGCGTATCGAGCAGTTCCGATGATTCCCTTTTTATCTGATAAAGGTATATGTTATCCATTGCTATCCTTAAAATACTTAGCTAATCCAAAATCAATCAGATAGACATTGTGGGTGTCAATATAACCAATCACTAAATTTTCAGGTTTTAAATCTCGATGAATAATATTTTTGTTATGTAGAGATTCCAATCTTTCAATTAATTGAAGAGATAATTTAAGGCAGGACAGTTAAGAAAACCCTTTGCTTTTCCTTAGCAGGTATTCTAAATTATGACCCAGATAAGTGATCATGCAATAATTATAATTTTCGTCTCTTCCATAATATTGAATTTATGGGAAACCTTTATAATTATACTATTTATAATACCTTCCACTCCACTTAGTTCCAACAACACTTTGATTTCTCTAACCAACATGCTCCCTGTACTAGTACTTTTATTCTCTCTCTTCTCAAATTTTGTAGCTACTACCTCTTTCGTTTCGATGTTCTCTGTTTTAAAAATATATCCAAAGCTGCCTTATCCAACTTTCTCCAATAATATAAACTTATCAGCTATTATAGTTCCTGAATGAAGAAGAGCATGGCTATTTGTTTATAAGTGAGTTTAATGTTTTTTGGTTTTCCGATTCTTCATATGTCAAATTTAATAAATTATTTCTTGCAAATTAATTTTGATTTAATCAAACTTATCCAACCCAATCTAATTCAAATAACTAAGTATGATGCTTTTATTAATAAAATTATTAATATATAGTTTTATTTTAATAAAACTTCTTCCTAAATAAATTAATTCTCAGCCAAATTAGTGGTTTTCATTTTTGATATTCCTTCTTGATTCTATAGTGTATATATAAATACTGATGCATATTATAAATTTTTAAGTTCGCTTCAATATTAATCAACAAGAATTATATCTGTAATCAATATTAATTATTTAAACTTATTAATATTACTTTTCCTAAATTCTTGAATTCAGTCTAAAGTACTTTATTTCAACAAAAACTAAAATTTTAATTGTGGATAGTAAAGAATAAGAGAGAAATCATAATGAGAAATAAAAAAGCCAATCAAATAATAAAAAAAATTTTGCTTAATTTCAAAAATTTTGAAATGGTAATATTAAAACTCTTAAAATATGTTATTTATCATAGAGATTCACATTCTTCTACTGAATGTAATAGAAAAAGCAGTCAATAAAAAAAAGTTTTAATCTAAAGAAAATTCAATTTAGTACTTCCCGTAATTCAATAATTTTACCATTATGGAATTCGTTCTTCATCTAAGAATCGAAATTTTAATCACAGTTTAGTTAAGATTTTGATTTATTTATTCTGATGAATACATGAATAAATTTATTAACATGGTAGTAATGAATTTATTATTACTGTTTTTTTCATGTAAATTTCATGATTTTGAGATCAACATTTATAATATATATAATTTAAATGAAATATAAAAATTAAAAACACATTAAATTAATGATGTTCGTATAAGGAGGGAGAATAGAAGGTGAATTCTAAGGACTTATATCTTACTTATTTGGAAGATAGGGTTTGGAAGATTATTATTTCTACAAATTGTTTAGTGATTTTAAAATGATTATTTAAAAAATAATATTAAAATATTATGATTTTTTTTTAGTTTATTTTTTAACTTCGCATTAATTTAGAGTTTATTCAAAGAAAGACTTGATAGCGAAATACATATTTTAAATTATGTCTTACAACATTGTAAGGATTTTAAATTCAGATCCCAATATTTATTAATCAGTAATTTTAATACAATACACTAAAAAATGATTTATTTAAACTTTGTTATTCTTAGCTACTTAACTTAGTTGACAAAATAAGCAATAGAAGAGACTCCCTTAGAAAAAAATGACATTTTTGAGAAGTGTCTTTAATATGAAAACGGAAATTGCAAATTGTGTGAGACCCAGACATTTTTGTTCAAATTACCACAGGATAATTTGGAAATGGGCTTGAAAAAGGGCACAAAAATATGCGTATAATGGTAATTGCAGTTTTGATGTATCGAATAGTCCATACAAAGGGTTCCATGATAAAAGCAATTTGTATTGTGGAGATTGTCTAGATAACAGTTAGACTTGGGATTAGTCTCGATTATGCACTTACGATTATAAGGCACGAACGATGTTGGACACTTCTGTATTTCACAAGGTGGATAGAAGTGCAAAACAGTTGTTTTATGTAATTGAATCTGGTACTAAAGAAGTATTGATTAATTTCATATGAAGTTCACGACTACGATGTGTGAGGGTTGTGCAAATTTTTGTACCTCCAAGAGCTCATCATGTTTCCCTGTTTCTTTATAATATTAGTATGATGTAAACAATCTTTTTATTGCATGTGCAGAAGGTATTTCAAAAATTAAAATTAAGGGTTCGCCTACAACGAAATCACCAGCGGATGTGATTCTTGTCCTGAAAACTGCCAGTCCTGCGAAATCAACAACATAAGAACAACAGATAGCGATGGAAAAGTCACAGTAAATACAAAAAAAGATTGTTTAATATGCAATAAAGGATTTAGTTTGATGACCACAAGGCTTAGTCTAAATAGTGCTTAAACTTATAGTCAATGCATCCCATGCTTTACTGGATGCAGTGAATGCTTCTTTGGTAATGATGAAGTCAATTTGAACACTGAACCATGGGATACATACAACAACTATAATGAACTATTCATAGCAGCTAACACTCAACCAACCAGTGCTGCGTATGACAAATTAAGAACTCTTGGGATATATTAGAGATGTTCTGAATGTGTAAGCACATCACAAAACACTTATATACCTTCATTGGATAAATTAACATGTGTTAGATGCGGTACTAATTGTAATAATTGTGAATACGTTTCGTATACCTTAACAACAAATAAATAGTAAGTTTAATTTAATTATATTATAGTCCCACGAGAAATAAGAACACTGTGATTACTATTACAGACACAACATTAAGTCAGTATGTATTGAGATGTAGAGAATGTGATAATTACTTTTATACATTCTAAGCAACAGGAACTGGATGTGCTGCTTGTACAATTTCAAATTGTAAACTTTGTCATATGGCTGGTAATCCTGATGCTGGAGCAGATAAATCATTTTCGACTTTAAATCCAGACTTTGTACCATTAGAAAAGGAAGAATTTGCAATTTAGTTATGTTTATTATGTTAAGATAACCTAATCCTATCGAATGATGGCAAAACTTGCACTCCACAAATTGATGGAACTGATATAATTCCGGCAATTCCTTTTCCTGCTGGATGCTTGACATATCAAAATGATTCGAATAATAAATAATAATGCAAAAAGTGTGATGTTACATATACTCTATTCCTTTCAGAAGTTACAGGATTATGGGAATGCGAGAGAACATGCTAAGAAAACTTGTAAGATTATCTCTGTTAATCTTGTTTGTATATTGATGATAAATACAGATGTCTATATTGTTTAGATGGCTTCTATGTTGATAATGTAAGTGGCAAATGTCTTCCTTGTTCGGCTAACGGGTTCTGTAAAGAATGCTACAGATACTCACTTCTGAGTATTCACAGAACTGAATACTATTTATATGCAGATGATGGTGATAGAGATGTCTATGGTCCATATTGTTATACTTGTACTGCAGGGGACAATGAGAAAGGGCCCTTTTTGAATGAAGATCTCAGATATTGTGAGAAGGGAGGAGAGGCTTGCTTTAGTTTTTCTGCCAAAGGAAGTCAAGGCTATTGTGATAAATGTGACTATGCTAAGTTGACGAGTTCAATAACAAGATCAGCTTCACTTGATGACGCTGATTGTATCGAATGTCCTTAATTTACTATTGGGTGCAGAATCAGAACAGCTGAAGAAATTAATTTGGTTAATAAATTCTTTAATCCCATAAACCAGTAATATGAAGAATATTCACGATTGGCGTTTATTTGTGATTCTAGTTCTTCATATTACTTGGATACTCACTTGGGTAGATGCGTTGAAAAAAAAGATGGTTTGGAGGAATGTGTGCGTTCTGATATAATTGAAATAGAAGCTGATTGTACTCAATATGAAGATGATGTTGCTAATAAATGGAAGGTCAATTCTTAATTTGGAGATATCACAAAGAAAACCACTATAATCAATCTAGAAGATAAATTAGATATCGCCCTAAGAAATCAATTATATTTGGACTACAATGAAAAAGTTGTTAGTAAATTAACCATTAAATTAAAATTTCATTATGATACTGATTCCAAAAATAATAAATGTTATTTCTAAAAAAACACATATTTCACAACCAATTTTAGGAGAAATGTATTTTCTTTATCAGAAGTTGAGCTTGAAATATCAGTTGTAGGTGCAACTGAAGCAGAGAAAATGCAATGGTATGTGCAAAACACTATTTATTTTGAGTATTTTACAACAGTAAAGTTGACTCAGATTGAGATTTTACCTGCTACTGATTTAGACCCTATAAATATGTTCTCTAATGTATAGAAGTTTGAAAAACCATTTGGGTTTGAATTAACCAAAAATGATGGCTCTAAGTTGATCTTGGAGAATGTCAAAATTGGCAATGGACAAGCATAAGATCATTATCAATCATTATTGTATACCACTCCTTATAGTGAGATGTCTCAAAATCTTAAAAAATATAAACCTTTTTACACAGTCCTACTTAATACCTATGATATCTAATTAAATAATGTGTTGATAACTTCGCAAAATTATCTACTGGGAAGTGAAGCAGCTTTCTAAGTTAAACCTTTTGGTCTCACATACAATGAAGATGCTAAATTGCCTTACTTTACTATTAATTTGGAGAATGTAAGATTCTAAGATTTCTCTGTTGAAAGCCAAGCTGTCTTTGAATTATAAGATATTACTCTGATAACTCAATCAGAATGGAACAGTAAGATCTTCCTCAAAAAAGTAATCTTTAATGATGCTTATTTCATAAATGATGGTGCTTTCTTGAGTACATAGGTCACAAAAACCCCAACAGGAATGATCTTAGTTGAAAACTTAAATCTGAATAATATCGAATACAATAATTCAAGAGGTATTATGAACTTTCAAACCATGTAAAAAGTATCTATATCTGGCTTTGAGATGACCAACAGCAGAGTTAATTATACATCCCTTTTCTACATCACCACTATTGATATCAGTGGTGTTTATGTTTACAATACTACGTTTACATACTTTGGCAAAGTATTTGAGACTTAGTTTGATATTATGACAATCAGACCCACCGATCCTGAATATTCTGGTATTAAACTTAAATTTTAGGATATGGAATTCATTGAAATCAATTGTCTCTATCCTGCTTGTATAATGTTATTAACATCAATTAAAAATGATTATGAATTGCCTTTGAATATTAGCATGAAGAACATTATCATTTAATAGATCAAGACCTATGGGTTCAATGAGACAATTTTGGAGGCTGCAACCAGTGCTGCCATTCAAATCTAGAAGTCATACACATTGCAAGTTGAAAACTTCCAAAGTATTTAGAATCCTAATCTAACTATATTTTACACAGATTAAATCCAGGAAATTACATTTATCAATTTGATATGCTCTTAGAATGAAGGCATTAACATACGTAATAACTACTGCGTTTTCATTAATAACTTTTACAGGATAGTTAAACTACTCAATATTGACCTCTTAAATTTGAATGGTATCGACAACTCCTTCATAGGGATATCTTCTTGGAGCAATCTTGTTTATAACACGAGTGGCGAAGCATTTCACGAACAGATCACCATTCAAAATGTGATGGTGTAATAATGTACGATAACAACAACAGTCTTGGCTGTCCCATCTGGTGCAATCTTGATTGATTCGACCTAAGAATAAACAGTATCGATATCAGGCCTTTACTTCGAAAAGAATAGACATTTTTCTGCATCCTATTTGAAAGGCACTTTAAGACCCAGCAATCCTACATTTTTAATCAGGAGTGTTGTAGGAACTTTGAATTTATAGAACTCCTTTTGGAAAAACAATTACGTGAGTGGATTCGGAGCAGTCCTGTATTTGGAGTGTGGAATTCAAATTATCAACAATATCACAATGATCAATAGTAATTATGATCCAACTTTATTGTAAAATCAAGATCCGTTTACATACGATATAAATCAAGTGGCCGAGGGTGGACATGTCTACATGGCTGGATACAACGTCAAATTGTTAAATTCCTAATTTACTAATTCTACTGCCAAAGTGGGAGGAGCTGTCTATTTGAAAACATTAAAGGAAGGGCAAGGCTATATCAATAACACGATCATTAAGAATGCCTTCACTCCTATCAACGGAGCAGTAGTTTCTAGAGGTGGGTGCATCTATATTGATTCCACATCGTCCTCATTGAATTTATTACTAGAGAATATGGACTTGAGCAACTGTATTGCAAGGGCAGATGGAGGGGGAATCTATATGATTGCTTCAGATAGATAACAATTATTCACCCTCAAAGACTCAATAATATCGAATTGTTACGGACTGAGTGGAACATCAGTAAAAGTCAAATTTGATGATAGAACCTAATAGGTTTAGAAGAGCAGATTGTAAGATATAAAAATATCTGGTAATTATACAAATGCTCTTGATTTCTTTAGCAATTTGAGCAACTTTCAGATCATAGAGGAGTTTCTATTTATTAAGCGATTAGCTGCATTCGAGTAGGATAATGGTTAATTCGATCTTCAAAACCTGTATAGTGAGGGACTCTATTTTTATGGTTTGATATCACTAGTCAATCCTAATTTAGTGAGAATAAATACGATAGAGTCATAACATGGCATATTATCATACAGACCATATATAGAAATCTTAGAACCTTTGGTAAATCCTGTAGTCGTAGATTCGATTCAGTTTCGTAACATTTCATCAATGAATGTCAGTGTGAGTTGTAGTAATAGTAAACTCACAAATGAGTAGAATGCCTATTGCAAGATACTGCAATCTAGGGTTGACTTCCCAGAGTATGTGATTAATCCAGCAATGATGTTGATAGATCAGATCACAAAAAATACTCCATTGTTATTGAGGAATTTGTTTATAAATCGAGTAGAATGTAAAGAATGTTATGGAGGATTGGTCTAGGTCATGAGAGTGTCTAATAGTGATCTTAGATCCTTAGTCCAAATGAGTATGTGTCGATGTTCCAAGTCCTCGGCTGGATATTATGGGTGTTACATGGCATCATCAGCCTAATATTAGACAATCTTAACGACTGAAGACAACAGAATAAATATCAATTTTACATCGGCACTTACTTTAAATAACATTTTAAAGAAGACAGGGTTGAGAAGTAGAAGAAGAAGAAGATTGCTATCTGATGAGATCTTGCCTTCAGATTTCAATTATGCAATTCCATCTCCAACTTATCTGGCTCATGTGGTGGTAGATTCGATGAATATCCAAGATGTTTAGGCCGTTCATGGGGGTGGTCTCTCAATTTATGGATTGACAGCCAATATCACCAATACATATTGCACCCAAGCCATAGTAAGTGGATAGGGAGGGTGTGTTTATTATGAGGCTTAGCCCAAGAGGGATGGAGTTGTCTATCAGAGGTTGAATTTGGCTAAGAGTGTGTTCTTCAAGAATAATGCAAGTATTGGTGGAGCTATTAGAGTGAAAGAGAGTGGTATTAATTTGTGGAACAAGACTGGAAATACTATGTTGTAGAATTATGCTACTCTGTATGGAGATGACGTGGCTGAATATCCTACTCATCTAGGAATACTTATAAATGGATAATTGCAGAACTCAAGCAATCTCAATAAAAACACTGGATGGTTGCATTACCCACTTGTCATCAAGAGTGGTTAGTTGATGTAAGACTTTGAGAATCAGACTGTGTTATTGGTATTCCTGAATCAGAATGAAGAAATTATGAAGTATCAATTTGATGCCTAAGCAATTATGCAGTCTAATATTACTACCTCCATTTAAGGGGAGTCTCTGAGAATCTTCAATTTGAATCAGCAAGGATTCGTTTACTCGAACCTCCAAATTTTATTCGACCCTTATCAGAATGTTACATTGGACATTATTTTGAACAGCTCTTTAGTCAATATCCCTCGTTATTATACTGAATATCCATATCAATTGATGGGATTCGACACGGGATACACACTGTTAGCCAGAGTGAGATCTGTTGAATGTGATCGTGGGGAAGCTTACAATCCTCAATAGGGTTCATGCAATCCCTGTCCCATTGGTTAATATGTGTTGGTGTACAAGGGAATTTGCAAATAAATAGATGAGGGATCGATGAACTACACAGTCAGAAATAAGATTAGTTTAAAATATCATTATTGGAGACCCGATCATCTGAATGATCAAGCTGAGAATTGCAAAAATAAAGTAATCAATTGTATCGGAGGATTCAACGTTGGAAATGATGTGTGCGTAGAAGGAACCATAGGAGCCTTATGTGAGGAATGCGATATTCATGGCACATTTTGGGGTTCCAAATACAGTAACTCTGCCAAATATGAATGTGGTACTTGTCAAGACAACACTCGAAACATCATTATGATTCTGTTCTTATCAATCTTCACCTTATATTCTACAGTTACTACAGTGGATGCAAACAAAGAGAAAATGAGAAGCATCATTCTTTACGAAATTTTCACTAAGTTGGGATGGGCTTCATCACAAAATGCAGGAGCAAATGCCGCTGTCCTCTTAAAGATCTTCAATAATCATACTTAAATCTTGTCTATTCTAAGTGGTTTTCAGATTGAGATACCAACGGGAGCAGTGGATTCAGTCAATACCGTCAGTATGCCAGCAAAAACAGTAGGAAATGCCTTAGATTGCTTCTTAGCCGATGACACTTGGGGTATTGACTTAATCTACTTTCGTATCATTTGGTCGTTCATTATGTAAGGATTTTACATAGTAGCCATGCTGATTATCATGTTTATAAGGTATGGGGTGGAATTCAAGATTCAACAGGTATAAACTATGGCCATTTACTTGTTCCTACTCTTACAACCCAATTACGTCATGGAATTTATGACTCTGATTTCCAGTCGTGTAATATCTGGGAACATGTATATTATGGCAAATGTTTCATATCGATATGACACTTTCAAACATGATCAATGGATTGCAGCCTTTGGAGTTCCTGGATTGATCTTATGGTTAATCGTCTTACCAGTTATCTTCTGGTACATTTGCTATTAAGGGGCATAATAGATGAAGTTGAATTCCATTATCTTCCGTTAATCCTGGGGATTCTTTTATTACGAATACAGCAGAAAACGATACTACTGGGAGTTCTTGAAGATATTCTACCGCTCTCTTATTAGTGTCTTGATCTGCTATTTCCAAGAGGAAATCATAGTTAAAGTACTTGTCATTATTTATATTCTTTTAGGGAATCCTCTCATTCATTGTAATTTATGGCTATTATGGATTGACAATTCATTTCAATCCTTACGATCTAAGGAAACTAAACTACTTGGATCAACTCTCTACAGTAGTTTTGTCTCTCTCCCTAGTTGTAGGCGTCTTCCTTTATAGAACCATACAAATCAATTTCTTTGGCTTAACCTATGCTGGGTATGTAGTAATTGCCATATTGAATGCAATCTTCTTATTGCTGCTCTTTTACAATCTTTTTGAGGAGAAGTTCTAAGAATTTGCACAATCTTTAGATTAAGTTAGAGACAAAATCAAAGAGAAGTATCCTCATCTCCAATAAAATCCCCATATTGGACCTCTTCTTTAAAACCGTACCAAACTGAATCAAAAGGCCAGAATAATGTGGTAATAGTTGAGTAAAATCGTGAATCGAAGCATAATCAATTGGAGATAGGATAAATCTAAGCCTCTAGTTTTCGCTATTTAGTAATGTTTTCAATCTACATTTTTAGTGAAGATGAACCTGCAAGTGAATACAACAACAAAATTAATCAAATCCATCAAGAATTTGATTCTTAATATGAATTATTTTAATCCAAAGGGGTCGCTTAACACTCTTAAGAAAAATCAAAGGATGATGCCAAAAACGGAAATTAGCTGATATGATATGATATGAGCTCTAACTTTTAATAAAGTTTGTTAAGTTTTTATATTAATCTATTATATATTCGAAGTGCTTTTCCTTTCTCTATAATAATCTATAAAAAAGAATAAACTAATTTGAAAAATAATAATAATAATAATTATAGACAAAATTAACAATCTGTTCCTTTACTTTACTTTCTCATAATTCTCAGATAATAATGTTATTAATTAATAAAATATTATAATCACAATACTTCAAACAATTCAGGCAAGAATATACCATTAGAATTCACAATTAAATTCACATCATCAACAATATTTGATAATTTCCCCTAATCTATAAAATCAGCAACCAAAAAATTTGGCATTTTTATGCAATTAAAAAAGTATTACAAGAATCTCTATCTCACATGATTATACGAGTTGTACTTATCCCTATATGAAGAATCGAGTCTGTTCTATTTAGGTATTACTATACTTTAATGAATTTTAAGGACAAAAATGAATTTCTAGAAAAGGTGACAATATTTCACCAGTTTATTTATTGACTTTCCCCCTTGCCACATCTCCACTTTACACATCCTTCAAAGGATCTGCCTCCCAATCCACCTAAGCACTTATGGAATATGAATAGTATGTATATTTGGATAGGTCTCCTACTCTTTACTCCTTTGGCTCTATAGTAATTAATAAAGTCTGTTTATTTTTTCGACACCAACCTAAAGTTGGAATCTCAGTGTCATTTTTAAGTATGATAGCCCTTTGATCTGCTTTGAGATCAACCAGTAAACTGTGCAAGATAATGCTAGATAACGAAGGATCAAAATGCTCAGTTCCATTTTTTTGACTATTACACAATAGTTTGCTTTCTATCTTTAAAATGATAATTTCATCAGGGTATTGAAAAGAGAGATCCACAATTTCTTTTAATCGCGAATGAGCTGACTCTGGCTTTTTTAAGGCTCTCTGCATCAGAGTCAATTGGCAATTGGATTTCCCATCTGATTCGTGAGCAACTACTATCTCGAAAATATTGTATAGATGTACTTCAGGATCATTATTGTTTGAGTACCAATGTAGAGGTACCTTGAAGTGTCGAGCACCGTATTTCTCAAATTGCTCAGTAATTGTGACATTTTATTATGCATAAATCCACCCATAACTTTTGGACATGGCACAATTGTGAGCACCCAAGTAAACAATTTCGTTTAATTTAAGATCGTCATTCAGATGTCCATTACCCCCAGGCATTTACTTTTACATTTATTATTTTTATTTCAATTACTCAGAATTACCTATATAAAATATAGAGTATAAATTGGTTGAGACAATGTGTCCCTTCTCATGATTTGATGAGTTGCTCGCTTGAATTTCTGCAATTTATGCACTACTTAGGGATATTGTTGAGTATTAATTATTTTATTTAAATGCCAAAAGAAACGAAAGGGTAACAAAAAGGTGCAAGATCCAAATATGAAACAACCGAACAAACTGAGACATATAGACAGTAGGACGCTGTAAATATTGAAACCTATATGATAGAAAGAAAAGAAAATTCTGGGACCTAAAACCAAATTAGATTTAGAAAAATTAGAACCATACTTCACTCAAAATAATAACTATGTTGGAATGTTCAAGAAGGATGCAGGAAAGACAAGACAATAGTACAGCTGTGGCGTATTCTGTAACATTTAATCGTAACTGTTAGCATCCATTGGATAGATTGGGCATCGTGGAGAATGAGTACTGTTAGAAATGCAAGAAGGACAAGGGATTCTGTCCACACAAGAAGGACACTCACAACACCGTCAAGGATCAATTCCAATTTCCAATAGTCAGGTGAGACCATTTTGTAATTTGCTAGCTCTGCTGAAATCGGATGGAGAGAACCCATCGACAATGTGAATTGGGGATATGGAGTCAAGTAGTCCTTCCCAATTTTCAATGCAGACTTCAGAAACACGACTAAAAAGGAGGAAAAGGAAAAGAAATGATTTGTTAGGTCAACCCCTTAAATATAAATAATTATATTGGATAATTCACTCTTTAAAACCACTTCTTCTGTCCTCATTCGATGGTTTAGATAATAATTTAATTTATCATTAATCATTAATCATTAATCATTAATGCAGGAAATTGAAGCCAAAAAACAATTGAAAGCAAGTGAAGGAGCCCACTTCTTTTACACTCTGATCTTCCTAAGCGCTTCAGGCATCATAGAGACATAGTTTATTGATCAGAAATGCAATTAGAATTTAGCCTTGTTTACACATTTGGTTTTCTATGGATTAATTATTTGGGGAACCTATATTCTGATTACTTTAATACCAAGGTTCGTTAATCTACTTAGATAGGTACAAAAATCCTGCAATTAACTTGTTCTTCAATTTCTTGGATATCTGTTTTGCAGTTTACATATCCTTTTTGCTAATCTATGGATACAAACTATATTCATCTTAAAATGACTGTGCAGTTGAGGCTCCTGCGCTCTACTTCTTTTTGGAGGTGTTTATGTTGGTATGAAATCTTTATGAATCAGGTTAATGGGATCATTTTCATCATTTTGGGTCTTGCCTTTATTTCATACATCCTGAAGAGATTCTCAAAACATCAATAGTCGCAAGCTCAAGGGGATGAGGAATACTTGGAGGCATGATATAATTGCATAATAAAAATATCATAACCATTTTATGAAATAAAACTATTATTTTAATATGAAATCTCATATGTTTATGTAGTATTTATGTTTATGAGAATTCAATTTAAAATTTTGCATAATTAAATTATGTTCTATTATAAATTAAAATGGTTAGCAGGACTACTTTTAAATATCAAATATTTTATTTGATTATAGATTTAAGTAATTTGAGGTAATTAAATTAGATTTACATAAAATCGACCCCCCTCGTATTTGGTTTCTTAATTGCGAAAATTTACTTTCCATATTTTTTATGTATCAAATTGGTTTAAGATTAAATATTAAAAAAGGAGATATGACTAATTCGTTCTTGTAGATATATCATAGATCATATGAAATTTGATTAGTTATAAGTCTTTATCACTGAAGATGTTGCGTATTCCTTAATGTGAATAATTTTTAAAGCTAACTGTATTTATAATTTAATAAAATTATTTTTGAGAAATGAATGTTCCAATTGAGTATTCTGAATAAAGAGCTAAAACAGAAGCCAATTCTTAAGCTTTCTCTTAATCACTTGACAATTTAGATACAAATAGTTTGAAGGAGGATCTTAACAAAAGCATCGAGGTGGGACGAAAGAAGAGAAAACAGTTGACTTTAGAAAATCCTGAATTTCAGATCAAACAAGAGATTGAGGATGAAAAGTAGAACATTAAGGTGCAAACCCTCATCAGGAGAGGAGTAGCCGATTCTCTGAAGATAACAGACTTATGTACGATAATACTTTTCATAAATTAGTAAAGTTGAAAATCTCAGCTAAGGACAACAATAATCCTGTACACAGTCTCTTTAGATGGTGCATGCTCATCCTTTACAAGGAGAATCCTGATATGTATAATTGGTCAGAGTTTAAAGTAATAACCTATATGAATGTAGAAATAAGTCCTTGAGAAGAATGGCGGCTCAGACTTTCGTAATCGTTTGGGGTATCAGAGTGTTATTCATATAACCCCACTTGAAGGGGAGAAAACCAAATACTTGCTGACTTTAAAAAAGGCAATCGTCGAACAAAATAGTAAGCCTGAAGAGCTTCAGCATGTACTAGTGAAAATATTTGACATAATTGAAATAGTATATAAAACTCATGAGCATGCAAAAAGAATTAACCATCTTGTTGATGATTTGTTGATGGTAAAACAATAGTCTATGTTATTATTAGCAAGAGTAGAAGATAAAGCAGTACAGAGATGAAATCGACACGGTGAATAAAGAAATTCAGTTAGCCAAGTCTAACTTGAAAAATTTGGAAAGCAAGTCTTTGAATGAGGAGATCATTCAAGAATGATATTATAATTAAATTAAGAGGATGGTTCTTTAAAAGGAATTTAAAATCAATTATATTGATTGTTCCTTTACTATAGAGCCATTTTATTCGTTTAATATTTATTTTATAATGATATAAATCAATTTAACAGATATTGTTTATGAATGAGGACAATAATGATTGATTATTAGATTATAATATTGATTTAATCTATTTAGAGATCTAATATATATTATTGAGGAGCAACTTGTTATTTGTAGTTAGTTTGTAAATGTATTTATATGATGAATAATAAATTATAATTTGCATGGCTTAAAACGGATACTCATTAATTAATTTTTAGATGAAATAGCTAGTCGTATTAGCATTAATGCTAAGCTTGGCTTTGAGTACAAGCATAACATCGCCTTAACTATTGGTGGAGTTGTAGTCCAGAACAGAAAATGTGATAGACGATGGCGTTGATCTATTGGAACAACTTCTTGCTACAACAGAATAGTAATATGAGCAAGTCATCCAAGAGAATGAAGCTGAATAGCAACAATTAAAAGATTAAGTGGCATCAAAGGAGTAATAACTTTACGATCTTTAAAACACTTGTATGGTGATGTCTGACGACTTGGCCTTGCTCAAATAATAAATTGAATTACATGGAGATGACACCGCATACTTCAGAAATGAAATCATAAAAGACAATCGTAGAATTGAAGTACTTGAAGAGCTTCGTTGCTAATAAAGCAAGAATTGGTTGAATTTCATCAAATCAAGCAAATACATTCTTAATTTGATTGAGTTTTTTAAGAAGAGCCATTTAAAATTATGGATCATTCGCTGAAATCTAAAACTTCTCAGTGATGTTGGAGACACTCAGCAGAGAAGTTGATGATAATGAATTATTGAACTCTCTCTAAGCAGTTAGTAAATCAAGAGCAATTACTCCAGTTAGATAGGAATTACTATAATTGCTTGATTAGATTGAAGAATCCATCAAGGCCAAGATCAATACAAGTTAAACTGACGAAGTAATTAATCAATCTTATGTAGATTCTGTCAACATCAAGAATTGCTGATTATTTACATTAGCTCAAATAAGAAATCGCTTGGTATGAGAATGAAGTTGCCAAACTTAATGGAGGCTTGGGGAGATTCACCAGAAGAAACAGTAAAACAAAGATAAAAGGAATTGGACACATGTGAAAGTGGAATCAATGCCAAAATTGAAGAAGCTAAAGAATTCAGAAATCACGTGAGTGAATAAATCATTCATAATGAATCCAGATAGGCTCGTTTCTTAGAGTAAAAGGACTTAGTTGCTTAATTGATTGTTGAATATTAAAATGCCTTCAATAAAATTGGAGAGACCTACAAAATTAGAATCGATGATTATGTTGAAGATGGAGTATTTGACAAGACTGTTGATTTTGATAAAAGGTATCAATTGGTTATACATATTGTAGATCATTAACTGACCTCTATGGTGACAAGGAGAACAATTTCGAATAATACGTCGATGATTTAGTGAGTGGTGTTGCTACTCCAGTTGAAGTCCCAGAAGTTGAAGAAGTTCCAGAACCATAAAGTGTTTTTGTTGGTGGAAGCGAGTCAGGAAGTGAGTCAGAGGGCGAAGAGGCTGAAACTACTGAAGATGTGGAGGAGACTGTTACTCAAGGAACAGAAGAGAGTGCTACTGAAGAGGTAACCACTCAGGAGACAGTCGAGACTACAACTCAACCAGAGGTGGAAACTAAGAGCGAGGAAACCAATTATTTTGAATAAGGCGAAGTTCAACAATCTGTTTGATTCTATTAAAATAAATAAATATTTATGTCAAGACATTAAGGAGTGTACAATATGCTTAGGCATGGCGATTATAATGATGACGATTATGAGGATGCCGATGACTATAACTAATAAGAAGATGACGATTAATACGGGGATCACAATTTCTCCTTGAGTAATCATTCATTTAAATATTTTAAAGGTGAATTAGAAGTCATCAATAATTTGTGTGAGATATTCCAACTTGATTTTACTCGTAAGCAGATCATTGATGCATTATACGAGACAGATGGAGATCATGATGCTGCATTCGAATACTTGAGTAATAAGATAAAAAAGACACAAAAATAATAATAGCCTCAGAAATCATAGCCAACTAAGAAATAACAGTAGCTTATACAGGCAGTTAAGGTGGAGGAGTAACCTTAATAATTGCCCTAATTAGTAAAGTAACAAAATAGTACTGACAAATCTAAGAATCAATTTCACATTGAATACAATGTTGATGAATTTAACTCCCCTTATCCCAGCATCAAATATAAGAATGTTGTCTAAAGCAACCCCTCAACCAGCATTGTTATTTTAGGCCACGTTGACACAGGCAAAAGCACGCTGACAGGAAGACTGCTCCAAGTGTTTAAAGCATTGGATGATAAAGAATTAAGGAAGAATCAAAAAGATGCTAAGAATTTGGGTAAGGAATCCTCAGCTCTTGCCTACGCCACTGATATGACCAAAGAGGAGAAGGAAAAAGGAGTAACCATGGATATGGCTTATAAAACCGTAGTGATTGGAGGAAGACAATACAATCTGTTAGATTCTCCCGGACATCAAGACTTTGCTCCATATTTAATAGCAGGAGCAGCATAGGCAGATTATGCCATATTGGTAGTAGATACTACTAAAAATGCCTTTGAGAATAGTATCAAGAGTGGCATGTTAAGGGAAAAGTTGTAGTTGATAAGTGCTATGCTTATTAAAGAAATAGTGGTGGCATTGAACAAAATGGATCAGATTGATTGGGATTAAAAGCAGTTTGATGTAGCCAAAGATTACATTAAGGTTTCAGCAGCCAAACTAGGGTACAATCAAAAACAAATTAAATTCATACCAATCTCTGCATTTCAAGGTTTAAATATACAAAATAAACACAACATCAATTGGTATTAAGGAGAGACTTTGGTTCAAGAAATACTTAATTTGCCTCCTCTCTTAAGAGCAAATGATAAGGTATGTTTTTATATAGATATTGTGTTAGCCACTCAGATTCACTATTTTGAATAGATTCCATTAGAATGAAGGAAAGTTAAGAGGAACATGTTTATTAGGAAAATTGCATTCTGGGTAATTGGAGAAGAATATAAATTATGTTATTCTACCATAAGGAATCTTCTGTGAAGTGAAGGAGGTCGAAAGATAGAGTGTGGAAGGGGATATTGTGGAAGTTAAGATTAAAACACTTGTTGACTCAGAATTCTAAAATATACATATTGGGTCAGTGTTGAGTCAGATTGAACATCATGTGCCAGTTGCCAATAGATTGATTTGTTAGTTAAGTACATTAGAACTTCAAACTCCAATCATAAAGGGATCTCAGTATTTGATGCATTTGGGTGCTTAAAAGGTACTAGGATATTTCTATCTAGATCGGCGTTGTAGTGAAGAAACTAAATCATACTTACAACGAGGATGCTCAAACAATTAAAAAGAAATTTCCTAGAGCTATAGTTTCTAATGAGTTTGCTGAAGTTGAACTTGAGTGTGATGATTAAGTTTGTGTAGAAACACATTCAAATTTAGAATAATTAAGTCGAATAATTCTGAGGGAGAAGTTTAACATAGTTGCTATTGGTAAGGTAATTATTATTAACGTAAATTTAAACAAATTAAAGCAAGGAAAGATTATTCATGAATAGTAAATTTGATGTATATTAATATAAATAATAGTTATTTTTACAAATTAAATATATGAAGCATATTAATATTAATTTGTAAAATTTTATGGATGATCTTTATAAAAATTATATTTTAATCAACTACTAATAGACATGAAAGCAAGATGTAGAATCTCCTTCTTGACTTTATGCATCGAAGCAGAACTGCAAACCTTGTTGCCATATTAAGGACTATTTTTGGAAAAGTATATATTTCCTCAAATTAGGAATTATTAGTGGATGTATAATTACTATTTGTTAGTAGGGTTTCAGTCTAAAACATTAGGTGAGGTTAAATGACTTAAATATAGATGAAGAACATTTAGAGAAGTAAAAAGGAGGATTAAAAAAATGGAGAAGAGAATTTCGATATCAATGTTGTATAGATTAAACTAAATTTGATCTATTCGGATTAGCTTATGGGATCAATTGAAAAAACAAGTAGAATTCAGATGTCATTGGAAAAGAGTTGAATAATCAAGGTGAAGATCAAAATCTAATGAGTTATTTTGGATAGTGAAGTGTTTATGAGTGGTAGGGGAGTGCTAAAATGCACTATAAATCAAAAAAGAAATTTGGCGAGATCATAATCTCAAATTTCTCTTATAATTTAATAAATATAGTTTAGTCAAAATATATAATGTTAGTTAAGCCTAAAAGTCATCAACATCTATTTGAAAAGAAAAGGAGAATTCACACAGTTGATGTGTTAGAGAAGGAGAGAATAAGATGATGAAAGCATTATAAGTTTTAAAATTCAGGTTCTTTCTTAATGTTTAAATTCATATACTAGAAAAATTGATTACATATTTCATTAATTTTAAATCATGATTTTTGGATTCTTTGCTTTGATACCGACTTTGATTTCAGCAGAAACCACAACTAATGAAGTAACCAGAGATTATTGTTCTCTTCCTGATGCAATCTATGCAGACGGAGTCTCTGCTGCAGATTTTGGAGCTACTGGATGGAATTATGCTAACGTCGCTAACTGGGCAGGTATATGGCTATTAATAATATTAGATTTGGTTGTAACATGTGGTGGCAGTTTCCAATCACCCATCGACATAGTAACGACTGGAAGTACCTAAGAACCTGTCTAGCCTCAAATTCACTATAGAAGCAAGGATGCTAGTGTGGGATATGAAGAAGCAAACAGTAAAATATTTGATTATCTATTTTTAGAGCCATACACCAAAGAATATGAAGGAGAGTATTCAGAAATCGAAGTTACAGATGCCTCTGGATCAGTTATCCGCTATTATGCCAAACAATTCCACATCCACACTCCATCTGAACATACAATCGATGGAAAATATTATGATCTGGAAATCCATTTTGTCCATCAAGTAATTATATCGTCATTTTAGGCCATCCAAGATAGTGAATAAGACTGTAACACAGTGAAAAACAAACTTACCGTTTTTGGATTAATGTTCTAAGAATCTTCAAGTGCCACCGACTATGATGCTTTTAAGCCGTGGTTTGATTCCAATACTACCGGAGAAGTGGAATCTTTCGATTTGAAGTACTCATTTTCAACAAAACCTATAGTGATTTTTTCTCCAAATTGTCAGATGCTACATATTATCATTATAATGGAAGTTTAACCACACTTCCATGTTCACAAACTGTAAATTGGGTAGTATTCCAACAACCATTGCCAATAAGCACAGCCTAGCTTAAGCAATTTTAGGATTACCTTGCTGACTCCACCCTTTTCCCGATCAAACACAACAATAGGCCCATCTAACACTTGAATGGTAGAAAGATATTGAAAGGAGTAATTTATATTTGATAAATATCATTAGACTGCAATCACCTCAGGTGTAACTGAAATACAAAATCTAGAAGCATCATTTGCTCAGACAGTTGCTATGGCTATTCTTCTAGTTATTTTGATTTAATGAGACAAAAAATATATTTTTTAATCAATATAAATATTTTAATTAACCCAATTCTAACACATGAGAAAATATTGATTTTAATAAATGATGAAATAATCTCACATCCCTTTCTCTACATTTGCACTACTTGATTTTTGAAATAGACACACCAAAGAAGTCATTGCTACTCCAATAAAGAATCCAATAATTGCAAACACCAAAGCATGATTTACATTCACTTTTGGCATCTTCTTAATTTAACTCATTTTGCTGTTTAGCTCTGCGATTTGTTACTGTAAAGTGTACACCTCCTTCTCCATCCCTTTGATTGTGTCTATGAATGTATTCGCCTCTGTAATCTATTATTAAATTGATTATGAGATCCTCAACTCTTCTTCCTTCTACTTCTCCTGCTCTTCCAATTCGATTTGTTTCTACTTCTCCAATTCCATCATCTCCCTCAATCTCTACTCCTATTCTTCCTATTCCTTCAGAATCTTCTCCATCTTCTATTGTTGCACCTCCTACTTAGCCGATTCAGACATCTATGCCAAAGAATCAATCCATTAAACAAAGAAATCGAACCTCCTGTGATTCTGAAACTATGAAGTCGGTCTATCCTATCCAGGAGGGAAGTACAAGATGGTCGGAAACGAATGCACTCCGTAATGGTGACATATATGTTGGTTTTGTGACTCGTCACAATTCATCTTAGCAATCAAGATATCTGGCCTGGTTTCCTAGTAGTGTTCAAACACCTGATTGAACTCTCCTGCCATATGTTAACAATACACGCACCACGGGGTAAAGAAATCTAAAACAACCTGTTTCGTTTAATACTTACATGCTTGTCCTGACCCAAATGCTATTGATAATTGTTTGCCGCCAATGTAAATGCCAATGTGCTATGAAACCAATCTGCATTAACATCAAAAAGTAATAATAGCAATACAATAATCATAATAATTATTTTATCAACTCATCATAAAAATTCTGCTTGAAATGTCAGTGACTATCCAATCAATGCCTTCCAACAACCCATCTCCAGTCACTGCTGAGCAGGCAATGATGCCCCAATGTCTTGTCTGTATCAAATCCAGTTCCAAATACTCTCTAATTTATTGTAAACTCAATGATTTTGGAACATCTTGCTTATTACAAAAAATCAATAGAGTTGCCCCAATCAACTTCTCTTATTTCAACAAATTTTATAATTCCTTTTTGCAATCATCTAAACGAGCCTTATCAGTCGAATCTACCACCCAAATTAACCCATCCGTCTATTCAAAATAATTCTTCCAATATGATCTTATTGTCTATTAACCACCAACATCTATCATTATTTTAAACATGTTACCCCAACAATTCAATTTATATCCATTATAACTAAGAGTTTTGATATTGAAACCCAAAGTAGGAGATATTTAAGAAATGTCCTCCCCATTGAATTTTTTTAGTATCGTAGTCTTTCCTGCATTATCTAATCCCAAAATCAATAGCCTCATCTCCTTTTCTCTCTCTTTGGTTTTTTTGATAATTTTCAAAAGTCCCATTATAAAAGAAATTTATTTTAAATATATATAAGTTATATTTAATATAAAAATTTTAGTATCAATATTTTTAAAGAATTTTTGATTCTAAACTCGTTTGATTTGTTTACTTATCTAATAAATTAATTGTTGTTGGTGTTTCATAAATGTAGGATCACTACTTTGATCTATAATTATCCAATGTAATCAGTTAAAAAGGTGGTATATATCTGTCATTTAATTAAATATTACTTCTTATATATTCGATTTATGACAACTTAATTATCAGCCAGAAATAGGAATTAATTAAACAAAATTAATTGATTGTAGCATGTATATGCCAAATCTTTCGATTCTTAAAATATTAAATCTTATTCATTGTGGAAAAATAACATTAAATTTTATTTTATCAAAAAGGTAGAGTTCTTCTCTTGAATAGATTAAAAAGTAATTGCAATAAAATATATATATAATTTCAATTAATTTAAGATATATACATTGAGATTTCAATAAATGATTTTAATGCATTAAAGCTATTCTTTGCTGTCAATATTCTTAGCTACTCATCCTAGATTATTAATTCTTTTAAAAATGTTGAAATGTTGTTGTTTGATATATTTTATCAGAATTACGGTGTCATAAAAAATTACATTATTGATTCTCAATTAATATTAAAGAATTATTATATTATCTTGGATATAGATGAATTAAGAAGAAATTTTCCAAAAAGAAGAAGAAAGATTTGTAAATTTGGGGAAATAATTTTGCCCTGAACAACCTACAAACTTTAAATCTGGGTTTATTCCAAAATTTTTAGAATTTTATGTTAAATCTTAAATGAGAGATAAGTGTGCACAACTAATACCTGTAAATTCCCTTACAAACAGCCCATTGCGATATATATTTAATAATTTCGATATAAATCTCTTATTTCCATAAAGAAAATGGGAATTTACAATGACAGGTACTTATCAATATTAATCCAAAAGAAACCTTTTTAGAACAATTTAAGTTCGAAACTAATGTGCTGTTTACAATGCACTCTATTTTATAAGGAAATTTTAAAAAGTAACCTTCGAAAATCAATTTATCTTAATAAACTTTACCAAATGTAGAATTTTATCTTATATTTGATTGCAAAAATAATCGAAAAGACTCAGTCATTGTGTAAATAATTCCAAAATAAAAATTTACTTTAAATTCATAAAATCAACTTCAAACCCTTGAGTATGTTCAATAAATGGTCTTTATATGTTTAGGAAAATATGATTATGACAAGCCCCTTAGAAAATATGAAATTCATTAAGAAGAAGATCCTTTTCTGTTAGAAGAACTTAGTTTAATATAAGAAATCAAAAAGCCTAAAATGTAAAGTTAGTCTAAAGAACAGGATTCTTTCACTTTCCAAGATTTTAATAATCCTAAAAGCTACAGGATTCCAAATTTTTAGGCAGATAAATATGTATTCAACCAAAATTATCAGAGATGGGTGAAAAAATAAAATTACAATGATTATAAAAAAAGAAAATAAACATAGAATGATTTAAAAGGATCTTACTTTTAATTGAAAAAATACCTTTTTACTCCAAATTTTTAATAATATAGGAATTTACTAAAGAATATTAAGAGTGAAAATTTTACAACAAATATGGAATAATTTGAAGCCATAGCCAAATAAGGTGATACAATTTTAATTGGTAGAAGTGGAACCGGTAAAACTACTATCTCATTGTTGAAATTATTTATTACTGATGCAATTTTCATGTTGAGATAGAATCTTGATCTTGTCTAAGAATCTAATTCTAAAATTAACTTGTAATACACTGACTAATTGTCAACTGGAATTTAATTGAAAACTTTATTTTTAACATCCAGCCCTTTGTTAGCTTAATAAATTAAATAAAAGTATGATAATCTAGTCAAAAATGTTCAATAGACTTTAAGGGAAAAGAATAAAGTATAAAAGTTTTCAGAATAGCTAAAAGAAAACCTAGATGAAAGTACTGTTCAGATTCTAGATGTATTAGAAGAGGAAGAAGAGAACGCAAGTTAATTTCAAATTGAAGATGAAGAGGAAAATGAAGAAGACATTGATTAATATGAAAAAGAGATGGGGCAATTTTAAACTTTGTCTGATATCAAATAATTTCCAGCATTCCTTACAATTAGAAAATTATTATTTCTAATTGATTCACAATTAAATAATCCATTCTTTAAAAACAAAGAGCAGATTCATAGATCAGCTTAATGGCATAATGAGTATTTCGGAGTGCTCTCTTTGAATTAAAGTGTTACTAATAATAATTTCTAAGAGTAATTAAATTCTGAGGTCAATGATCTCGACTCTAAGGAAGTCATTTATCATAATAACAATTTAAAAGAGGTTACTTTGGAATGCTTTAAAGACTTTTTTTGGCCTAAAATTATTCAAGATATTGGAACAGCTGATAGATAATACTTTACTAAGTTAGATCCTACATTAATTTGGTCAGATATCATTAATATCATCAAAGGACAGGAAAATTCATTTAAAAATCCAAATTTTCATCTTATTAGAGAGGACTATTAGAATTATTATCTTAGACTAAGATGTGATTAAGATGGGAACCGTTAAAAAGTATTTAATGCATTTTTGATATATGAAAAATTAAAATCTAAATATGGCTATTATGATATACTGGATCTGATTAATCATATTAATTTCTAGTAGGTGTATTGCCATGATAATATTGAATATATGCATTATATTATACTTGATGAACTTTAAGATGTCCCCAAAGCCTTATTAATATTACTTAATAGAATGACTTAAGTTTAATTATTTTTGGCTGGTGACAATGCTTAAAATATTGTTAAAGGAGTTGGAATTAAATTCTAAGACATTGTCAATTGTCTAGAAAAGGAGATTTCATTAAAATCATCTATTAATTTACCCCAAACCTCGCTAATCCAATTATCATATAATTTCAGATCTACCAATTAAATATTATAATTGGGTAATACTATTGTAAATGCACTTGAATTGTTCTTTCCAAAATACCTTGACTTCTTGTAAAAAGAAAAATCCAATAAATAAGGGCCAAAACCCATAGTAATTTAAAGTATCTAGACTCAAGATCTGTTGAATTATCTATTCAAAGAATATTAAAATAAGTAAAGCAATGTTGAATTTGGTTCTAATTCAGTAATTATTGTTAAAGATCAAGAATCTAAATTAAAAATTCCAATTGAATTACAAAATTTAATCATTTTGACAATTTATGAAGCAAAAGGCTTAGAATTTGATGATGTAATTCTATTTAACTTTTTTGCCGATGCCTGTGTGGATGAAAATGCATGGAGTTTATTTCAAACATTAGAAATCGTCAAAATCAGAAAGGACCAGCGTTAGTGGAATTCTGCAAGTATATTTAAATATATAAATTTTTAGAATAATTATAGACAGTTTTAATGCAAAAAAATATTAGCAAAAATGAAGTTGAGTTGACAAAGTTAGAACTTAGATAATATAACCAAAAAAATAGCAAGTAAAATAAAAATCTTTTCAATTCGAAAAACGTTAATCTAACACTATAACATGAATTAAAATAACTATATGTCGCTGTAACACGTCCAAAATAAAGATTAATAATTTTTGATTAATCTTAATAAAATAGATATTATATTTAATAGATTTGGGAAGAGTTAGAACTTGTGCAAATAGTTCATGAATAATAAATCCAAGAGTTCAAATTTAAATTATCCTTTTAAATTGATAATAAAACTAATTGGAAAAAGTAAGGTTATAGGATGTTAAGATAGAATAATTATGAATAGGCTTAAAAGTGTTTTATGTTTGCTAATGAAAATGAGTTAGCAAAAAAATCTTTGGCTTATAATTTAGCAACTTAAGCTACTCTTAATTCAAATAATTCAGTATTATTCATTGAAGCAGCTTAGATCTTTGAAGAAATCAACCTACCAAAGAGAGCAGCATCTTGTTACTTTTCAGGGAAAAACTATGAGAAAGCCTTCAAAATATATTAATCAATAGGTTGCAAAGATGAAATGGCTGAATCCGCATATTTTTCTGGGCAATATTAAATTGCGGGTCAAATATTTTCAGAACTAGGAGAAGTCAGAAGATCAATTGAATGCTTTAATAAAGAATAGCTTTGGGATGTTTCCCTAGATCAATTAAATGGGAATTAATTGACTTCTCAGGAGAAACTAATGTTCTTAAATATTATTGTTCCAAAATATTTGAAAAAAATAACTGAGGATATTGAAAAAGAAGAAATGTTGGAATAACAAAAAGAATAAATAAATAATCCTCATGATGAAACTGATAGCTTTGAAGTTGATGCTTCGCTTCTTAATCAAAGCTAGATGACATAAAAAGATGAAATTAACGTTCTTGAAGATTCTTAATCTTTTTAAGTTGTAAAGGATGACTCCCTAGATCATTTATCGATTTTTGATCCAGATGATGAATGGATAAAACCAGAGAATAAGTCTCTAATTAAATCAATTGCATCCTCGAGTATAGAATCATAATTTTCAAATGTTTTATTGATGAATTAACCTTCAATTACTCCACTTCTGAAATCAAGACTGAATATTTTCATGAAAAACAATGTAATGTTGAAATTAGCTGAAAGATTTTAGTAGTTTAAGGATGAATTCAAAATTCTCTTAGAAAATCAAAAAAGCTAGTGTGCATTACTCTCATTTAGAAATTAAGATGAAAAGGAATTAGATCATATGATTAACTTTTTGTATGAATTAGAGAATTTTGATATAGAAGCTGTATACTTTGTTTTAGATGTTTTGGAACAGTTTAAAAGTTATAAACTCTGTATTTATGTTTGTAATCAGTTCAAATTATCCTCCCATCTAGGAAGATACTTAGTATCTTTGGCATCCTAATACACACCTATGACCAAAAACAATTTCAAATTAGAAAATTGGATTGTTGGCAACAATCTGAAAAGAAAACGTTTATTAGATTAAGCAATGCTAGCTTAAATGGCTTTCAATAATATTTTAGAATCAATTAATCCAATTTATTTAAAATTTAAATACGAAGAGCAACTTCACTCTTTCAACAGTTTTGGATTAGAATGTTATAAATCATTAATAGGCTTAGGCTATTGGAGAACAATAATCCATTAGTTGAATTATGAGAATGCAGTTCAATTGTGTTAATCATTTAATAATTATCAGGATTTGGTAATCTTAATTGAAAAAGTTAAAGATGAAAGATAAAACAAATAGCTGACAGACGAAGAAAAGCATTAATTGATTAGATACAACTATTTCATTTAAGTAGAATAATATTTCATATCGAATTAATCTAATAAGATCGACATTGATTAATCATTTGAAATTACCATTTAGTGCTCCTCCAAAAGAATATTAACTAAAGACAATATTGTTCAATTAGTGAAAAACTCTAAATTACGTGTAGAAAATCTGACTTATGAAGAGAAACTCAAACAATTGGAATCAATTATATTATGTATGCTCTGTAGTATGGGTGTGATCAAATTTGAAATAGATTAATAATGTAGCCTAATTATTGATTTAATAGAGCAATAATAATATTGCTTAAATCAATTGGCCTTTGTTAATAAAAACCAAAACATTAATGAAGCACTCTAATTCTTATTCAAATTCTCTTTTCCCACTGGAGGTTTAATGATGGATTTTTCTTAATATTGTATTATTCACATAACTTCAAAATTACTAAAAAATGTTAATGAATAAATGATTTTTATTGATATAGCTTATGAGTACATTGCAATCCCTTTTGAAGCATTAGGTAAAATTATTAAAACATACTTGTGTAATTTAAAACCAGTTGTCACATTAACTTAAGCATTAGATAATTAATAAGGTTAATAAGAAACGAAACACATATTAAAATTTTTAAAATAAAGGCTTCAGTATTAATATGAGAATATTCTTCTGCGTCTAACTTTTCCAATTAATGATCAAATCGATTATTATTCAAAAATCGCGTATGGCAGTAGATAGAAGAGTATCGCAAATTCAATTGATGATCATAAGACTTCAATTTTGAATTTTATCAAGTCTGATGAAATGAGAACAGCTCACAAATGGCTATTATAATAGAATTGCAGAATCAATAAAATGAATAAACAACTTAAATATTATTTAAATAATGAAAGTATAATATTATTCGAACAAGGCTTAAAAAATTAAGATTAGAAACATGGTTATATCATTTTAGCATTAAACTTATTACACCTATAAGATAATTTACCATTTGCAATATTTACAATATAGAACTTGAAAAATAAATAAGATTAATAATATTATTTAAAATATTTAGAATTTTTAGAGTGCTAAAATTTTGATATTATTGAAGATTCATTTGAATGCTTTCTGGAATATAGTTAGTATTTTGAACAAAAAATGTACCTAGATGAATGGATGAATCACTTGACTCGAATTGGCATAAAATTACTTTTGGCTCAACAAGGAATATCAAAAGTTTTAATTCCTTAAAAATATTAAGATATTATATCGTATCAATAACATATTGATTAACCCCTTTTTAAGATATCTAGACCTGAAATAGTATTAGAATTCATAGAATAACTTTTGTATTATATAGAAGCATGTAACTCAGAGCATTATGAACATCTATGCAATTTGCTTTTAATAGTTTTTATGGTAAATTTGCAGAACCTACATGATTAAATTAAAGAAAGACTAATGGAAATTTTCAGTAACAATACTATATATCAATATTATAAAAGGTTACATCAATGTTTAAATTAGAAGAATCCTAATTTATAATAAGAATTGATCGATAAAATGAATGTCTTAATAATAAAAGGTTATTTTGAAGAATAGCTTATTACAATTTAAATTAAATAAAGTACTCACAACTTAAACTCTTAAAAAGTTTACTAAGATTGTTTAAATAAATGGGAAGGCTACTTTGTAGAAGCATAGTAAATAGAAAAGAACGGAATAAATTTATTAAAGAAATGGAGATAATTTAAATCTAATCACTAAAATAATATGAATGTATTCAAAAATAAATTATCACCCTTCGTAATACGATTTTATTAATTCCATAAGCTTTAATTAAGGGATATGTAATCATAAAAAAAGGCTATTGAACACTAAAGTCATATAGTGAAGATATATAATTTTTAAGAGTATTTTTATTATTTAATTTTAGGGAGCTGTTGAAATTGAGATAAAAAATGTTAAGAGGAGCTGATCTTTAATTTGTGAATTTGATTCTAAATAACTCCACAAATTTACTAAAAGAAATAATGAATGGGAATCTTCAAGCTGATCATTTTGAGGAGCTAAAATAAAAATATTATAATTGGAAATGTAGTTTTTCCACACTTGAAAAAAATGAATAGGAACTCCTAGAAAGAAACAGATAAATTCTCAAATTGAAATGGTAGAAACTGTAAGCAGGAGTCAAAGTACAAAATATGTTTGACTCTCATTGCATTAAAACTGTAGAAGAGCATATAGATGAAGAATCTCAAGATTGAAATATTTTATTGTTATAAGATTTAATTTATATATACTCATCAATAATTCTAAATTATTCTGATTGAAAGTATCCTTTAACATAATTTTAAACTTCATGCACTTGTCTAAAAGGTAGAATTAAAAATCAAAATCTAGAGTCTGAAACAATTATTTTTTTTAAATTCTCAAATAGCTGAAAAAGAATTATCTTTTATGATATTTAATTGATGTATATGTAATGAGTTGTAATGTAATTCTTTATTGGAGTATTTATATACTTGATTATAAATTCTTTAATCGCATACCAAAGGGGTGTTCGTTCAATTAAATGGCTCGATACCTATAACATATGATTAAAATCAGAATGAGTTTTAAAGTTCCTTAAATTTCTCATTTCTAGACATTTTCAGGACTTAATTGTTTACCTAATCAAATTTTGCAAGTCTCCAAGTGTATAATCACTACGAAATACAACTTTAAATTGACTTCGGGAATATAAGAATGACGTTTCTTATTTTGAAATACATTCTTCCAAAAGGTCAGAATTTGAACTTTATCTACTAGAACAAGGTGCTGTAGATGATAACTTGAAAGGAAAAGGCTTATAAATGATGGAAAATGACTGTCATTAAGAAAGTTAATTAGACATAAATTATAAATTTATATCAATTTGTGATTATTAAAATTTCTTTTATATTTAGGATGCTTACTCTCATAGGTCTAATTTACAACAAATTCTTATGATTTCATATCATAAAGGGAAGTCTATTAATAAAATTATTCATTATAATTCAGATAATTTTTTTGATCGTAATTTTCTAGATCAATTTTAAATAAATTACTAAATTTTTTATTTTTTTGTTATGAACTCAGAGGTCATATTCTAATAATCATGATGATTTTAGAATTGGAATTGAATATGGTGATATAATAATTATTGAAATCTTCATTTGTGGAGCTAAAAGGACGTAAGGTCCTTTGGCTTAGGGAATTTTTCAGGGAATGGTAGAAGGGAAAAAATGAATGATTATTTGTTGTTTAATATTCATAAAAAATTATAAGAATTGTTTCGATAACAAAACATTAAATAAAGAATTTAATTCAAACTATTTTTCAATGATGTGGTTTAGTTTATTTAAGAATTGATTTTAGGATTATTTCTTTTTGGAAATCCTCTATTTTTTTATTGGTGCTAGATTTGATGTGAAACTTCTCCTATTCTTGAATATTTGTGCATTGAGAAATTGTGTCTTTAATTGACAGCACTTCCTCATCAGGATTAAACACACAGACGGTGACAAAATTATCGAAAGCTATTCCATATCCAGTGCCTTTAAATATTTGCCTACCTTTGACATCAAATCTGGGTTGATTATGCTTGATGACTTAGATTATTTTTTATTTAATTAAAACAGGAGAGGGTTCATCAGGCACATCATCTTCATCATCTTGTTGTCTAACTTAATTCTATTAGAGCAAGACTTTCGGACCAATATTCATAGTTTTCATTCTGTAAAGCTAAGCTTATTTAGCAATTATAATATAATAAATAAACGATTATTTGGAAATTCGATGAGACTATAAAATTCTCCAAGTAGTATAATAAATAACACAAGAGTCATCATTTCAATTAATCAAAAATTACTCTCTTGGCTCTTTTATATTGGAGTTGTTTAACTATTTTGAGAGTGGAGGATTCCAATTAAGATTAATTATATTCTTGTCCTAGCTTATATTCTTTGATATCATATTCGATTAAGTAACATAAATGGTAAAATTTACTGAAAATTATTAATAATACTAATAATTCAATAACTATTAGTATTATTAATAAAATTAGATATATCTGATCTAGTTCTAGTAGAGCAAGAGCCACAATTTCTAGCGTAACCAAGCAGAACACCATGGACAGACTCATTAAGAACACGAACATTTATTTTTTGCTTAAATTCTACATGCTCAGTCTGATAGTTTATAAATATTATACTTTTCATTGATTTAAACGGGGAAGTAATCATTACAAAATTAGCATCGAAACAAATTAAGTCCTAACTTAGGATGAAGATTAGCATATTCTGAGATACAAGCGATATGGTAATAAATATCTAGACATTGGCATAACTTCAGGGCTATACTCTATTTCTCGTTTTTGCATTTGATGCATTCTTAAGTGTTCATAGAGAGTATATTTCTTGATTTACTGACTTTAGCAAGATCACCCTCGAGAAATGTTTTAGGTTTCAAGGTTCTAACTTTATATTTGGGTTATTGAATAGTTTGCGTCTAAGGACTTAAAAACGCTGAGTCATATTATTCAAAACAGGTTTAGAATTGTTATTTATTATTGGGGGTAGATTTTGGACTCATTTAACATGATGACTGCATTAATTAAATTTATTTAAAATATCACTTTGATCACTAAGTTTGGAGTCTGATAAATTAAATAATTTCAAATCTTAAAGGAAATTTAATTATCAAAAAGTTCATAAACTTTTATTCACTCATTATGACATAATATTCTGTTTTTTACAAAAGTTATCAAATTAGCTGTTTTTATGACAACATTTATTAATTAATTAAATATTATGTTCATAATTGTTTTATAATTATAAGTTTTTTATACTCCTCAAACTTTCGACCCAACTTGATTGTCTCAGATTACTATTTATTAAACGTAAATATGTCAAAATTTTATACTGTTATATCCTAATTGCACCTTATGAAATGGGAAGGATATTCAAATAATAAATTGGGCAGTAAGATAAATTACTAAGAAATAATGTAATATATTGTTTCTAAATTAATTAATTAAAAGTCATTATTTTTAATTTGAGTCAAACAACTACATAGACTACAGATTTTATTTCTTTTTCTTTGAACTGTTTATTTTATTATAGCAACACATGTCCAAGCAATTATTGCAAGATACAGCAGCAGTGGACTAACCCTTGGAGTTCTTCAATGACTAAGAATACCTGATAATCATAAATGATAAAGTTTACTTTTCATATGTCGTTTGTCCTGTTAATAAATTTAGTGTTTGAATGTACAATAGAAACCAAAGAGGGAAAAGAAACAAAAGCATTATAAGGATGGAAAATAGAGAAAGTATGAAAAGGATTATGAATACTTCTATGCCATCATCTTGAAATTATTGAATCATAAAATAAAACTAGAGTGCTAAAGTGAAAGTGATATCCAAACAAAGGAGCCACACAAATATATAAAACTATAAAAGGTTGTTTTATCCTATCTTATAATAGTATTAATTATTACACAATTATCAACCCAAGGACAATGATGATCATATACTAATACACAAGATTTGCAAATATCACAATGCTTAGCTCTCGAAGCCTTAACACACACACACTCAGGACAGATGTCTTTTGCATCAGACTTTTATAATATCTCATACAGACTTTTTAGAAGTTCCTATTCAAGTCTGTCTTACTACTTGACTTGCTTGCCAGGATCGCTGAGCCAAACAAGGACAAAGAAAAACCAAATTAGTAATTGAAAAACTCCATAGTAAATAATATATTGATTTGATTCATCTGAATGGATCTAATAATAAATGGTAATTCCTTAGCAGTAAATTAACATAGCAATAAATTTAAACATTTTATCCTTACTTCTATTTACCTTCTAGAATCCTTGGCTGATGCTGAAATAAGTGACCAAAAAGTTTTAGGATTCAGTCAACATTTTGTAAACTTAGGTAAACGAATTAGCCTAAGCAATGTCAGCAGCAGTTTAGCCTTCATTATTTTTAATGCTTCTATTGGCTCCGGATAACAATAATTTCTTAACTATTCTATTATTTCCACTCATAGTTGCTAGATGCAGTGCAGTCAAACCTTCTGCATCCCTAACGTCTAAGAGTTGATCCGTAAAAGATAGTATATAATTGACTGCCAATTCGCATCCATAGTAGGCTGCCCAATGCAACGCTGTCCCTCCTTTAGAATCCTTGAGAGCAAAATCAAAACCAATTTTCTTGAAGTAGACAACTGATTTTGGCTGATCTCCTTGAGCTGCCAGATGTAACCCATTCATTCCTTAAGCATTTCTAATATATAGATTAGCTCCACATTTTTCAAATTCCAATATCATCTCTATGTTTCCTCTGTAGGCTGCGAAATGAAAGGCCACAAATCCATCCTCCGTTTATTGATTAACCCATTCTGTGAGAATTGAAGCGCATTTGTGTTTGTGTTACTTTTTGACATGATTTATCAACAACCTTGGTTACATATGATATTAAATAAATACCTAACAGTATCCAAGTTGTTGTTGTACGCGGCTAAATGTAGGAGTGTGTATTTCTTATGATCAGTAATAGTGTAAATGTTGATGCTTTCAGCTTCATCCAATAGATTTTAAATTTCAGACAAATCGTTGTTCTGTATGACTTTAATCAGGTATTATTCAGCTCCTTTTGATTCAATTAATCCATGCGTGTGTGATTTGGCCTTATGTCTGTCAAAAATAATATCAGATTAGATCTTTGCTGTAGGAGGAGAAAGCAGCTTCTTAATGTCAGAATACGATGCAACAATCTAGCGATGTTAATCTTCATCAAACTCTTCATTTAAGACCGAAATATTTGGGAACATAAATAAATATATATTTATTTTAATGAAATGTTTATCTCCTCATATTTTTTCAATAGGCTCTATTCCAACCAAATAAAAAGATTACAACAACACCATTCTGACTGCCTCACACAATAACAATCTTGTTTGAGTGTGTTCGTCATTCAATATACGATACTAAAATTCAAATTTAAAACATTACTTAATTATAAGCCTCTGCGATTTTCACACAAATGTCATAAATATAATCACATAACCAATTGATTGCTAATTAATCAGTCACTGATTATAGAACATCAACAAATCGCAATAATTAAGCAGCTAAATGTCTTTCATGTTGATGTGTGATTTTGAATTTATGATCGGCCTTAAAAACCTCAAAGTCTTGAATACCACTTTTTCTTAAGATAGATAGCATTCTAACATATGAATACATCAAGTATACAGCAGTATTACCCTTTGGGTCAAGCATCTTATCATAATCGAAATTGTAATCAGATATACGATTCTACTTTAAATCATAGTATTTAATAGCAGCTATTCCCATTCTCTCTGCAGCAGTCTCAAATTCTTCTGGAGATAGAGCTGTTCCAGTAGAAAATTCTTTCCCTTATTAATTTTCTTACACCCTCTATTGAATTTGCTTTAATGCTCTCTCTTTGGCTTCATCTAATAAATCAATTAACTTGACTGTATCACCTGACCTTGTCTTAAACTTCTTGCCATCAGGACCCAATACTAAACCAAATCCCATATGTTCCATTGATGTATTTGGTGGTTGATGCCATCCCATCAACTTGGCACCTTCAAAAACTAGTTTAAAGTGATTCCATTATCCTACATCGGTTAAATAAAGTAATCTATCACATTTCCATTCTAAAATACGAGTTTTAGCTGCTGCCATATCAGTTGTATCATAATTATAACCACCATCCTTCTTCACAATCATTAAAGGAACCTTCTCTCCTTTCACTCTGATGATCTTGGCTCCCTAATCCAATTCAACTATTCCTTTGGCTTCACATTCCTTCACTATTTCATTTAGAATGGGATTGTAATAACTCTCTCCGTATTCTGTTATCTTGACATTCAACCTTTGATAAATCTTATTATATTCCTATCTACTTAATTCACATATCATTTTCCAAGCGTCTATGCATATTGGATCCAACGCCTGCAATTTTACAACAAATTATTAGGACTTAACCTTAAATTCCTCATTAGAATCAAACTTCTTCTTTGCTTCCTTGTATAAATCCTCTAATTCTTTTAAGGCAGGTCTATTAGTCTAGTAATCTGGGTATTCTTCTAATAGATGATTAATCAACATTCCGAATTAGGTCCCCCAATCACCAATATGATTAATTCTCACTACTTCTTATCCTTAGAATTCTAATATTCTGCACAATGACTCTCCCAAGATGGTTGATCTTAAATGACCAACGTGCATCTCTTTTGCGATATTAGGACTTGAGAAATCTACGGCTACTTTCTAAATTATTGTGAGACACTATTCATACTTGTTTCTTCTCTAATGGGAATTTTAATCCATTAACCAAAAGTGCATTTATTTCTTCCTCAATAAATTTGTCATTTAATTGAATATTTAAGAATCCTTTATCGATTGCTTCCACTTTTTAAATAACATTATCTTAACATTCAGTAGATGCTACTTTTTGTGCCACTTCCACTTCTGTTTTCAAATCTATAATTTCTTATGTTATCATCATTACCACCGAACAAATTTTATTTCTTAAATTGATTGAAGATTCTTATAACAGTGGGTGTCTTGTACTCAAAATTCAGATTGTTTGATATTGATTCCAATTATATTTCAAAACTATTCTGAGGGAGATTTGGAAATGCTGTCAAAACCCTTGTTTTCATAGCTGATTTAATCAGCTTTTGTACACTTCTCAATGTATTTACACCAATTTAATCCATAAACTAATTAAATTAAAAACTTAATTTATTTATTCATAATACTCTCTCAATGCTTCTTTAATATATCAAATACATTCTTAGTCTTATTATAAAAGGTAAATTAACACAATAATCGATTGGTATATTCAATCAACATTATATGGTTTTTCGCTTATAATTCTGATTTTAGATTAAAGGTAAATTAAATTATATAATTAAAATTTCATTTGTAATATTCTTAATATTAAGATAATCATTAAGTAATAATACTTTGAAATACACGATCTTTTCTAAGTTTGAACATGTAAAATTCTTTTAAAATTCATTATTTTTGTTGATATCACTACAATAGCTTGCATATCAGATTCAACAGAATGTTGTAAACAAAAAATAAAAGTTTTTAAATCATTTATATTTATATGACATCATAATTGCAGGATTACATATTATTAAATATTCCATTAATTGAGTATCAAAGTCGCTGTATTTCTTATCTGATTTAAAAAATACATCATCTATTTTTACTAATGTCAATATCGGAAGTTGAAAAATCTCATTTATTGGGAGGCTATTTGAATTCTTAATCTTCATTACTTGTTTTCCTTGGACTCAAAGAAGCTTAGATAGATTAAGTCCAATAACTAGCTCAATTTATTTATCAAGTTTCCTTTAAGTAAGTTGGTCATCATTATTTTTTAGAAATACTAATAAAAAGATCGTGCTTCATACTAAATCTAAAGACAACCTAGTAGCTGTACATAATAAGTTAATATATAATAGGGACATTCAATAGAAAAGGAATTTGTGATAGCATAAAAATTGTCCGCTGTGAATTTCCCAGTCACTAGAGCTTTGTTTTACTGCGCTGATCAGACAATATTGGGTGTTCCCTTTTATGCAACAGAATACATAGAGGGAAGACTCTTTTCAGATCAAAATTTGATGGGGATGTCAGCAGAAGAAAAAAGAGTGATATACCAAGAAGTAGCAAAAGCCCTAGCTCATTTACATTCAATTAGCTTAAATTACTTGGGACTCGGATAATTGGAATCAGAAACTAGCCACTATTAAATCATTAATTAGAAATTGTATAATCATTATAAATTAAATGAGACCAAGATTTCAACTAATATAGAAGATATATTATATTGGTTGCCATTGAATTTACCAGAGAAATCTGAATTAGATAATCTTTGCTTAGTGCATGGAGATTTCTCATTGTCTAAGGTTCTATTTCATCCCACAGAACCACGAATTCTAGCTATTCTAGATTGGCAGACAGCACAATTAGGAAATGCATTTACTGATCTCGCCAGCTTTTTGACTCCATATTACATCCCATATTCCAATGGAAAATATACTATAGATGGATGGGCAGGAGTGGAAAGATTGATTGGTGCTCCCAATTTATAAGAAGTTGCTAAATCATACTTTACAGCTAGATCAACTCAAACAATCCCAGACATTCGATATCAGATTATATTGGCAATTTTGAGAAAGTCTATTGAAGAATAAATTCGATTTAAACAAACAAAAGACATCAAGCATCAATCCAATTCAGAATTCTTATCCAAAGCTGGATACTAAATTGTATTAGATCTAACCGATGGAGATCCATATGGTATCAAGATGAGAGCAGCCAATGATAGTTCATTATGGTCTAAGTGGCCAGTAACAGATAGATGCAAAAGTTATTATTATAGAATAAAGGATTTTTTGAAGGAAGAGGTGTTCCCTATCGAAAAGTTCATTTTAGATAAGTCACGTGTAATGCCAAATACTACTTAGAATAAAGGATTCCCAGAAATAGAAGCTTTGTAGAGGAAAGCTAAATCGCTTGGATTGTGGAATTTATTTATTTCTGACCCGATGTATGGGAAAGGTCTCACAAATCTAGAGTATGTATTCTTATCAGAATTGATGGGACTCAGCTATTTGGCTCATGAAATCTTTAACTGTTTTGCTCCAGAGACTGGTAACATTAAACTCTTGATTGGATATGGTACACCATATCAGAGAGAAAAGTACTTGAAACCATTAATGGAAGGTGAATGTAAGTCCTTCTTTGCTATGACTGAGAAAAATGTATCTTCATCAGATCCCAATAATTTTAAATTCACTATTACTCCAACCGAAGGAGGCTATGTAATTAATGGAGGTAAGTGGTTTGTTTCAAGTGCCCCTGATGAAAGGGTGAAATTTGGAATAATAATGGGCAAATCTTCTTAAGATATGTCAAATCCAATGGAATCATAGTCTATGATAATAGTAGATATGCCAAATCCTAAGATTAAGATATTGAGATAAGTGGGAGTCTTTAGTTACTATGATGTTCCGCACAGTTATGCTGAAGTGGAATTCGATAATGTTTTCGTGCCTAAAGAGAACTTACTAGGTTAATTAGGCGGGGCATTTAAAATGGCATAGGGTAGGTTATTAGGAGGAAGACTGCATCATTGCGTTAGATAGATTGGATTGACGAGAAGATGCTTGGATTTGATGATGAGTAGAGCAGAATAGAGAGTTATGTTTAAGTAAAAATTGAAAGATAATGCTGCATTCTAGGAGAGATTAGGACAAGTGGAGATCGCCTTTTAAAATTGCAGATTACTAAGTCTAAATGCTGGGTTGTTGTTGGATTCAGCAGGATCCAAACACCTTCATACATTCATGGCTGTAAGTTAATGTAAGGCACATATTCCTAAAGCATGTCAAAAGATGATAGATTAATGCATCTAAGCTTTTGGTGCTGAGGGAGTCACTGAAGATTAACCTTTAGCTATTTCATTCCGATTCGCAAGAGCAATTAGATTTATGGATGGACCTTGTGAAGTTCATTTACGATAAATTGCCAGATTCGCATATGGTAATCACCTGTTTAATGATCTGAATAATGCTCAAGGATACGGATTGGCTAAGTTATGATATATTCAGTTTGTAACAAATATAAGTTAAATACCAATTTTTTATATAAACAGAAATGTAATTGTAAAATGGGAATTTCATTGTTTAACTTTTTTTAATGGTTGCTTTTCCTCGTCTGAATTATTTGCTTATTCTTCCTGTTCAGTTAATTTGACTTTAGTTTTTTCAAATCGCTTTTTGTATGGTTCTCTTTGATCATCTGGTAGGAATTTCCATTTTTGGAGGACTAAATCATCGATGTCGTTTAGAGTTAATGTTTTATCTTTCTTTAACTTTTTGGAATACCTTTCCTTGAATATTTGGAAGGCATTTTAGTAGGTTTTGGATTTGTCGCTCATGTTTAAAGAATTTTAATTCTGATTAATGATAAATAATTTAGTTATTTGAATTCAATAACTATTAGTTATTTGATGTGTTTTCATACACAACTATCACATTCAAAAGAGTGTTTGATATAAAATAATAATTGCAAATGCTGAGTATTTCAGAAGTAGATAATTTGCTTAAAATAATTTATTTTAAATCTTTAAATTGATGAGTACAGGACTTGCTAAACCAAAAAAGCTGAAACTCACAGATTATGAAGTGTTTTAGACCTTGGGTACTGGTATTGTATTGGTGTAATGCTGAACTTTAGGCTCTTTCGGTAGAGTGAAACTGGCAAGGAATAAACAAACAAATAAATATGTTGCTTTGAAAAGTTTAAAGAAGGCTGAGATCATTAGACTTAAGCAAGTTGATCACGTGATTAATGAAAACACCATATTGGGAAATTTGCAACATCCATTCGTTGTAAGAACTAATCTCATCACATTAGGTGACCTTCGAAGGCTTCTGCCAAGACCCAAGATATCTCTATTTGGTCTTAGAATTTGTTTCTGGCGGAGAATTGTTCACCTACTTAAGAAGCATCGGAAGACTCGATACACAACATGCTGCGTATTGCAATGATTCGAGTTTATTATAGGTTTTATGGTGCTCAAGTGGCCTCTATATTTGAGTATCTCCATTCCAAGAACATCATCTATAGAGATCTCAAGCCAGAAAACCTATTGATTGCAGATGATGGATATCTCAAGTTAACAGATTTCGGTTTTGCAAAAGTCGTCGAGGGAAGAACCTACACTCTGTGTGGTACTCCTGAGTATTTGGCTCCCGAGATCCTATTGAATAAGGGACATGGCAAAGCTGTTGACTGGTGGACTTTGGGAATTTTAATTTATGAGATGAATGCAGGAATCGACCCTTTCTCTGATGAAGATCCCATGGCCATTTATCAAAAAATATTGAAGGGCAAGGTCAAATTCCCCAAGAGCTTTGACAAGTACAATTTTCATTTCCTATCCAAGAAACGCTAAATCTTTGGTAAAGCACTTGCTTGTTGCCGATCTTTCGAAAAGATATGGAAATTTAAAAAATGGTATATTTATCTCCCTATCATTCACAGGCGCTGCTGATGTAAAAAATCACCGTTGGTTTGGTAATCTAGACTGGAATCTACTTACTCAAAAGAAGTTGCCTGTTCCTTACAAACCAGTAGTCAAGTATGACTTCTATATAACACCCTAATAGAGCACCAAATGACACTTCTAATTTTTCATCCTACCCCGAATCAGATACACAAAGTCCCGCTCTTAAACCCGCAGACGATCCCTTCTTAGAATGGTGATTAAATAGAGAAATTTATATTCATTATCATATATATATTTTAACTTCCTTGTTTATGGATAACTTCGAAAACTTGCCATCAGAGAAGTCTGTACTCTCTAGAGAATTGAATTAAAATTCCTTAAAATTCATTTAGTAAATATCGTTTTAATAGTCAGAATTCATTAATAGTTTAAATAAAATTTTATTTATTTATAAAGTGTTAAATAGTCTTAAATAGTCTTATTTAATTAAAAAAAGCTTAATGAAAATTTATTTAGTTTTCAAAATAATTGAGTTTTAGTTTTAGGTATTCTAATAAAGTCATTTGTATATAATGTTCGAGTCTTCATCTCTGGACCTAAGAGAGGAGGAAGATCAATTGGGATTTCAAAAAATAATGTTCGAGATTTTAGTGAATTGAAAGGAACTCGAGAATTTCAATTTATGAGAGGGATGAATATTTAAAATGGAAGCAAAAAGATAGGATATGAATGCAATATAAATTTTTGAATTATTTAAAAATAAAGTTTAATTTAATTAGAACTATTTAAGAATAGTCATTAAATTTTGAATAAGACTTTATAAGAAAAGTTTGGAACAAAATAAAAAGTAAAGAATAATTTCTTATAAATGCCAAAAGATAAACTTCACGTAAATCTCGTCGTTATTGGACACGTCGATTCAGGAAAATCAACCACCACCGGTCACTTGATCTACAAGCTCGGAGGTATCGACGAAAGAACAATCAAGAAGTTCGAAGATGAAGCCAACAAATTAGGTAAGGGATCCTTCAAATATGCTTGGGTGTTGGATAACCTCAAGGCTGAAAGAGAAAGAGGTATCACCATCGATATTTCCCTCTGGAAATTCGAAACCAACAAGTATTACTACACCGTCATTGATGCCCCAGGACACAGAGATTTCATCAAGAATATGATTACAGGAACATCATAAGCCGATGTCGCTTTGTTGATGATTGCATCACCAGCAGGAGAATTCGAAGCTGGTATTTCAAAGGAAGGATAAACCAGAGAACACGTTCTCTTGGCTTACACTTTGGGAGTCAAATAAATGATCTGTGCCACCAACAAGATGGACGAAAAGACCGTCAACTATGCTCAAGGCAGATATGACGAAATCGTCAAGGAAATGAGAGATTACTTAAAGAAGGTCGGATATAACCCAGACAACGTTCCCTTCCTTCCCAATCTCAGGATTGGGTCGGAGACAATATGTTGGAAAAATCTGCCAACTTTCGGATGGTACAAGGGACCAACACCTCCTTGAAGCTTTGGATGCAGTCACCCCACCAAAGAGACCAACTGAAAAACCACTCAGATTACCATTACAAGACGTCTACAAGATCGGAGGTATTGGTACAGTCCCAGTCGGAAGAGTTGAAACTGGTGTCTTGAAACCAGGTATGGTCGTCTAATTCGCCCCATCAGCCATCACAACTGAAGTCAAGTCAGTTGAAATGCATCATGAAGCCCTCCCAGAAGCCGTCCCAGGAGATAACGTCGGATTCAACGTCAAGAACATCGCCGTCAAAGATTTGAAGAGAGGATTCGTCTGCTCAGACTCAAAGAGTGACCCAGCAAGAGAATGCCAATCATTCAACGCTTAAGTCATCATCATCAACCATCCAGGATAAATCCAAAACGGATATTGCCCAGTATTGGATTGCCACACAGCCCACATTGCTTGCAAATTCTAAGAAATTCTTTCAAAGAATGACAGAAGAACAGGCAAAGTCATTGAAGAAGAACCAAAATTCGTCAAATCAGGAGATGCTGCTATGGTCAAATTAATCCCAACCAAACCAATGTGCGTTGAAATCTTCTCTGAATATCCCCCACTCGGTAGATTCGCCGTCAGAGATATGAAATAAACCGTTGCCGTCGGTGTCATCAAGGTTGTTGAAAAGAAGGAATTAAAGAAGAAATGATTTATTAAGTTCATGTTCATTTAGTAGAACTTAAATATTTAAAATATTTTTTCACTTATATTTTTTATCATTCATCAATATTATTGGTAAAATAATAGGATGATTAAAACTAAAGAAAATTAATATACACTAACCCTAACTCATAAAGTATAGCTAATAAGAAATAGAAAAATTGTGTTATTCCTTCTCCTGGTATAATAATTTTATGAAAAAATTATATTACTGATATCGAAACATATTTCTATCATAATTTTATTTGCAATTGTTCTAATGTTTTCATCTCAATCTAGTTCACTTCCATTTAACATTAATCCTTTCATTAATAAAAAGATTAATAATTTATATGCTAATTATTATTTAATGATAAAATTTCAAAATTTCTTTTTTGATTCATTATTATTATTATCGTTTTATATAATAAATATTGAATTATAAAATAAGATTTAAATTTTCATTAAATTTCCAACCAAGGAGATTTAAAATAATTTTTGCATCAAACCCAACTAAAACAGCTATGAAATTTAAGTTGAAATTAGATCACATTTTCCTTAACAGTTGATATCAAATTAAAATTTTAATATAATCGAAAATTCGAATTCAAATAAAAAAAAGCTATTGGATTACAAATAAATTATTAACGAATACCTAACCAACATTCTTTTTTTACCAATATTCCCTATATTGTCACTATCAATTCACGACTCTAAATGATAGACCTTATGTTATTTAGAGTCAACTTTGAGACTCTTCAAATAAGCCTCTAGATACAACCTTGCTTATATAGGTGATTATCCTAATTGGTAAATAATTTAATCAAGATTATGTAACAATTCGTAAGTAAATCAATAAATTTCAAGTTTGACAATTTAAGAATATATTAGATTTTCCATAGTTTTCACCCACTATTAAAAGCGTTACTCTTTTATTTCCATGGGACATCGATAGATGGCCGTAGGTGATGTTTGGTCGTAATTTAAATAAAAGCTTTTGTCGTTTATCAGTGTTAGCAAATTTAATTTTCCAGGGGATGAATCAAAGAATAAAAAGTTGTTTAAGGTTTAAAAAATTAATTTTAGCAGTCTAGCAATCAAAATTACTAGCTAAAACAAAAATAAAATATAACTGGTTATCATAGTAGCATTGGTGATTTATAGAATGATTAGAATGTAGTTTTACAAATATATCCTGTTCCTCAAAATAAAAAAGATATTAAACCACTTATTAAATATATAAGGTAAATTAATCCTTGTGATTTAATTTTTTCATTTATAGCCTTCTCAATTTTAAAACAATTTTTATTAATTATCTAATAATCCAAAATAATTAATAGTAATGGGAACTTGCGCTAGTGGGAAAAGCTCCGGAAAGCTTCAGAGAAGTGTTGCTTAGAAACATATAGAGATCGATTTCGAAAAGCTATTGAAATATAACAAAGGGAAGGAAGTTAAGGAGGGTAAAGAACATCTTCAGCAATAATAATCATTTTGTCAAATATTCCTTCAGGAGAACAAACAATGTGTTCCATATTCTTAAACCTAAAATTTGGGACCATCAACTTAATTAGAATACAAAAGATAGTGAGATGTGCATCAAAATTATTGATTCTTATATACAAATTACTCTAAAATAACATATTATATCTGTATTTCTGGTTCTAGGTTCGTACGTTGAATTTGAACTTATTATATAGTAGGGAAAGTAAAGATTTTAATTTAAGAAGCATTCGTCAGATAGGAAAATTAAATTGCACTGAAATATCGATTTCTCGTTATTCTATAGAGGATTGTGAGTTATAGAGTTTGTATATTTTGAATATAATATCTCCATAATCCAATAAATTTTGAGTTTTCCAATTGAAGGCCAAAGCTAATTAATTACGCAATTGAGAATGGTCTCTCTTCAAAGAAGATTATTTTCTGCATTTGACTTATATCCTCGAGGCTGAAACTGTTTAAGTTACTGGGTTATTTCGTTAATTAATTACATGCAAATATTCTAAGATTTATTAGGAGTAGGGAAAGGGAAGCTAATTAGAAGGAGGAGCTTAACATGCAAAGATGAATTTAAGAGAAACAACAAGAAAATGGCCGATTGGATTTAATTATTAATCAATTGCATTCTATATTAAAGAGCATTATTAAATTTTATTTTATGATCATTAATTATTATTGAATAACCAAGAATATCTATTAATTAATAAGAGAAATTGAATTATAATAGCATTTACAAACATTTTAAATAAATATTAATTTAGTTACCAAATATCTAGGTAAATATAGAAATATATTTATTTATAATTGCATTATATTGAGAAATATTATGTAAATACTCTATTTATATATATTAATATTATGGATTTTAATAATACTAACACAAAAATTCCTACGTTAAGATGTAACTATTAACCATTTTAATTAAATTAGAGGCTGAAAGTTCCTTTTAAAGATATAGAAATCCTTTGAATGAGTGTCATCATAAGAGCGAATCAAATTCGTTTGAGCATAAATAGGGTGATCTCCAATATCCAATTCAACAATTTCCATACTTTCAATCAACTCCTATATTTCCCATCTTAGGTTTTTTATATTGAAATTATGAAGGAGAACCAAAAAATGAGTTTGTAGAAACAGCAAACCAATTCATTAAGCATGGCATGTAAAATAGCTTGGCGAGTATGATTTAAAAGTAGAGCATTGTTTAAAATGAATTCAAATTAAATTAAACTACTTATGGATGCAAAAAAATGTGTGAAATTGATTGCATGTTGGTAGAAAGATATTTTAATCAAAAATATTGGGTAATTGTTAATGTTATACGCAGATATTCTAAAATTCAAATCAGAAGTACCAGCTTGATTAAACTAAAACAAAAAATTCGGATTGGTTAAAAGCAAGAATGCAACATCGATATAAATCACAAATTTATGATGCATTCTCAGAAATGATAGATCTCATATTCAAAGAAGGCGAAATTCAAATGAATTCTAGAACTCACGTTATTAAAATACAGAATCTCAAAGGATTCTAAAATTTAGAGAGGCAAATTTAAAAGGCTGTTAAGACTGAGAAAAAATTTGATGCGTTTCTATTTGAAATATAAAAAGTTTTAGCGGATTTTATATTTTCAACTCTAAATTGATTCATATAACATATTTAACTTAATCATTATAGATAATAAAAATCCACAATATAATCAGGTCCTAGCTAAGCAGATTTAAGTAAATCCATTCGTTTATCTTCATCAGTAAAATTGCCTATTTTTAAGGATAGAAAAGAAACCTGGTAAAAAGGAACAACATTTTTCTGATTCAGGTATAAATCCCATTAGCTAATAGATGTAAGCAATCAATTCAGAGCAAAAAAAGTTTTGCCTTGTGCTTTTCTTAAAGAATTTCATCATGCTCAAAGAGTAACCTTTTCCAAATTGGGCTTCAGCATAAGCATACATGAGGATACGATCATTTTCAGAAACATTCAGTAACGGCTTATAGAGAATCCTTGAATTCTAAATAATAATTACTTTTCATAATTTTTGAACGACTTGGCTTTTACAAAGCGTTCTAAAGGGAAATGACAAAATTATACTATAACTAAAGGAGATGACTCCATATTAATTGCTAGACTCAAAGAGCATTGGGTCTTCCAAAGGGTTTTTGAGAAACATAACAATGTGATCGTAATCGCTTCTGGTGATAGATCTTTATAAGTTTTGTAGTTTTCCTCTGGTGCGAAAGATAAGCAAATCACCTGTTTGAGCTTGTGCTAATATTTGAGGATCCAAAATTCTTTCATGTCTCCAGAACCTATGATATTTTGACAAGCTCATAATATTATTTAAATATCCATTGGATTACTAGAGGTAGTAATGAATTAATGAAACCCACTATTTAGATTATTCCCTGGTTCTAGTAGGCACTATAAATTCGAATTTCTTCTCACAGCCTTCTGGCTATAATCTTTTATATTTAAATGTATACATGAAACTCTGAATGTAAGTGTCATCTTTTGATTTCACATAGAATATGTATTTTTAATAGTCAAAGTCCAAAATTCCTAATGGTTTTTCCCTATTTTTGATGTTGTAATATGTAAATCTTCTTTAAGATAAAGTGCAATAATATGTCTGAATAAGTTGAAGATAAAATTTACAGAATTCGTTTCCAAAAAATGAGGACTAACTTTGTAAAATTCACCCTCCAATATTGGTTACTGCCTTTAATCACCATTTCTGTGTATTTCTTAATGAGGTGGGATTGAATTGCTTTATTATTCTTTATTTCTCTCCTAAATGTGGTTATTTTATTCTGGCATTTCTTCTTCAAATTGATCATCATTTAGATTTTAAACTTAAAAATACTTAAAGTAACAATACTGTCAAGAACAGATTAGAATTCCAAGTTATCAATGATATTATTTGGCTAACCATCTTCATGATTGGTTGAATTTTGCTGCATATTTTACGATGCAAATAATAATTATTAAATGCAATAATACGATTAAGACATAGAGGATGATAGTAATAAAATTTATAATAACTTGCAGTCTCTGATAATACTTCCTAAGATGACTCTCCTTTGAAGCGATGTATGACAGCTCCTCCAAGACCTTTGACAGAATTAGAAGAATTTAAGAGGTACATTCTCTGGTTAATCTTCTATTCCAATTAGATCGAGTGAGTATTAGCGTTTAGAGAAAGCTCAAAGATTATCAAGTCGGCTTGTTTAGAGAGAATTTCATAAATACGATTTAGACAACCCTGAAGGATAGAAGGGCTGCAAAAAATTTTTATAAAATCTCGAAATAATGTGTGAAGTAAAAATATCAGTTTCATTAAATAGACATATAATATTAAGGCTGAATCTCGTGAATATAGGAATCAATTTTCAAAGGCATACAAAATACTTTACACTGAGGATAAATTATGCTATTTGACAGAAATTCTCGATAGTGCTTAAGAAGGTTAATCCATTTGACCATTTTCAATAGGTTTTCCTTATCTGTGGGTGAATTCAGAGAAATACTCATTCACATAAGAAGTGTTGGAGGCTGGCAGTAAACTAGTTGAAGGGTTTTATAGAGTGCAACATTTCCTAAGACATTTGTATACTAGTACTTTATAGGAAAGTCCAGATTTTAGCATCTCTAAAATAAAGAAAGAGATCAAGTATCTCTTGGAGACGTTTGACGAAACGTGGGTCAATTTCGAAAAAGTAAAAAGATACATTATCTAATGTAGCTGTATGTGAAGGAACTGATGGAAATTGAAGCAAGGGCTCGTAGGTTTATTTTTCAAGCAATTGCAATAGATAAGGATATGTAATCGATAGAGATTAGAGAAAAATTAAGAGGAAAGATTTTGGTTACTAGTGATCATTACATCTAATTAAAGACTCAAGTAATATGATGAAAAATAACTAATGTAGTTCTGCAAAGTGATAGCAAAAATAAACTCAGTGGCAAATGTGGAAGGAAAGGGCATGGACGATTTAGGAGTTAATATTTTATTAGAGGCAGAGGGTATAACCAGGAGGGTTACGAAGGAATAATCAAAAGCTGTAAGAACTTTGGCTGATAGTATAAAAACAAAGTATTGTTATGACAAAATATCAGTTTTTAAAAATTTCGAGAGCAGATGAGAAAATATGAGAGTAATATTGAAATGGTGGATCCTTAATTAAAAAATAATTAAGAATTAGTTGACTTATTGTTTGAGTATGAAACATAGTGGGAGAAGGGATTATCCTACTTATTGGAGCCTAAAAAATACACACAATTGATGTTATTTTCTCATATTATAGAGACAACAGCTGAAAAATATGTTTAATTTGCTGAGCAACTGGAGTGTAGAGATAGTGATATTTTTGTCACTATTCCCTGTTTGATTGTTTTAAAGCATTTAGAGAATGAGGACAAGAACATTTGTAAGTATTTTCTGCCGATGCTAAATGATGAGTCTTCCAAAATTTATATGTAATTTCAGCAATTGAAGGAAAATTTCCTAAACTTTAGAAATCAACACACCAAACAATACGAATATTATAACATTTTAGAGAAGAAATTGCTAGGAATAAATTAAAATGATATTTCTGAAGTGGAAACTTAGTAAATAGATAGGATAATGCAGAAGATCAAATTATTATCGATTGAAATACAGAGGTATAACGTTATTGAATGGAATTCGTTCATTGACGCAGCAATTAACAATATCTGATAATATTACATAAATGTTGTTTTTATATTCTTTTTCATCTCCTCAAATATACTAGGATGGTTGTCATGTTGTCACAGCCAGTTCCTTGACTTGTGTCTGGAGCTAATAATTAATCTAATAAATCTTCAGCAGCCTTTTTCAACAATTCCTCAGTCACTTGGGCTTAACCAATAGTTGAGTTGACTTGCTTCAACAACTCTTAATGATTCAAAGTTTCAAAGACACCATCGCAACCCATTAAAATAAATCTAAATTTTTAGTTTAATTTATACTTGTCTTATGGAGTCAATTCCGTTTTCTTAACATCTGGAAGGGCGATAATCAATTATTCATTAGATCTTAACTTGTTGTCCCGTTTATATTCCAAATCTCCCAAGGCTCTCGATAAATTCAAGTTACCTATCATTCTTTGATAAATAAATACCATTCACTCGACCATCACTAACGAAACCACCTGCTCTCTCAATTCTGGATTTCTCTTCGGGATTATCTGGCTTATGATCAACGCTCATGTCGTGATTAGTATTATTTCTGCATAAAACTGATCTTGAATCACCAGCATTGGCAACATACAGAGTATTCTTATAAATCAAGGCTACATTGGCAGTGCATCCGGCATAAGATTCTAAAAATCTAATAAGAATTTACCATCAGTATCAGTTGCTTTGTATTAATTTAATTCCTTTTGCCCTTCTGGAGTCAACAACAATTCATCCATCTTTAAAAATGTTTCTTTAAGTGCTTCTTCGAATTTTTGTTCCTTAAAGTTTTTATTTTTCAATAACTCATCCACAAAGTGCTTCTCCACAAATTAGGCAACCTCTCTACCTCCATGTCCATCAAAAACACCAAAAACAGAGACATCTTGTATAATATCAGGTCTATGAATATGAGCATCCTCCATCGTGTTCCTCCAGCCTAAATTATTCCATATACACCATACCTTGCATTTCTGAGGCAGCAAATATAACAGACTTTCCTTATCCCGTTGTTGTTGTTTTATCTCTTTTTGGTTAGCTTAGATATGGCCCCATTTAATTTTATTTTATTTAATATCATTTATATCCACTTATTTCTATAAATACGAAAATTTCAGTATTCCACTAATCTTAATATCAATATCTTATTCAAAACTTTCCATGGGGCCATCTGCCCTTAACCTTTATATTCCTTCTTTTTTCACCCCTTCTTATTGCAGTGCAATATTAAACAATATCATCTACAGGAAGTAGATATTAATGAACTTACCTGTACTTTCAAATATTATAAGGTATACCCACTTAATTTCAGAAGTAAATAATTTATTCAATTTTTACTTTCTTCATTGCTCAATTTAAGTAAGGTAATAAACAAAAAGCATAAATATTTTAATTTATAGAATTGTGATATAATGATGTTATGTATATTTTAATAATGAATAGTTCATTATGGAACCCTAACTTCGGGTAGTTGAATCTCTACATTACTCTTGTTCAAGAGCTATGGGTAAACTATTGAAGGTACTTATTAAGGATATTGCTAATATATTGGATACCCAGTAACAGGTTGTTAAGGGATTTAAGCTCTTTGGGCCGACTGTTATTATTATAACAATATTTATTGTTGGATCTGCTATTACTATTATTATTATTAAAGTAAAGCCTCTTATTATTGTTGTTATTGTTATTAGTTCAACCAATTTTTAAATTATTTGTATTGTTCAATTGGAACAGCATAAAACTGAGGCTGTTGAACATTATCATTCATTGGTTCTCCATAGACAACAGTTTCTGATAGGTTGTTCATTCTTTATTTTTTCATTTTCTTTAAGTGTCTTCTTCTTCTCACTATTCTTCTGATTACAAAAAATGCTCCGACAGCAAAGATTGAAATGAGAACCCACTTAAATGCTAGGATAATTAATTTATTTACCATGTCCTTTTTTATGCTTATAATGGTTGTGTTTGTTCTAATGTTAATCTCCAAGAACCAAGATTAGGAGTAAAGCTAAAATGATTATTTATTTCATTAAAAAATAAACAAAAAATAAATTGCTTAACAACTATTTAAATAGCTAAAGTTTAGATATTAATGTAACCAATATCTATTCATTTAATTTTAGAACACTTCCAAGTCTTAACAGAAGAAGTATCTCAGGTAATTAAGAATTTAAATAAAAAAATTATGAATCAATTATCCAAATCAGAGAGTAGTTTTTTAGTTTTAGTAATTTGTTTCAACTACTCTATAACACTCAGAATTGACTGTTCTTCGATTAATGAATCATCGGATTCGTTTTCGTCATCTTCAACCACCGAAGTTAAACTACTAAGAGAGTTCTGCTTTGGAGGTTCAATCATCTCTTGATTCTTCATATTGATATTTAAATAGCATTACCCATGGATAAGATTTTAAGTTGGTTGTATTGTTGTTTTTTTGCATCATTTTATAAAAATATGCCTTAAGTTCATCATAGTTGATCACTTTGTATTAATCAATATTGGACAATTTTACATGATAATAGAATTAAATTATTTCTTTTGGCAGAGATGGGAATGCCTTCTCAATTATCAGATTCATCTTCTATAATTCCACCTCTTTAATTTTATCGCTCTTAGTTTTCTTCTGCTTTGTTTTAAATAGTCGACCTCCAACGTAAAAGTTAATTAGAATATATGCCAGGGATTCCAGATCATCTCTGGGACAAGGTTCTTTATTTAACTTATTGCATTACTTATCCCTAGGTGCAGATTTAGACTTGAATATTTATTTAATGCTAAAGCGTATTGAAATTTGTTTTTCGTATTCTAGTTTAATAACTGTCTCAACTTGTATTTTTGGGCAAACTTTAGGTCAGTTAAAAGCAATTAAACTCCCCTGTGCATAGTCACAAATTTCTTCGGTTTTAAATAGCAATGAACCATCGATGCTGAATGCATTTTCTCCAACACAGATATCTGAAAATAAGTACTCAATATTACCGCTTCAATTGCCAGAGTAGCAAACACTTAATCAGCAAACTTTCGATTTTGATGTTGAAAACAAAGTTTAAGAGAAGGTCCACATCTTTCCTTTATATTGTATCGATATTCCATATTCTTGAATTTGTATATTCCCTATTGTATTGACTTTGGAATGATTTGCACTTAAAGACTATTTTTATAATTAGTACAGTCATGCATTTTTTTAATGATTCTTTCGTCACAAACAAAGGAATTGTATTGCTCCTAACTATTTTATATTGTAAATCATTATACCTTTTCATTTCTACTAAATAGTAGATATTCGGATCATCCTTATTTAAAGCTACACTTCCTATTAGATCTAACTAATTACCTAAATACAAGTTATGACTTCGGCCCTTGTAAATTAAACGCACGAGAAAATATTTATGATCTAAAACTACAGCATTCGCATTTCTTTCAAAGGAGTTTGACTCAGTTATCGAATCACTCATGTTAATTAAAATCTTAATTATAATAAAGACGAAGCATAAGTATATAAAAAGGAGAGTATAACACTTTAATTAATTAAGAATTTATAATTCATACGCTTTGACATCACTTAAAGGAATTGAAGACTTTCTGGAATAAGAAAATCAAAAAATCATATAAGTATATAATTAATTTAATATAAATTTCGGTAATTGTATAAATTAGTATTTAAAATATTTATTTCTTTTTTGGGATAAGCTTGATTATTTAAGTGTTTCTATCGTTATTATCAGAAACGTCTAAATTATATGGATGTTATCGTTATAATTCAAAACTTACTGAGTTGTTCTTCTTAGTATTATTGCTTTATTAGTTATAGAAGTTAACTTTTTGATATACTATGATTAAATAAGTGAATGGAGATCTATAATAAAAAAGTCAAGTAGAAATTTAAATGAATTTTTTTTATCCGAATCGTAATTAAAAAGTTTGATAATAAAATTTATTATATTTGTTTATAATTAAATAATTACTATGAATGGTGTCATTTCTTCGACTGTTTAAATTGAGATCCCTTCAGCATCCAAAGGTAAATTGAGATGAATTAGCTTATAAGCATACGTTTATAGCCTTTTTTTAATTATTAATCGTAATATTGTGAAACAGAATATTTTTTAATAATATTTATTTGATTTCTATTACTTTCTTAATTATATTTAAGGTCAGAGTTTCTACTATGATTGTATTATTTGAGTGAATAGATATATATTTGTAATATATACAAGCATGTAAAGCGTGTACAAATTATAAAAGAGCAAAAATAATTATAAGAATAAATAATTATTCAGTTAAGCTCTTTAAATCAAGTGTGTATAATAGATATCGAACATATTTATTAGAAACAAAAATTGATAAACAAACTCTAAATTATTGGTATTCCTAATATAGAATAATTTTATATAAATTCCAAATCTTTTTTTTCGTAAGACATAAATTTATATACGATGAACAATTTACATGTGTTCATATTGTTAACAATTTTACTTGTTGTTCATGGTGATGAAGGGACATGCTAGTGTGTCAACTTAAAATCAGAGCAAGACTGCTCTAAATTTCCCCTCCAATACTGTGAATGGAAGAATAATACCTGTGTGATTTCAACTTAAACCACATAGAATCCCGTTATAGAGGGTAAGCCTTTTTGCTCTCAATACGCTTCAATACAAGATTGTTAAAAAGCCTTCATTTGTACAAACTGTTAGAACAAGTAGCAAATGTGCGATGGGTGTTTAAAATAATATCCTTGTGTATGGGAGGGCTCGTAGTGCTAGTTCTTTACTGGGTGCTCTGCGTATGTGTCCAAATCACATGCAGAATGCAATGCAATATCATCAATGTGCACATCAGATCTAACTTAGTGTATTTAGATTGGGGAATGCACTGAATATAATACTGTTGATGCTTGCAAGCAAAAAAACATTCGCGCCCAATAATGTACATGGGATCCTTAATTGGGATGTAAGGAACTCGCCAGCTGCTCAGAAATTTCTAAGCTATAATCTACAAGTCATGATGCTTGTAATAGTTAGTTGGCTAAGTGCACTGTGAATAATAACTCTCAGTGTGTAGATTTGTCAGCAGAATGTGGAGATTATACCTTTGAAGATTAATGTAAACTGACGTCATCCTAAGTTAAATGCGCATGGTCAAATAACATATGCAGAGAAGTTTCTTGTGAAGATGCTCCACTAAGTTATGATTACAATGGATGTAGATAATTCATGTAGAGCTGCACAGCAAAAAGTGGTGGAGGATGCCAAAAAATCATATATTGCACAGATTTAAAAAACCAAAGTGACTGTCAAAACAAGGAAGATACAAATGGAAAGTCTTGTTTCTGGGTAAGCACCTTTAGTCAATGTGTAATTCATGAGTGCAGTTAGGCTCCATTAGATTATCAGACAGATAAGTAATGTTAATCCTTCAAAAGTGAGTGTGTAACTAATGAAGGAATTGGATGTAAATTGAATACTGGATGCAGTGCCATTGCAACACAATAAGAATGTAACACAACTAAGAGTGCAGAAGGCAAGGATTGTATGTGGGAAGATTCTTGTGTTGAAAAGGTCTGTGAAAATGCATCAACTAAGTTGACTACACATGAATAGTGTGAGAAATTCCTGTTCTAATGCACCACTGACTATGGATACGGATGTCAAACTAAAACTTGTAAAAACGCTCCAGACACATTGAAAACAAATGAAGATTGTGAGAGATATCTTCCTGATAATCATTGTATTACTAGAAGTGGAGGTGGTTGCATTCAAAATGATTCTTGCTCTAAAGTCAGTATAGCAATTGCTTGCGTGAAGGATATTAATGGATCAGATTGCTAATGGTATGAGCAAACTGATAAATGCATTACTAAGTAATGTAATAAAGCACCAACGACAATCAATACTTAAGAATTATGTTAGAGTTTTTGGTCAAAATGCAAAGTGAATTAATCAGGCACTGGATGTGAAGACAGAATTTGTGAGAATTTCTACCAATAAGATACATGCAAAGGACAACTGGATTTTTATGGTAGAACTTGCTCATGGAGAAATAAATGCATACCAAAAACTTGCCAGAGTGCATCATAAGAGATCAAAACACATGAAGATTGCAATGCTTATTTAAGTAGTTGTACGTTGTCGAAAACTGGTAAAGGTTGTATGTCACTTCCCTTGAAATGTGAAATGATAGAGTTGGAGGAAGGGTGTAGATTAAGGCAATCTATAGGTCTAAATTCTACTGGCAAAAATACAAAAGAGTGTGCTTGGAAAAATAATAAATGTTAAGATAAGTCTTGCTATACTGCACCTATAACCAGGGACTCAAATATAGCCTGCCAGGATTACATGAAAGGCTGTTATGTAAACAATGAAAAAAGAGGATGTTGGGTTTTGCCAGAGTGCAGCCAAAGAGCTCTTTAGGAAACTTGCGAAATTCAAAATAGTTTTGATTGTGTTTGGGATGAAGGCAACTCCAAGTGCTTAGTAAGGAATTGTGTTTCCACTCTGTTTAGTATTGATAGAGCCAATTATAAGACAGCATAAAGTTGCAACCAATACAGGTTGAATTCATCGAATTGTCCTAAGCCAGATGGCATAGGTTGCTGTACCTTGAATGATCTAGGGTTGGGATGTATGAAGAAACCTGATACTTGTTCCCAACTGAAAACAAAGGATAATTGTAGAGAGAAGAGTCTCTATTCAGATGGGGATTGTTTATGGACGGGAGATGCATGCGTATTAAAGTCATGCAGCGCATTAAATTTAAAGATATACTCTTTAAATTACAATCATTAAAATTGCTATCAGACATCATATAACTCTTGTACAGTTAATGAAGATGGAACTGCTTGCATTTCATTTAAATCAAGCTGTTCATAATATGTGCCAGCTGAACAGTGTAATATTGACTCTAATGGCAATGAATGTGTTATAAGGTAAAATTAAACAACTGGAATATATAGTTGTGATCTGAAGAAGTGTGGGGATGTGGCTTCTATTTAGTATAATTCATTTGCTGCTTGTCAGGAATACAGTGAAACATGCACGGTAATTGCAAGGGTAAGTGGAAAAGGTTGCATAGATAAACAGCAGAATTGTTACAACTATCTTTTCCCTGAATAATGTTTTAAGAATCTGGATGGGTCAATGTGTGTATGGAACGGTAAAAGGTGTTGGGATTAGGATAAAGTTGATTGTTCAAGAATAGTGTTGATAAATTATTCAACTTAAACTTGTGAAGATGTCGCTTTCTATTGCAAGGCTAATGATGGTAAAACAGGATGTATTTTGAAAACATGTTACGATTATATCACTTAAACTGGAAAAACTGGAGGACCACCGATATCTTCATTAACCCATTGCTAAAAATTAAAAGCTAATAAACTTAGTTGCTCAGTTAACAATGCGTTGACTGGTTGTGTTCCCGAAAAAGATCGTTGTCCTTAATATTCAGTACAGGATTGCTATAATGCTAGCACAGACCGTTCTTGTGCCACAAATGGGTTATCGTGCTATAAGTAATTTACACCCTGTAGCAATTGGTCAAATGAAAATGATGCAGATTGTAAGAAAAATAGAGAGTTTTGCAAATATCCCCTAGGTGGAGTTGGTAAAGTGCCGTGTGTCAATAAATCTTGTGATGAAAAGACGGGTGTAAACCTTACAGAGCAAATTTGTCATTAATTTGATGAAACATGTACTGTGAGCAAGGATAAGACAAAATGTATCTTAATTTAAACTAGTTGTGGTACTTACAAGGAGGAGAACTTATGTGTAAAGTCAGAATAGAGTAATTGCATTTGGTAAGTTGGCACTACAAGTGAGTGTGTTGGTATTACAACCTTAATAGAAGCAGACAAGAATTGCTCATACAAAAAAGGAACAGGATTAACCTATGAAGATTGCTAAGGCTTTAGCACTTTTTGTAGTGTTAATCGAGCAGGAACTGAATGTGTGGCTAGAAAGTAATGTGGAGGATATGAGACTAGAGTTTCTGATTGCTATAGAAGTGAGAATGAATTATGTATCCAGTCTGCTTAAAATGATGCAGATGCTAAATGTTAATCCTCTAAAGGAGTGACCTGTGAATAGATTTTTCTTGGAAAAGATACAGTTTATACTTTTGACAAGTGCAGTAAAATCAATGAGGCATGTACAAATTAAGGAACTTCAGGTTGTACTCTCAAAACTTGTTAGAATGCAGTTGGACCATTTACACATGAAACATGTGTAAAATGGAAGAATGCATGCACTGTGAATGCTTCAAACAATGGATGTGTAGAAATGAAGAGCAATTGTTTAAATTATCCTTCCAACTAATGTTTAAGATCACTTATCGAAGGGCCATGTATGTTGGATGTGAAATAAAATATCTGCATAAAGAAAACTTGCTACTCTTCTGATGATACTTTAACAAGCGATGCCTAATGTGAATCATATATGTCAACATGCACTGTAGCTTAAGCGGGAGGCTGTATATCTAGAAACTCTTGTGATTCTTACGTATCAGAGTTACAATGCGTTGTTGATAATTAAAATCGACTCTGCTTCTGGAATCCAACTTTGAAAAAATGTGCTCTTTTTGAATGCAAAACGATAGAAAAAACTGAAAAATATGATTCTCACGACGAATGTTATGAGTTAAACAATATTTAGGATCCCAAAAAATAAAATAAATTTGAAAGATGCACTGTCAATTTTGTTGTAGATCCTAATGATTAATCAATATCATATCCAAGTGGATGCATGAATTTATAAGCATGCAAGGATTACCATCACAAAGAGCAGTGTGTTATTGATTCATCTGGTTTATATTGCCATTGGAACACCGATAACCCTGAAAATGAATTCTGTGAAACCCTTTCATGCGAATCAGCTGATCCAAATAAATATTAAACACATAAGGCTTGTTCAGAACTTCCGTTAAATAAATACACCTAAGTTTAAGACAAATGTACTGTGGGTGTCACTGAAATAGCACCAGGAGTCCTTTCGGCTTATGGATGCAAAAATAGAGCTGATTGTGAAGAGTATAAAATCGAAGATTAATGCAGATACAGTTCAACAGGTTAGGAATGTAAATGGGATAGTATTAATTCAGCTTGTTATACGAGATTGTGCAGTAAAGCACCATAAACATTTACCACTCATGAACGTTGCAGTGATTTTGCACCTAATTGCACCCTCAGTTCAACCTTGGCTGGTTGTATGGATTTGACTCCAAAATGTGAAGATTACCAAGTAAAATCTTAATGTACTAAGAGTGTATATGGTAATGTATGCTATTGGAATGGTGCCTAATGTGTAACAAGGGAATGCAGTAATACACCAGAAGATTTGGATGGAGAGTGCTCCAAATATTTGGATACTTGTGAGAATAGTGGAAACTAAAGATGTGTCACAATTGATTGTGAGTAGTATTCCTTTGTGACTGATATAGCATGTAAATAAGCAGGCTTGGGAGGATAATGTACCACAGATGGAACTAGATGTGTTTTAAGGACAACCTGCGAAGATGCAAGAACACAAGATGCTTGTAGAGTCAATAATTTAGGATAACAATGCGTTTGGAATCCACCTACTGCAACAAGTGATGCTTACTGTGAAATAAGCATTTGTGAATTAGCATCTTCAACAGATTACGTCAGTGAATTATAATGTAAATCGTACAATTCTCAATGCACTCTTAAAAAATAAGGAGGTTGCAAATAAATTTAGGATTGCAATTCTTTTGAGTCAGAAACAAGCTGCACTGTTTCTAAAGATGGTAAAGTATGCGTTTGGGAGAAAGATAAAGGCTGCAGGAGTAATGACTGTACAGATTTAACAGGCACAGATCATTTCAAATGCAAAAAGCAAAATAAATAATGCACTACTTCCAAAACTGGAAAATGTGTCAATATGGCAGCCACCTGTGCTGAATATTTGATTGAGGGAAGTTGTGTTGAAACTTCTGATGGTCTACCATGTCTATGGGTTAAAGCTTTATAAAATGTAAACAATACTTAAGGATAATGCATTCAATATTTGAAATGTGAAGATATCCCTTTGACAAAGGATTCAGAATGCAAAAGTGTATTATCAAAATGTACATCTAATGGCTCATCCTGTACACCTATTAAAAAATGTGAAAATCTAAATTCTACAAATTGTAATAAAGGCTCTGATGGATAATGCATGTTAGCATTTAAAGATACCACTTCTACTACTAAAACATGCATGATATTCAAATCATGCAGCGATGCTTTTTATAAAACTCATTCAGAGTGCTAAGGAGTAAGCTCATATTGCACTACTAATGGAACTTAATGCATGGATGTGAAGAATACTTGTTAAGAATATACAGATAGATCATCGTGTTACATCACAACGGCTACTAATTCATCAACTACTACTAATATTTGTGTCTGGGATGGATCTTGTAGGAATCAAGCCTGTTCAGATATTAGTGGATCCAATCATTAATACTGTAATTCTAAAATGAGTTCTTGTACTTCTGATGGTACAAAATGTATGACCATTTAAACCTGCGAGTCATACAATACCAGTCCTTAATGCAACAATGGTTATGCGAAAATTTAAGGAATAAATAATCCTTGTTATTGGACAGATGTGACTAAAACTTCTGGATCTTATTGCAGAGTTAAATCTTGTATTGACATACTTCCAGCGTCCACGTTCTTTTGTGCTACAATTTCTACATGTGTTTATGATGCAACCAAATAAAGTTGTATCACTAAGTAAAACTCTTGTAGTTCATATCAAGATTAGACTGCCTGTAATTCAGGAACATTAAGTTCTAAAACTTGTTATTGGGCTAATAATCAGTGTTCAGATGTTACCGGATGCTAAGTTATAACTGAGTAGGCAAAGTGTTTATCACTTAGAGGATGTAGCTATATCACTTAAAATGGTACTTCTAAGTGTGTTCCCTAAGATTGCTAAAGTGTCTATTAGCAGACAAATTCTTGCAAATTTATCTAAATATTTAATTCAGAAGCAACTAAAACTTGCATGATATAGAATGGATTATGTACATCAGTCGATCCATCCATTTTAATGTAGGATACTTGTCTAATTAATTCAAATTACGCATATACATGGGATACTGCTAAGGCCAGATGTGTTAGTTGTTATGAGAAACCTGCCCCCCCCAACGACACCGATAATGATACTAATAATACAGATGTCTCAGCTTAGAAGATCAGCATAGTTCTAATGTTTATGGCTATGGTTGTAGGATGATGATGAAGGATTATCATAAAAATATATAAAGAATATAAATATCATTTCTTATGTTGGTTTTCTTAGGTATCCAATCTTGAGGTAAAAACACACCAATTGATAATTGTAAAATTAATTATCAATTTTTGATTTATTCATAATTATAATATACCATGCGTAGAAAAAACTTATGGAAGAAAGAATTGAAATATTCCTTAAATTATTTCATCTCTCTCTTTTTTTTGGGATTGGAAATTGAACTTCAGGCTGATTTAAATGTAATTCAAATTCTTTCCATAATCATCATTGTTATTTCAATTGCTTTTAGAGTGCTATATTCGTTTTAGCAAATCTCTTGGAAAATAGGTATGCAAATCTTATTTATTAAGATATCTCTCCTATATTCCTTTGGCTATTAACTCTTGCAAGAATTAATAGTGCTAGTAATTTAAATTAAGAATCGAACTCCTTTCTTTTTTATACTCTGGGCTTTGTGAATGGCCAATACAACAACACACTTAGCATATAAAACGAGAATCCCATCATCTACAAAGGCAAGATCTTTGTGCAAATCGTACTTTTAGTTACTTGTTTATCTATTACGAATGATATTAAACTTGGGATTATGTTCATACTAATAATTTTATGTATCTTGGTGGGAATGAATGAAATCTTTTATAAATAAATGTTGAATGAAGTAGAAATTTAAGCCAAAGAAAATAAATCAAACAGACTCTTTAATGAACTATCATTTCAATAAATTTAAAAATCTTCAGCCAGACCTTTAAATGACGAATAACTCTTCATCAAGCATTCAAGAGCTTGTCCTCTTGATTCCATTGCTGAGGATGACGAGATACCTGAATCTAAATAAAAATAACAGAATGCATCAAACTCTACAAAATCATCTCTTTGGGGCAATTTCGTATTCTAATGCGATGATTACATAATTAAATTTTCATTTAACGCTTATTAAAATAATTCTCTACTATAAAACTCCGTAAGCAATTATTCGTTTAGTAAATTCCTTTAAGATAATAATATCACATTTGTAGATTTCCTATCAGAAATGAAGGTTTTCAATGACATTCATTGGACTTAATTTGATATCCAAAGTCCTGAATTCAAAAAACAACAAAGTCTTTATGATTGGCTCCAATACCATCTAGAATAGTATAAAATAATAGAGTAACTTCAATCCAAGAAATCCTTGAAACAATTAGATGCAGCAGATCCCCTCCAGTTAAGTAATCTCTCCAATCAGAAATCCTTGTTGATGGATCTGATAATGGAGAAATCCATAATGGGATTGTCCTCTATCCCATATTAGTAGAGCTCTTCAGAAGCGATGAATCTGAAAAATAGTAAAATGAATCTTTTTGGAAGAATAAAAACCAATAAAAGCATGTATGATTTGTAAATCAAATTCTACATCTTTGAGGAGGTATAAATGTATAGTAATTTAGGACTCTGACGGTTTGGCCATTGTATTTTTGATGAGAGACATAGATAAACTAGTATAATCAATTAAGTAGAACGTGAAAAATCTTGAATTGTTGGATGTGTCTACAAAATTTATATAAAATTAAGCTTGCAAGATAACTGAAATTCATAAATGGATTCGTGAAATCAAGAGTCCATCTAGTTTACTTGAGACTGATTACTTAAGTCGATTGGGTACGTCAGCTCGAAGAAGAACTTATTCATTGTGCTCAAACAGAAATAGTGAAGAGGGATAATCTGATATTTCTGAGAAGGTTTAGCTTAAGAGACAAAGTCAATTATAGTTATTCTTATCGAAATTGTAATTTGAATTCTTTTAGGTTGAATAGGATAACTTCAATTTTTTTGAGGTGTTTTCATAGACAGAAAAAATCTTGTTTGATATGAAAAAGATTGATATATGTTAAAGCATTCACTTACTTTTTGATTAATTTCACCATAATCAAACTCTTATGAAATATGGTGTAAAATTAATGCTGATTGATAATAATCTATATGACAAAAATATCATCACAGATGCAAGGTTATATTTAATTTTAATTTATTTAGAAGATTTAAATAGTTATTGATCAATTTAATTAACAATTCAATCCAGGCATACTAATATGAATAGTATTTACAGTAGCCAAACGAGGTTGAAATAACTGTGTGGAATTATTACGAAGAAATTCACTTCACAATCACAGATTATGGCTGCGGACTGACTCAATTTTAACTCAATCAAATACGGCTGTAAGAATGTAAGTTAGGGTTGGCAGCAGCATAACGGTTATTGTATTAATTGAGTGGTGGGAAAAAGCAGATAATGATCTAGTGTGTGAATTAAAGAACTATTGTATCCTTCCAATTGCCAAGGATTTTGATAGATGATAAAATCTTATAAAACACTGAGTTTGATTATGAATATATTAAGTTTATTAATTCTTGAGTATGTTATTAATTAAAATAAAAAATAAACTAATCCATCTTGATTCACTAAAAATGGAAAATAATTAAAATTCAGATGTTTAATCCCAACCACCTTTGACAATATTCCCCAATTGCTCCAATATTGATGATGATTAAGAATTAGAAAATTTAGAGATAGAAGAACAAAAGCAATATTTTTCTCAATTATTTGAGGAATTATGTGCTTACTCTATTAATCCCTAGGAGGAAGTCTTCATTGACAAGAAGTAAGAAAACATATGTGATTCACGTTTTAGAAGGACTAATAAATTCAGCCAATTCCGAAGAGGATCCTATAAGATTATGAAAAAACAACAAGAAAGAAAAAGAAAGTAGCAAATAATTGAGTAACTCCTCTAAAAACAATAAAAAACAGACTTTATTGAATTTAAATAAAAGGAGTGTAAAGATAAGTGCATTTCAGAAGAAATGTAGGTATAATAAGGGGAATGGCAAGGAGACCACTGTATTCAAGTTTAGGAGCATGATGTCATTCCCCTTGGCTACGTGATAGATGGTTAAGGTAAAATTTTTGAATATCTTTTGCTTTAGATTTAATGCTCCTAAACGAGAGTGCATGCAATGTCAACAATAATGACAATTGTTTCTAATTAAATAATAATAATGAAATCAACAACAACTAACTATTAATGAATGCATTCGAAATACCATTAGCACTAGCACTACGTTTGCCAAACCTTTGAGTTGCCCCCTTGTTTCTGAGATGCTCAGAAAAAGGGGTTGAAATAAAGTGCGATCACTAGTGAAGTGACAATGCTTTCATCAACACCTATAAATAATATCATTTTTCTAAATATTCTTTCATTATTAAAAATTAAAATTATTTCACTTTTTTGGTATTGCAATTGAGATTTTATGAATCCAATTATGGAGAAATGATGGATCGATTATAAAGGTCTTTGGGAAGTCATATACCTTCAATGATAGGGAATGTGTATAAAAAGTGCTAGGGCGATTAAAGTGCTAGGGCGATTTTAAGCATTTTTACATTGCTCAATAATTTTGTCATTCAAAATTGACAATGTAATATTATCAAAAGTGAAATGCATAATTATTTACAATTTAAGTCTCTGCATAATAACCTATTTATGATATTAATATATATAACAAAATTTGCATTTTTTTATGTTGATGAAAGGACTTTTAGATTATTTTGAAGAATTAGACCAAAGCAGTCGTTACATTCAAGGACAATCGAATTATCATTTAACGATATTCTAGGCAATATATTTTTAGAAATACATATAAATATACATGATTATTAAATAAAATATTCACATTCTTGAATATAATCCAAATTTAATTCTTCAAATATTAGGTTCACCTTCAAAGGTAATGACATATATTGATCAATCTACGAAAAGTGATGAAGGAGGATAATTGATTTTCGATTCACAAATAATGATTCAGAGTGAATTTATTTATCATTTATTATTCAGAGTTATTATTAGTTTCTATTTTAAGCAGACCGCCCCGAGAATGCATTTTTAGTTGGCAATCAATATTGAATAAAAATAAAAAGTAATTATATTTTATTTATCTATTTATTATGAATCAAAGTGAAGTTAATGAAGAACACTCACCTCATAACTCGGAACATGCTTCATAAAATATCTCGTAATTTTTATAAAGGGACTATTACGAGAAGTTCAAGCTTGGTTAGAATCTTTATGAATAATCAATTACTTTGTCAAGATTATCATTAGGAGAGAAGACAAGCGAAGATTATAATAATAATACATATGTAGGGCTGATACAAATTTAAGAACGGTTATCGGATGAGATTTGCAAAAACCAAGTAAATTATTGACTACAATTAGCCAGCTATTAGAGAGTAAAGTAACATAACTCACTAAGGATCTCTAGTCAGCAATGGAGCACACAGCTTTACTCCAAAAATAAAATGAGAATTATGTTCAGATGTTGTAAGAAGCCAACACGAAATTGCAAAAATAGATTAGGAACAATGAAATAGAAAAAGTGTTAAACTAATAATTAATGAAAAAAAATTAGGAATTATTAGAAGTAAATAAGTATAATCTTAATCTATTTAGTAATTACTAGAAATAAGTGCAGAATTTGGAAAAGAAGAAATAAATCTAGAACTTTTCCGATTGCAAAAATATTACATTAACCAAGTGTCATCAAAAGTCCAATCAATCAATATGTTCTTCGAATAGAAATAAAGAAAAATAAAATCAAGGGAATACAGAAGAGTCCACTGTTAAGGATTCCTCCTTAAGTGATTTTAGATCGAATGACAATCCCAGATTTGCTGAATCTGCTCAACAGTTTTACAAATCCTAAAATTTTTGGTCTCCAGCAAAATAGTCATCTCCAAAGGCTCAACCTTTGAATCTTGAAAAAAGAATTGAGTCTACTTTAGCATAAATAAGAGCCATAAAAATGCAAATTCAACAATTAAATTAAAAATGATATATTTCATTTGTTTTCATTATATTAGAGGCATGCAAAAGTTATAAAAATGCTTTTCCTCAAACATGTCTGCCTTCCTCCAACTCACTCCCTATTTCTCAATAACGGATTTGATGGTATCATTAGCCGTGTAATGAGGATCCAATATCAAGAATCTACAATCATCATCATTGTAATCAACTCCCAACAAAGTGTAAGCATAGAGACCACCACCAAACATAATGGGTGCACCATAGTTCTCAAAGTAGCTTTTGAATTCAGGCAGTTTAGAAACTACATCAGTTCCCTTGGATACATTTAATATTTTGCATTCCACATGAGTAAGATGTGTAATTAACATACTGACTTCAAAGGCTCCGATCCATTCTGATGTTCCAACAAAATTAATTGGTTTATCTCCCATTTCTACCAAGATTTATTAGATCCTTTTGTGATTAGGTATCTCTTTCTTGCTTGTATAGCCATTCTCCATCAACCAAGATAACACGCTTTAAAATGATCTGTAAGCACATCCCCAACCTTTGTCATCGAATCCATCTTGCATATAATGATGAAACACATAATCTCCTCTAACAAAGTATCTTTTTCCATTGTCCACTATCAATTTATACAACATATTTACATGCTTTTGGACTGAGGTAATGATGAACATTCAATATTTTGTTGTTTTCGGTATCAATTAGATTATTGATCTTATTCTTATACACAATTAATCTTCTATTATTTTTGAAATCAGATTTAAACAATTAGATCTTCTAAACATCGTCGTATTTATTTATTGGAAAAGCAGTTTTATCATTGAAGTATAATACTTATTTCTAACCTCATAAATATTTATTACTTAATTTGATGATATAGCTTTTATTAATTGTTGAATGTGTGAATTTATAATCGAAATAGGATTTGCGTCACTTAAATGATATGAAACAAATTCAAATTCGTCTTCCATTAATTCAGAATTAATATACGGTTGGATGACTTCATTTTCATCTGTTCCTTAAGCAAGTACAAAGTTTAAATCAATTATAGGAGGATGCTTAAATTGCAATATCTTCCCCAAATTGCCTATTTACTAGGAGATTATCAACATTATTTACTTCTTTATATTCCCTTTTCACTTATTGAATGAGTGCTGCAAAAAGATCAGATGAGGACTCTTATTTTTATTTGTTCTTTGTTTTTGCTTGGTTCTATTATTATTCTTGGATAACTTCTCCTCGATTAAGTTGAAAGACTATTTAATTATTTCCTTTTTGAACAATCTTCTTTAATCTATAAAGATACTGCATGCAACAATTAATTCTCCAATTAGCCATTACCCAATAGTCTCTAGTATCCAACGATATTGGTAAACAAGCAAATGTATTGTTTAAAAAAGTCATTCAAATCGCACGATCTATTTTGTTATATATTCTCTTTAGGTATTTCTTCAACACCCCCTATCATGGGAGGCTTCATTCCTGTGTATAATATTTAATTTCCTAAGCCGTAAGCATTTTCGTTATCTTATAGCTGTAGATTGCACCATAGAAAACTTCCTTTATTATTATTCATAATTAAATTAATGAATAACATTTATAATTATTTTCATATAGAACCATAAAACTACTTTTGACCAGAAGAAAAGGTTTCATCTGGTTCCTCAGAAGGCAAAAAGGATTCTCCAGTCAAACCAAAGCATTTTCTAATGCTCCTGCCCACACATCTAAAATTTATCATCTATTATTGTACGTTTTTTATTGACAGGTGATGCATAGAAGCAAACTAATCAACGTAGTGAAGAAAGGAATATTGGCCAAGCCCTTCTTTCTTCCTATACACAAGTTTATGATCAAACCAAACACTACTATGAATATCACAAAATAAACCGCAAAGGCTATGTAAAGTTAATAATAAAACTTACTTTTGGTGTCACCCTCTTAGTATTTAGCATTTATCACATTTTATACTTTGAAAGCATAATTGCAATCCTTTACAATTACCAATGTGATGTCCTTAAAATATTGAAATGGGAAGGTAATCTCAATTTTAGATGTTCCTAATCCAACACACTTAAAATTCAAGGTTAGCTCGCTTTCTTTATTTGTAATCAGCCCACCATTTGAGAGTTCTCCCTCGAACCATGATTTAGTCACGTTTTCCATCTCCACATCCACATATGGCTGTGTCAGATTGACCTCTGGTATTTTTTTCAGTGTTGCTACATCTGTAACAAATTCTTCAGGGATTTGATCTGTAGATGACACTTCAGTTTTCATTTAAAGGATAAATTTTATTACGTTTATGTCTCTGGAAACATTGAACACGTAATTGTCTAAATCAGAATCAAAGTAAGAAGCATTTATGATTTCTGAATTTTTAATAATCTCTTGTCTGTAGTTTTTATAGACCATATCCACACTAAACCCTTCTCTTAAAGTCAGAGGATTGCCACAGAATTTCTTCCAAAATATTTAGGCATCTCCGCATGAAGGTACTTGAAATTGCATCTCGTAATTAATAAGAGTTCCTCCATATTCCTTACATTTATAATTGATTTCTATAGCATATTCTGTATGTTTTCCATTAGGTCTATGATCTAATCTTATTGAAGAATCTGCATAGTAATGATCATCGAAATTTAATTAGAAATTCTCGATTGCTAAATTGGGATTGTCACTAGTGATATATATATAATCCACGTGTTGAGAAGCAGGTACAATAATTGGATTTTCTATTAAATACAACAAAATTTTACTTGCTTTTCTGCTCCATTATTTTGATGTCACACCTAAGGAAATGATATCATCTTATGCCTTTTTGAGATTGGTGCTTACTTACAATGTCTTGCATATTTCGCTAAGATGAACGAGATTTAAAAGTCCAAGCAGAATTAAATAACGAGCCATAGAAATTTAATTATTATAAAAGTGAACTAACATACTTGATACATTTGGACATTTAAAATGAACTTAATCAATAAAAAACGAATGAAAATTAATTTATATCATATTTAATCAAGAATCAACCTTATGAATTCTATTCAAATATTCTCTAATAGTCTTGATTCTCTAAATTAAATTTATGGGTATCATCGATAAAAGGAGCGTCGTTCTTCTTATCTAGAATCAATTTGGAAATGAATTTACTTCGTTATTAATCTTGTTCGCTATTGGCCACCAAAACAACAGATAAACCAAAATGAGCACTACCAAGAACACAATAAATATGGTCACAGTTGTGGTCGTGTTCGTTTCTAAGTCTTTCTGCATGCTCTCATTAAAAGTTACAAGCAATTACTAAAATATTGATCTAATATATATGTCTTGCATTTGATCTAATCATAAATCAACATTCATACTTATCTCTACTGCAGCTATATCTGTGTACATGAGTGAGAGTATCTTATTCTGCTAACTATTGGTAGTAAAATTGTAAAGTGTGCCTGCTATTGCTGTGGCTGTCGAATCATTCAAAAGAGAGTCATATACAGTAAGCAAATACCTAAGATTTTCGAAGTGTCTTGATAAAGCCAAGGCCAAAGATTCATCCACAATTCCTTTAACAAAAGCTTAACAAGTAGCCAAATCTACTCCTGCAACTTTGATGACCTCGTTGCATGCTCCAGCCTTCATTATTGTATCAAAATAATCATTATAAACAGCATTGTGATATCCTAAGTTTAAGGAATGATCTTTTTGCATGTTCGTGTTCAAATTATAGAGATCTTTGACAAAATCAGCCGATAAAGTTTTAGATACGTTGTTTTTAACAGGGAAGTTGGCATCCCATAACATTTATCGAAAAACGTTATTCGCAAACGTAATAGAAGGAACAGCCATTGAGGTAGCATTCATTTCTTAAATTAGTTACTACATAGAACTCTGCAGATTTGCTCCTATTAAATAGTGGGCTATAAAGTAGGCAATGAGTAATCCAATGGATATAATGAATTTAATATAGAAATTCCTCTTGTCTTTGGAATCATACTTATACTTCTTCCTTTTCTTTCTTCTTCCAAACTCTTCTACGACTCCTTCTCCTTCATCATTTTCTTCAAATGACAAATCATTTTCTTGATTTGCCTCTTCATCCTCACCTATTTGGAGAGTGTTCGAGAAAGCTTCGCACTTAGCGAATAATTATTTAACTTTGGCCAAAGGAATCTCTAAAAATAATTTTATAACTTCCTCCTAATTTTGTGAAACCAAGCTAAAGGCACAAGCAATCCATGGAATTGAAATGACTGTAAAAACACAAGCTACGATCAATAAAATCAACAAAACATTCGAATCATAAGCCAAATTAACTAATTAATTAGTATATAGATCCACACTCTCTAAGGTAGCTTAATAATAATCGTTTAACAAATTGTATCTGATGAAATAGATGGAATCGGTTTCAGGATCAAATTCTGTGATATCATAATTCATAATTTCAAAAGCTTTAGATATTATTTGAGAAGTTCCTTGATTTATATCAACTAGTTGATTGCTATCACTTCCGCTATCATCTCTACTAACCATTTTGATGGAATTAGTAGTCATTAACTCATCCTGTCTTCCACCAACATTTGTGGATGATTGAATTTTTGATTGAATATCTTTTAAATCGCTAATTGTTGTATTCATATTAGCAAGTTATACTTTTACTTTATCATCAGTACCAGCTACATTTATTTTATTTAATCTGCATAATTCCATAATTTACCATTAAATCCTTTAACCTAAAGCTACTCTGATATTTGAATCTTACATCATTATGTATCCATCTTAAATGTCTTAAAATAATTATTGAGTCAACACATAATCCAATAAACCCAATATTCCTAAACATATAATCAAAACGGCAGCACTCCACTTAAAACATATCATACTACTCTAATTAACATTACGACTCTCTGAAAGGAATTAAACAAAAGTTCTCCTGGACTTATAAATATTAGCATGTCCACCTTCAGCTTCCTCCTCTTCATCCTCCTTTTAAACTTGTTGCATTCCAGTGGTTCCTCCCTTCTTTGAATCATTTTCTTCTTGGTCCTCATCAGAATCCTAGTTTTTAAACTCTTCGATGTCATATAATTACCCATTGATATATTTCATAGTCCTGATTCCTAAGGCAAGGTCTAATTTTTCTTCTTTATCTCCTATATTTGATGTTGGTGTCTTCTCATCTTCTTTAACTGGTTCTCTTTATGAATAATCAAATGTTTCATCCTATTTAACACTTGAGATGGCAGACATCTAGAAATTTTAATCTTAAGTGTACTCTCCAGTAAAAATATGTTATGTTTGATCAAATTAAAAATAGAACTTGACTTATTATTGTTTTTTTATCTGAGATTATTCATTTGGATTAAGAAAAGATTTCTCTTGTTTATTATTTTCAATTTTTACAATGTAACCTTATAATTTAGAATCCCTAAACATGATTTCACCAGCAGTGATATTAAATTTACCTTAAACTGACTAGTCTCTATTTTTAAAATTAATTTCTGCTTCAGCTCCTGTTTTGTTCAGATATTCAGTAATATTCTCTTGAAAATTTGGTATAAGATCACTCACTTTAGTCTTCTTTTTGGTGATATAATTCAAATCAATGTGGAACATGGTAATAAAGGTGGCTGAAATATTTTCAATTTCTTAAGTTTACCCATTTACAATCATGAAGGCTACATTTTTAAACACTTTTTCTTGTCTCATGGCTCCGAAAAACTAGGCTCCATGAATAAATGAGGGCACATATCTTACATAGATAAAGAAGGGAAAGATGTATCCATTCTTGGATTTACCAATGATCATTCTCTCTCTGTTCATGATTCTACTTTCGTATGTTTACAAATAGGTTTCCATGAATTGATCATGTGATTGAGCAAAGACATTAGGCATCAAAATGTTTACCTTCCTATTGATTAATTCACTCTTGGAATAACCAAACATCTTGGATGCAGACATATTGAGTCCTATAATTCTACCAAAAGTGATATCTTCAGCTGAAATACTGATCAATGCAGTGGATTCATTAGGAAAATCATTGATATTGTTTGTAATTTTGCCTCTGTCCATATTAACAGAATAAAAGTTCTTCAATCTTTCCAAAACCTCTTCAGCAGATTCTTTATCATACAAAATATCAACCAGATATCTGGAATAAATCATCATCAGATTCGGTGGGACATCCATGTTCATCTTAATGATTCGTTTCCATGAATCTTCTAACATCTTGTCCACAAACATCATTCGAGTTCCCACATCGTATAGTTTTCCTAAGTCTGGTGTGTCTTCACTTAATTGAGACCAAAACTCTATATGTTGAGATGCTGATTTCTCAATCTAAGCCCTGATCTCTCTGAGATTGTTCTCAGTGGTTAGTTCATTAACAGCATCAATGCCAGCTGCTGGATTCTTGGATGACTTTGAATTCTCAAACATCTATTCTTCAATCAGTTTCTTTAATCTATATATAATGAATTACTCATCCATATAGGGTTTCTCTTGTTCTGCTGCCACCAACTCTTATAATGCTTATTAATTTGATTACATTTTTTCCATTAAGAACAACGAATGTGCTATTCTCAATTCAGTGCAATTTGGAAATCTTGTCAATGAAAGTGTGAAGATTCTTTCTAAAATATAGACTAAAACGACATATTGTTCTTTGATTTCCTCATCCTAATTTTAGAGTTTGAAATTTTTCTAGAATTTAGCGATTTTCTTATTCCCCATATTTTTAGCTTAACAAGGACAGTCTTCCCTTTTGCAGATGGTTCTGTGATATTCAACGAACCCATCCAGGAGAGTGGCTATGTTCCTGTCGGTATGATAATAGTTCAAGAATTTGGTTAAGTATTGCAACTGTTGGATGGCTTGATTTAGGGAGTCAAATTTATTGGAGTCTATCATCATGATATCATATCGATATTCTTTTCTCAGCATCACAATCAATAAGAGTAGTGGGCTTCCGAATACCCACAAATATGGTGCTCCTTCATAATAGGTGTCTTCTACAATGATGCCAAATATGATCATACAAATTGTCCACATGATGATGGCATGTTGAGAATTTAGCACTTTGGAGTAATAATAGTTCAAATATACACTTGATTTATTGAATGAGAAGAATTGAATGACTGCAAAAAGTGTGATGATTATGACAACCAAAATTCTTAATTCACTTACGTTCAATAATGTAAAGCACAATACCAAGATTATTTTGAAAATCAAAAATTTCATATCGTCTCTGCCAGAAGTCTTACAAAGAGGGTTATTAGGTTGAAATCTTGACTCGTAGAAGGTCATCGTCACCAATCCACTTACGCATATTAGAATTAAGGCAGCAATAGCCGATAAAAAGGCATGCAATAAATAATTACCGGTGTAGCACTGTAAATCGCTGTAATAATTGTGATATCCTGTGGCCGAATCACAATAAAACACAGTTAAAAATAAATGTAGTACTGGCATAAAGAAGATGTAGTTTAGAATTTCAAAAAATATTTTTAGAACAACCAAAGGACCTGTCAATTTACCGACAGAAGAGGTTTATGCTTTTATTGCTATAAAGATTATCAGCACTATTAGTATAAAAAATAACCCCATTACTATATATAGCACCAGGATAAAACTTTGAAATTCGACATTTTTCAAATAGGGAGATATCATAAAGTATCCAAAAAATTGTTAAAATGATTCAGACCAGGATTTGACCTTCCACAAAGAAAGGAACTTAATTTTTATAATATTTAATTACTTCATCACTGAATGCAAAGTAAAACACTTAAAAGCTTTCAATCAGCACAAAGAAGATGTACAGAAATAATGGAAAGTTCTCTCCAGATATCAAGTAATAAATAATCTCAAAAAGGAGATTCTTGAAGGAATTTTACATCTTATCGATGGCTGACTTATCATCATCAAAGATTGAAATTCCTTACATAATAATAATAATTCAAATAATAATAATATTCATTTCACCGCCTATAATATCTCTCCTCCAATAAATTACTACTTCAAATTAGGGTATTTTTGTATAATGTCCATAGGTATCATATTCAACATTCCTTTAGTTCTCCAAATCTGCTTTGATAGATTATTCAAGTAAGGAGTCCAACAGAAAATGAATGCAGCAAACATCAAGACCAAGTAGATACTGAATTTCATTTGTTCAATCGAATCACTGTAAGATAAGAAGTCTGCAATGCCTGACATGAATCGATCTGTTAAGTAATCGCATGCAGGTGAAATATAGTACAGTAACCTATGCAACTTATCATGGTAAGTCTAATTGTTAATTGTAGAAATTAAGTCTAATTATTGTGATTGATATTCATACCTGCTCTGGCTCTTTGTGTATTCTTCCAGTAACTGATCATATCATTTGTGCTCAAAGCCACTGAGACAAAGGCTGTCTTCAACCCACTTGTAAGCAAGCCTGAGTCAACAGCCGCACATCCTGTTTAATCGGTAACAAAATTGTCTACATTTTAAGATATAAATGTTTACTTATACTAAAGTCATTGACGCATAGATTATTATATGTGAAAGCTTAAAACTTGGACAAGTAGGAATCATATTAAGAAGGAAATGACTGAGTCAAAGATTGGAACAAATTTCTCTCATTATCATATAATCTGCTTTGAAACTCAGTCCTCATGTCTAATGTATCTTCTAATTGAGTCTTGTTTGTGACCACTTCTTCGAATGTGAAGTAAACATTATATTTAATGGAAATGGGTCTTTTGGATGAATATTGAAGATGATCATAGGCCTTTTGCACATTATCCAGGAAGATCAATTCTAAATTAATATCCAAAATGAAATAAGAGATAAAGATAAGAGCAAAGATTAGGAATTGAACAATGACCACTGATTTGTTGTTATCCTTTGAGTTAAGCAACTTTTAGGAACGAAGATTTTCTATTTCCTCTTCGTTTTCTTTCTTATCTTGCTCTTATTGCTGTTGTTGTTTTTAATCGTTTTTGGTGGCTCCTTAAGTAAAGGCAGATGGAGTAGCCTTATTCTCAGATGGCTTGGCAGTGATTGATGTATGAATAGCATTTGAATTAGGTTGTCCAGTCTGCAATACATTTTATCCACTTCCATTTGATCCACTTTATTATTAGTTCTTCTTTTTATCACTTTTATCTTCTTCCTCATTATTCATTTCAAAAACTTCTTTGTTCTGTGTTTTTTCTACTTCAGGAGGTTGAACATTGGGCTAAGGAGGTTTATCTTCTTTATCAACAATTTCCTTCTTTTCATTCTTGTCCTCCAAGAATTCCTGCATGTAATTTTCACATTTAGCCGCTAACTCCTTTATTTCTTGTATTGGGATGATACCAAATAGTGACATGACCATATTGTTTGTCTTATGCACCTAAAACACAATTGGAATGAGAATCATTGCAGATACCACCAAACAGAATATGCCAACACCCATAATAACAAAGAAGGTTACCTAATAGTTGTTGATTTCATCCGAACTAAAAATCGAAAAATCTTTATGCAATATCCTCTGATCCCTTTCTCAAAACAAATAAGCCATTGGTCATCACATAAAAAAAGTTCTTTTGTGTATTGTCGACTGTTGTTACAGAACCATTAAATGATGCTGCAGATGAATTTCTCAATGAAGAAGCAGAAGTAATAATTTAAAATAATGCATCATTAAAAATGTTGTCGTAACTATTAATATTTAGAAAACAATTACATTTTCTCCTCTCCAGAAGTCAACAAAAACTTCACTTAATAAGTTTCCAAATTGGACGATCCAGTCATTCTAGCCTCCATTTTGATTCTGGCCTTGATGACATCAAATTGCACTACCTTCAAAGTATCCACCAAATAGGACAGCTAATCAATATTAAAACAGTATTACATTGGCCTTAATAAATGTGTCTGCATTTGCTGTAGTGTAACCATGTTTATCAGCTATGTAAGTACTGTTGCCCAACATCTACAGTAATCGAGTGTAAAAGTTGACATCTGCCATAATATTATGTCTCATATAGGATAAATAGATGGCATCAGCACCTTCTTAGACATCCGAACTTTGAGTCATTCTGTATCCCAATATAAGTGCACTTAGAACAATGAGTATGAGCATAATAAACCAGACAGTTCGTTTCAGAATACGAATGTATTTTGGCTCTGTTTTTTCTGAAATTAATGCCTTGAAGTCTTTCAATTATCTCATATCATCATTTACTGATCCACCTGATAAATTGGATTCTCCCTCAGATGCATTCACATCTTCTTAGACTTATTATTCATCCTTCATAACAGTTTTCATCTAATTCTATTGTGCTTCTTCAGCTGCTGGTTCCATCGATCTTTATTATTTAATTTCCTCATTCTCATCAACTTCATAAAATCTGATGATCTATATTTTTTAATCGCCAAATTCTGTCTCATCTTAAACAAAAGCTTTAATCTTATATTTTTTATATCTTTGCTACTTCTGCAACTTCTTACTTTTGGCCTCCTCTATTTTTGAATTCTAGACTTATTATTGCGATAAATCAACGGCAGTTTCTTTATATTAATGATTCTAATTGAGCATTTAACCTAAATTTGAATCTCCAATCTTAGATTACATCTATGAAGCTTATTATGGAGGTTCGTATATGTTTTCTTCCTCTTCCAGTGACATCTCATCATCACTTTCTCCTCGTCCCAACAGGAAGTTTTGTTGGAGTTAAGAAGTATCAATAGTAGTAACCAAGCCTTGAGATTTGAGATCATCCTAATTTTTACTATCCACTAATTCAGGAGCAATGGCATCAATAGTGAATTCATTAGTATTCGTTGAATTACCATAGACCAAAGATGCTGGAATACCATATCTGGTATAACAGGATTAAGTAATTCCCAAGATGGCTTGACTATTAACATTGATGATTATGAAATGCCACTCCTAATCGATTTCTTATTCACTTCTTAAATATGAACTTCCAGGTTCTATGTCTTTCAAGAATCCCACTATCTAAATTCCTTCATCCAAATTAGGCAAGACTTTAATCATGAGAGTGCATGGCACCAAATAATTGTTCTTATTTTGAGCTAATAGTATTCTTTCCTATCCAATCACTTTGGAATCACTGGTTTCTAAATAGTTCTTCATGAATTGATCGTGTTGATCAGCATATACTTTTGGCATGATTCTATTTACATTCTATCCAATTATGTCTGACTTAGAGAACCCTAGGATTCTAGTTATTTCGTTGTTAACATTAGTAACCACACCTATATTATTATAATTGCCTGAACAAGTGATAATACAAGTATTGGCATTTTCACCATACTTCTATCTTTCTTAATCTAATCCTAACTTATTGACAGCAGTGCTCTTTTGTATATATTCAGCTTTCTCCAAGATCCTTTATCCTTCCACATCGTCATTAACAATATCCTTCAAAAAGTTGCCGTATACTTACAGACATTTGATATGATTCTGATTCATCTCTTACAGTTTTTTGTAGAAATCACTTGTAGATTCAACAGTGTTTGTAATTTTAGATCCAAGTGATTACAATTTCTAAATGTCTGGGTTTTCTTCAAGTAGTTCTCTCCAAAATTCCATATGTAAAGTAACACTTTTTTCTATACTACCGAGGAAATTGACAAATTTATTTTAGAATACTACAATGATATTGACATCTACTCCTTTATTTTCAGATGTTCTCATATCATTCTCGATCATTTCCTCTTCAATCAGATTCTTATATCTATAAATACTAAATTCTTCCTGTAAATTCGGTTTGTTTTCTTCAGTGATCATCAATTCAAATAAGGCTTTGAATTTATTCTTCAATTTCTCATGATGTATGTATGAATTCAACAGATGCAATCTTGGACATTTTGGATACCTATCCAGAGCATCAGATATAATACTCTTTATTAGTTGATACCATCTCTTCAATTTTTGGGGTGTTTCTTCATCCTTCAAGTTGTCTGCTACCAATTACTGACAAACACAGTTTTCACTGGGCTTTCCACAATTTTTTAGATGCAACTTTAATACACCTTCCAACACAATTCTGGATTGAAGAATTTCACGATTTTCAATTAAATCCATGAGATGATTTATATAGATTTCGATGTCTGTCTCCTTTTTGAATGATTTAATGGGGGTTTTTAATAGCTGTTATTGTCTAAAAGTCAATAATTGGAAATAGACTAAGGAAAGCAATGGCATTCCCAAAATCATGTAAAACAATCCAATATCATCAACAGCACCTAAATCCAGAAATGCAGTTATGACGCCTACCAAACTTGCCCAGAAGAGTAATACTTCCTGCACTACGATGAATCCATATACACTCTTATTGTAATAGGGTGGAGATCGATATCTTTGGACCAGCAGGAGTAGATAAAATGCTGCCAAAAGAGATATGTAGACTTCTGCGATTTCGCCATTGAAATCCAGAGTCACGTAGAGAGGAAGAATGATTTTGATCAACTATCTAACCAATGGATTTTTGGACTGGGGAGATGCAAAGGGGATTGGGGAACTTGGATTGAGTTCAGCATAAAGCAATCCGAAATAGAGTACATTGATTAGAAATAAGATTAAGCCGATTATCTAAAATGAGTTATTATTGTACAGCCAATGATATATGCAAAAAGTGGAGACCAGCGTAACATTCTAAACCATCGGAAAAGGGAGCGTCGGAGTTGCAATAAATGGTGCCGATGAAGGAATTGAATATGGGGATTGTCAAAATGGTATTCAAAAGCAAGCCATACAAGGAAAATATTTTTAGACAGTATGTAAGAAAGGTGCTTGGCTTCCTCTTATTTGATGTCAGTTTGAATGTAATTATGATCAACAGGAACAACATGAGAATCTGAACTCCAAAGGACTATAAATAATACACAAATCAAACTTACAATGTACATTACTATTAACAGCACATTCACTCCACCGTTGAATATGATGTAATTCACTTAGAAGTATTGCAATGCATTACGGAAGTACTCCAACCACACCGTTTTGAATAGAAAATCTAAGTTGGGATGAATCGAATAATACAGCTATATAATGTGTCAATTCAAAAAATACAAGTTAGATGAGCTCAATCAATATTAGGAACTTGAACAAGAATGGACTGCAAACCTAATTCTGCAACAATTCGTGGGTGAGTCCATAAGTCCAGGTTTTTATCCTGTTCTCAAACCGTTCCCAAATGGACTCATCATAAAACACTCGTCGATTATTCATAATCATTTTTCGATATAAAATTAAATATGATTAATAAGTAAAATCAATTACCTAAGCACCCCAACATCTCATTCAAATAATACTGCGAATAGTTCGTTAAGGAAAGCCCAAAAGCCAAACTCAATAAAACAACTTTAGTCTTTGGAGACCAGTCACTAAATAAACTCAGAGAAAAACAGAAAGAATAATTCAAATCTTTTATCCAAGAGCACATAACTTAAACCAGGAAAATAAGAGACAATGCAGAATGTGATGCCACCATGTACATGGGACTAACATCCAAATGGCAGAGAGCAAAAAACGACTATTTTAAATAAGAAATCTCCCTCATAAAGCACGAACTGGATATGAGATATGTCAAGCAGAGTCAAGAACTCAATTTTGATTCCTGGAGGAGGATCGATTCAGTGAGCTAAAAAAGAGTTCGAGGGTTCTCAGTCGACACAACGATGAAAAAAACTCATCCAAAAACTTTCGCCACTAGTTTTCGATTTTGATGATATTCACTTTCTATATATGTATGTTTTCAAGGTAAGTCTTGCCTAAGATCGATATTTTTAGTTTAATAATTTATATTTATAAACCATAATCTTTTCAATTGTATTAATTTATAAATCTACATATATATATTAATAATAAATCTTCACTTCTTAAATCTCAGTATCATTCACTTCATTAAACTAAAATTAGAATCTTATAAATTTCTGATGAAACTTAGGTAAATTCTATTATTAAATTAGTAAGGTCAATAAACATAGATTAAATATCGAAATTGTTAAGCTTAACTAAATATAGTATAAACTGAAATTGATGGAGAATTAATCTGTTCATCTATGAATTTTTGAATGAGCTGCCTTTTGGAGAGATAAAGCTAGATTTAAGGTTAATTTAAAAAGTTAGTTTCTAAAAGGAGTGGAACAACTTTATTTAAACAATTTCATAAGCTATCACTCCTCCGCTTATGTTATCATATATAATTTTTTTATTCAGATTGTTGAAATTTTATTATTATCCAAAAGTATTATGAATTGAATCACAATCCCACTAAACTATAAAGTTGATTACATCCTATTAAAGTAAGGGCAGAATAATAAAAAAAATGATATCTGCCGTTTGAATTTGCTTCTCACTAAAATAAGTAAATAAATCAATAGAATTGGTCGATAAAGATTGAATCTAACTGAACCTGGTTCAAGATATATTATTTAAACAATATTATTAGTATCACCAGTAATAGAAATAAAAAAAATGCAGATTTTAATAATCAAATAGATTTTGACATAAATCTAGTACAAAAAATAAAGCTTTTCTTATGTTTTTCAAGAAGATTTAGCATATATATAAATTAGGTGATGAAATTAAAATTCATTTCGGAAGTAAAGCATGAAAAACGAATATGAAATATAAATTTATATTTTTAGTACAAAACCAGATATAAATTGCTAATATTTACACACCCTATTAGAGAGAATGATGAATGAGCATTCGAATGCAATTAAACTATTTATTTAATCAAATAGAGAGAATAGGAGACAAATAATACAAAGTAACAATAACTAAGGCTTCAAATTGATGTATAATATGTGAATGGGTGTGTGTGAGAGTAATGGTTTAGTCATATTGGTGTTGTGAAATGTTTGTATGAATTTATTATATAAATTATTATTATAAGATGTTGCCAAAATTACATTAAAGTTCGTCTGTGTAATCAGTTAGAACATCTGAAGATTTCAGTTTAAATGAAGCCAAAAGGAGATAAAAATAATTGGAGTTGGAGTCTTAGACTGTTGAGAATAGAATCAAATAATTAAAGAAGGAAAATGAGAAACTGTCAAAAAAAGTGGAAATGGCAGAACAATTGGCACTTGATGTGTATGCTTCACGACTTGCATAGAAGATGAAAGTAATTATTTCAGGTGTAATAAATAAAATAGAAAGAACAGAAATAACATCAACTATCTATGATTGATCCAACTAAATACTAGTAAACTTAATATGAAAGGATGCATCTCAAAAAGATGAAATAAGAGGTAAGAGAGATGAAGCATTAAGACGCTTAATTAATGAAAAACTCCATTAAATTCGAATTAATGAAAACAAATGAAGAGCAAATTAAAATTGCCCAAAATCTCAGGTTGAGAGCGACATTGAAGAAGGAGGAGGAGAAACTGTCTTAAGCGATGATCCAAGAAAAACTATATGAGAAATAATAGAAGGTGCGATTGGAGTAGGAGAGAGAGAGACAAAAGATAATTATGGAAAATGAAAAACATGAATACTCAATAAAGCAATTAGAAGCGTTGGAATTGAAATTAGTCGAAAAACTGCAGGCAACACAATAAAGAGAGTAGGCTGTAAAAGAGAAACTGATGGCAGCCACTAGATTGGCTCCTGAAGATTTCGATAGAACTTATTTGGGTGGTCAGTCAATAATTTAAGAGCAAGAGAAACAAGTAATAATGTATTAAGTAAATAAGGAGCAAAAACAGGAAGAGTAAAAAGAATAATAGGAAGGAGGGCAATAAGGAGAAGGAGGTCAATAGGGAGAAGGAGGTCAATCAGGTGAAGGAGGTTAAGGAACATAGACTGAATGATATGATTGAAATTAACGAAAATCAGTATATATATATTTCACAAGTATTTCTCAATTCAAATTAATTTAATAAAATGGATCGATCAACTCACTCTAATGCTCGACCATCTAGTGGGAGTAAAGATAAAAATGATCAAGGAAAAAAGGAACATGTCATAACATAGTTAGAATAGATTATTATGGAACGTTTGAGGAGTGCTGTCAAAGATATTGAAGTACCCTATTGTTGATATTCCCATTTTTAGGTTGAATAAGAAAAACAGATGAAGTAAAAACAAGATTAAGGGAAAAACGATTAAGTGGCTGTGGCTTTATGGTAGAAAATTAAGGGATGGGCAACTGAGCAACCATTTAGTAACTGATTTATTTAAATTTTTATAGAGAGAATAGCAAACCAAATTGTGGATAACCAAAAAATACCATAAGAAGCTAGATAAAGATTCAGCAAGCCCTTCTTGGATTAATAAAAATTGATTTTGAATATCGATTAGGACAAGTCTAAAGTTAAAATTAAGTTAAATGAATACTATTAAACTTTGGCCAAATCAACTCAAGATAATATGAATTCAATTAGTGTTAGTCTTGGTAGATTAGCAAATTCGGGTTGTTGTGGAAAGGGAGAAGCCTTAAAAAATTTTGAAAACGAATTTAGAAAAATAGAGTTTGACTTTATTTAATGGGCAGCGTTGCCTAATTTAGAAAATAATAATGTTGATATTGTTGTAGTTAAAACCAGTCTTAATTATGACGATTTTAGATCATTCCTAATTAAGCAATTAAATGATTATTTTCCTAGTGCAGCAGGAGAAACTAAGATAATCGAGAAACCTGTTGATAAAATAGTATATGTGGATAAACCAGTTGATAAAATCGTTTATGTTGATAAGCCTATTGAAAAGATAGTATATGTGGATAAACCTGTTGAGAAGAAAGTGGTTGAATATGTTGAGAAGGTTAAAGAAGTTCAAGTCTATAGAGATTAACCTGTTTCGGATGATAGATTGAGAACTGCACATGAGATGCTCTACGGTATTGGGAAACCTTAGAATATCACTGAGGCTCTAAATTTATACTATGAATTGGCAGAAGTAAACTAAGACGTTAATGCGCAAAATGTTATAGCCTAAATATTTTCTGAAGGCAAATTCTTCCCCAAAGATTTAAACAAAGCATATACTTATTGGGAGAAGAGTGCCGCAGCAAAAAATGCAGAAGGTTTGTATAGAATCGGTCGTTTGCTATTAGATGAATTGATTGATGGATAGATGCTATCTCAAGGGAAATTATAGACAAAGGATGAGTAAAAGTCAGAGGCTGTTGTATTCTTTTAGTAGGCAAGTGAATAGGGACATTTGGATGCACTGGTAGATTTGGGAGAGATATTTGAGAATGGACTCAAAAGCGAAGATGGGGAATAATGTACATATTATTAATCTTAAGTTTGTTAGATATACAAGATCCCAGTCTAGATTCAGCCTAGTTCTACTATTCTTAGGGAAAGAAAGTCAGATATCCTAGAGCTATTAATGCACTAGGATTATTTTATTACAACCATCCAGATTATTAAGAAATAGTAGTTGGAAATAACTATCGTAAAGCTATCAAATACTTCGAAATGGCCAAAGAACTTGGTTATGCCAATTCGCTCTATTGGTTGGCATAATGTCATGAATTTGGTTAAGGAGTTGGAGTCAATTTAGAGTAGGCAAAAAGCTATTATAAAGAAGGGGCATTGAAGGGGGATGTTGCTTGCAGACTGTAATACATGCATTTTGTGATGAAAGATTGCAGCAATTCAGGAAGGTAGGAAGATTATTTATTTGCTCATTAATACTTGATTCAGATCATGATTCAAAACCCAGAAATCACAGAAGTCTATTTCTATTTAGGACATCTCTATGAGTGTGGGTTTGGAGTGTAAAAGGATGCTCAAAATGCTATCCATTATTATTTTAAAGGAGCACAACTAAAGAATTCTAGTTGCATGACAAAATTAGGAGATTGTTACCATAGTGGATTTGGTGTACCACAGAATTAAAGAGAGGCTCTTAAATTTTACAGGGAGGCTGCTGAATTGAAGGATTCAGAAGCATTAATTAACATGGGTCTCATTTATGAATAGGGATATGAAGGAGTCAGTATAGATTTTGCCAAGGCTTTCAATGCTTATGAAGAGGCTTCGAAATTAGGGAATGCCAAGGCTGATTTCCATTTGGGATTGATGTATGAGGCTGGGAAATACGTTAAAAAGGATGTCAATTATGCAATACAAAGATATTAGAGATCTGCTCAAATGGGATGTCAGGAGGCTAGGGATCTGCTGAAAAAGAAATAGATCCCCATGTTGTATGATGATTCAGGGTTAAATGATTAAGAAATGAGTATCACATTAATTCTATCTTAGATATGCATGCTGCAAATAGAAATGCTCTCATGCTTAATGAGGTTATCCCCATGATTTAGAATCCCTATATCATTCAGCAAGTGAAAAAAACTAATTAATCAATCATTGCCTACAAATCTCAACATCAGGAAATGGGCGAGGGAAAAATGATCAGTATCCTTGCTCAACCAACTGCAACTCAATCCAATTATGTGCAAAGCTATTATTAGAAGCCAGGCTAGTAACATTGAGGTTATGGGAAATGATTATTCTTATATAATATTTTGATTGAATGTATTAAACTGTTGCCTTCTTTCGACTATGAGGTTAATGAAACGGAAACTACTTTCAATTCCAAAAGAATAATATTGTAATTTAAATAAATTACCCTTATTCTAAGCATACATTTCAAATGTTTCAAATTTATGAATGAATCATAATTAGATAATTTTAAAACTTATTATGTAGGAATTGGAAGAGTTCTTAGAAAAATAAAAGGACCTAAATCTCAAAATGCTGAGAGATATGTTGCAAACTTAAAGTCTCATCCAGCACAATTTGTCAATAGGATTGGACTCTTTGAAAAAGTGCATCGAAAATTTACCTACTAAAATTGTCCCCAAGTAGGGATTGCAATCCAGAATCACTATACATAGACAGAAGTATCAGATTTATTCTAATTAGCCAACATCAATTTATTTTGAGTCAATTGGGTCATAAGCATTTCATATCCTACTTGAATTTAGAAGAAGAGATCAAGGAGATCTATCGAGAGAGGATGTTCAATTTGTCTGTTAGTTTGAGAGGTATGAATGGAGAAGTTTTAGAGGATGAAGACTGTCCTGTTTATTTAAGAATGTAAAATTCCCTTACAACTCAGATACACATCGGAGAAATTTCCAAAAGAAGTTGATGCCAATATTAAAGGGAAACCAATATTTAAGGGATAAACACAAATACTTCTGAGAGGCAGAGGTGAATTTTAAAGAATTTCAATCACTGAAGTTTTCTATTCATGTAATTTTTAACTTAGGTGTCCTCTCATTTCCCTTCTGGAAAATTTATTTTAGTGATATTTTCGGAGAAATCTTACGTAAAACCCTACATAATTGATAATTTAATTGTTAAAGCGAAAAAATTGCTCAAATGAATTAAAAAATTATATATAAATATTAATGATAAATTTTATATGGTCATTAAAATTATGTTTCTCTTTAATAAATATTATGTTAATCAATTTTGATACAAATATATAATTAATTAATTCAAACGCAATAAATGTAAATTACAGAATTGTCTTTCTTGAAGATGCAATTTCAAGAAATTAGTCTAAACTTTAATTGCAATACCAAAGCAAGTCCAAGGAAAATTGAAAAAAAAGTATATATTATAATTTATTCAATTTAATAGCTTACTCATTACTTTAAATAAAAATTTAACAACTAAAGAATTTTAAATTTTGTTAACATTATCCAATTTAACATTTGAATATTTTTAAGAATATTTTTATTAGTTAAAATATAAATATTTATTGATTCTTAATAATTGAAAAAATTAATAATGATGTTCCAAAGCAGACTTAGATCTTAAGAAAAATAGCTTTATTTTCACAACTTTATTTCATGACATAATATTTCCATTCAATTGTATTAATTATTATTGTTGAAAAATCTTAGTAGAGCGATAAAATGTTTATTATTTAATTTCCTTTACTTATTTCCCATATATATATTTATAACTTATTAATTAATGATAACTTAGGTTATACTGATTTTTAACTACTTAATCCTTCAAAGATTTATCATAAAGTTCTATTTAAGTTTATGGAATTAAGTCAAGTAATATTTGTGTCATCCATCAGAGAATTTCCAAATTTTATATTAACCCTCTAATATTAATTATTACTTTTTTTCCTTGAAAATCTATATTCTTTCAGCCTATCAAATTGGCATATCTGTAGGAAGATAAGCTTGGTCTCTTATTGGAAATTAGATAAAAGGCTAACTGGAGAACTTTATAATATTTACTTGTCATTAATATTATAAATTATATTATTATATAATTTATTTATTATACTTTCTTGTTAATAATAGTGCTTAATTTTATATTTAATTTATAAAATAATGAAATCAAAGAAAAAGGAAAAGTCTTTAATTAAGGAGTTAGATGGGATTAGATCCTTGAAAAATGAAAGCATTGATTTGAAGGAGTTGGAAGATAAAATGGTTAAATTAATTGAAAAGGCGGCGCAATATTATCAAGATTAATTGGATAATAATATGGCATAATTTTATTTTGAATATGGAAGCATTTTAGTTTAAATATTGGAATAATCATAAGATTCTGTAGAGAATTCATTGAATTGCGTGGAAATTTCAAGAAATGATAGGGAATTAAAGAATACATAATTGGCCTTTGAGAACTTGGAAGCAGCAAAGACAATCATTCGAAACAGACTTGATAAGCAAAATATAGAGATGTATAAATTATAGGAATAGTTGCAACGTAAGCCTTTTTAGATTATGATAGAAATTAGATCGAAAATAAATGAGACTGAGTTAGAAATGAGTTTGATTTTGATACGCATAGGAGACCTCTAGACTTGGAGAGAAGATTACAAGGACGGATTACTAAATTTTTATGCGGCCTTGGACATTTTGAAAAACTCGTTTAATTATAAGGAACTTAGTGCTGTACATTTTAAAATAGGGAATGCTATTTTGTTGTAAAATGAAAATGGATGTGAGAAATTGAGTTTGAGTCATTTGGAACAATCCTTTCGTTATTGCTACTAGTAATTCTTTAACAAGGAGTGTGATATTGATTTGAGTGAAAAGAATTTGTCGAAGATAGTAATTGATAATGATTTATTGAAAATGCTAATTGAAAAGATGGAGGACACTTATATTCAGTTAAACGAAGTAAATGCGTGTTAAAAAGAGATAGAGAGATGGAAAAGTTCGGAACCAATTTTATAACAGGAAATATAATATTTAGGGAAGATTAGCAAATAATCACAGGAAATAAATGGGATTCAAATAAAAAGAAAAAATTGAGGTTGATTATTATATTCTGATTTTCATTTTTAATTATTAAATCTAATGAATCGAAATGGGCTTGAAAAAATTTGTAATCAAGCTACAAATTTCTGGAAATAATAATTGATTGCATCACCTAAATAAGATTAGGAAGTATCTACTAATGCTGGATCAAACATCTTAGAAGAATAATCTATTTTTGAAATATCTGCCAAAAAAACTGAATAATATCTCTTTCCTGATATAGAAATATCAAACTTAAAGAATGAAAAAAATGGGTTCGAATTCATTCAAAGAACAGCGAAACAGCAGCAACAATTTGAATTGGAAGATAATTATGAAGCAGAGGCCAGTTGTTCACAGTGTTCTGATTGTCTGAGTAAGAGAAGAGACAAAAAAAAATCAAAACCAAGAACTTGCAAATCAAGTAAGCCTATAAACTATTTTTAAGCAAAACAAAGGTTTACTATATCTGAAGAAGCTTTCATTATGGAGTAATCACGAAAGGGAACTAGCTTTACCGATATAGCTTAACAAATTCCAGGCTCTACTGTTAATTAAGTCAAACACCATCTCCTGAAAAAACTTAAAATTTGTAGTAAAAATACAGATCTTCAAGGAGATAGTATTGCAGAAATTATCTTAAAAATCTAATAACTATAACAGTAAGACCTAATTATATTTTAGAAATGAGGATTTAGATAATGCTGATAAAATTTAAGAACTCAGATAACATATATCTTAAATAGAAAATCATTTGCATCAAACTAAGCAAATGATACTGTAAAAGTATATGGTATTGTTTCAATAATAATGACAATGAGTAGATATCTTTCATATTTTAATCATTTAAGTAATAAAAGTAGATTATTCCTAATATTATAATATACTTATGTTTCTCTAATTTTTCGATTTCACTACCTAAGAATATTCATCAAAATAATGGAAAGAATATAATATGGATGAGATATTTATAAAAATAATTTTTATAAATAGTGAATTTATATTCAAAAGAATTCTAAATAAACTCTTTTAGTAAAATCATTAGTTCTAAGTTTTGAAAAAAAGTCTTTGATTTCAATTTCATTTGTAAAGAATCTACTCTCTGAAGACACCTAAGATAATTATTTGAGATAAAGCATATTCATATTCTAGTTAGCAATATTGAAAATTAGTAAGTGGATATTCTTCTTTTCTATCAAGCTTTTCAATCTATCAATTGACATTTGGTTGTAATTGTGAACTCCTTCACTAAATATGCATACATATCTGATGGTGTGTTCATCTTTTTCTTCATCAATGTTATCAATATCAACTTTATATTGATTCTAAGAAATATTATCTTCAATTCTTACCATATTTTAATTTAAACTAACATTATCAAACTAATTTTCTTCGTATTATTTCAAGGCCTAACTAAATCCACCTGAAACCGTTATTCCTACTCTGGGTGAACTCGTCTTGCATCTAAACTCCATATCCGAGCATCTGAATTCCTCTTATTCAATTTGCTATTTGATCTAATTTGATTTCAAGTGTAACGATAATTATTTGCTTTACTCTGGCTTATCCTTCTCAAACAAAGATGCTATCGTAATCTCAAGGGCTGAGAAGATGTTACCTTATCCGCCTGGTTTGATCAAAACCTTTTCTATAGTTGATTCTAAAAGCTTTTTGTAGGTTCCCTTCAATTGTAAAGGGAATATCTCATGGAGGGATTCGTTGAATGCATATAGTCCAACAAATGAGTCATCATTCAAAGATTAGACAACATTCTGACACATATGATGAGATAAAGTAAATTGCTCTGTCGTCATTTCTGATGAGTAATCAAGTAGAAAGATCAGTTCGAGTCTTTTAAGTTAATTTTATTGTGAGAATTTGATCAAGCAATTATGATCTACATTGCATCTTTTAAATATTTTGGTTAATGTCTTCAATACAAATTTCTAAAATCCAGGATCATAGTGTCCTTCTGCTTTTAGAATAGAAATAAACTTATAACAAGCTTCGACATACTCTCCTCTAATCATTAATAACGATGCCTAAATGAGTCAAACTAATTACCTCTAAACCTGTTAACTTTTCTCTTAAAATTTCTAAAGGAATATCTCTAAAAATATCCACAAAATCAGAAATTTCCAGTTATTTAATTTCAGTCCTATTGTTTTACAAATTTTTCAATTTAGTTTCAGCTTCTTCCAATTCTAATTTTGCTTTCTCCAGCATTCCAGCTCTGGCAAAACAAAACGCCTTTTTTGCTATGATATTGATCTTCATATATAGAATAGAAAAGCATTCAGGAAGATTCTAAAGATCATCCATAATATCATTGAATTGTTTAACACTTTCATTAAGAAATGTTGATTAAGATTTTGTCATACTATAATTGTAAAGAATACAAGCCAATTGATATTTTCTAAATACAATTTTGTGTTCAATAATAACCTACTTTTTAGAGTATTCTTCAGTATTTTATATTCTAGAAATAGGACTAGACTTTTTTGGACTTCCTAAATTCTCCAATCGTTCACTAGGTAAATCAACATTTTCTTCTTGAATTGGATTTTTATCTTCCTGGTATGTTTTTCTAAACATAGTATTTGTTCGCTTAGGTGTTTGTTGATTCAAATTATGCACCTCAGATTCTATTGAACTTTTAATTTAGGTATCATTTTTAAACCTTTAAGTAGTTTACCTTCTTACTGTAAAATTTTGAGAGTTTTAAATGACCTTTGTTTTACTTTCCAAATCTTTTATAACTTCCTTCATCACTTTTTCTTCTTGTCTTTAGAATTTTTATAAAACATTATTTTTTAACCTAAGATACAATTTAATTAATTATTAATCATCTTATGGCTGTGCTGCTTAATTTGCATACTATTCCATTTCTTTTAAACTTTACAAATCTTAATTTGCTATCAACACTGATTCCTCTTATTCATTCATAGCTTCAAGATATCTTTGATTTCTCATATGAATTTTAGCAATATTATTGGCACAGATGCCAACAGCAGGGTTATTATAGTATTTTTTATAGAATCTCTTTGACATACTTAAGATGATTAAGGCTTCAGCTTCATCCATATCTTTAGATCCCTATAAGAGTTTATTATTTGAGTATTTAATGCTATTCAAGTAATTGATTATGACTTCATAGAATTTCCTTATTTCTTTATTGTTAAAGAGATCCTTATAACTCTCTAAATTGAAGTATTGTATTTCAAGATATTTCATATCCACTTTAGTTAATTTAATCAATTAATTAATGGGAACTTCAAGAGAAAGTGCAATCACTACACCTTTCCTCCAGAAATAAATGATGAGAACTGCATGCAAAGCACATGCAATAATGATAAGATTCATTGAAATCTTTGATGCTTCTTCATTTTGACCTGCCAACTGTTTGTAATACGACAGTGACATCGACTATAGATAAATCATCGAGCATTTAGTAATTAATTCTTTGGTAAGAGTAATATTTGGGAAGTTTGGATGCACAAAATGGTAAGAAGAAAACAATACTATTCGTTGTTCTCCCATTCCATCATAAAGCATTCTCCATTTTCTAAATTCTATTGGGACAGTAACTAATGTGTAGAGTTGGTCAGTGAAATCGCTGGTTTGATTAGGCCACAGTTATAAAGCATCTTCGAGGGTGCTATTAACAAGTGCTCCATCGGAAATGATATTAATGTGGCCATTTGTTAGAAACGAATAAATTACTGGTGCACCTGAATTAATTATCGCAAGTTCTCTTTTCTTTTAAATGTGCAATTTGCATTCAGAACCTTCTTTTCCAGCCCTCATTCTCCAAACTTCATTATTTAAGTCTAATTTAGGGTATGCGATTTGTGGAGAATATCCACTAATATAATCGAAGCAATCATTATATGTCTTACAATTGGATATCGATGTTTCGTACCAATCATCGGAAGTTTTGATGTCAGTACTATAAAATGAAATGCCTAATCCATTTTAACACAAAAAATGAAAGTGATCAAATACATTATTTTTATTGTAGATCTCAATCAATTTCGATAGGGGGGAGTAATATTGTAATAGTTAATATTAACTTGGGTAGTCAAGTTTCAAAATGTACAAATCAGTGACATTGCTAAAATACCATTTTAATCCAAGCAAACTCTCATCGTCTAATTGTTGATAATCATCAATGTAATCTATTAGATTTTAAATAGCATAAAGTGAATTGATATTAGGTCTATTGGATCTTCCATAATAATATCGAGCAAATCGAAGTCTACTCTAATCTAATACTATTGACTTTTACCAATGAAGACTCGTTATAAATTCCTTAGGACAGTGTCTCACTCTCTGTTCTATACTCTTCATCAAAATATTAACCTAATAACAACACCAGACTAAACAGAAAATAGTAAAGTGATAAAAACACTATCATCAAAATTAGCTTGATCCTCAATTTCATAAAATTAATATATTATTATTATTATCTCCAAACTTATAATTAATTATATCATAGTTCAATTATCTTAATGTTAATGCTGTAGCTTTATTATGTTATCAGTTATGGTCTTAAACTCTTAACTCAACTAACGAATATTGAATGATATTACAGATTCTAATAACGAAGTTAAATCATCAAACTATGATTTTATTCTCTTAACATTCTCATCAGTTAGTTCTGGAGGCATTATCAAAGGCTTTTCAGATTCTTTCTATGGTTTTTATGTTCCTGCACAAGCTCCCATTGAAATATAAAATAAATATTATTATATATTAATCATTCTTTCGATTCGTTTTAAATTAGGAGGAAGTCCAAAAATATAAAATTCTTATCAATTAGACCATTATCTATTAGGTAATTTAGTGAAAATAAGGTGGTTAACATAGTACTTAAAATAGATATTAGGATGTAGCCACTAAATATGAGGACTTTTTCTGCTTATTATTCTTTCAATATTGAATTCTAAGTCTAAACTATTTTGAAGTACATGTTGTATGAAATATATCAATTAAAACTTCAAATTATTTTTAATAACGAACATATATTTTTAACTTTATCACGGACCATCTCATTCTCCATAACTTAGCTCATTAAGAACGATTATGAAAAGTAGTTTATTAGTATTTTTACATTATATATTGATAATGATATTCATTCAAAAAGAGAATAAGTTCTACTTTACACAAGGCTATCATATCCATTTAAGCTAATAATACCTAGGAAAAAGAGTATATTAGCATTAATTAAATTGGTTTCCTGACGATTTATTTCAAATAGAAAATAATCATTATTAAATATTAATTGCTTTGCAACTACTAGTTGTTTAACACTATTTATATAATACTTATATTAAAATTATATACACATTATATTCAAAAATTTATTATGTATGGCAATAAAGAATGCTACAAACAGTATTAAAATATTTGGTTTACATTTAATTAGAAAAAAATCGAACCAAAATAAATTCTTAATTATTTTAATTAAAATTAATGATCGAAGAAGAATACAGACCTGAAGATAAAGCTTCAATAAAAAAGAAATATAAAGTATTTCAAACTCTTGCTTCAATGATAAGACAAAGAGGGTACTTTGAAGCCAACCCTCCTATTCTTATTGAAGATGAACCTTTCGAGTTGTTTGAAGCAAAATATCGAACAGATGTGTTACCTTAGAGAGTAGTTTGCTTTAAAGTAAGGAATTCCCTGTAATTATATGATAGAAAGAGGACGAGACAGACAAAATGGTTATCTAATTTTACACTAAATAAACAGCTCTAAATTACGATGATGCAAAAAAATATATTAGTGAGCTTTCTAATCGATAAGTCAAGAGACTCATAATGGTATTTCCGACTGACCCATTTGCGACTAAACCATAAGTGGTGGAAAAAAAGGCAAGGTTTTTTATAGATTAAGTCAATTCCATCTAAACCTACTCGTTTGAATTGTTTGGAGAAGACGATTTAGTCTACGATGTCACTAAGCACGAATTAGTACCTCAACATATCATTTTAAATGATAAAGAGAAAGAGGTAAAGTTCATTTGATAAATTTAGTTATTATTGAAGAAGTATGGGATGGTGGATAATCAATTGCCAAGGATATTACAAAGTGATCCAATAGCAAGATTTTTGGGACTTCATCATGGAGATGTGGTAAAAATCATAAGAAAAAGTGAAACTGCAGGATTATATGTTACTTACAGAATAGCCATATGATTTGAATATATAATTAACTAAAATATAGTACAATCATTCGCATGACTTTAGAAGATTGGTTATTTTATCATCAGAACTCTCCAATTTATGATAGAAAAGCACTCTATTATTTTATATAATATAAATGTTGTATAGCTATAATATTGTGTTGAATAATTTAATGTTTATGCTTTCATGAAAACCATCTTTACTAAATCTCCACAAAAGATTTAGGTTAAATTTAGTAATCGAAATGAGTGCATACGATAAGTATCATGCATATTGATATTCCAATAAAGATAAGAGTCAATCCAACTTTTTTGTTATAGAAGCTTGTCTATATTAGAAAATATTATACCAATATGATACTCCAACTGTAATCAACCAAAACACACTTGCAAATATAAACCCAACTATTCCGCCCAAATAAGGTCCTATGTCCAACTATCCAAACATTGGGAACAATGATAATACCTCAAGATTAAACAAAGAGTGTTACCTAATAGATTGGCAAAAAGAACATCCAAATTCCCAAGAACATTAAGAAAAATGCCAGAACTCTAATTTTATTCAGGTCACTCTATTTGAATGTCAATTTTGATTCAAATATTTCTTCCAATGAAACCAAACCCTCTTCTACATAATCGATATTCTACTCGTCTTGTGACCATTCATTCCACACAATCCATTGATACACCTTCTAACAGACCAATTCTTAACAACCCTTTATAGAAATTGCATAAATACTTGTCTTGTCGAACTCATACTGCATCCCTAAGTAGATTCAAGAATGGGAATATGGATTTCTATGGGGTTCAATTAAATGCCATAGGATTTACAAACTACAGTAAGCAATTGAGTGGGAATGTACCAAAAGGAAATTCTTAATGTTGTGTTTCCAACCAAGTAAATGTTGTTCTAGTCTATTTGATACTCTGGATAATGATTTGGATTAAGTTTAAGTTTCTGCCAATTGTTCAACTTTTCAATTTGATTATCATTCAATTAATAACCTTTTAGGAAACATTAACTATTTTGAATCTGAGATTTCCACATTGATAATTACACTTCATTGTCCTCGTCATCATACCACTGTATTTCGCTTTCTCTTTCTATCCATTTGCGATCTCCTTAATTGTTAATTACCAACTCCTCCACTTTTCTATAAAATCTAATTGCATTTTCAACTTTAATCCCTGTTAAGTAATCAATCAGGAACTCTTCTGTGGTTAATGTGGATCCTTGCAATATTATCAATTAATTTTCATTCTTCAATTCTGCTACATCCTTTAATATCATATGATGTTTGTATTTCCTAGCCTCGGAATTCAAGAGCAAAGGGAATGCAATGAAAACTGTTAGGGCACCCAAAAAGAATTCAGTTTATGCCAACCATTCAGGTTCATCAGTTACAATTTATTCTATTTTTGGTCTCTGATGTTACTCAAACACTTTTGTATCACTGATTGGTGATTACAATTCAGCATAATCAGGAATTTCATTTTCAGCCTCGCTCATCAACAGAAGCATCTATTCATTTGTTCCATCTCCTATTGTCTCTGCCATTGCAAGCATTTATTCAATTAAGGGATTCTGCTCAAACAATAACACTCCTGCTTAAAATATTAATTCCTATTAGTATAAATCATCATTAATAAACGCATCTTCCAGAATATCATTTCCTTAAAAGTAGTCCTCGATCTAAGCCTTCAATATATCCTCACTTAATCCTATCCAAAAAATGAAAAATAAAAAACGGAACATATATAAAATTTTATATTATCATACCAATAATATTAAAAACTATATAACAATAACTTTCTTCATTTCCTCTCCCTCTCTTATAGTTTAAATGAACTCAGAATATTTTTGGCCTTAATATAGAGTGAAGCCTATTATTTCAGGAGGGTGTGTTTCAAATCAAAATGAACAACTCTAAAAATTCAAAATCAATATTACAAATCCTATGCTAGATTCTATTACATCGATTAATTCGGACATAGATGAACCATTAAAATAAATATTATTACAAGCAGGCTTACAGTAATAAGATCTTAACAATCCCTCTTACAATTCTTTGTTTCGTTATCTGTCCCAAGAACCGCTAAAAAACACTACTAAATTAATAGCCAATAAATAATAAAGAAAGACATAGCCTCAAGTACCAAGTAGGCATTCTACAATAATGCCAAAGAAATCTATAGTAGTGTCTCAATTCAATTTTCAACATAGTATATATAATATCAATCAATTACATAGACAGTTCGAATGCTTAAAACAAACCCCCTCCCAAACTATTGAGTAGATTCCCTGCCATAGATTTAATTGAATAAATCTAGACACTAAATTTAAAACAAATAGAGTAGCAATAAGGCTAAGAGGATGATATGGAACCAAAATTTGCCTTAAATCTTATAACAAATGAAAGAAATCTGGACTACAGTTTTTCAAGTTAATCTGATGATTTAGACAATGAGAAAATAGATTCTTGATTTTGATTTTCTAAAACACAACCATCTATAAAATATTATTATATGAACAAAAATGTATTTTCTGAAGATAAAATTCTATGATTAATCAAGAATTTTGTTTAAGTTTCAGAATAACTTAATATCTGATTAATGGATGGTAAAACAAACATCAAAAGAATGTTTTACCTCATTTTAATCATTTGTTAAATATTTTAATTTATTTATTAAAATAACTATAAAATAAAATCCTTTAAAATCATGGATTAATATAGACGATTTAAGAATTAAAATATTTTCTATTAGATTTTTAATGTAATAACATAGTTCCATCAGAAATAGTTGAAATTTGATAAATTCTCTCTTTAAAAAAAGCTTCCAAAAATTAATCTTTATTCGATTTACTACTTTTCTATACGATATGCATTTGCTACTCTTTGATATCCAAAGGAAAGCATTATTAGAAATAGGGCTTAGAGTTGGAAATTGAATAAAGTGTATATAATCTAATTTAAAAACGAGAAATCTTTTAATTTTATATTATTTTTTTGTTATTTTAATTTATATTACAATGAATTGACGCATTAAATTAATAAAATGAGCAAACAATATAAGAGCATAAATGATTTGCCAGATTGGGTGAAAATGATCACAGGTGGTATTGCAGGTAGTGTAGCAGAGGCTATAACCATCCCTATTGATACAGCTGTAATGTTATACATTGATATTTGAAAATAGAAGGTGCGTCTTTAAATCCAAAAGCCAGATGCGAATGGGAAGTACAGATATCACGGATTGTTACACACAACTCGACAAATTTATGGTGAAGAGGGAGTTTCAAGTTTGTTCAAGGGTCTTTCAGCAGGAATCCAGAGACAATTAGTGTTTGCATCAATCCGTATTGGATTGTATGAACCTGTAAGGATTAATTATTGAATATCAAAGACGCGTGATTTCTTCTGTGGAAAAGATTTCAAAGGTGATCCTCCCCTGTCTAAAAAGATTTATGCAGGTCTAGCCACAGGTGGAATTGGTATCTCAATCGCAAGTCCATTTGATGTGATAAAGGTGAGATTTTAGGTCGATGGTAATCTTCCAGCTGATTAACGTCGTTATAAGAACTTGACAGATGCATACATTAAGATCTACAAACAAGATGGGTAATAGATATTTATGAATTTAAGGTTGCACGGATTTTGGAGAGGAGTAACTCCAAACATCATTAGAAATGCTGTGATTAATTGTGCTGAGTTAGCCACCTTTGATCACATCAAGGAATCTCTAATTAAAACCGGGTTATTCCATGAAGGTTTAACATGCCATTTTGCTTCAAGTGCTTGTGCAGGATTCATAGCAGCAGTGGTTGGATAGCCAGTTGATTTGATTAAGACTAGAGTTATGAATCAAAATGTTGGTGTTTTAACAGTTGTGAGTAACATCATAAAAAACGAAGTAAGAAATTTCAATCGATTATGAATAGGGAGTGTTAAATCTATACAATGGATTCTCAGCAAATGCAGGTAGAATCATCACATGGAACATTTGCATGTTTGTTACATTAGGCTAAGTTAGATTATATGCATTAAATAATTTCTATAAGTCACCAGAATGATATAATTATATATATGAATCATTAAAAATATTTGAATATTTCCCAATAGGATCTAATTAGAATAATGAACTATATAGCCCTTATTAAAGAACTTTGTAAGATGTCATTTAAACTCAAGTAATTAGATATTAGAATGATAACTATTAGAGATTTATGTGTTTGGAGTATTAAATCTTGCTTTTTTTTAATTATAAATTATTTATCAACATTCATTGTAAAGTGTTATGCTTAAGAAACTAAAGTATTAACTGATGAGATAGAAAAATTAATACAGTTTCGATATCAAAATTTCTTTTAGAATAAGAATGAAAAGGATTAGCAACTTAGAAGTTTGGACAATTCAGATAGTTTTCTTAATTCTCTCTTGCTTTTTGTAGTTTAAAATAATTAAATTAATAATTTATATCAAAATTAATGTAATTTATCAACTATTTTCTTAATATTTGAGAAACATTCAATATAACAATCGTCCATTTCAAGAGCCATTGAATATTTGCAATTGAATAAACAATCTTCTATTCCATTTTCATATGTTTTGGTAACTTTTTTTAAATAGTTTTTTGGTGCTTCTCTCTTTTTCAACCAATATTCTATGCATTCTTGATCTTTGCATTTGGCTATTTCCTAGACAGTTTTTAGATGTGCTTTCCTTATTAAGGGATTGTAATATGATTCAATTAATTGCGACCATTTATCCTGTATTTCATTTTCCAATTCCTTAATTTGATTCTTCTTATCCATTAATAATAATTATTATGGATTTTTATATTGATAATTTTTACACTTGGTCACTTTATGTAAAATTCTGCGGCTTACTTTTTTCATTAAACGCATTAATGAGAAAAGGAATAAATGGGGAGTGGCTTTAGAAACCTTAATGATGTATTTTATTGGAACCTTGATGTGAAACCTTTACATTGGTGATACCAGATTATTAAAATTCTTTTTGATTTGGATTGAGTAGATCTTCTCTATTGCATTGAGTGCTTATATCATTTATCTTTTCTACAAATTCAGGTAAGCTCATTTTCATTTTTATCATAGACACACTGGTCTTCATTTAATAAAAGATCGACGCTTTTCTCTAACTCTTATCCCAATATTCTTATTATTTATTGAACACATAGGACGAAGGACGAAATTTATTTTACAGTTCAAATATTTGTTTCTATGAGTCTATTCATTGAAGCTTGTGCCTTTTTGCCTCAAATTTATATGAGGAATTTTTTTTAGAACAAAATTTGCATCTTGATCAAAACAGTTGAGCCTGACATCTAGAAATACTTGTAACTATGGGATTTTCTTCACTTCTGAGAATAGTCTTTTGGGTTTTGAATTATAAGGTTGGGCAGAAGTTTTTATTTTTGATATTTGAAGATGTTATAAATATGTTCTTCATTGTCATTATTTTTTTTTTAGGGATTGAGATTAATAACTGGAGCTATTTTATGGTGAAAAAAAAAAATCTGCCTAAATAAAATTAATTGTACATCATTTTTTCACAATATATATTATAATTTTTATGTTATTTACTATTATTTTCATTGTAACAATTACATAATTACAAAAATCATATTAAATATATAAGTAAGAAATCATACCATAGATCAATTCAAATATTGCTATCTGACAGCATGGACAATTCATTAAACTAAATTTGAGGAAAAAGCACTAAAATCAGGAGTTACAACACTGAAAAGAGACCCTTGATAGAGTGAATCTCCATGAGGGTAACTACTACTGTTATTTTTATTTTGGAAGGTGAGCATACTCATTTTCTTTGATGATTCTAATTTATCTAAACCACTAATGAATTCAAAATCTTCAATAAATTTTATTTCTTAATGTTGGGGGGATGATTCAATCATTAATTCAGTTTTATCTATATCCCTTTTTTCACAGCTCTTGCAGATTTATCCCATATACTCAATATTAATAAAATCAAATTATTATTATATACTAATTGAAGAAATTTCACTTTTACCTTCATCATCAGATACTCTTGATTACAACGATGATGAAATTACAATGTCATATATCCCTTTTTTTAATCAAATTCAAATTGTATCAAATTCAAGTAGTAAACTTGCTATCTTTTTATATTAAAGAAACTGAAGTTAATTAGCATTAATAAATTTTTATTCAAATGAACTCTCATAAATTACTAAAATTATTAATTTAAAAACAATTCTCTTTTTTTTATGATGGGTTTATTCTTTATTTTCAAAATAGTTATTAATATTCTTTGATCTAACTTGATTTCTTTTAACTGAAAGTTCATAAATTATTTGTAAACTTAAATAAAAACATCACCATTTGAAACAATAGAAATTGATGCCTCAAATTTTGGCAGATTATATGATCTTAGAAATATCTTTGATTCTTATGCAACGAGAATTTTTCCATATTTTTAAACTCTGTAATTTTAATAATGATCTTATCAATATCGTTTAATTGTGCTCAGAAGATATCAATTATAAAAAATCATTAAAAATTCTTTTATTTTTCTACAAAAATAGACATTATCTATAATAATAAATTTTGTTTATTCTAATTTATTAATCTTCCATTAAGTTTCTAATTTCCATTATAAATTATACACTCTACTAAAATTTAAATTCAATTTGTAGTGAAGTGGTTAACACGCCGGATTCCAAATCCGAAGGTCCGAGGTTCGAATCCTCGCAAATTGCTTTTTTTAATATTTAATAATTAAAAATAGATTAAATAATTAAGAATCCATTTTCATGATAGATCATAAATAATAATTTTCAAAGTGTAATCCTCCATATTCTAAAAAAGAGGGGTTTTCTAAGAATTGTTCTTTTGTTTATCTTGTCCAATTCTCTTCGGATAAATATTCAATGTTGATTGCTTTTTATTTAAGACTAGCGCTTACTGTTTACCAAGCAAATCTAATGTCTTATGGATAAATAAAAACAGGAATGCTGACTTTAGAGAGAAACTCTCTTGTCAGAGCATCTGAAGGGTAACCCGATCCCATTTATCCAGATGGATAAATATCTTATTATATTTGCAGCAATCGAGTATTCCTTTCTTGCAAAGACACAATTTAGGCTGCAATTATTGTTTAATGCATTCCCACAATAAATTTTAAGTCATTATTTCCTAAGCCAAGACCCTTTTTCAAAACTTCATTCAAATTTTCCTTGAAACCAATGGGATTAATATAACACTCTATCTATTAAATATCTAATTGCTACCAATAATTTTGTATCCTTTTGACAGTATATTTTTAATAAGTTATAATGTGTAATTTAAACTAATTTCATTTACATCAGAAGGAGTATACGCCAAGATCTTAGTTGATAATTTTTGGGCGCTAATTTCGATTGTTTCAAATTGCAATGCCTTGCCTTTAAGTTTACTAATTATTTCTGAACTTTCAACTTGATTTTAGTAGAATTGTTTATTGAGTGATAAAGAACATTATTTAACAATGTAATTATGATTCGTGATTGGCCAAAAGCAACCTGCAATTATGATAGGTCCAATCAGAGGTCCTCTGCCTGCTTCAAAAATACCTAGTATCCATTCCGAATTGGCTTTAAGATCTTCTAGATTTTGAGGAAGTTCATCTGAAGAATTGTTGTTAAATACATTCATAATTGAATTTAACTTTAAATAATTTTGAATTTGCTTAACATTTTTCTTCCTTTTAAAGTAATACCTTCATTCTCTAACATCAATTGAATTAAGCAACACTTATAAAGTAAACACAAAGTTTTGTAATTTAATAAAATATAAAAAATTAGAATAGAAAAAAGATTATTTTATTTGTCATCCAATTAAAGCATAGTCTAAACTATTGTAAGCAATAAAGAAGAATTCAAGATCATGATCTCTCATAAAATAAATCGATTTATAAATTAAGAACAACCACCCATTCATATAAATTATTTCTGGTGGATTCTGACAGTCCTAAGTAATCAGAGTAAATAAAAAAGTTCTGAAATTTAATCACTGTTAACCTAATCAATCGAATATATGATTTTATTTTAATTGATTAATTCTTGCTCAAAAAAGGAAAGATTTCTTTGGCTGTTGATTTACGCTTAACATTTAAATAATCATCCTTGCCATCCAATTATCAATCATTTAATATCAAGTTCTAATCTAACCTTTATCGCTTATTATAAGCGTTGCTATTTCAATATATAATAGGTTCTGAAGAGAAATCGACTAACTATAGAATACAATCCAAACTTACTTCGCAATATTAGAAATAATAGAAATACAACTTAAATATGAACCAAAATAATTGAAAATGTACATGTTTGCATAAATGCCGAAAGAATTCCTTAATGTTTTTTTCTCCACCTCCCAGAATCTCATTATATAATAAACTGAATTTATAATTGTAGAATCAAAATTTAGCCTAATTAAGCCAACTTCAAAGAACAGCAAATTGTATGGTTCCCTTGTACCAAAATTGAAGAAATATATCCCACCAACGACAAGGACAACCTGTGAATGCAAGAATAGTATATAACTCATTTAATTCGAGGTTTTTATTATTATTATTAATATATTATACACACTAAATTTAAATGTATTTTAGTTTCTATTACTATTTGGATAAGATATTATACCTTTAATAATTCTTATTTTAGATTATTAATAGAGGTGATTGATTCAAGATTGAAATTATGTTTTTAGAATAGTATTTAAATTAATAATAGAGAATATTATTATTTAAATATTTTTCATCCATAGATGAGTTTAAGTACACCTGATAAAAGGACACTAGAGAAACAAAAGAAGCTTTTGATAAAGAAAATAATGGGCTGGATAAGGCAATGCTTTAATGATCGCGAAATTGGATTTCATCCTTTCATATTATGTGTTTCAATAAAGCCAAGCGTTAATTCAAGATGTGCAACAATTCAAAGTTATCCAAATTAGGAGTTGTGGAAGAGTTTACATTAACTCAAAGGTCAAGAATTACTCTCATAGATTATCTAGGAGGTATCTGAAAAAACATTTAAACTTAAAGACAAATACGATAATTCATTAATTTAATAGTTTTTAACCAGAATACAGAATAACTTTGATTTTTGTAAGTTCTATAAAGAGACTCAAGAATCAAATTATGATTCGGAGCATGCTTCATAATTGACAGAATTAAATTATATTAATTAAAACACAAAATAATTCTAGAAAATTGATAGTGAATCTAAATAACTACTCAAATAAATTGAATTATGTAATACAAAATAAGGTTCAATAATTTCTATTGAAAAGCAACATTATCATAAGCTCTCCTAACTGTATGAAAAAATATGCTCGGTGCCAGAAGAAAATTATTCTATCGAGATGAAAAAGTTCAGAAATTAATTATCCTTGCTTTTAGAATCTACTGAAAGCCCATAAAAGAAGCAAGTGTGTATTAAAAATGAGTTTTAAACTGAGAAGGTAGACATGTCTATTTAAAATACTGAAATATAGAAGGATGAATAACAACATCATCTATTATAAGATATAAAATAAGAAGTTCTATCAATAATGCCCGAAATTGTATTATTCCTCCCAAGTGAATAAAATATTAAAAGAGTCAATAAAAATGAACTAAATTAAATTGAGGAAGACTTCTTTAAAGAATTGTACTTTTTCAAGGCTCTTGATTCTGGAACTTTAACGTCTTACAATATCACCTTTTTGTGGAAACATTATTTCTAACCAATGTTAGAATAAGTATATCACTAACAGCAATAAATAAAAACTGAATGAGTCCTTAATTGTATATAATAACTAACAATTTAATTTATTATTGATTAATCTATTAAAACATTTATAATAAATATAAACCATCTGATAAAATATTTTTTAGAGAAAGAAAATAACTTATTTTATAATTTCTTGTAAGCTATATTTAGAACCAAATTAAGGACATTCATAATTTGAACCTTGGATGACTTTCTCTTCTTTAGTGAGGAATTGATGTAATATAGGAAAATATAAAACAGATTCTAAAATTATCTAGAAAGTAATGGTATAATTAGTATATGATGGATTTTCAACTTACTTCATTTCAATCAGTTAAAGGTCCAACGGATGGACCAAACCTCAAGAATGCTACATCTGTGAGTGTTTATTTGGAGCTAAATGGAGTTAACCCTGTTGAAGATTTACACCATCCTTGAGTAATTAATTGAGCTATTGAGAAGTTGAATTCTACTCAAAAATAAATAAGGATATTTAATAGTTGGAAATAATTTACATTGGAATGGATGAGAACAAAGAGAAATATAAGGAGACTGTGAGGGATATGCCTTGGTTATTTATGATTTTAAAGAATTTGTATAATATTAAGTGTATTATGAATATAAAAGGCATATATAAGGTACTTATAACCAATATATAGGCATACCTTGTTTACTTATTTTGAATCCAAATAATGGATGAGTGATCACAATTCAAGGGAGAAGGACAGTAGAAAAAGAAGGCTAAAGGGCTTTTGAGAACTTAGATGAGCTTAAAATGATATATATATAAAAATAATATTTTTGGATACTATTGTATAATCGTATTCAACATTTCAAATAATCTTCCAAACTTTCTTAAGCATATTGTCCTGTTTTGGCGATGTCAAATACTTTCTAAAATTGCTAATGACACTTCGCATTCCTTTGACTTAAATAATAGTAAAGAATGAATACACTCCCAAAAAGCAATCAATGAATGATATCGCACTATCTTTGCAAAACTCAGGTTCAACATGCTTTCCCAAAGGTGTTGATCTGCAGAGATTGAAACTTTTTCTTTGATCTTTGCATACTTGATTCCCTTTAATTGAATAGATCATCAATTATAAGCTAGATAGCATATTATTAGATACTGAACCTTTCATCATTTGTATATGTATACAAATCTTTTGCAATAGCTTGTGAAGCCATATTTATTATTATAAAATATAAATTAAATATATATAAATATAGATAAATAATAACTGAATAATTACCAATAATGGAAACTCTAACCTTTAAAGATTTATATATGACTCATATTTTTACATTATATAATTAATTACTACAAAAAACTTTGAAAACATAGAAATTAAGCTCGATTTAGGATATAAATTCCTGCCTCTAAAGATTTCTTAAAACAAGATAAATTAATTCTGTTTTTAGCCTTGATAACAATAGAATTAGATTAAAGATTGTGTCTTAATATTTGTTTTGTAGTTAAACTGAGAAGTTATTTTGATATGAGCATAGATCAAATATCAAAAATTGTTACATTTGATTATTTATAATGAGATTTTAAAATTGGAGGGTCAAGTCCACCCTATTAAATATTAAAATTTGATTTCTATTAGATTTAAATATAAATCAAAGTAAATCTATATAAGAGGTAGAATACGAAAATAATTCATTAATAATAGAATGTCAAAGAAATAGTTCAAAGAAATTTTGTGTTTATAAGTAGTTAAAGTTGAACTTACTTAAAGAGCCTGTAAACCTGATGCATAAGAACCAATCCATTATGGCATTATTTTAACAACCCAAAACTAAGAATAATATGTTGTTCATAATGGTTATAAATTCGGAAAAGCTTAAGACTTTGTCCTAACAAGCATCTGTAATATTAGTAGGAGCTGGAAGACTTATGAAACATATGAATTAGGGAAACCTATTAAATTAGAAATCCTCTTTTTAGCTGGATGCTGTGGATAAAATTTGTAATATCATCCTTTATACAATAACAGCAAACATGCTTAAGATAGGATTGTATAGAAGGTCAAGGAATACTCTAATCAAAGTCAACTGCTGTTTTAATGAGCTGTATTACATATCTCAAATTTGATCCTTTTTGGATTTTAGTAGAATTATTAAAAGTTTATTATGTATTTGGTTTTTGTTTTTCATAAAGGATTTATTTCTCTCATCCTATGCAAATAGTGAGCATGAGGATTTCTAACTTGTTAAGACTTCAAATTTAAAAAATTATAAATTCCTATTTCAAGGTTTTAATAAATATGTTAATTATCATAATTCCTCTTCAATTTTGATATGAATTTATTAAAATATCGTATATGTATTAAATATTGAATAAAATTGAAAAGGATTTTATGGAATATTTAAAAATCATTATTTCATATTTATTCAAAATTCTATTAAAATTATATATTATAGAAAAGGAATTTCAAATTAACAGGCAACACATCAAAATTTTAAGGATATGAAATAATATTTTCGAATGAGGACTTATTGCTCTATTATTAATAAAATATAATATCTTAATTCAGTTTTAAAGCATTTGCAGTTTTACAAGATTTTTAAAATAGTTAACCTGAAATCTAAATCTTCTAATCAATATTATTAAGATTAATAAAGATAGATTTTAAGGCTTGAGACTTTAAACAAGAGTAAAAATCTTAATTTTGTGTTAGAATTAAAAATGGAATAAAAATCAAAGGTAGAGAATAGCATGGGAATATGCAACTAATTAGAACTTTCTTTTACTAATAGAACTTTAATTTTGATAGGCAAAGTATTATTGAGTACCTAATAAATTCTTTTCATATTCATGCTAATCATATCATATAGGTAATTTACTTTTATATAAGTGAGTGAGTGATCGAATTACTTAGATCTAAATAACTTTATTAGTTGCAATATTTTGGGGATATCAAATTATAATAAATTTTTAATTTGAAGAAAATTTTAGCATTCAATTAATTTATACCTAATTTATTCATTATTTTTCATATGTAAATTTGATATTTTTAATAATTATTATAATTTAAGAATAAATTTAAGACTAGCCAAAATCATTTAATTTTATCCTTTTATTCAATAAATTTAAACTATTGAGAGTTTATCAAGGGATTCTTTAGTAGGAACAAAAAATGAGATTCAAACAATTTATTTTGCATATTTTTTATATCGATTTTTAAAAAAAACAGATAATAGAAGTTTTGCATGACAAGGATAAAATCCGAAATTTAGGATATATATATCAGATGAATAAAATAATGTTTTTTTTTGGTCTATTCAAGATATAAGAATTAATCATGTTATCATTAATCTAATGAACCCATAAATTGAAATTGTGAATTCTATTTCGAATTATCTCTTTTTCTTTTCCAGTCATCGACAAGGCTATTCGAATTTAAAAATTCTAATTTATGATTCTAAAATTAATTCGGATAAATACATATTGCATTTGTCTCATTTGTTCATTTTAGAATTAATCATAATGTTACTATTGATTTTACCAATAGAAATTTTAAAATTTAGGGGAATTGATATCTATTTAGTTAGGACTACAATTCCATTATGGTGATGTAAATGTGTTGTAATATAATTGATATTGTTGGGTAGGTGTGTAAGTCATGGGAGTTTGATTAATCATAGAAATTGGTGATATGGCATTATAATTAGTTTGAAACTGTTTCATATATTATTCCATCATAATTTTATATTAATATTGTTGAAATTCTTCCATTTAATTTCTATAACTTTGATAGATCAACTAATTCTAATTTTATTATTAGACATCGAACTAATATGGTTGTTGGATAAAGGGCAAGAAACAGTTATTTAAAGTACTTGGTGTTTGAATACCATTAATTTCTGAAATTTAGGTTTGTTATTAGACTTATTATTATTAATCTTATCGATTAAGGTCATTTGGTAGGTTGGAATCTTAAACATTAGGGATGGGTTCATTATTTTCTTTTTGATTTAATGAATTATTTTAAATAATAAATTCTTAATTAATTGATTCTGACTATTTTTTTAAGGTTTTGAGATTAGCTTTGGTGACCTTCTTTTTCTTAGTTGTTTTTTTGGGATGCCTGATCTAAATATGGAGTTTTCTGACTTTCTACTTGAAGGTTTGGAAAGATTGGTTTTTTTAAATATTTGGATCTCCTGCGAATTCTTCAGAGTAAACTCCTAATTTCTTTAAATAATCTTGTATAGCTTGAAGTTCATCTAATTCATCATCGTCTTCATCTTTGTATATCTTCTACATTAAGCTTTTGAATCTTAATTTATATTAATTTGGGATACCTATTCTTGACTTGATTTTCAGTTCTTCCTTGTAAGAGTGCTGATAATTGTGACCATCTTTTGCCGTGATTGACTATATTGGTCAATAATTGGATATCTTCCTTTTAAGTCCAATTTGCTCTAGGGTATAAATTTGATGCTTACTTATTCAACTTAGGGTTGAGGTAATTCATCCATCTTTCTCTAACTTACTTAGGGGTTCTAATAAATTGACCCCCATTTTTGTTATATAACTCCAAGGCAATAAATGTCCATATATGTTTCTCATCCTATTAACTATTTTGTTTTATTGATATTTTACTTCATCAATGAACGGATGATGTCATCTTCTTGAGAATCCCAGTTTATACTTTTCTGAACAGGGTTTATTAGTGTGATCCATCTTTATTTGAGAATGGTTTCATCAGTTTTTAAGATACTTGCAAGCTCTTGCCATTCCTCCTTGTTTGGGTTGATGGATTTTTGATTTTTGATTTGAAAATACTTACTTAATACCCATATGAACATCATTTTACATTACTTATCCCATTTTCTCTTTATACCCTACTTTTCCTCTTAAATCAATCTGTTGTTTTTATATATTGATTTCTTACTTTTGTACAATACCATCGAAATACTTGCTGTTCGGATTTATGAAATTGTCTTTGATTTTAAATTGATTTCTAAAATAAAAAGGAATTTCAGCATTTTTGAATGTGCCAAGTTATGAAATGAATTCCTGAAACATATATTAATATTAATTTAATTTAGAAATACTGGCAAAATTCGTTAGAAAGTACAATTGTAGTTTGAAATCTGAATACATCCCTATTACAAAGATTGTTGGTAGCTTTATAATAATGAAATTTAAGCATTAAATTAATGTTTAAAGTTATTTTAATTTTTTAATATAAATGTCATAATTAATATATATAGCAAAATAATTAAAATAAGTCCAGTTTATTATTTACTGATATTATAGGTTTTAATAAATTATAGCTATAAAGTACTAAATCAACTCAAATATGAAAATCCAGCAAGTGTAAGGGGGCTATTTAAAATTTTGTTGAATTTTGAATTTGATTTATTATTATGCTTCATTGAACTTTGTAATACAGTTTTTGCATCCATAGGCGAAGTCCCCAATTTCCTTTGTTGCACAATGTTAGCCTACTCTCGACTTATTTTCCTAGATATGTTGATCTCTTCATTCAGAAAAGTATTTTTAGGTGGAGAATTCTAAGATCTAGAGTTGTTCAGTTAAGAAGTATTCATCGATCTAGAATTCCTGTGTTTCAATTCTCTAATCTTCTCCTAAATGTCACTATCTTTATTATTCAAAATACCTTGTGATTGAACCCCCATATTCTAATTTTATTGGACTGGCATAATTTTATACTAATGATACTTGGAGAGGCTATAAAATATTAAAAAATCTCCTGAAATCCTAATAAAACTGAGCCTATTTTTTTGAGAGTTATTACAATTCATCCTACATTTGTTTGAACAAGTTCTTAAATAGTAATTTATTATAATTACAAGTTGTTTTATTGATAACTATTTGTCCTATACTATTCCATCCACTGTAGCCACTAATTATTTGAATGTGTATATATCTTAACCATCCTAGCTTTTCAAAATTGCCTTTATTTCATTCTTGATTATGCTCATTTCCTCAATATCTAGTTGCTTAAACTACTTTAAAATAGTACCTAAACTTCTTCATCCTTAGTAAGTTCATTCAAATATGAAGTCTCAATATTAGACAATTGATTTTGAAATTCCTCTTATTTTGAATCTAAATACATGTGCAAAGCTTTGAATTCTGTGTCTATGTCACTCTTTTATGTTTGGCACTTATCCTTTACTTACTATTTATCGAATTGAATGTTCCTGATCTTATCCAAACTTCTTTCAACTGCTAAATTTAATTTCTCTAAGCAAGGATGACCTTTTATTGTAGGATCCTCCTAAATTGGTTAAACATATTATCTCTTCTCTGTTGTAAAAGGCTTAACATTGTAATTGGGCTACGTCTTCGAAAGTTATGATTGTGATTCCTTTGTTTGTTGGACAGCTTAAAGTGACTCGTGATCTAAAACAGTTGGAGCATTGCATTTTAGACAAGGCACTCCACTGTCATCTTTGTGAATAGCATGTGAAATGCAATATAAACAAAACTTATGCTCGCAATCTAATATAACAAATTGTGTTGGAACTGTTTAGCATTGTTCACATATTACTTCATCTTCTTCAGACATTTTTGATGTTATTTTATGATTAATTTTATTTATTAACAACTTTAATTTAAATAATAATAAATATAATGCAAAATCAATACTTTATGAAAGGATTCATAAATGAGTCAAAATAAGAGTCTATAACAGAATAAATCTTATCATTCACTTTTTAATAATTGAAATTACTATTATTAAGGTACATCATTAATATCTCTCTTGATTTTAGAATTATGCTATTATCATGAAGCTGATTCTTCACATTTTTATTAAGAATTAAACTAATACTTTGAATTTAGAGAACACTAAAATATTTTCGACTACATATTGAAGATTTAACATATATAAACAATTTTAGCAATCTTTCTGATTTTGTAATTCAAATTCAATTAACTCTAAAATCAATAAACTCAAAATAGCTAGTTTTAATAAATTAAGAATTTAACTTTCATTATTAAATTCAAAAAAATACTTATAAATATTGAAGAGAATCTAAATGAAACAAATCATGAATAAAAATAAGAACCCTTAAGTAGTGTATATCTTTAATTGAAAGAAATAAATAAATAACTTATAGAATTTATATTATTATTAACGCTATTGTTTCTGTATTGATTTATATAAATTTAATAAAAACATGAAACTCCTTTATCATTTTGATATTTATCACTAATTAAATGGTATCTTAATGAAATTGCCTTTGTTTCTCAGAGAATTCAATAACAATTGGTTCAGAATTAAAATGATATAAGTATTTAATAATTCAAATATCCAATGATAATCAAAGATCTCTCAAAGAAAACTAATTAAATCATTTGTTTTTCTTGAAAAAATAATAAAAATTGCTTATTTTCAAAACATTGGTTTAAATTAATATCATAAATTTAAAGTTATATTGATAAAAAAATTAATTGTGTATAAATTTATGAATCTAATCATAATAAATAAGTGAATAATTAAATATAGAAATCTGAGTTTATAGCCATCCCTTTCATCTTCAATGTCTAGTTTTAGATAGTTATGTAGCAAATTTAATGCGTTTTAACAATTAAGTTCCCTTTGAAATGATTGATTTAAATGGTTGAATCAAATCTATATATAAAGAGTTATTGATAAAGTTGTATTGATTATTTTAATTATTGAACTTCGTTGCATTTCATTAATTTTTATGTAATAAAACATTATATATTAAAAAGAGTAGAAAACAAAGAGTTAGTCCTTTTTGGCTAGAATATGCTCTTGCTTGAGCTTCCTGAAATCAAAGCAACAACAAACAAACCAATTAAAATATCAATTGGGAATTGATAGTCCCAAATCATCATTTTTAGTACTTTTCAAAATTATTTGGTTAGGGACAACGCAAAGTCATAGTTCTAGATTTGGATGAAACATTGGTTCATAGTTAATTTTAAATTATAAATGGTTATGATTTTTCAATCGATGTAAAATACAATTATATCCTAGATTATTGTTTAAGGTCAATTGTTCAAAGTCTATGTAACGATTCGGCCAGGAGTTTATGAGTTCCTAGAGCAACTTTATGAATTTTACGATATAGTTTTTTGGACTGCAAGTCTATAAGAATATGCTGATCCGGTCATGGATTTTATTGATCCCAATAATAGAGCTATTGGCAGAATGTATAGAGATAGTTGTACACCATTGTAAATTGGATTAACTAAAAACCTAAACAAGTTGGGCAGAGATTTAAAAGACATCATTATAGTAGATGTAATGAATAAGATTTATTAAAAGAATTCTGTTGTGTCTTTTCACTTAAATCCAGAAAATGGATTTTAAATAAAAGATTTCTTCTTTGATAAGTAAGACTAAGAGCTCGAATTAAATTTACCCTTTTTCATTTGGTTATCATAAGTATAATTGTGTACCTATAAAAGTTACCAGATGTACGTCCAGTTTCTAGTTTATTTAAATAGTTTAACAGCACTTCATCAAATGTGTTGAACATGAGAAACGCTGTGACACTCAACAGTTAATATTAATAAAATGAACAAAGGAAATTTTAAAGTCTCTCAAGATCTTTATCTCTTTAAAAAGCAAAAATGATGCTTTCCAATTAAGTGTTTCGAACATTAACTCTATCAAAAGATGACGATGATGATGAGTTAGACGAAAGCAAAATCAGAGATAAACTAGGATTAAGTTAACCTCCATGTGAAAAAGCAAATAAACAACAAAATTAGACTGAAGAAGAAGATAAGGAGACTTATGTAATATCACATTGAAACACTTATTTGATTTTTGTTGTAATTTTTAAAATCTGTTTTTATATTATTTTGTTATTTGAGTGATATTTTCAAAGGTTGTTCTAGTGTTTAATTTAAAGAATTTGATTAATACATATTTCCAATTTTAACTAAAAATAGTTATTGGAGTAATTTATTGAGGTCCTTAAGCTCTGTTTGATAAGAAATTATAATAAAATGGTGAGATAAAAGCATTTCTTCATAATATTCAATATAAAACAACTTAATGCTATAGCAAAAATTAAGCACAATAATATTATCATTATCTTTTAAGATATGCTTCTAAAGAAAAATCATCAAATTCTGTGTCACTAGTTTCAAAACCAGCTTAACAAAAGTCATTTGAATTTATGGGTAATTATCTGAGTTTTCTACTTATGGTATTTTTAAATTGTTTGCCTTCTAAAACAACAGATTGTTTGGAGCACTATGACAATTTCAAATGATTAAATTCTGTTTAAGCTGACTTAGCAATTAATTTAGGAGAATGTATAAAGGGTTTAGGTGAGTTCGAAATAACTTTCTTATTTTGGGTACGTCTATCAAGGGATATTGCTCTTTCTCTCTCCACAAAGAGTTTAGGCAATATAATTTTATGAGGAGGCTATCGAGTAGGATCTTATTAAATTGAAAAATACTCTGTGATAAGGATCGCTTTGCTCTATTGGTTAATTATATAATACAGGACATTATAATTAAATATGTACGGATAAATAATATCAATAATAAACCTTTTTGGTAATGACGTTATAAAAATCTTCAAATGTCATTTTTCCATCTTGGTTAGAGTCGGTCTTTCTAAAGATCTTGAATATCAGATTTATTCTATTACTTCAGCCAATACCTCTTCATCGATATCTTCTTTCAAATCTTTATACACAACTTATCTTAGATCTTGTAAAGTGATATATCCTTTGTTGCTTTTATCGTACTTTCTGTAAACTCTTCTAATTACATCCTTTTTCTCTGATTTAGTTTTATCCTGATTTAGAATGGCCAAGAAATATTGAAATGTTATTCCTCCTAATTCTTCTTCATCCAATTCAGAAAATATCTCTATTTAGAATAATTGGATTTAATTACCATATAAGGTTTCCTTAGAAGGGTGATATCCAAAACTAATCAACAATTATTCTAAATCATTGGGAGATAATATTCCTGCTTATTCTGAATCATAGTAATCGAAAACTTGTTTGATATCAATAATGTCTGATTCCTATTAAATTAATCAATATAAAATGCTTTGAGTTCTTTGGTTATAAATTTTTTGGGATTAAATTCATTTGGATTGCCTCCTTTTGACTATGTTCTTTCATTAGCAATTTATTTTCTGACTTATTACCCCTAATTCTGGATATTATTATGAGATTAGTTAATCAACATTCTTGCCCTCATAGATTCTCTATTTTGTGGAACTCGGTTGTTTGAAATACGGGACTCATCCAACTAAGTATGGGGACTATCTCTGATTATAGACTGTGTTGTTCTAAAAGGACTCTATTAAAATTAGATAATGTTAGTTACATGAGAAGTGATTTGATTTCTCATTCAATTGATAATAAATTATAATAAAACTTAAGACTTTATTAGGATTTATTTTTATTATTTTTTATGAAATTAATTTTGTTTTTGGCATTGATAATCCTAATATGCAACTGTTAATAAACAGACGGTGAATCCAATTTATTTGTTTCTACTGAATAAATTAAATTTAAAAACATTGGTTTGGGGTTGATGAGAAATATTGAAGGCATAACTGATACTTTTGATGAAATTCCATTAGGTGAGAATGATATATTGTTATAAAACGACTTAAATGAGAGATTATGAATAAATTAAATTTAAATATAGATAATAAAATACCAAAATCGATTCGAATACATTTGATCATCTTGTGGAACATTAGTAAATAGATGTGAAAATAAAAAGAAAATAATATATATTTCAAATTTGTTAGACTCTCTGATGCTATTTTCTTCTTTATAATTCATCAGGTCCTGGAACCTATGGTTTTGATTCTAAAGGCTATAGATTAACATCTAGTAATAAAAGTTTGATCATACTTTTTTTATTAGATGGTGGTGTTGCTTGTGATAAATTGCTGCTGTTTGTATTACTATTATATCCATATTGACTTGGAAAATTGGGGACTGTGTTTCCTCGATTATCAATAGGACTTAATATTATTTTTTGATTTGGTTTCTTCTCGTTCAATTACTGATTGGAAACTTCATTCGAGTATCTATATTTTCCTTCTTTTTCTTCGAGCATCTAATAATTCAATTTTATCTTCTCAGCCACTAATTAGGCTCTATCCAACTGAGGCTAACTTGTACCATTTTATTTTTGTTGAGAATCTAACATTGAAAAAATAGAGTATACCCTTTATTTGTTGTTTTGAGGAAATCATTCTTTGATTGTATTCAGAATCATAGTAACTACCTTTATCAGATTATCGAGAATTTATTTCAATAATTCTTTCTGCCTTTTCTTGCTCAATTAAATCGATAGCTAGTTTCAATTAATATGATTACCTTGTTTATAAGGCAAATTAGGAAAATTGACTTTCTTAGCTTTGAAATTGAAAGGAGGAATCTTGTATTCCGAAGAATCATCATCCCATTCACATGCTGCTTGAAGAGATTCTAACTCAGTTTGATTAAACATCATTTTAACTATGCCAGAATATAATTTGATTTCTTTTTTCTAACTTCTAATCGTATCCAACAGATCTTCTTTCTCATATTCAACTTCTTGCTTTAAATCTTTCTACTCATTTTAAGCCTCTTCTAATTTCTTTCTCAAAAATTTAACAAGTTTCCTTAATTTTTCAACCTCTTCCTGTACACTTTGATACTTAGTCTCAATTTACAATAGTTCTTATTATTACTATTCCTATTAACTAATAAGGGCCTCATGCTCTTTTTTTTATAAATCAATAGCTTGTCTCAATTTTTTATACTTCTTTTTATCGTCTTCAGTACCTCTGCCACCTTAAACCATCATCTACTCCTTTTCTTTCAATAAATCTTCCAATCTCTTCCTGGCTTATCGTTCTTATTCTGCTTAAATCTCCTTCTCTCTTACTTCCATTTCAATTCTTTCCTTCTCTTATAGTAACTAATTGTTCTTCTCCTTAAATTCATGTAATTCTTTAAGTTTCTCTTCAGTTGGTCCACCTCCTGCTTAGGCCTTACTCTTCTCCTTCAATCTATCATTCTCTGCTTTCAATCTTGCCAGCTCTGAATTGTTTTCTGATTTAGCAATTGGCTAAAAGGCATCCATAGATATCGGTTAACCTGCTGCTTATTTGGACAGCATTTCTTTAAGTTTTTTGATCTCTTCAGCCTATTCTTTTAATAAAGCATCTTTTGGATCTTCATTTACTTTAGGTTGATTTTTAATCATTTTAGCTCTTGATGCATACCTTAAACTAGACAAAGTTTCATCAAAGTTGAAATCAGATGGACTGATAGCTGTGATCATTATTGTTTTTGTATTTCCTCCCAAAGAATCCTGTAATAATCTTGTCAAATTTAGAATCTCTGTAAGGAATATGTTATGTTTTACCATCAACAAGTGCTGAAATGACATTACCCAAAGCTGAAAGTGATAAATTGATTTTTGTTGCTTCTTTTAATCTGTCACCTGTGGCTTAGGTTTTTGATTATCTTTCACTACCTGCCAAATCCACCAAGTTTAATTTTCCAGCAGTAATTCTCTCATTTCCTTTTTGGTCTGTAACAGAACATTCTATGTATACAGTGAAAATGCAATGACTACGACTTGATTCCTTATTCATGGCTGTGGCTCCAACTGATCTGTTTTATGTACCCAATTACATGTATCGATCCATTTCTTAAGTAGTTCTAACCACGGCTATGTTTAGATCTTTAACGTAGACACCTTATTATCTCTCTTTTAATTCATATTTCTGCTTCACATCTTTGCTTAATAAATCATGTATTTCTTCATTGTATATTTCTATGTATGAACATCGAAGTAGAAATTTTTTGTTTGAGTCTGAGTTATTATTTATAATGCTGATAATTTGATCAAAAGTTCTAGGTATGATTCCCTTCATTGTTTCCTAATAATGAATAATATTATTACACTAGATGGGTCTCCAATCATAGTGAATGTTTTGCCACAACCTGTACGATAATTGAATATTAATACCTGTTTAACCATATGCAAATATTGTTCCATTATAACCATCTGCTACACTCTCTACCAAGTTGAAAGCAGTTTTCTGATAAATGGATAGTTGAGGTGTCTCTGATCCAAACACGTAATCATATGTATACGATTTCACATCATTATCCTATGACTAAGGAATGAATGATTAAATAGAATACATTTCTTAATTCCACAGTGTTGGTGTCTTCATAAACTACCACACATGGTTTGCTTCCATTCTCCGTTTCTCTTTGATTGAATGGACGCATTCTTACAATGACTTTTACACATTCAGCTGGCATTTATTTATATTTTATTAATCAAAAATTGTAGTAACAGTTGTCAATTGAAGTTTATTATTAACATTCATTATTTCATCGTAAAAATACATTTATGAAATCACAGTCAACTCTCTTCTGCCTTGTCCTTCTACTCCTCTTGATTCAATTTCACTTTTTCTAAATAAGCAAGTAATTTACCATCTTATATAATATCCATCCCTTATTTTGCCTCATTTGCTCCCACATTCTCCTAAACCTCTTATTAATCAATTTGTCTTTCTTCTTCCAAAACTTATTGTTCCTCAATCTACATCCCTTTATTAACCTTGTTTTCTTCATTTCTCATCTCCTATTCCTGACCATCAAACTTTTACTCTACATTGCCATTCCAACTTTACCTCTCATTATTAAATTCATTCTCTTGACTGCTTTGTTGTATTTGTTATTGTTATAATAATTCATTTACTTTACTCTACTCCTGAAGAAGTCTCTCCTTATACTTTTCCAGTTCTCGACTCAAAATATAATCACATGCTATTATTGACAATTCCTTGTTCTTCTGAATTGATATTTAATCCTATATCTCTTAAGTCTATTTTAGTCTGGTCTATTCAAATTGAACCTACTCTTCATTAATTTTTTATTCCCTTGAATTTATTAACTCCTCCTTTACTTTCAAATCCGTATCCTTTTTCTCAATCATTTATTTCCTTCTCAATAGCTGATCTTTCTCCCTAGTCGTCTAAGACAGTTGTTCCTTCAAGTCTTGAATCTCATTTAAACTCAATTCAGACTTGTTAACTTATTTTAACTTCTCTTATTTATATTAATTTTTATAATCCTCCAGTACCTTTTTAAGTTCCAATATTTCCTATTCCAAATACGATATCTCGTCCTACTTCTATCCAACCTTATTTTAAAATTCTATCTCTAATTATTGAATCCTCTTTTGTGACTCCTCCTTCAATTATTGTATCCTATTTTACAAATATTCAGTGCTCTTCTTCAACTCCGATAAAGATTGATCACTATTTTAGTTTTTTTAGACTTATTCAGATCTTTATTTCTGGATCAAAAATTGATTATACAAATCCTCCTTCTCCTTTATTAATTGATGTATCTACTCCTACAATCCTTGAATTGTGATTTTATCATTTTCACTTTATATCTTCATCTATAATATTTTCTAATTCTCCTCGCCTCTCTAATCTCCTCCTTCCAATTCCTTAATTTATCGATCCTTTTAATGCAACTCCTCTCTCAATCTCTATATTTCTAATGCATAATTTTTAATTTCCTCATGCTACTGAATTATTAATTGTTTATTCTTCTTGTTTTGCTAAAACAAAATTTGGTTTTATTAATAATAATTAATATGTTCCTGAGTTACAGAAGCTAAACTCATTTCTTATTGCAATTCCTTTATTTTAATTTCAAACTCCTCATACCTCTTTCTAAATTCTTCTTTCTTCCTTCCAAATTCATCCTTCTACTAAGTCAATCTCCTCTCCAAGAAATCCTTTTGCTACCTCTCCAACTAATATTGACTTTACAATTTAGATATTTCAAATTCCAGTTCCTCTATTCTAAACTCCAACTTACGCTTCTCCATCCTCTATTTCCTGAATTCATTTAATAAACTCTACTGCTTTTCAGTTCTAACCTTGATTTCTAATTTGAATATGAGTATTACTTTCAATTTTATGAACAATCGGCTCAACCTTATTATTGATAATCTATCCCAAAGCCTTCTCCTGAGTCATTATGCTAACCCTCTCTTTCAAATTCGTAATCTCGTCCTCCTTCGTGTTTAAAACATACTTGAGATTTAAATTCTCCTATTAGATTGCTTCCCATTAATTGGTTGGGCGATTATAAGATTGCTAATTAATTAAGATTTATTAAATTTAAGTTTTCAACTATTCATTCTCATGGCATAACTACTTTATGAATACCTAACCATCAGTATTCGAAACCTAGGGTTGATTCTTTAGAAGATCAATAACAGATAACTCCTAAATCTAAGTTCTGCAAGCAAGAATTTCCGATTTTAACTAAATAAGTTCAATATTTTGGATTTCCTCCTTCTATTTCAGTTATTATAGTTCTATTTCTAATTAATTTTAGGTTTCTTTTAATTTTCTATTCAAACTAATCTCCACCTCTAGTTTTTTCTTCTATTGCTAAGAAATAGCCATCAACTATTCGAACTCCTGTTTCCTTTGCTTGACAAACGGCAATTCCTTCTCAACCAAATCTTACAGCTTCTTCTTATCTTACCTCTCCTTTTTGTTCTACTCCTTCAATTCCTTCAACTCTTCCTCGCACTTCAACAATTACTATTTAGTTTCTATCAATTCTTCCATGTCTGATGGAATTATCAGATTAACCATATCAAAAACCATAGAATTGGAAGAATTTATTTTCTACTACAACTTTGCAATCTGATCTTGCTAATCCAATAGTTAAATTTCATTCTACTATTATTTTGTTAAGGCTTCCTTCTCAAATTCTAATCTTACTTTCTCCTATTCCTACACCAATTTATTTTGATTCTCCAAGTTCTTCTTGTAATTCTCATTGTCATTCTTCAAGTTTTGTATTTCCTCTTCCAGAGCCCTTTTTTTCTCCTCTGCATTTTTTATTATCATCTATAATCTATCAATTCGCTTTTGATTCTCAATTTCTAATTATTGAATTCTTATTTACTTGTCTTTTCTTCCAAAACCTTAGAATATTGAATCTAATTTAGTAATTATTGCTTTTCATTATTGAAGTTCTCAAAATACTAGTTGTAATTCTGTAAGACATTAGTCAGAGCATCGTTGTTAATGTATATTACTTAATTTAAACTCTTTGTCTTCAATTCCTAATCCAATTTTTAGCGCTCCAATTCTAAATGCTCCAATTAGCTTCTTTATATTTAAATCTCCTTCTCTAATTGAGTTGTCAGATTCCTTTCCTTTTTCAAATCGTATTCTAATTACGACTACTATTGGCCCTTTTAATCAAATAAATACATCAGTGCATTATATTGTGTGCAAAATTTACTCCTATAAATTTCGTATTTATGTTTCCAAGATACTTTTGCTTTCCTGAATTTCATTTTTCTCTTCGCCGACCTTAAACAGTTTATTATTCAAATCAATATTGATTTCCTCCAACTCATTAATTCTTTATTATTATAATTCTATAATCCCACTCTATTGATTAACCACCCTACAAAGCTCAATATGAATACTTATCAAGCTCTTTGATCTTGCATTTATATGAATAAGCTTCCCTTTCAAGTCCATTCAAATGTTGCTCCAGAGATAATTTTTACATGAACTTAATATTATTTATTGTATATATTGTTAGATTATCATTAAAATAAACAAAAACATCCAAAACCATTAAATACACATAATTTGAATTTCTAAGTGAAAATATTAATTCTAAGGATCGACCCAATGTTAGAAATATTTTCGAGTATCTCCAACAAAATATTGAGTTTTTAGATCAAGAATATTATTTATTAATTAATATTATCCCATAATATTAATTAATCTTAATAAAAGCTTATTATTAGATTACAATAATAGAAATACCATATGAGGATAAACACGGTCTCGTTCGTCTGAGATTGATGAATCAAACGTCGCTATTCTGATTAAATTATTAATTTTTATTATAAAATCTTTTTTTATCAAAAATAGTAGAATCAATCTCCAGTTTATTTTATCAAGGTGATAATATATGTGCATGTGTCAGTATTTATTGCTTGATTACCTGTTAGGATATGTGATTTTGTTTAGAATAGAGTCTATCTAAATTTTCCAGGAGTTCATAAAAACTTGGTTAGTAGAATTTATTAAACAACATAAAATAGTAAATTAATTATAAATCACTATATGATCTGAGTTTAGAAAATGAATTAATAAAAATTAATATTATATAATCATCATATACATGAGGTAATGATTCATTACAATATATAGTAGAAAAAGAGCAGGGCAAAAGGTACAAAGTAAAATAGGGCAATACTTCAATGATAATCCTAATGCGTAATTGCGAGAAATATTAGATCAAGAGGATCTGTTGGAGTCCAAACAAAACATAAAATTGTTCGGTGAATTGTAAAAATACTTTATAGAAATAGTGTTACAAAATCTCCAGAACGCTTTTGGGAAATGCTATAAATAATTAATCTCATGCCCAAGGAGAATGAAGAAGTCATCCCTTACAAGTACAATTTAATAGTGATCTCTAGATATCCTTTTCTAGTAAGTGAAATTATTGGAAGTAAAGAGGAATTGATAATCAATTATTTTTTTGATTAAAAGGGACCTGAGGAATTTGAATTTCTTAATATGCTATTCAAAACAATAGACAGAGATTTCATTGATAATACACTTGCAGGGTATGTGGCAAAAATATTAAAAGCATTAATTGAAAAAAGAGGAATAAGTGTAATTCTATAAAAATAATATTTAGCTTTGGAAATATTTATTAAATTCGCAAAAAGAAAGTTAATATGTATTTAAGGATCTCATTAAACTATTAGATGTGCCTCAGATTGCGGAAATAATATACAACCTTATTCGATTGGATATAATTAAAGACGAAGGCGAAGAGGTTTATATAGATCAGAGGTTGTAATTACTCACACGCATTATTGATTATTTATAATCAAAAAGTTATAACGGTGTAATTGTGGAGAATGTATCTTATATTTTACAGAATATTTTAACTGAAACAATTGATGATGACGAGAGAGCATAGTTTATTAATACCATTCTATCCTCCAGTTTGAGATATGATTCAATAGTATTAAGAATTTTAATTTCTAGTATATTAGCAAGTCAAGTTCAATGATCAAGATACTGATAATCATTCTAGAGTACATTTAGCGAGATATCTAAGCAGGTGAAAATAAAATATTTATTAATTATTTGCTAATCTAAGAGGTTGGCATTAATCTAGTAGACTTGCTTAATTTAGATTTAAATTTAAGTAATCTATCTATAAAATCTTAGCTCCATTTCCAACATCCTATGGGGCAAACCAGGAACCGTTAGGCTAATTCAAATTACAATTGGTCGAATTATACTTGAAGATAGTAAAAATGAATGACTCATAAATTATTCCTTACATTTAGCATTAAAATGTATGCTTTGCAATTATGCAATTGATTCTTAAACATTAATTCAATAATGCTATCTAGAATCTCTTCTTAGAGCTGATCTAATTAGTCATGAAGAATGATGCATACTAATAAATTCAAGAGGCTTACAACGCTGCCAATCTCATGGGATTTTTTATTTTTCTTAACTAATAAGAGAAATATCAAGTAGGATCAATAAAAAAATAAATCACTAAAGGATATTAAGGAATGGCAAATAAACTGTCATACATCTTGAAAGGAGATTTCTAAGATGAAAATTGGACTGCTTATCTACAAAATCACCAATAGATTTTTTAGAACGAAAATACATATTTACTTGGGTAAAATCCAAATTCTTATGAGAACGAGGAATAAGAGGAAGCCTTGATGTAATCAATCAAATTTACTTCGGACAACAATATTATAAAATAGACCGAAGTGGTAGAATAAAACAACAATTAATAATAATAATAACAATAACAACAACAACAACCATAATAATAATAATAGATAATTTAATAATAAATACCATCAATTTAATTCTAAGAAAGTGATTAAAAAAATATCATTATTCAGTAACAGGAAATGAAAGTCTAATAGGATAACTCTACAATAGTATCGAGCTAAAAATTTGGTGAGATAGATAATATCTTTTAAGATTAAGAAGAAATTAAAAATTAAAATGATGTAAATGCAAGTAATTTTAGTCATAATTTTTAGAAATAGAGGAAGTTCTAGAAAGAGATGAATACAAAAATCCAGATGCAGCAGATAGAGTACTAAATGATCATGTTAAAACGAAAGCTAAGAATGAAAAAAATAGCAAAAGCGGAGAACTGGAGATAAATAAATGTGATTCAAGATTAAAAAGAAGAGGTACAGTCTCATATTCTGAAAAACCACCAAAACCAGAAAAACCCTCATCACCCAAGAAAAGAAACTCATTTGATTAGAATGATAAGAATAACGAACATTTGACTCCGAAAAATAAATTATGTTAAAATCAGACTTTCAGTCCTCAATAACAACTCTAAAGTTGGGATAAAAATAAGTGAATTTAATCATTTAATACATATAATATCAAACATTCATTTTATTGACAGTTTTTTTAAATAATTATTGAATCTAAATTATAAAGACATTTATACCTTAGTTGCATTGGGTTGAAGATTTCAGTCTCAATAGTCTCATAATGAATAAGGAATTTCAGTATACATACAAAAAGTAAGAAATTAAGGAGAATAGTAATAATTAATAAAAACTTATAAAGGGCAGTCATTTGATTTGGAGGGAGAGCAAAATATTGACATTCAAAACTCAACAATCTAGTTATTATCTCTAAAAATATTGAAATGAATTATGCTTTAGACATGATACGAATGATAGATTTTTTTTATTTTTGACCACTCAATATTTAACATATGAAAAGGAGTAAATTGCTAATCTAAATTATATGATAAATGATACTTGAGCTAAGTGTGTTCTATGACTATTCAATATCATAATGGATATAAAATTCAACATTATTATATAGAATATAAAAGGTTCCCAAACATCTATAATAAGAATCAATAATACCTGACAGGAAATCATGGAAATAATAAAATATGGAAGTTTCCAAACTGGAAAGTTCAACATTTTCAGGTGGAGGTTGAAATATCTTAATTAAATTTGAATTCTTAGATTTAGATTACAAATGAGCTTGATAAAATTTGATATTCAATTTGTGTCTTCCCACTAATTGCATCTATGATAGATTTAGCTACTTTAAAATGAATTGATTATTATCATATTAATCGTGCTTTTAAGGAATGCAGATAATTTGACTCTATGATTGTTGAGTGTACTAGCATTTTCCAATAGAACTTCTAACCTATTTTCACTAAGAATCATTACCTAAGATAACAAAATAATAACCACAGATTAAGGTGGCGAAGTGAATTGAACCTTCAATGAGCCATCCTTTTAAAAACCATTGGATTACAAAGGAGAAATTGGCACATACCCAATTGTATCAGTAAAGTGAATGACTTCCTATAAAATACTATCGAAGGTTTGATTTTAGTAATGAAGGAATAAATATCCATCAACAATACCAATTCTCTTAAATATGTTTTTGTTATATTGATCCAAATAGTTTATTTCTTTAAGTTTATGTACATTGTTATCAGAATAATCTTTTATTATGTTTCTAATAGAATTTAAATAATCCAAACCATTTATACGTTTGAGTTTAGCCTTCTTACTTGCATAAGTGCTCAAAGTACTAATTATTTGAATTTAGGAATATTGCCATTACAATTCAATAAATACTAAATATTAACCCTTCTTTAAATTCTGTTCAACTACAACATTCCTGTCAGCCCTATAAATACCTGAAATATATTTTAGGTTATCATCCACCAATTGAGATACAATAATTCTAACAAAAGAATACCTGTAATCAGCGATCTAATGCAAATGAAATCGATTATCATTCTAATTAAATGAGATATAAATGTGAGAGTCCTCAACCATATCTAAATGAATTATGCAACAATTCTATTCGTTTAACTAACATTGAATGCTATTATAAATGTAATCATTCTTAATCTTGCAAACTCCAATCCCTGCAAAAAATGTTCTGAAATCCTCTATCGACATCCAAAAAATACCATCATCATTGTCTTCTACACTATATTATTGCTTTGTCTATTCTGTCCATTTATTACTGCTATCACACCAATCCCCTTTCCATTCAACTCGTCCCCATGGCTACATATTATATTTAGTAGTATACATTTCTCATTTGCATTATTCTGCATTACTTATTGTTCTAATCTAAAACGTTAGCTAACTTCAAAATCGCATAAGCATGTCCAGCCAACAATCCCAATTCATTCTCGTGATTAATCAATTCTGCTTCCTTTGTATAAGCTGTTAGTAAGAATCCTTGAGCATGATTCTACTCACAGTACTCCCAAAATTCTTAAGCTGAACCACTCTCTTTGTTCTCATATGGGGCTCCTGTAAGATCTCTCATTGCTATTGCAGGATTCCCTCCTTCGATATTCAAATATGATCCATAAACTTTAGCATAAGCCTTCTCTAAGAGCATAACCCATAACCCATTCGCCCTACTGAAGGCTGGTAAATTATCTGTACATGGAAAGTAATCATCAATCACTACTGATGTCCATTCTCCATTTATATTTAACCATACTGCATACAAACCATATTGACTCACTTCGCTGTTATGAAAGAGGCGCTTTACTAATTCATTTTTCTCTGCTATTACACTAAGTGCACACAGAAAATAACAGTCTCCTAAAATCCCTTATTTTATGTCCGATGGCTCTATACATCCATTAAATATATCATAATCATCAAAGATCTCATTTGCTCTTTTCCATGTCAAATTTTTCCAACCTACTTTCATTTATGAACTTTACTCTTGGGTAATTCTGACAAGCTTAAGGAGCTGCTTTAAGGAGGGAAATTAGAATCTGTAAATTACAATTAGCTATTTTTTATTGTGTGCAGAATTTCCTCATATTCCTAGGCATGTTCATTGTACTCTTCATCAAAGATTTCTCGGATTGATCGAATAAATCCTATAGATTTTTATGCAACAAGAAATTTTTTCATTAATCAATTATTATTATAAATTAATCAATAAAACACTATTCTTTCCTCCCTCTCACTTTTCTAATAAAATTGAGAGAGTATTTAATTTCCTCATACCATTTAATTATCAAATGTATGAGGCTATAGAAATAATTTTTTTATAAACAATTTTTTTGATTTATTTATGATGAATCAGAAACCTAAGAAATACTAGAGTACAGGCTTTCGTATAGTTATTCCAAGATGTTTGCTGATCGGTCCATTTTTAAAGCTATCGACAGGCATTTCTGGAGGAATTTGGATGGTTTTTATTTTACTTTTTTATTTTTTTAATCTATCCTTAATCTATTTAATAGTTTCCATTTTCTTTTTATTATTAAACCTTTATTATTTCTTTTTTTTTATTTTTTTCTATTGTTTTTCTGAGGATTTCTTCTTTTATTATTTATATTCGAATTTTTCTTTATTTTCTTGCTTTCCTATATTAGTTTATTATTCAAATTATGATTAAGGCTATTATTGTTACTATTGTTGTTATTGCTATTATTGTTATTATTGCTATTATGGTTATTATTATTATTGTTATTATGGCTATTATGGTTGTTATTATTGCTATTATAAAAATTATTACTATTAATGTTATTATTAAATTTGTTATTATTATAACTATTATAATTGTTATTACTTCTATTATTAGATTATTTATTATTGTTATTGTGATTATTATTATAACAGTTATTCTTTTTGTTCTTCAATAAGAGGTTGTTATTGTTATAATTAATATGCTTGTTGCTGGTGATATTAATTGATTAACATATTATTTTAAGTCTATTATTGATAATATTTCATTGATTAAAATGCTTATTATTACTATTAAAACATTTATTGTTGTTATTAGTTTGGAAGGACTGGAGTAGGATACAAAAATTAATTTTACTAATTGATAGATATTCTTTATTGAAGGAATTAAGGATTAATTTAAAATGGTGAATGCTGAGGAATGGGTGCAATGTTATTTTAGTGCATTTAGTATGGGTTTTGTTGTTCGTAGATGTTTAGCTTTGGCATCTTGTTAATTTCTTCTTATTGCTCTTCATCACTTATTGGATCCAAGTCATTATTGATGGGTAATTTGGTTCTTCCTTAAGGGATTTATGGAGATATTTGCTATAAAATATTCATTTGCATTTATGATTGTGGAGGCATATAATTATTTGGATAAAAGGGGTAGCTTCTCTGATCTTTAAAGAATATAAAATAATGAAATACTTGGATTGGCTTTTTATTGTTCGAAAACTTTCATTTTGTATTATTCATCATAAGCTGCTCCTAAACCAGTAGTACCCTATTAGAAAATAAAATTAAAATTTACTCTTCTTTGATAAGTATCTCTTAAAAATTAATCATTGTCAGCTGCCCATTGTTGCTTGGCGATTTCATTTTCCCAAAGATCATGTGAAAAGCGACAATTCTATCCTTTGCAATTACTCATTGCAAAAAAGAATTTACATTGGTATTTTGACAAATCATGAGAATATTAGCATTGTTACGAATTCTAGCATCCTTGCCCTAAGTAATACTTGCAAATGCGAGTAACATTCTATAACTCTTTCGGATGCAGATATGAACATTTATTGCCTTTAATACAGGAGCCTTTTTTGAAATGCTCACAAACTTTTGTTCTGTAAGTTGAAGAGTATATGGATGCTCCACTTTTTTTGGGTTCATTATTTGTGGGAACTTCTCCGTCCTCAAGTTAATTCATTAAATTATCTATTTAAATATATATTTATAAATTTTAATATTGACTATCAGATATAAAAAATGTTTGTCTTTAAGGGTAGTATCTCTGCCTTCTTATAGATCCTGTTCCAAATTATTTAGCCTATAAAGTTTGGAGAAAGAGAATAAATATACAGAATAAGCAAAGTATAATAATGCGTTTATGATAATAATTATTATTACTACATTGTCATTCATTCATTTTTGAGTCCTTCTACAGGTTCTTAAGCTCCACAACTTAAGGATCTTTTAATTTATATCATTTGTTTTGTCGTCAAAAATAAAGATCTCCTTCTCTGAATCAAACTATTTGTTCGCTTTCTGTGATTTAATAAATTGCAGTATACTTATTCTCTTAATTTAAAGATGCCTAATGGATTATTTCCCATTTCTTTTCTTTAGTCTATTGTAATGTGGAATCTTTTTTATTTGCCGCTGTCTCATCTTCCTCATGAATGATTTATTTGATTTGCACTTAAAAGGATATTGAATTGCGAATACCTATTTACTCGTGTAATTCAATTTATTTTTTCTTATTGCTATTACCAGATTTTTGAGATTGCAGATCTATTTCAGGTTGACTTAGAGAATGGGTCAACTTTGAACGGCGTCGTCTTTCAAGACGCATTTGTAATACATCTGATTAATTGGCAATTTCATTTTTGATAAGGCTCTCAATTTTCATGACTTAATTTGTGTGATTGTCAACTATTCCTTTAACTTGAGCCTCAATCGCAAATTGAAATGAATACCTCTTTGGATTCAGTTTGACTGTAAATGAGATCAAGCTCTATCCTGCGAGTTTATTCTTGAAACTTTGCTCTCTTGACTTAATTGTCATCCTACGGTTTATGAGATTCTTCAAATTTCTAAGTTGCATTAATAAAAGTAGGCTTTAACATTAGTGCATTAAGCTTTCTCTAAAAATAAAGATGTCTTCTGTCTTTAATCGATTCGTAATATTCTACTCCTTCCTAAATGAGATGACGATAAATTATTACCATATAAAGTGAAATCAAATCTTGTATGAGTTCTATTTGAACTTACTCGTTCAATTCTATTTCCATTTCAAGATTGAGAATCTAATCTGCAAAATTCTTAGGCAAAGTCTTTTTTGTGAATTTCTCCTATCCAAATTTAAACATTTTATTAATAAATAAAAGTTGATACTTTTTAAATTTGATTTTATTTAACAAAAGTATTTTCATCATCTTTCTTAATCTTTAGTTTTTTCTAACCTCTTCTGTATTAATTTGAATATTTTTAATAAAGCTATCTCTAATATAAAAGACTCTTTGAAATCTTAAAAAATATGAATTAGAATTATATTCAAAGTTAAAATTGATGTGTTAAATGGTTTTCTAAATCTCATCTAAAAGTCTGTCTTGAAGCTTAAATACGTGAGATCCCCTATAAGTTATGTAAAATATAAAGCTATGGTTGCTGAAAATTTAAATTAACAATAAGGATTTCTACCAGCTATTATATGCATCTGTGCGAAATTTAAATAAACTCTAGCTCGAGAATATATACATCAAAGCAAAAGAAGCACTAATGCTTAAAAGATATTTGAATAAAGGTTATAAATTAATAAATAAGTTTAAAATGATTATATTCAATTTACATAATCTTAATATATTCAACTAGAAAGCTATTAATTTATGTTAATAAATTTAGTTAATGATAAATTTTTAGAAATTCCTTCACTTTTGTTATATCTTAAATATTCTTAAACTAAATGGATAAATTATAAAATTAAACAATTTAAGAAATGTATTTTCTTTTTCCAGCTATCTAACCAAAAATAAAATAAAATTTAAGTCTAATTTTATAAAATAAGAACAAAATAGGTTTATTTCATTCTACCCTTACTTGTTCTAGTCATAGAAAGATAACAATGCAAGTAATATCGTCTCTTGCTAAACTATTCTAAAATTGGATTCAAATATTACTCTTCTCCATGCTTAAATTGCCTCTTTAACGACTTTCTCTGCAGCATGTTCTGGATTATCCTTTTCAAAGTATGGGATCACCAAGCCCATAACCTAATTATTAAATAAAATACCTCTTCGTTACTCATGTAATCCCAAACTCCATCAGAAGCAACAATAATGAATTGATTATGTTTAGTCAAAGGAAATTCTTTAATTTCAGGAATTGCAGTTACTCCTGCTTAAGCTCCTACTTTATCACCAAAGGATCTAGACATTGCTAAACCTGGTGCTTAAATATACTATAACCAAACTCTAAAGGGTCCTATTGGATTCCCATGAAAATCTAAATTTAAGTAATTGATTAAAACCTTTCTATTGTTCAACTCTACCCCCCGCATCAATTATAACTTTCATTTCTTCAGGATCATCTGGTTTATGATCTCTCGTTAATGGTACAATTTTCCAAATTTAATCAAATTTACATAAAATTGCTCTTGAATCACCAACGTTTGCAGTATAGATCTAAAATTATAGCAATATCAAGTTACATTATCTTTTGTGATGAGTACTGATGCTGTAGTAGAGCCAGAAAGATTTGTATCAGTATTTGAGTTCCAAATTTCTCTATTTGTAATTGTAAACGCTCTAGCTATTTACATTTTAATATCTTCTTGGTTATCTACTAAATACTTATGGAAATGTTTAGGAAGCGTTTGTTTGATAAAATTGGACACAAGATGGCCATTTAGACCATGTCCATCTGAAACTGCAAATAGCTTATAACCAATACTAGATTATTTATCATAGATCGATACTTTTCAAGAATTTTAGGACAAACAATTGCTGAATCTTGGTTGATTTTTGTAGCTTTATTAATTTGGCATCCTGCTTTAGTTCTCATAGCATATAGAGTTGTTTATCTCCTTTAATTTTTGGGAGTGCTTGACTTTCTTATCTCAATCTTCTTACTTTAGAGCTAATCACTTGATGCCATATGATTTTATAACTATGGTAGTCGAAGGTACTTTGACTATTCTGTAAACACACTACTTTGTTCAGCCTTTTTAATCTGTGGCAAAAAGAACTTTAACTTAATGTTGAAGTCAGCACTTTCCGGATATCTTGCTGCTATTTGTAATGGTTTTAGATGAAGATCCCTTTATAGATTATTAAGAGATTGCGATTAATGAAACATATAATTGATATTTTTAATTAACTCATCATGCTTCATTGTTGCTAAGCTTCTCTATTAGTATTCTTTGATCCTATTCGACTTTCTATAGACTATCAAGTTCAATTTGATATCTATCCAATTCAGCCTTTCTCTCATTCAAAATGTTCGATAACTCCATCAATTTCTTCTTTCTGTTTTCCTACTCTGTTTCTACTTTATTTCTCTAATTAATCATACTAATCATACCTCTCCTATTGCTCTCAACTTCTCAATCTCTATTTTTTTTGAATATTCTTCAAGTGTCTCATTCAAATTTTGAACCACCTCATCTAAAGCAAGCACCTTTTTAATAAAATCCATGCTCTCTATTTTCAACTATTCTGTCTCTCTATACTTCTCAGCATCTAACACTCTGATCTTGTTTTATTCATCAAATGTTATTGAAATCTCTTCTGCCATTTTTAATAATAATTATGAATTCATAAAGTGAATAGCCTTTTCAATTTAAACAACTTCGATCCCAATCTCTCAGTCCTTATAATGATTTCAATCTTATCAAGTAACTCAAACGATAATTGCATTGTTCTGCCCAAAAAACAGCGTAGATCTTATCTTTAGAAAATAAAGCAAATCAAGAATAAATTGAAGCAAATATCATTAGCTCAGGTAATTTAAAGCTTGTAACTTACATAAGATTCAATCAAAAACTAATGCAATGCCTTTAAGAGTAGGAGGAACTCATTGATATTTGAAGGATAGTCTATTCCAATTAACCCAATTATCAAATATAGTGTGGATGTCTCTCAATTCTACAAAATAGCTCCTTAGATTCTAAGGAGCAACAATTACTAATAAAAAATAATCAATAGAAAATAAAAACCAATTAACCCCATCAATTCCCAAGACTTTATTTATGATGATGATGCGAACAATCAGTCAACCGTCGATGTATAAAATCCGAGTTGCAATCCACACACTGAAACTAAAAGACAATATATATCTATTCTACCTAACATCAAAAAATAAAAAGCAGGAATTGAAGAGGAGTATCCTATTAAGAGATTAGAGAGATATGAACAATTAATGGTATTGAAATACTAATTTAGAAACAAACCTGTGATGAACAACTTAATGAATTGCAAACCTTAATTAAGAAGATCTAAAAGCCCCCAGTTGGGAAAAAGGAGAAGAAGGTAACTTTTCTTATTTGAATATATACATTTTTTATTGACTTTACTTATCTACTCATATATTAATAGCTTCATATTTAACAAATTCAAAGATGAACAACATCAAAGGTAGGTATGATATTTAATTGTAATATTTAATCTACTAAATTAAATTAATAATGAAAAAATATTTATATGATAAATGAGTAAATTATAAACTAAAAATATATCTATTTTATATTAAAATATATCATAGTGCATTTTGAGAAAGATGAAAGATATTTTGGTCAAACTAGATTTAGAATCACTATTATAAAACATTAAAAGAACAAACTATATAAATAAATTATATCTAGTGCTTAGAGTAATTAATGATTAAATTTATTTTATAAAAATAATAGTTACTGTAGATATGGGTTTGTATTAATTTTTCAAATTCAAAAAAAGTTTTTCAAGATTAAAAATGTTTTTAAGGATTATCAATATGAGATATAAAAATTATTGACATTATAGATACACCCACAGAGTATAATTATTAAAATAGTTAATTATAAAAGGGATACATAAAGATTATTTGAAAATGCTATTTAATATAAGATCAAATATTCATTGTAATGTTGGTAATTTCATAGACAAAATACTATTAGACCAACATCCTTAATTTTCTGAAGAGGTTTGATCTTAGGTTGTACTTTAATTTTTATTAGATCTCGATGAAGAAAGAAAGTTAAATTGAGATAATTCCTCAGCAGGAATAATTTTTTATAGCTTCAATTAGCGTTCTAAAAGGCTTTTATTATTTGTAGAGTGGCATTTCTTAAAATTAAACTAAATTTTGGGTAAATCTTCAGTTGCTACACTTAATTATTTTCTATGTTATGATGTTATTTTAGGAAGTTCTCTGTGAGTTAATAATTATTTAATTTCTTGACTAGCTTAGAGTCTGCCATTTTATTAAGCTTTTTTGACTACTAACTCTATATCATTTGATTCGATATTGGATAATGAACTCTCTTCCAATGATTCAGTCACAGTTTGAAAAGTATCTTGGTTTATTTTACTTTAAATTTGAACCATTTTCGCCAGATCTTGGAGTTCACTAGCATCCTTCATGAGCATGTTCCTAAACAAGAGTGGCTATAACCCATTGATGGTTGAAAAGGATTTTCTGACTTTGATTGTCAAATCTACTGAATTTTGCCTTTTAAGTTTTCTTTAGAATTCTGCCTAAGCCTTAAGAAATAGAGTATAAGCTTCGTCTGCGATGGTTTTCTTTTCGGTTTCTTAAATTAATTAGCGAAATGCTTAGAATTTGACTGAAATGCTCTATTCACTGAGAATCATTTTGAGTTACTTTTCTCTTTGAACCAAGTAACTAATATGACTAAGCATAGCCCCGACCGACAGAGGAACATACTTTTCACTATATTGTAAGGTCTTCTGAATCTTAAGCATCATCATTCTGAATGCTGACAAGGCTTCTTGATTTTCAGTGAGACCTTTGAATTCATCCAATGACAAGGCCTTGTCCTTGTTATAATCGATAAACTGGTATATGGTTTATAAATCGTTGACACTGACTTCATACCCATAGTGTTTGAAGAGCATAAACAGATGAGCCAATGTAAGTACTCCTTCGTTGTTACAATCTAAAGTCTAAAGAGGTTTAATGAGCGGATTTACCATGAAAATCTATTTAAGTTCCATCTATAATCTTCTTTCTTCAGGGTAATAGAGATACTGAGGCTTTACTTAATCAGATCTTCTCTTAAACCACTGGTTGGCAGGAAAGTTATGAAAGCGATTTCGTTAATTCAACTAATTCAGATAATGTTGGCTAGCTTCATCGACGATTGGTACTAATTCCCATTTAACTTTGTGATATTTCATTATTAATTATGATGAATATTTTTATAGTATCAATTTTATTCACAACATTACTCTCATGCCAAGTCCAATATAACAACGACCTTAAATTCGATTTTAGCAATGTATAAGCTAATTATTTGATTTATGGAAATGATGGGAAATCCTTATACATCACATTGTGTGGACTTTTAAATTATAGATGTGAGTAGTAAGAATCCACCAGACTTTTGGAAGAGACCAAAACTGAAACAAATAATACAAGTACAGACACTGCCACCACTACCACAGATACTGAAAAAACAAATGAAAACAACACTAATACAGAACCCGCAACAGATACAAATAAAGAGGACAATAATACTAATAGTGGTACTTCCACTACAACTGATACAAATACTCCTAAAGTAGATGATAAGACAAGTGATGATAAGAAAACTAATGATAAGGAAGATGCGAATGTACTTAAATAAGTAGATAAAGACTAATCACAATCACTTATTATTGGAGAAAAAAACACATGCACTCCATATTCTGAATAAAGCAATGTGGATGCAAACCAAATAACTTTATTGGTTGAAAATAAGCCATTTGAGGGATTGATTATTGAAAGAAGAGGAATCATAGAAAAGGAGACCTTTAAATTATAATTGAAGTGTTCCGAATCAGATGTCTTGACGATAGAAGACTCTAATAAAGATGGATATCTATTCATCCTTACAACATCATCTGCTTGTCCAATATTGGTCTATAACCCTGTGACTTAATTCTTTATTGATTTTAAATGGATGTTCTCCATATTCCTTTGGGTGGTTGGAATATTCTTCCTACTCTTCGGATACTAATTAGCATAGTTGTCATCAATGATTCTAGCATCCATAATGGGTTTCGGATTTACTACTATTGTCATTGGAGAGGCCACATTAAATAGTTAATCGAGTAATGCCGCCTTGTGTGTCGTCATAGGATCAGGAATATTAGTGGCTTTCATTTATTTCAATGCTTCCATGCAGAGATTCTTTTTCCTTCTATTCAACTTTGGATTTAGTGTTGGTGTGATTATCTCCTTGATGATTCAATCCTTATTTTACTACACTATTGAAACAGACTTAATGTTCTTCCCTTTGACAACTTCCATCGTTGTATCTGGAGTGATTTTGGGTTTGCTTGGTCTCAGATACAATCTCCAAATGGGAATTGTGTCCACTTCTTTAGTTGGAGTAAGAAGTATATTATAACCTAGGCTTACTGCCTAATCAGACCTATTGGATTCATTGCTGGAGGTTATCCGAATGAATTATTACTAACTAAATAGGCTGAATACGGGTTTGATATCAAAATAGGCTATTCAGTTTATGTGTATAATGTTATGATCATCTTGGTAGCCATTCTCTGCGGCGTATATTAGAGAAGATAGCACTTAAAGAGAGTGGCTCTCGATGACCAGTTGTAGGCTGATATCAAATATTACGAGATGAGCAATGTTGATGATGAAGACAAATAAGTAAATCCTTTGTTCTATCTCATAGAAAAGACAAAGCAAAAATAGTGATAAGAATGTGACAGTCATTTTCGCCAAACATCTTGAGAATTAAGGAGAAGAACTTTAAGATAAAAAGAGACATTCGCATCTAACTGGAAGTGATATCAATGATTGATGATGTTAATATAAAATTTGATTTGTGATTAGATCTATCATTCATCGTACTATTTTCTAATTTAAAATTGCTTAGATTTCTCATCCCATAAAATTAGATACAAAGAATCACTTGTTATTGCTCCATAAATACTCTAAGTTTCGAATGTGATTGTTTATTCAGCCTTTAGTGAATAATCATCCTAAACTTTAAATAAATTAACACAATTTCCATTCTTACATAATAACAACTTGCTTTATTCCTTATATTCCATTTAGAACCATCTACAACAACTACTCTATATTTTAGTCACATCAAACTCATTCATCTTCTCAAATTCACCACTCACACTAGATTTTTTAAATAGCTATATTTTCGATTATCCCTGAGGTTAAAAAAAGAAATGGTTATTCTTAATGAAACAAATCCTATAACCATATTGCTCATTCTTAATTGTTTACTTTACTTACCATTCTCTTAAAAGCGGATCTTTAATTAACACTGAAATTAGGCTATCAAATCCACATGAAATCAAAGTATTTTCTAATGCATTCAATGATATTGCATTTACGTTACTCTGATGATTCTTTATAGTCTATACGCATCTCCATTATTATTATTCTTTGGTATAAAATTTAATACACTTATCATCACTACATGTGATCATTTCATTCTCATCCTTATTCATCAATATCTAATTAACGTAATCTGTATGTTCCTTTAATTCAGCTTAGAATTTTAACTTATTGTCTTCAAAAACCCAAAAGATTACCTTCCCATTAAAATCCCCTGAAACAAATGATTTACTTTTCTTCATAGCATAAATTGAACAAATATTTGAATCGTGCTTATCTAGCGATTAAATAAGTTCCAATTACCCCCAAATAAATTTGTATAGTTATATTGATTTATTGCATCCTGCTATTAATATATCATTCTCTTTTGTAAAGCATAATGACCTAAAATTATCAACTTGCCTTATTGGAGGGTTTTGTAACATTAAATAATTAATCTTTGCTTGCCCTTACGATACTGAATCTGTTTATGTTTATTTTATCTCTTGATATTTCGTTTCTTATGGAATCTACAAATTTAATTCGACCACTTTTGATATCATTTAAGGTTCTCTCTACTGTTATATCATAGAATGATAAAAGACTTATTCCTAATCATTACAAATCTTTTCAGATATTTTTTGGAATGATGTCGCACAAGTTTCTTTAACCTTCTAAAGAGAATTATAAATGTTTTTATTTAATTACTATTCCTATTCCAATATTTAATTTTCTTACTTAAACTAAATCTAATCAGTTAATTAAGTGTTAGATAAAGTTTCAGCTATATCAAGAAGAGTTTTCTTTTAAAAATTCTGCCAATTTTAATTCTATCCCTAAAATGCTGAATTAATTATGTTATTTAAATTTGAATTATGCTCCTTTAGATAATCAATAATTTCATTTTTCTTCTATTGCAATATATCAGTAAAAGTGGTTAATTATTACAATATAACTTATTCATTCTCATAATTTTTTTGTTGCAATGCCTCCAATTTCTTTTTCTTTATTTCTTCCAATTAATTCCACTGTTTCTACACTTTTGTCAACGAATGATATTTTATTGAGTTTTCTTCAATACAGTAAATACAAGCTAACCGATTTTCCTTAGCTCTCTCAGGATCAAGATCAAAGGCTATTACTTCTTTATTGTGAGTTTGGCATACTACCTTAAGTCCTGGAGTGTCCTATTTATTATCATTATAATCTTTACAATCTAATGTTCTTCTTAATTCTACGAGCATTATTGAGTTTAAAAGATTTCCATTTGACTTGTTTAAAATTCTATTGAATTAAGTTATTGAAGAAATTCTTCGATTTTTTAGTTATTCTAAATTTGTTCTATCTGAGATTTTAAGATGTTTCTGAATGAAAACTATGAATTTTCTAAATCTTCTTTTTGAGAGTTTGGTAAATAATTCATCAAAATTATAAACATCTATAGATTAAACAGTCTAATCTAATTTCTCCATAAGAGATGATAATCTCTCTATCTCTTGAGTGATTTATTGAGAGACTTTTTCACAAATCTACAACAAACTTCTTTTGAGCTCATCAATGCAAACTTAGAGTTAGCTTAGTATATTTTATGCCTATTCAATATTTTTACTCTTTTGTTAATAGTACTCTGTTTTAATTTCATTTAAGTAATTTTAGGCCACCTCATTTATATGGATGGTCTATTCCATAGTTCTTAATGTTAGGCATTACCCACATAAATGTCTACTTTCCTCGTCACAAGACTCCTTAAGATTGGTGGCAATGATCTATAAATTATGAGTTTTGCACATTCTTTTATCTGAGCTCTAAGACATTTAATTAATAATAATAATTATTTATTGCTCTATTTCTATTTCTATCGCAAATCATATATATTTAAATTTTCCATAAACTGAAAACAATTAATAAATAAAATAAATAAAAGCAAAGGTAAAATGCGTTTTCATTTTAGAGAACAGTTATTCTTAATAAAAATTTAAATTTTTAATAGATTTAGATAATTATGATATAAAATAATTAATAGAAAGAATCAAATTATTGTTATTTTAAACAATAATCCTTAATTGACATATAAACGTAATTTCAGTGCATCTAAATGTTATGAATGTGAAAGTAACAATAAATCATCAATAGAGATATTATTAAATTAAGACAAGTAATTAATTAATGCCAAAAATCTATCATACTTAGCATACGAAATGATAAATCATTCAAAGGACATCTGAATATTAAATGCACATTTGAAACGTTTACATTTTATGGAAAAAGCTGACGAGTAATCCTGTTAAAGTAGGTTACTAGATCTTAAATTACAGTTTCCAATAATATTATTATTGTATAAGAATGTAATAGGCAAGGCAGTTTTTAAAAAATCGTTTAAATAGCTTGATTTTTCATGTTAGATTATAATCAAATGAACACATGTTTATTCCAAAATTTATTCACCTCAGAGTATAGAACAATGTTAGGAATAAATTAAATCTTCCATTCCTATCATTTAGAAGAACTTATTTGAATTAATTAGGCTTTTATTTAAAGTTAAACTAAATTGTCATAAATAAGAGAATTTAAAAAATGCAATTTTAAGTTTATATAGAATATAATTATATTAAAATTAATATTTATCTTATTATCTTCGTAGTTATAGACATTTAATATAATGGAAATTGGGTAAGTGATATTTTCTTGTCGTTTGGATTGTTTGATTGTTTACTTGAATGGTTACTTTTCTTTGTTGTCTAAATAGAAGTTGAAATTTAAATTTATAGGTTAACATTTTTGATTTAAACTTCGAAATGATATAATTTTAGGATTCTGTTCATATTCTATAATGACAAGAGTCGATATTTATAGGAGTTAAAATTAATCGTAATTTACTTGTGACAATAATTTAACAATTTGTACAACATTATCAAATTTAAAATTTTTGTTTAAGACAATTAAACATATATAAATTTATAGTAAATGAATGAATTATAATTCATTTAATATAGATATTAATTGAGAATACAAGAAAAAAAATCAGAAAAAGACTTGTGGCTTTCAACTTATTGCTGCTTTATGTTTATGTTGCTTAAGGCATTCAATATGACTGGAAAAATGGGAATGATGCAAATATATGATTTCCTATATTCAACCAATTTTCCATCAGGTCTCGATTCAGGACTTGTAAGTCTTGGAAATGTTTAGTACAATCGCATATTAATCTTTGTAGATGGTTTTGTTACGAGATGGCTGCCCCTTTGAGTTTGCCAATGATGCCAATGCTTTTATTGAAAGTTTAATTCAAATACATATTTTTCTTTTCCTCATTAGGATCTATTTTGTTTATTATACCCCTTTAATTTGCAACAATCTGCAAAGACGCTGAACAGCCTATTTGCAATGTCTTTGCATTATGGACATTCACAATAGTGTTTTCATTTATCTCAGGATTTTGTAAGACTTTGCTGCTTTTTTCGATGCTTTATTATTTGTCAAATTTGGCTGGTGGACGGGAGAAGATAATTTACTATAGTTCGTTCTATTTTATGTATGTATATAGATATTATAATTTAATGCATAGACATCAATTTCAATGGTTGGTGGGTAGTCTGATAGGGAATTTGCTGGTTCATATTTGTAGTAGAGATTCATTAGTAGAAACATTAAAACACGTTTATATTATATTGATAGTCAGTTCTTTGTTTTTATGTTCGTTATTCTTAACAATTCCTGATGAAAAGAAGAAGTCAAAGTTTAAGAAGTTCAATAAGATTATTGCTCAATTGTTGATGGAGAATGGTAAGGAAAACAAAAAGATCTTGAAATTAGAACTACAGAAGATGAATTAGAAGAAAGAGCAGAATGAATTATATCATAAACTAATAGAGGAGGAAGTGACTGGGGAAAATGGGAAGATTAAAAAAATTATGGATTAGTAGGTATAGATGATGCAGACTCAGCAGTTCTTTACGATTTAAAGTTTTTCATATGAAGAGAACAACCTATAGGATATTTTGTCAGAGAAGCCAAGTTCAGCTGAAGATCTGCGATGGGTGTAAGCTGGTTAGAAAACAATATCGATGGAGGAATATGTAAAAAACAATTACTTTGGAAATTTATATTTAACTTTGTCCGTTCTTTGTTCTGAAGGATTCTTTTATTTTATAATTTTGATTTTCAATGTTGGAAATTTGATGTCCTTTTTGTTGTTGTAATTGCCAAACTTATTGACAATAAATTCAGTGTTGGATGCTGAGATGAGGGCTGCCACAATTTATGAAGGATTCTTGTATGTAGGGATAGGACAGATTTTTGGATGTTTTTATATAGGGTTGTTTGGAGACTTCTCATAAAAAATAACGTATAGAATTGTGTAATAAATTAAGAGGACTGTATTATATTCTTGGAGTATATCAATTGGGTTGCTTTTTGGCTTGGGGAATCTACATATTTTAAATAGAGTTTTTAGTATTTGTAATGTCATTCATTTTTGGATTCAGCTGTTCTGCAATGATGTCAACCACCATATCATTTTAGATCGTTTATTTTCAAAAAGTAAATTATTAAATTAATAATAGTTCATTTACTCAGTCGATTTAATGTATATAATTTACAGTTTCTCTTTCTCTATCACCTCCTTATTATATATTCTAACTAACTTTTTCGGAAAATTTTGTGGTTTGATATTGTTATAGAGTTCAGGAATATTTGGATTATTATCAATTTGGAGAATACACATGAAATTGAAGGCAAAAGTGAATAAATAATAATGACTAATTATTATACAATAACAAATGAATAACTTTGCTCAATTCTTCAAGAAGGTTGTCAATGAGTTTAACCATTAGATGTACAATCTTTATTCTTTGTCCAATGAGTAGTGTTCAATGAATGCACCCAATTCATCGTTAATTCCAAATCCTTTCAAATAGTCGACCAAAGCCAATTGTAATCTCTAAAAATAACTATTAATGACAACCTCATCTAAAGTAATGAAATCTGGGCCTGAGTAATCTTATAATCCTCTCTCAAATCTTGGAATCAACTTGTGAGCCTCTAAGTCCTTAATCAAACTAACCATGTTAACATTAACCTAATGGGATATAATAAGAGATGTACTTCTCCTTATGAAGTGCTGCATTCATAGCATAAGATTTGTCCATTGCTTTTTTGGAGATAAACTGTGAAATCGGCATATTCAGTATGTGATTCTTATTCTTCCTCTTCCTCTTGATTTTACTTATTTTTCTATTGTTCTTCTGCTTCTTCTTCTTCTCCTTCGTCTTAATTGGGTTGTCTTGATTGGAATTGCACGATGACTTTGACATCTCCTACTTTCTTTTCTAATGTGACTTCGTGATTGGCTTCGTCGTCGACCAATTGGAATCCGGCCTTTTCGACGAATTGAATGGCTGTGTCATCCTCAACGTAATTGGTTTTCTCGTATTTCAATTCTTTCTCAACTATCTTCACTAACTTTTATCCAGCTATTTTATTAATTGAGTGTATACTTTTATTGACCTTCTCCAATTGGGTGCAGAATGGAGCAAATACTCTTGTCATCTTCAATGGTTGGATGGTGCTTAACAATCTAAGAGGGATTTTGGAAATCATGTATAAATTTTTAATTGTGATAATTTATTTAATGAAAAATAATCGAGCGATTATTATTTGATTGCAATTTATTAATTTATTTAATGAAACAATAAGAAAAATTATAAATATTTCTTCAATATTTAAACAATCATGGTTACTATTAAACAATTCAAGAACTCATCTAAAAAACAAGTTATAATCAATTATAACAATTAGACTCAAAAGTTGATTCTTCAATTGTTTCCAAGATTACTACCTACATTCAGAATCAAGATTTCGATTAATTGGAATAACTATTCAACACCTATGTGAATTAAGAGAAGAAGCAAAAATGCATGTTTATAATTGTCTAAAATCATTATGTAGAATTGTTGCAACAACAAAAAATAAATGAAGCTGTCGAATTATTGAGAGGTCGATTACAAGATTGCTGTTTAGGTTCCTATTCTCTTAATTCATATGATAGATGAACAACAAAAACACCAGCTTGCAAACCTCATTATCGAATCAGAATTTCAACCTCTTACTTGTGTTGAAATCATCAGGCAGATCCTACTGATATGTCACCAAGAAATTGGAGTCCTACAACCAAACAGACTCATGGTTCTGATGCAATAAGCACAGACAAATAAGATTTTGGAATGCAAAAATCATTGCTAATTGGAATCCAATTATCAACTCACTTCCAAACATCAGTGCACTTAAAAATTAACCAAGAAAATTATACGAGAGCAACATTCAATGTTTTATTTATATTTCTATTATGTAGATCTATTGTTCAATATTCTAATGATCTATCATTGCAAGTGTAAGTAAGTGATAAGGTAAATTTGATAATTTATTAATAACATTTGTTAAACAACTCAGAACTCTAAGTATACAAATTGTGCACATTAATTGATCATCATCAAAGCGAGATCCTTTCAGTTACGATATCTCCTTGCAATCAATATATCGGCACTACATCCAAAGACAAAACAGCAATAATATTTGAACTACGAAAGAACAAACAATTAGTATTAAATGCTCATCAGAGTGCAGTCTAAGATATGATTTGGGTTTTGTAACATAATGTCGTGAATGGCAATAGTAGTGCCAATATTCAACATTCGAAACAGGATTAATAAGAATCACTCTTTCAAAGTAATTAGACATCAACTACTCTAAAATTATTAAAGTACAAGATATGGACTATTGCCAACGATGGCTGGCTATTTGGATGGGAGTAGGGAAATAAGATTTACAGTCTTAAGACTGAGGAGAAGGTGAAAAGAATGCATTATGATCAAAATCAGGATTCCCTAATTATTGTAAGTGAATACAAGTTATCAATCTACTAATTATCAAAAAAGCAATTGATTCGACAACTTAGTTTGAATGATCAAATTATAGATGTGAAAATTGAAAAAGCACAAACCTTTTTAATTACCATGACCAAAAATATCAATTATCAATTCACCTATTATTCCCTACCCAATCTTGAATTTGTGAAGATGTTTATAGAACATAATCCAAAATTGCTCATTAAATAATTTGATATCGGGTGGCATCATAATAATTTAATAGTTTGTTGTACTAATGAAGGAGTTACCATAATGTGGCATATCTAAAAAGGATAATTGCCTTTCTTTCGAAAATAAGTACTTTATTATCCAATTAATACAATAAGATTCACAAAGGCCCCATAAGTTTAGTTAGTATAGAGCCTCTGAGTTTCACTATAAATTACTTTGTAGAATAAGATTCGTTGTTAAGCCAGATACAAAGGAACATAGCTTACTATTCAAGATTCTTCCCTGAATAGCGCTCTCCCCTACCTGAGAGATCAATGACAAGTGACGATGATTGGTGACATTATAAAAATATATAAAAATCAAAAAAACTCTTCTTTTAATTTCTTCTCCCCCCACATGTTGATGATGTCCACCTAAGAATTATATTATAACCCTTACTCTTCTGATTTAAGTTAAGATCCTACGAACTTTCTTATTGTCCTTAACCACTTCTCCCAAATCAGTGACTTAAGTAGACCAGGGATATGCCCTATTTCTTAATAGTAACTACAAAATTAGCAATGAGATTCTTACCTCAATAATAGGAATGTTATTTTCTTGTATAGCTAAATACAGAGGTGTTCTATTCAATATGTCTATTGCATCAACATCTGCATGATACTTAATTAACAATTCAGACATTTCATACAAACCCTTTTTACTAGACCAATGCAAGGCAGACATATTGAAGAAATCGAAATCGAAAACCAAGTATTTGTTTTTCTCCAAATATTGATGAACCTTCTCTAATTGATTCAACTTTACTGCATGAATGAATTCTTGAGAAAAAGGTTTTTGATAAGGCTTTTTAGAGAATATTTATTTTTAGACCATCATTTTAGTGGTGATGTTCATTTCCTTCAATTTTTTCAAGGCTCTGAGCAAACAATGTCTCAATTATTTTTTGGTTCTTTTTGGAGGTTTAATTTACTCTTTCAACAAATTTTCATCATCAACAGATTTAATAACATTCCTTGTTTTAACTACTGGAGAACTGTCTACTCCGTAATCCTGTGTTGTAGGAGACTTAGGGGATAACATTGTGCTTTCATCAATATCAGTTTAATGAAATGCCCTGTCTATTCTATTGGTTTATATATGCATCTCCGTTTCACAAACATAATCAGATTCTAAAGGTATTCTATGATTTCGAAATGTTGAAGTCTAAGGAGATCTCGAAAGAGTAGTACGGTTAGTGCTTAAAGGACTCGAGACCAATTTTATTCTGAATCGAGGAGAACTGTTTGTGCCCTTTTAATTTTCTATTTTGATTGGAGCAATCTTCCTGATAATGTTATCGCTTGATTGGGTTTTCTTTTCTCTTATATTAGCTTTTTATCGCTCAAGGAACTCTTTAATTGAAAATTTCCCTGCTCCATCTGAAAGAATAAGAACTTCATTACTTTGATTCGCAATTACTGTCATACTTTATACTTCCATCAAATGTGGTCTAGGTTATCTACAAATTATTAATACACCTCATACCTAAATTCTGCTTGTATTTTACGATAGCTTTAACCCGTTGATTTCTTCATCTACAATTATATTCTTAAACTTAGAAGTATAAATTTATGATTAAAATAATATATACTATTTAATCAATTAATATTATTGGTAAATACTATCAATCTAAACACTGATGATCAAAATATAGAAAAGCCCTGAAAATTATAAAGAAAATGGGTTATAATCTTATTGCGAGTATAAAAATCTATATCAAAATAAACTTTAGCATTTAAAATATTCATTCTGTATGAATGTATGACCATCCATCAACATGAGATTTTTCTATTTCAATGAAACTTTGCAAATCAAACACATTCTACCCCCCTTTTGATATCAAATACGCCTTATTATTAGTAGGCTTGGGCAACTTGAGTTCTCGATTAAATACTTTATCCCAATTTATGTCTTGAAAATAAGGATGTTATTTCACTTCCAAATAATCCCCTTCTCCAGATCCCAATCTATTTACTGGATTTCTGTTCAATAGCTAAAGAATTAATAATATCTTACTGCTTTCAAAAGGTTCTTCCCTTCTGCAGAAATGTAATTTGGAATTTGAAGCTCCCCATTCTAAATATTGTTAAATAAGACATCTTTATCGTCTGAATAAAAAGGAGGCAATCCAGTTAAGAGTTCATACATAACAACTCCGAGTAAATACCAATCTAGAGCCTTCCCATGTCCTTGTCTTTGTAGCATTTCTGGAGCTAAATATGCTACTGAACCACAAAAGGATTAAGCTCCTTTATCAGCATCAAAAATTCCTTCTTTCGATAGGCCAAAGTCTGTTATCAAAGCATGACCTTCCGAATCAAGTACAATGTTGTCTGGCTTCAAATCTCGAAAGATTATGTCTCTTTTATGGAGATCCTCTAATGCCAATATTACCTCACACATATACAGCTTGACTACATTTTCAGGCAATCGTTTTTACTTAGTCAAGACCTAACCTAAGTCACCACCTGGACAATAGTCTAATATCATAAATAATTTATCCTAGGTCTAAAAGGCATATCTTAATTTAACAATGAATGGATGTGAAGATACTGATAAGACATTTCTCTCAGTTATTGCGTATCTGCAAATGTTTTACTCTTATATAAATTGTGATTTATACTGAAAATTAAGCTTTTTCGTAGCACTTTCATAGCATATAATTTCTACTATCTTTATACAAGATATACTTCTCCAAAACTTCCTCTGCCTAAGAGTCCAACTAATAAAAATTGTTGTGGGCCTATTCGTTCATCCTCCTTAGATTTTGACTATTTCAAAGAATCAATAGTAGATGAAGTATTTATTAAAATTTGATTTAGTTGATTGGTTTGTTGATTTACACTTTACTATTTTAATTCATGTTATAAATTGACTATAGGAGTAGAAGTTTCTTTTGATTGACATTTTTTGGTTTTTTTAAGGTACTCTGTCAAAATATTTTAAATTTTAATCTCTTTTGTTCTTTTTTCTGAATTACTACTTCTCTTACTTTTTGTAGATAAATGATAACTTTAAAACAACTTCTGAATTTCTAATAGATTTGTATAATATTCTGGTATTTTTTATTCATTATTTTTTCTTATTTAAATTCCATTCATTTATAATAAACACTCAACCACCTCTTTCTAATTTAATTTACACGCATAATGAAGCGAGGTATCTCCCTTGTTATCTGAATGATTGATATCTGCTCCTTCCTCATACAAAATAAGAATTATGTCTCTATGGCCGCTTTTAAAATTAAATCAAAGTTTACTGAATACAAGCTAGCATAAAAGGGGTGATATTTTCAGAATTTACTATGTCTATTTAAATTTGCTTAAAAATCAAAGCTTACACAAGAGAGACGTTTTCATTCAACACTGCGTAATGCAATGCAGAGTTCTTCTTGATATCTTGAAAATTTATATTTGCTTTTAAGTTTGGGTTAATTGGAATTAATGAATTTAAGTTCACTAAGTTAATTAAACTGATTTCTTACATATTTAATGTACAAAGGTTGGCTCCAGAAGTTGAAGACACTTATCGGTTCTATTATCTTTGCTTTCTTTTATAAATTAATTACTAATCTCTGGTTTTATAATGAATTATGCATACACATTAAATATAATTGCAAAAGCTGGCCTTCTTTTCGTATGTCGTTTTTCTGTTCTCGTTTTTAATGATTTAATTATTAGTCAATTGCTTTGGAGGATTTTGATCTTTCAATAGAAAGTTTAGAATGATCAAGAATTGCCCTAATGTCAGGTGATTTTTGTGGTGATTTAGCTTTAAAATTAGAGCCTGTATTTATCAAAATTCGATCCAATGATTTTAATCTGCTTATTTTATCATATAAAGCAAGAAGAGGCGGCCTTTGACATTCATTAGTCTTGCAAGATGACATATCAAATCGATGGTTATTTTAATAATGATAAACCAAAAATGATTTCCAGATTCTACTTATTAATTATTACAGGAAAATAACTTTGTAAAATTATTTTATTACAGTCAAATATCAATATTCAACTTAAGATTGATAGAGAAATTTATTGAATTTCAATTACGTGATCATAGTATTCATCTCTCTTTCATATAAATAGAAAAAATCATTCCTAACAAAAATAAACACTTTATTTTTATATAAAAATTATGATTTCAATAAATTAATTGAGGAACTAAGACATAATATGACCTTAATTATTAAGTACTCTTATTAAGGACACATTTAAATTAGGGGGTATTTTCTTATTGAATAAATCATGATATATTTTTGCATTGAATTGTTTAACATATAAATTTCATTAATTGTTATGAATGTTTATTGTGTTGAGCGTTCCAAAACTTGTAGAACTTGATTAAATATTATAACTTATATATTTATAAATATGTTTTTAAATTGTTACAACAAATAATCATAATGACTTTATTATAAGGAATTAATAATTTTTTTCACCTGTTTTGGAGGTTGGATATATTAAATAGAAAATCTTTGATTTTATAAAAATATGAGATATGAAAGAAAGTATATGCAAAGCTTCAATTTATAGAAAAAAATGAGAACTGATTCAATTTTGAATATCGAATATATTACGATTTTTTTTTTTTAATTATTATTATTATTACAACAATGCAACTAAAAATTTAATCCCTAAGAAAATAAAGAACGCATTTTTTAATCTACAAATTGTTTAATTATACATATAACTAATTATTTAAATTTTCAATTTGTATTAAATTTGAAAATAAATATAGAATTTGATATAATGTATATTTTATAATTATAAATTTTAAATTAAATATAGAATAATCATTCAATAACCTTGTCTTTTTATACCCCTGAGGGTAAACAAATATTCTTCAATATTTTAATTACCTTAAAATAAATGAACAACAACTTTTCCAACAACGTAAATTAGCCCACTTAATAATAATACCTTAATATCTAGTCTTTTGAAACACAAGGATAATAAATTTAGAAAAATAATTACTTTGAATGTAATTTTACAAGATATATCTTTAGAGTAGGATAAACTTAATGATTTATCAATCAGAACTAACTTTCTCAAGAAAGTGTTTGCAATTTTACTGATTGAATTCTTCATTACTTATGTAATGTTTATGTTAGTGGTCTTTACATATTTATTTGATTTGTTTTACTTGATCGCCTACATCTGTGTATCTGACTACGAAGATGGTCAAAAAGTTGAAACCTGCGGCTATTATTACGGGCCAACTTGGGTGTTCTATTTTTTTCTAAGTTCTTCGATGACTTTGTAATTTACACATTACTTTGGACAACAAAGTGGAAGATAAGTAATAATTATATTGTTAAGTTTAGATTATGCATCCATACTTGTTTTTTTTCTTATATTAATTGATCTATGGATTTACGTTTGCAATAATATGGGCGATTATGGGTATTCATATCAATTTTATGGGTATTCATATTTATTTTATGTTCATTTGTATGACTTGGGGAACTATTGGTCTTATTATATTTGGATTGATGTGTTATGTTATTTTGAAAGAGAAAGATCTTTCTTTCTAAAGTATTCTCATTCTATATTTTATAGTTGGCGCAGTTATTGTGTTTTTCATCACCTTGTTGGCTTTTATCTTTTTTGTCATACTCGACTCTTCTTTTGCATTGCAATACTTGTTATGTGCATTTATCAGTATCATCTACGGATTATATTTAATTTTGGAGTTAAGATTAATGATAGAATAAGATGTAAAAATAATTATTTTCCTTTAAGAGTTTAAAATTGTAAATTGATGATTATATGATTTTATCAATGTTGCTATATGCTCTTATTTTTTAACCCATAGTGAGAATATGTGAATTTATATATAATACCTGCATTAGGAGTAGTTCATGATTATTATAATGAAATAATAGATCCCATAAATATTTTTTTTTAGATTACAAGACATCATTGTTTTAGATCATTTCAAACATTGTAAAATAAAAGTGTTCATCCCTAGTATATTATTTTACTTGTATTTTCTTAATTTTAATAAGAATAATTCTTTAATTTTATTTGAAATCTTTAAATATTATGTTAATTATTTATTTATTTTAATATTATTTATTCACAATTACTTATTAATTCGAAGAAATTACTTTTAATTCACGCAACTTTTATAATATAGTAATTTAATTTACACTTTAATAATGTAGAAAAATTAAATTATATTATGAAAAATAATTCTCATTTAAAGCGATTTAGGCTAGGTATCAGAGTATTAGGAATCAAATTATTCAAAATCTAATAAATGTTGAATTTAAAATTTTCATCTTTTGCAATATTTTAAATGATCTTTTGGAAACACATTTAGAAAGTATCATTTAGATAGCCACATACTTTTGTGACTTTTTGTTGTTTTAGACGAATATTCTAAAGCCAATTCAGAATGGATACTAGGTATTTTCTAAGCAGGCAGAGGACTTCTAAATGGACCTATCATAATTGCAGGTTGCTTTTGGCCAATCACGAATCATAATTACATTGTTAAATAATGTTCTTTATCACTCAATAAACAATTCTACTAAAATCAAGTCGAAAGTTCAGAAATAATTAGTAAACTTAAAGGCAAGGCATTGCAATTTGAAACAATCGAAATTAGCGCCCAAAAATTATCAACTAAGATCTTGGCATATACTCCTTCTGATGTAAGTGAAATTAGTTTAAATTACACATTATAACTTATTAAAAATATACTGTCAAAAGGATACAAAATTATTGGTAGCAATTAGATATTTAATAGATAGAGTGTTATATTAATCAGCATTGGTTTCAAGGAAAATTTGAATGAAGTTTTGAAAAAGAGTCTTGGCTTAGGAAATAATGACTTAAAATTTATTGTGGGAATGCATTAAACAATAATTGCAGCCTAAATTGTGGCTTAGCAAGAAAGGAATACTCGATTGCTACAAATATAATAAGATATTTATCCATCTAATTCCTGTTTTTATTTATCCATAAGACATTAGATTTACTTGGTAAACAGCAAGCGCTAGTCTTATATAAAAAGCAATCAACATTGAATATTTATCTGAAAAGAATTGGACAAGATAAACAAAAGAACAATTCTTAGAAAACCCCTCTTTTTTAGAATATGGAGGATTACACTTTAAAAATTATTATTTATGATCTATCATGAAAATGGAATCTTAATTATTTAATTTATTTTTTATTATTAAAAATTAAAAAAAGCAATTTGCGAGGAGTCGAACCTCGGGCCTTCGGATTTGGAATCCGGCGTGTTAACCACATCACCACAAATTGAATTTAAGTTTTAGTAGAGTGTATTATCTATGATGGAAATTAGAAAATTAAGGGAAGATTAATAAATTAGAATAAACAAAATTTATTATTATAGATAATGTCAAATTTTGTAGAAAAATAAACGAAATTTTTAATGATTATCTATAATTGATACCTTCTAATCACATTTAAACGATATTGATAAGCTTATTATTCAAATTACAGAGTTTAAAATTGAATAATTCTAGTCAAATAAGGATTAAAGATATTGTTTCAACTTTAAATATACAAATTATTTATGAATTTTACCTTATTGCACTGAGCAACTGAGTCCATTTATTAATTATGTTTGTCATGTATCTATTTTTGGCTTGAGATTGAGAAGATATTCATGTTTACATATGCTCATAATCTCATTACTACCAAAACTCAGAAAACAAAAACAATGAATGATTCTCAAAGTATTATATTTATTTTATAATAATTATAAAAGAGCTATTGACACAAGGATTGTGGTGCTCACAGTGAGTAATTATTAATTATTTATTCATTGAACAGCTTTAAGAATTTCTCCTCCAACAAATTGATCCTTCAAGTGTTGATACTTGGCAATAATCTCTAAAGGAATCATATTCAACAAGCCCTGCAATAATAAAAATAAGAGTACCTTAGTTTCCCAGATTTATTCACTCAAATTATTTTAGTATTGAGTCATGCAAAATATGAAAACAAAGAACATAACAATTAGAAACACAGAAAATTTGACTTATTCAATCATTTCTGAATATGACAGAAAATCTAAGGTAGCCTACTAGTATTACAAAGTTAGATAATAGCAACAGTTAGATACATATTGCATAATAGAGTCTAGCTTTTTAAAATAATCTTTCAAGGTTTAGGATAGATCATCAACAGTCTTATTACTTAATGACCACTTAGCTAGCATATCATTAGATGTTAATGCGACTGAAGCTATTGTAGTTTTCAATCCTTATTGTAAGAGGCCAGCCTATACCTCCATGCAAGTTGAGGCGACCAGAGTGAATTAGTTTACAGTGAATGGATAGTCGCACAGACTATTAAAAGAAATACCAGCCAATAATGAAAAATATGAATCAAATTATGAAGGGTGAGACTATTGAATTTCAATGGATATGTTTCGTTCATTTTCTGACTATCTGTTTTGAAAGTCCGTCTTATATGTATCTAAAGAAGTGGGATTCTGTAGAAGCAAATGCTCAATTGACAAGTACATGTAGTATTTAATATTGATGGGTCTGTCTTCTATGTTTTTGAGGTGATCAAATATATTCTGAGTTTCTTTAAGGAAATAGGATTCTAATATGATATCTAAGACAAAATAGGAAATGAACAAGAGAGCAAAGAATATAAACTAGACAGTTACAGCACATTTGTGACTTCCTTGAGAATTCAACAATTTGTTTGCTTTTAAATTTTCTTAATCATCTTCTTTCTCTTCCTCTTTCTATTACTATTTCTTTTATGAAAATTTTAAATCGTGTTTAGTTGCACCTTAAGAAACTGGTATGGGGATTTGAGGTTAGCCATCAGAAGTTAAATTTGATAATTGTTTCACATGACTTACACTTTGATGTCCTGATGACAATAACTTTTATGGTTTTTGAATGAGTTTGCTAGCATCATCTTCATTACTCTCTTATTTCTCTGGATGTTCCTTATTTATTAATGGTTGTTCTCCATGTCCAGATGTATGAATGATATTTTAGTGAGTAATTTATGCTTCTTACACTTTTGTTTGTTTATGTGAATCTCCTTATTCATTTAAGAAATTCTTTAAGTACTGTTCGCATTTAGTGACCAAATCCTTTAATTCATTCACAGGTATGATACCAAAAAGGGACAAGACTTTATTATTGGTATCATGCACTTGTGAGACAATCGGAATTAAGACCAAGGAGGAGATGATGAGGAATGCAATGCCGATGATCATGATGATGAGGAATTTGATCAAGTAATCCTAGATAAGATTAGAATAAAAGGAATAGAAATTGTTAGCAATGTTTTCAGATCCATTTCTGAGTACATAGTATCCATTATTGATGAGAAAATAGAAATTCTTGTAACCACTATTTGTAGATTAAATAAAGGAATCGTTTGAAGCATTGTCCAATTAGGAACCAGATGTGATGAAGTACATCATGGCATCATCAAAGAGTAGATCTTAATTGCTTTCTTGTCCATTAGACATTAAGAACTTGGTTGTGTACATTTAAGGTTGAATTTGGCTTCCCTTTCTATTTTCCATAATGAGTCTGACATTGATTAAATCATATTGCAGTTGTTGTAATGAATTGACCCAATATTATAAATCCGATTTGACTACTTACAAATCATCATTATAAGTATTGTTATAAATGAGTTGCAATTTGCGAGCATTGTAGACAACATCAGAGATGATATTATGTCTGTAATACCCTTAATAGATGGCATTCACACCTTCCTTAACATCATCAATCTAAATGATTCTATAAGCCATAATTAAAGTACTTAAAGTTAGTAGAAGGATCATAATGAACCAAACTGTACGCTTTAAAATAATTATAGATCTAGGTTGAGTTTTGGATGATATCATTTATTTGAATTCCTTCAATTCCTTTTGATTATTTTCAGTTCTAGAAGATCTACTTGAATTGCCATCCTCGATTACTGGTTGTAAATGATCGCTGATTTTGTTATCTTGATTATTTTGATTTTGCTTTGAATTCATGGAATCCATCTTCATAATTTGTTCACTCTACTCATCCTCCTTGATCCACATAAATTTGATAGTTTATAAATTGATTTCTCCAATTTTGAGTTGATCGCATAATACTAATTTAACTTTATACTTTTTGTATCTTTGCAATTTGTCATTCTTCTTTTTCTTGAAATCAACAGTCTAAAATCTATGAAACAATGGACTAGGTGTATCAGAGACTTAGTCTTATTGTTTCACCTCCACTGGTTTGAGTAAATACCTTTGTATTCTTGTATCATTCGAGGATCTCAATGGATCATGAGGAAACTCGCAGAATTAATCATCGTCATCCTCAATTGATATTTCACTCTGACTTTCTCCAATTCCTTATAAATAGTCTTCCTACAATTGAGTTGTATCTAAATAAGTGAGGATTCCATCTTCCATATTGATGTGTTCTTCTATATTTGGGAAGAGCACATCAAAAGTAAATTTCTATTTGAATGTATTATTAGTCATAATAGATTGTGGAATTCCGAAGATTTGAGTGCAAGATTAGGTGATGCCCAAGAGAGTCTGAGTGTATCCATCAACTATTAGATAATGCCATTCTTCGTTTGATTCCTATTGATTATTGTAATCTTATAAGAATCCAACCATCTTGATGCCCTCATCTAGATTTGGAAGTATCTTGATCATCAAAGAACAAGGCACCAAATATTGTTGGGAGTTAATGCAACACAAGATCCTCTCTTTGTCCATCACTTTTGGTTTGCTGGTATCTATGTAATCAATCATATATTGATCATGATGACTTGCATATATTTTTGGCATAATGCAATTGATATTAATACCCATGATGTCACTCTTACTAAATTGTAGAAGTCGTGTGATTTCATTATTGCAATTGGTGACCACACCCATGTTGTTAAAATTACCTGAACATGTTATTATACATGTATTGGCATTCTCTCCATACTTCAATCTTATTTAATCATGAATCTTATTGTTCTGGAATTGTTTGATCAAAATCTGAACTCTGTCTAGAATCCTATTGGACTCATCCTCATCATTCACAATCTCTTTTAAGAAATTGCCATAGATGGTTAAAAACTTAATGTGATTAGAATTCAGCTCTTGCAATTTCTGATACTAAATCATTGTCTACTCTAATTTCTTTGTTATTTTGGATCCAACTACCTTCAATTTTAGAATATCGGGATTAGTTTCCAGTAACTCACGCCAGTACTCAATGTGATAATTGACTGTCTTCTCTACTGCATTCAGGAAGATGATGAAGGTATTCTAGAATACCATTATTCCATTCACATCTATTCCTTTATTTTCATTGGTTTTCTGTTCCATGTCTTTCAGTTTTTGTTGGATGATTTATTTATAATGGTACATAGCTAGTTCCTCTTATAAGGATGGTTTGTTGTCTTCTGCGAACATCATCTCAGTGAGTGCTTTGAAATGGTTGTTCAATTGATCATTCAATAAAAAGGCATACAGAAGATTGATTCTACAACTCTTATTGAACCTTTCTCTCATCTCATTCAATAGGAATCCCAAAAACTTATACCAATATTGATCGATCTCCTCCTCCTTTATGTTTTCATGCATCAAAGCCTTGCAGATGCAATCCTTGTTTTAACAGGCCTTGGAGTGCAATCTCAGTTTGCCCTCCAGGAGCATTCGCGACCAGATCTTTTTTCTCTGTTTGATCAACTTAATGACTTCGAGCAGGTATATCTCAGCCTCGATGTCTCTTTCGATGTTTCTGAATAGAATAGACAGGACCTTCTTATTTTGGAGATGCAACAGGTGAAAATAAACAAGAATTACCAAGGGGATGCCTATTATCATATAGAAGAACCCTATGTCTTCAGCCTGGTTGTAATTGATGAAGGCCGTGAAGAAACTCACGAGTGTGATCCAGAGCAAAGTGATTTCCTCTATTATCGAGGCCCAAGCAACCCATTTGTTGTAGTATTTGGGTTGTTTGAATCGTTGCACATTCAGATAGATGTAGGACAAGCAGAGGAGTGAGATGAACACTCTGTCTAGGGAGCCAGCGTAGTCGAAGATGGTGTAGATGGGCAGGACGATCTTTATGATTTGTTTGATGAGAGTGGCACTTTGTTGAGGAGTGGCAAAAGGGATGGAGGAAAATGGGTTCTGTTCCATGAAAATCAAGTTGAAGTAGACGATGTGTATCAAGTGCATGAAGAGTCCCAAAAACTAATATATTGAAACACAAACGCGTTACAGAAAACACAAAGTGAGCATAGTAGGCTCCGACATAGCATTCAAAGTTGGAGTTCACGCAATACAGTATGGCGATGTACACGTTGGTGAATGGAATCAGTAGGATTGTGTTGAAGAATACTCCGAAGTAGGCTACAAGTCGATATGTGTAGATGTAAAATGTGGTATGCTTTTTCAAATTGCAGAGGATCACAATTTTCAAGGCGATCATGAGCAATTATACTGCGAATACCTTGATAGGTGATTTGTATTACTATGTACAATAGTGCTAACTAAATTTCTATTTGTCCTTTGCCCAATACTTCGTTGGGCTAGAAATAGGATAGAATTAAGCGGAAATATTTGAAAATGGGAGTTTGGAAGAGGAATGAAAAGCTCGGATGTATTGAATAGTACACCTGAAATGTTATATGATTTCAATTACCATTTGCATGGTTTCCAATAAAATTAGGAAATTGTATAGGTGCACAGTTACAACACTGTTTAAGAGTAAGTTATGTGTGAGGTTGTAAATGGACATCTTTAGGGAGTGAATCCAAAGATCCCATTTTGAATACTCAAAAAGAGTCTTCCTATTATTCATTATCATTAGTTTTAAATTATAACAATAATAATATAAAATGTAATAGAATTCGATCAGAAAACAAAACCCTTCGAATGGGTGGGTCTATGTCCTTAGAAACAGGCAATCCATCGACCAGAATCTGGATCGATTTGAAGGGGAAATGGAAGGCAAAAACATCAGAATTTAATGTGATGTTCTGAAACAATACACCGATCAATTTATGAGGTGTCTGGACGAGTTGATCTAATTCCCACAAGAAAACATCATACATTATCAAGACTTCTTTATGGATCCCCAAACAAAACATTTATATGTGATTTAGGAATATGTCCAATAGGAATCCTATCTCAATTACTAATTGAAGCATTAGTAACCTGACGACGTTCAAAAACTTAAGATTTGTGAGGATGTTGCCAAAGGAATATATTATCTCCACCTACTCAGCTACAGACACAGGAACATAAATCCTGAAAACATCTGTTTTGTAAATGGATAGTATAAAATAACTAATTTAAATTAAGTTGTTCATTTTATAATGAAAGAGAAATTAGATGCAGTAGGAGATAGTTCTTATTGGAATTAAGACTTGATGCTAGACAGAGTCTATGATCAAACTATTGATATCTTTGCTTTTGCCTGTGTAGTATTTGAAGTCTACACATCGCAGAGGTTGTTCAATCGAAACCATCCAGACAGAACACGTATCCCATAGGATAAAGTGCAAGAGCTTTCAAAACTACCCAACAAACTAAGTCAATTCATCTTTAAAGTCATCGTAGAGGGAAAACCAGAATTAGAAACCTATATAGACGAGCTTTAAAAAGATGACTTAAAAAATAGAAAATACGAAGCATCTTCGATAGGGAACAAGCAATAATAAACTAGAAATATGAAAACTAATCCTATTGTGAATTTTGAGTAAAAGGAAGTGCCTAAGTTCAATAATCTACCTCCAGCTCTAACCCCCTTTTAAACGATGAATGCACAAAAGCGTCCATCCACTGTACTACACGGAATTCCACAAACAACACAATAATTTATCCAACCAAACAAATTCCCAATGGCAGCCAAACCGCCAGACACTTTTTCTGCACCTATTTCAGCCAAAATACCAGACTCTTTTTCTGTATAACTTCCACCTTCATAATAACAATTCTAATTCTAATCAACTCTAAAACCCATATAATAATCAAGCCCTTTCCCCATGTTTCCATAGCAAACTTCATAAGATAAATAGAATTAAGGAACCCTAAAACCATTCGGCACTATATCGAATAAATTTACGAATTTCCCCATTCCAAATAATGAGTTGTCCTCAATGACTCAAAATTTTAATCAAGCAATCGTTCAACAATCATCTTAGCCATTCGGTTAAAATGTTCTTCCTTAGATTTTTGATACTTCCTAAAGTCTACATAAAAAAAATAATTCTCTATCCAAACCATTCTATTAAGAGAATACATACATTTAAAAAACAGACCCAGATGAAGACATCTTTAAATGCTAGATAGATACTTCGAAAGAAGAAAGAGAGAAAGAAAATCAAAGGTAGGCTAAAGATATCAGCGATATATCCAAGTTGGTACGACCAGAACATTAGGAGAAAATGGTGAAAGAATATTTAGATTTAAAAAAACAAAATCCCAATTGGACAGTATGTTAAATCTTGACGGAAATTATTGATAAAATGGTGAGAAATAAATTGTGACTTCAAAGTTATTGAATAGCATTATTCTATATAAATAATAATTCAATAATCAATCATTAATTGTATGTCTTATTAATCTAATGATGATTAATTGATGAATGATATCATTCAATGTTTCATCATTTAGAATTAATTATTTTTTGAATGATTAAGTAATTGCTTGCTATTGTGGCAATTGGAACACTGTCAATAGTGCCTTATCTTGACAACACAGATTATAACCCATGGTTTGAGGGTGACACATTCATAGTCTCCACTGATGGAAGCATGAAAAGAGTTAGCAGATTTGATCCAAACTGGAAACCACAGTCAGCATATGAGTAATTATAGAATTAAATAATTTTAGAGATTATCATGAACAAATCTATCAAGAACAAGAAAGATTACGTAAAGAAAAGATGTCTGACTTCCTCTAAAGCACAGCTCACATTTGTACAAATGGAAAAGATCACACCAAAATGACCTTATAAAATTACATGAATGAATTCATCAATGGTCCTTGTTAACCAGCTATCTTAGTACCTGGATTGATTGGCACAGCATTATAAGTATAAATGTCATATTCTATAGTCTAATAGGTAAAAATTGATTGCGAAATCTTATAAGCAAAAAGACCAGATATCTTTGAAAATTGTGGTTGGTAAACTTGCAGTGCCTCTAAATTCTGGTTGAAGAAACCAAGCGAAGAGTACAGATTGTGGATAGGTGCATTAAGTGGTCCATTTTCAATTGCAATGACCAACAAGAAGGATAAATGCTTTGGAGATTTTATTGAACTTTATTATGATAGATCTAAAAAGGATCCAAGAGACAGATATACAGCTGCCCCAGGTATTGAAATCACTTGGGCTGGTAACACTCCCAAATCAATCGATAATGAATGTGGAACAACTGCCATCTAAGAGTTAGCCACTGATTCCCTTATCAAAGCAGCAATGTGTGATCCTAAAGGTTATCATGTTTTCTCAGACACTCTTAAAAACATGGGTTACATTCCAGGATTAACAATGCAAGCTGCTCCCTATGATTTCAGAAAATCAATTGCAGCATCAGAATCTCAATAATACATCAAGAAGTCTGTGGAAACATTCTATAGATTGACAGGAAAGAAAACCTACATCTTTGGACATTCTTTGGGTTCTCTTCATTCTACAGAGGCAGTGTACTCAATGACTTAAGCATAGAAGGATAAAGTAGCTGGTATTGTGACAATTGCTGGACCTCTTTTGGGAGCAACTAAAACATTCAAACCTTAAGTAGGTGGAGATGACAGCTTTATGTTTAAAGTGTTAATCCTGGATGCTGGTATTAACTGGTATGCTCAAAGGAAGATGGCTCGTACATCTGCCAGTATTGTGGATTTATATCCCAAGGATACATTCACAAGATTCAGAGATGAACCATGGATGTAAGAAATTCTTGACAGAATGAAATGGGATACCGAGTTCATTTCAACTGGAAAGAGACCAACAAGAGCAAATCCTCTACCTTGGTTCCCAGAACCTAGTGAGATTTGTGGGGCTGATTTTGCTGATAGATCCAATCATTGCTAATTGTTAATGCATGATATGAGCGAACACTTTTTGAAAGTCGTTGACAAATTGTATTATTCAACTGAAGAATCTACCAAAGAAGCTATTAATGACACCATCGCTGCTAATGATGCCAAATAAATATTAGATTATGTTGAAGAAACTAAAAGAGAAAAAGCCAATAATGTTGAACATCCAGGAGTACCTATGGTTATAGTCTACGCTGCTCATGAAATGACTCCATTCCAATTTGAATACAAGAAACAACCTAAACCTATTGTTGAGTCTAGTGATGATTTCTATTTCCCAGATCATATCACCAAAGCCATTGGAGACAGCACAGTTCTTGCCTCCTCAGCCATGACTCCAGGTATCAAATGGATATATGAACACAACCATGGATTAACCACTATTCCAACTAAATTGGTTGAGTATTGTTCATAATATAATGGAGATGCCGTCTCATCTATTTATGATTCAAAAGATGCTCAAGGACAAAGACAATTCACTGAGTCAGGATATTTAGGACTTACTTGTTCTTGCAAATTTGGATAAACTGTAAATTTATTTCATTTATCATTTTAAGGGAATCGACCATTGTGGACATGCTTGTATGATTCAAGACACATTATTTATTGAGTTTGCTGCTGATGTTCTTAAAACACACTGGAAATCTACTATTTCATAAACTCCAGCCAATGAAACTGAACTTAGAAACATTCATGAAGGATGCACTAATTTACATTGAGTATTTTAATTCATCCCAATAATAATTTAAACACATTCAACTAATATTTTATTTCATTACAAATAAAATTTCAACAAATTCTGATGAAATAAATTTAAATGCCATTGTGTCTTCATCACTAACAACCAATTGCTGAAATTACTTTGATTTAATTTCCTACAGAAGAACTCTAATTATTTTGCTCAAAATGCCCTAAATCCTAAGATGGCAGCCTTGAGATAGTGCAAATTTTAGACCGACTTTCAAAAATTCAGATAGAAGACGAATCGAATGTTGAAAACTATCTCAACTTTTTATCAAATAGAATAAATGCAATCAAGCAAGAATTTCTTTAAGTAATTGAAAGTTTTAGTAAATAAGTCAAGGATTAAATTAAATTCTTCAAATAACAGATAATTACTCCTGAAACTATCAACTATTACTCCAGTATCTAATAATTTACATCTGAAGATTTAAAACAATTGAGTACTCTTTTTGCACTCAATTTTCGATTGGATAACCATTCATTCTCTTATAATAAGACAAATAGTATTATACAATAATAAATCATTATTCTTCATAATAAAATTAAAAAAGTAAATTAACTCAAAATTTAAATTGAAAATTCCTTCAATCCTGATTATTAAACCTAAAGTTCGATTTAAACAGACGAAGAAGATTGTTTTAATGAAAAACCAACAGGATATAAAAACTATATTGAAAAAGATAGAATATAATACTCCTAACAAATTAGAGGAATAGAATTTAGTGTAGATAATTAATATGTTTTTGCACATAGTCATGAATTGCCTTTGACTGCCTTTAAAATCGTAAATAACAAATTGACTGCTTATCAAAAATTAGAATAAAAATCCTAAAATATCTCTTCAATTGCTTGTAGCAAAATGGTTAATAGGATTTACGTTGTTTCTGATAAGTACCTTGAAGTTTATGAAGAAAACTAATAAAACCATTGGACACATATTAAATAATTTGAGATGCTACAAACTATACATTTAATTTAAATCAGTATGTCTGAATTGATAGGGTTAACTTTAAAAAATATAGTAATGTTATGGCCTTAATAAGGGAACGAAGAAAGAAATAAAATATCTCTTCCTTAGAAACACAAAAAAATTGTGCGGAGTATAAGTTTTAATTATAATTCATCATTTTTACTAACAGCATGTGAAGATATTTTGGTAATATGGAAGATTAGTAATTCAAATTAAATAGAAATTTACTAATGTTTTGAAAATCAATCAATAATCTATGCTTAATTTAGTGATTCAGTTAAGAATATTTTTTGTGCTGTCAATAGATTTGGAAATCGTGCTTTTTGGAAACCAGATATTCAAGGTTTATTTTATGAAGCATAAGCAATTTATAGTAGTTCTTCAACATTTGGATGCACTATTAAGTTTAGATTGAATTCAAAACTGATTATCATAGGAAATCATTCAATTTAACTGTTTGAAGAAGATTAATAAAATGATAATGAATGGATCGTCAAGTAATAGATTAAAGTGAATTGTTGGAATCTTGATGTATCAAAGGATGCAAAGTATATTGTGGCTGATGATTTTCGTAACTTATGCCTTTACGTAAGAGAAGAGTGATATTCAAAAGGAATAAAATTCAATTTATAACATTAAATAAAATTATTTAAGTATCATGAAGAATATTAAGTTGTTTACACTCAATATTTTGATTCTAACATTTATTTATGAATCGTTCCAATGATCCTCCACGAGATGGCGCTGCACCTATGGCAAAGCAAAATCGTTTTATCATTTGGATTAAATCATTATGATAATTCTCAAAAAAGAAGCAGTCAGATATCAATGCACATGTGTTCGCATAGGGATCTCCAGATTACCACTTTAATGCTTCGACTTATAAATTTAATTCATTTAAAATAACATTTTCCTTAAGTTCATTTATAATAGATTAATTTCCATCTGTCAGAATAACATTAAATCCTTTCTTGGCTAGTACAAGCCCACAAAAACCAGATCTCCCTGCTCCAAGTTCGACAATGTTGTAATTCTTTATTCTGTCAAGATCACCTAAGATGTATTTTGTTAAAATGATCTCTGATGGCCAATAAAAGACGCCTGTATTATCTATATCATTTTCATTAACTTAGTTCAATTAACTCTTATCAGGTAATAATTATTTATTGGATTGTTTGACAATTACATCTTCCACTTAATAGATTATAATATCATCTTTGATTTCTTTTTTGAATATTTGCACATCATTTATGTCTGGCTTATAGTCTTAGTTCTCGAGAAGATAGCCCTTCAATTTTTTCCATAATTTTTAACCTTTCATTAAATATATAATATGAAATTATTCAGATTTGCATACAGCTTCTCAAAATACTCCTCTTAGAATCATTCGCTTTTATAACAAATATATTCCTATAACTATAGAGACCACTATATTGCTTACCTACTTTTGGATCACCAAACCAAATCTATCATATCAATTGATCCTGGAGATTTTGAAGCCGCCTTCTATAATATAAAGAATCTGGAAGTGAATTCGGGATATCGCTTGAATTATATCCTCTAAACACATGGAAGATCTAATCATACTGCAAGTGTTTTAGAACTCTATTCAAAATTCAAAGACGCGAAGGTCTATAGTGGAGTTGTTGAAAATAAGTTGTGCACACTTTTTTAAACTGATTTTGCCAGAGAATTCTAACCTTTTTAAATTGGAGATTTAGCAGTTTGTTTCATCTAAGCTAATGGACGTACAATTGAATTCTTAATTTAGACACCTTTGATAATTACATGATTGCTGTGACAGATACGAATTCGTAATCCACTAAGATTCCCATCTTATTTTCTGGAGATACCATATTAGTGAAGTAAGTTTAGTTAAATAATAATGATAAGTAATGTTGGAGAAATCGAAGATTACGGAGCATTCTTCGCTACTTTATAAAAGTTAAGAGGATTTCATGATGAGACCTTAATCTTCCCAGGTCATCTACCATAATAGGAAGTGTTTCTGTTTGCCAAAACTCTTGAACCTGACAACATTGTTGTTTAAAATAAAATGGGATTAGATAATTTGATTCCCACCTCGCTCATTGAAGAAAGAATGGGCAATCCATACTTTAGATATTCTTAATTGAATGGGAAGGTTAAGGAATCAGATCCCATTAAGTACTTAAAAAAATTAAAAAATATATAAAATAAATATTTTAATGGATAAAAGGTATGAGAAAGAAATGAAGTATACTGAAAAAATCAGTTATCATGTATAAGAATTCTAAAATCTCACTAAATATTATCTAACCAATTACATGTTTGAACAAAAAGAAAAGTGCTATTAAGAAAATATCAAATCTGTGGACAATTATGTAAATTGCGCATTGCAATTAGTCAATCAATTTAATGAGATGTCAAAGAAGTTTAGATACTAAGGACTCTACTTTGAACATAGATTTGTTGATTGTTTGAAACATAGACCAGATGAAGGAGATAATTATAAATGCATCTAAAAGTTAGAAAAGGATTTAAAAATGGAAGCCAAGAAAATTACACCCAAAGAATGAGTTATATTAATTTTTATACATCTAACTGAATAAATCTATTTAATAGATCGAAAAATTGTATTCACAAATTATGTTTATATTTATTCATTCATATTGTTGGAATAACAAAATTCACAATAAAAGTATTTATTCAAATTATCTTAAGGTAGTTAAATTACAATTAATAAGCCAAAATATATATGGGGATTATTGGTATATTTTGATTGAATTATTAAAATTAGATAATACTTAATTAACAATCAATAATCGAATATCTAAATTATTATGCTTAGTTATTTAAATACAAATCTTGTTATAAGTAATTAGAATTTTAAGAAGTTCAATGTCGAAAGCTAGGGATGATTAACATAATTGTATCAAAGGAAAAAATTATTCTTTTTTAAAGTCTAAATTCTCTATGTAATACAAAATAAAATTCTTAGATCTATTGGTAATTTTTGATTGTTTAAATATCATAAACTAATCAACTGAACTAAAAATTCTTTTTAATGATAAATATATTTGCTCCCAAATCTAAAATAAACAAAAAACTTAGAACTTTAAGACAAAATTTTAGAGGAAAGGAATGAATTATTGTTTATAATTTGATTATTTATAAAAGAAATATACAAAAATAGTTAAATAATTAACAATATTAAAAGCAAGAGTATTTCGCTATATAAGTCAAAATTAATTGTCTTTGCTTATACAATTAATATAATATTAACTATTATATTTTATTTATTATAATACAGAATGCATTCAATTTATAGTTAAAGGTACTAGATAATTAAAATCAAAGTTTGATTAATGTTTTAATTGTTTGGATCATTTCTCCTATAAAATACTATAGTTATTTATATTTATTTAATAAAAATTGAAATTTGAATGAACATATTTGACATACTTAACTCTTAATTTGTTAGTCAAACTCAATATGACACAATTATTGCGTAGTAGAAGGCATACTAGCAATATTATTCTTAGTTATAAAGTGACCCTAATAAGATAGCAGAAATCTGGCCTATTGTGAGATAGGCAGGAATATTAGATATCTGCTATGAGAATTATAAGTGTATTATTTTATCATTAATCCTTAGATTTTGCAAAAGAGAACAAGTTAAGTTCATTAGAACCCATTTAGAAGTTGATGAGTAGTGCACTTGAAGAAGAAGGTAAAATTGATTATTTGGCTGATTTCGTCAAATTTATGGGAATAAAATAGGATTACAGTCTATTTGATTAGGTGAGGACTGTGGTTGAAAAATATGAACTTGAATACGACATATAAGATCGACTTAAATCATTAAATAATTTGAATTTCAAAGAGCAATACTAAACAATTACAATAGAGTTATTGAAATTGTATGCAGAAAAAGTGTATTCAGAGGAGGGTTTCTTAAATGAGCTATTGGAATTCGGAGCTGCTCTGGAATCAATTGAACCTTTGGCCAAAAATATTATATAATAAGTTCATGCAGACAGAACCATCAAGAACATGTTTGAAGCTGTGCTCTACTACCCTGATACAAGTGATCATCTACACGAATTTAAATCTAGCATGGAAGTAACTAAAATGTATGCCAATATGGATTCATGTTTGTAACAACAGATGAAAAAGAGATTATTGATTTCAGGAGTGAATACTGATACTATTCTAAAATTCTATGTGAATTTATTGAAGGTGTTATAGTTTGTAGATTCGGACTACATGGTATTTGATAAAGTCACTAAGCCAATCAAAGAATATTTATTATAGAGATCTGATTTCTTAAGATGCATTATCGGTATCTTGACTTAATAAAACTATTCAACTGATAAAGTTATGATATTTGAATAATAAGATTCATCTGATGAAGAATCCTCTCAAGAAAAGGATTTAACAAGTGTTTTAGTTAGTTTATATGGATCTTAAGAAGCATTTATAAGTGAATATTAAAACATGGTTGCTGAAAAGATATTGACTCCAAAAGATTTCTCTTTAGAGTAAGAGATTGCCAATATTGAACTCATGAAGATTCGTTTTGGTGAATAATCGATGAATACCTGCAGTATTATGATGAAAGACATTTATGAAAGCAAACGTATTGATACTAATATTTAATCATTGACAACCCAATTCAATATGTTGAAACCACTGTTTTTAAGCAAAACCTTCTGGCCAATCAGTTATGAATTTAAACCTACATTTAAGTTACCTCCAGCCATTGAACAATTATTTAATGATTATCAAAAAAGATTCGAGAAAATCAAGACTATGCGTTCTTTATTATGGCATCATGACTTAGGCAGTGTCACTTTGGATTTGACTTTCGATAATGGAGATTTTGAATTCAAATGTTTGCCAATTCATGCTTGTATAATTGGATATTTCAATGATGATGATTCTAAGGGATTGTACAGTGATGCCCTGGCTTAATAATTACAAATGAACCATGAAGATTTGAAGAGGAGAATGCAATTTTGGGTTTAGAAAGGAGTCATTAGAGAATAAAAAGGTGAAAATGATGTAATTTGCTATACATCTGTCAAAATATATGTTCCTTAATGTATCATATATATTTATCCTAGCTTGTGATGATTTATTGATTGAAGAAATACCTGAAGACTTGTTTGTCTCATCTACTAATTTCTTATAGTCCAACCAACTTATTCAATAAATTTCTCATAATTTGATTGAATTGTTAAAATAAACAGGCACTCTGAAAATTGAGAAGATTGTTCAGTTGTTCAAAACAACTTTCAAAAGTGAATTTTCAACTCCTATCACCGAAAACAATATAAAGGAAGCTATTAAAATATTGATTCAAAAGGGAAAATTATAAGGGTCAGAATACATAGAATTAAAATAATGAAAATATCATAATTAAAAAGTATTTATGATTAAATTTCAAGGATCTTTCAGTCAAAAGGATATAAGATTCTTAGCATAAACTATAAATAATTATATATATTTTTCATATGCTATTATTTTATTAAGTTATTATATACTAAATGGTTAAAATGAGTAAAGGTGGTATAGATAAGGGATAGATATTTCTTTTCTCAATCTTTATTTTCAATTGCAAAAACTCAAATTTATTTTTTCGACTAATTACTATGTATCATAAATATATATAAGAAGTAGTTAATAACACTTTCTAATTTCAAAGAAAAGACTTAATACTAAGAGAATGAATGATGCAAATTCAACAATCTCTGTATAATCATCAAACTAGTAAATATTGTTGAGAATTTTAAGTATTAAAAATTATCATTCTTAATTCCTATTATTTATAATCCATTGGTTGTCTATCCATTCAAGTGAACCTTTATTTTAGTAATAAACATTATATAAATGCTCTTATTCTTTGGTTTATACTTTGAGTTCACAGCTTATTACAAAAGAAACCTTTGGAAATCTTTTGAAGTGTATTTTCTGGAAAAATCATAGGAAGCGTACTATATTCAAGGAGTTGATATTAGATTTCTTTATATTATATGCTTTCATAATATACAAAAATGCATACAATTATTTAAAATAGGTCGTTTTGCTTTTGCTCCCTTTTTCTTCATCATGAGTTTATGTTGTTCATACATCTGATAGATATTTAATAAAAGAATATATATAGGAATTCACAGGTGGTGGAGTCATTGATTTAATGATCTTCGCCAGCTGTGGCCAAGAAATTAGAGTAATTCCGAAGTTAGATATTAAAATTATAGAGTTTAGAATCAATATAAACAATTGTTTAATGAATGTTCGCTTCTTTTATTTTAGAATTAAGAAATTCTAATTCCCTGATTTATAAATGACTTAGTTGATTACACATTAATTAATAATAAATGAGTTTAACATTAGTATCCTTCAACATTTGCCCATATGTTCTTAGAGTAGTGGCAGCACTTAACCACTTGAAAATCCCTTATGAAATAAAATACATCGATTTAGAGAATAAGCCAGATTGGTTTGTTAAGGCAAGTCCATTGGAAAAAGTGCCTATCCTTTTTGTTGGTGAGACAGTCATCTTCGAATCCCTTGTTATTTTAGACTATATCAATACTCTTGCTCCTCAGTCATTGCTTCCAGCTGACAATCTATAAAAAGCATTGAATAGAGCAAGAGCAGAATTCTCTGGAGAAATCATTGGTACTTTCTGGAGTGTATTTTCATCTAAAACAGAAGAGGTATCTATTATATTTATGTTTAGTAATTCAAAAGCAGTTTTGGTGATTTGAAGTGGTATTTTGAGAAATTAGAAGCATGGTTGTCTTAAACCAAATTCATTTATAGCAATGAATTAACTTTAGCTGACTTTGCTTATGCACCAATATTCACATTGCTTGAGGCAATTAAGCCACTTTTCAAATTGGATGTCTACGAAGGATTTCCAAGATTATAAGAATACTCTAAACAAATTTTATCACTACCAGGAGTTTAATCAAGCAAAGTAGAGAATTACGATTAAATCCTCCAAGAAAGATTAAAGAAAGGAGATCCTTACATTTTGAAATAATGAGATATGTTTATTATATAACATTTATCTACAATTATTTGATTTTCATATTTTATAAATGTACAATTAAAACTTAATTGTAAATTTATAATATTTTCTACCCATTCAAATATATAGCATCTTATCTATGATTGCACTTCTGTAATTGATTTATAAAGCAAGTTTAGAATGCTAATTAAATAAATATGAAATAATAATATTAGAAGTTATATCATATTTTGGATGATGTTGAATTTTTATCAATTTTACTAGGATAATGGATGAATGTACATTAATTTATCATGGATAATAATTATAAAATAATTATACTTAATAAAAATATTCCTGGAAGGTTTTTTCAATTTATTTGTTTGAAGCTGTTGCCTTAATAAGTTATTATTATTTTGGAATGATTGAGTACAGCTTATCTAATTTGACATTTATAATCTAATCCCATTCTTGACTTTTATACGGTTGCATTCTCTGTTTAAGTTTAGAGAATAGAACAGTAAAATCATTGGGCATTCTTTAAAAGTACCTTAAAGTCAAGACTGATATATCGGAGATTCTTATGTTATACAAAAAGGCACCAAACAAACAATTCTCAGCAACTAATCTCTGTTAAATCTAAAGAATGAACTAATAAACTTACATATTAAGAATGGCTAAACTAATCATATGTCTAGATATCTGAGATTATCTTTAAGCAGGTCATCAGGGATCGTTTCTCCTGTATTAATAACGCACAGTTGATAAACTAATTTAATATGAATAGAGTTACATCTAAAATATTTCCGAATATCTCATCAGTTATCATTTATCTCGTAATTTCAAATTCCAATAACCATTGGATAACATAGAATAATGATGACATTTTGTGAATGTAGTTGCTTAGATCATTGAGATTAATGTATTTGAAAATTAGTAAAATTGATTGATAAATCTAAATTCTGACTTGCTTTTTGCTTGTTAATAATCGATTAAGGTATTTTAAATTTTCGAATATCTTTAATAATTATAGCAGGGGTTTGTAATAAAGTTTGTATATATTTTAGATACTCTTTTATCCTAATTGTCTTTCTTAATTGAATTCCCTGTTTATAGAATCTAGATGAATTTGTACTTTCTAAACTACCAGTAAAATCCATTCATAAAGTTGATCAACCATAACTTACTTCAATTGTCCAATCTACCCTGTTGTATTTATCATCATTCTGGTTAATTTCAGCATATCCAAATCGACTGCCTATGCAAATAATTTCAAATAGCCTTTATCGTCTATTATTTGCATAATGACTCCATATAAACTCCTTACGTTTTCATTCAACATGCTCTACAAAATAAAAACAATGTCTCGAGTGATTTAAATTTAATCCATAAACTGAAGAACATCATTTTTAAATTTCTATATTAATTGCTCAGATACTAATTGATCATGAATAGATTCATTTTAAACATTGAGCAAATACATTTTGACTTTGTGATAGAGAGTAATAATCTTTTAGTTGGGAATGATGCGAAACTCATGAAAGTCAGAAAAACATTCCTTTGGGATATTGATTTGATTGATTTAATAAAATTGATCTTCCATTTTAATTTTAGCATTGACAAATACCCTTAAGGCCTTCTATATCAAATCTTGATCATTAAATAAAAATATTCTACTAAAATTAAACAGTATTTTTCTATCTATTTATATTTTCTATACTATTTCTTCAAATTTTATCAAAGTCTACTGATCAAACAGAACCTTCCAAAATTTATATAAGAACCTATCTGTATAAGGGGATTGGTTATTCAAGTATAAGAATGCGAAATCAAAGGCCTTACTGTAGAATTCTTAATACTGAAATTGTTTGAACAGATCTAGGTTGATTGGATATAGAAATTATTCCATCTTGTAGAATTACAATTTATTCGTAACATCTAATTGATATGTTGTGCATTTAATGGATGCGAATAATCCGATTGAGTAATACCTAAAAGCCATTTCCTTTATACTTTATTCAGGATTTAATTGAATCATCTAGGCGAAGAATGCTAAATATTATTCAATCATAAAGCAACTGATTTCTTTCAATATGTGTTTGATATTGTTTCTTAAAAATTTATCATTACCCCATTGGTTGTTTTGCACAATCCAAGAATTAAAAAAGCTTGTAATTATGGGCATAACAAAAGTATGTAATTAACTATAGTCATATTATCTCTGAAACCTCACTAGATTTCTGAGAAACTTGAGTCCAACTTAAACAGCCTCTATGGTATTTAAGTTTTTGATTAAATTTAGATTGAACTCAATCCATTGTGGAGTGTGATTGGCAAAGATTGTCTTACCTGCAAAATTGAGTAAATTTATTGAGTTAATTTTTGATATGTCTGATACCATGATTTTTGATGTGATTTAAAAGATTATATCAATGCTGTCTTTATCATTGGAATAGTACTTTTAGTATATTTTACAAATTTTACCAAGAGATTCCCATATCTTTATATTTAAAGGTAATAATTCAGTCATTTTAGCAATGAATTACTAATATTTGACAATGGACCAAACCATTTTAATATGATTGGTGATTGGATCCATGTGATCTAAATGTTGATTTTGTATCATCTTTTCAAGTTCATTCTGATCCAGAATTTAGGATTTGATTTCCCTCATAATGGTTTATAAGTTCCTTTTGTTTTTCACTTCAGCTCTTTTGATGTTATGCCAGTCTTTCTCTTTAATATCCTCTTTAATTTCTGAAGACAACAACAAATTTAACAAGTCAATTGCACTATCCAACAATTGTAAATCAGGATTGCTATTGTTTCCAATCAAACTAGTAGTTATGATTTCAAGAAAGAAATCAAGGTTGTGCTTAAAGAATTGTTGTCTGACTATTTTTTGCTTTGAATCTAGGATCCTGAATTCACCAACTCGTTCTTATGGTTGTAATCTTCTTAATACTGTATCAATGATGATGAGATACACTTATTTGTTCATTATTTAGGCTTGTTCTTTAAAATATTACACAGGGATTTGATCATAAAAGTGTAATATGATATTGGCAATGATGGAAGCAAAAAAGTGATAGACTGGACGTGAATTTGTAGTAAATCTTTTGATTCTATTCCATGCAAATTCAAATATCTTTGCAAATTCTGGTGTATTTTGATGGTTCTAATCGATGTAAGTTGAAACCAAGCTCCCAACAATTTGTAATGTAATTTCATTATCACTCTGATCTGCCAATTGGCATAAAAGAATGAGATTATCTTGATTCATATTTTTGTGCAATTGATCTGGGTCAACTTGATATATTTCATAGAGTTGTCTCTCAAAGTTCATCTTAATATTAATTCCAAAATTAATTCAAGACATTTCTGCATCTTTATGGAAAACTATTTTAGGGTTTTTTAAGAAATTAATTATTAAATAACCTATTAAATTTAGTAGGTTTTTTGATTCAATCAGATTTTCATTCATTATTTGTATTTGCGATAATGGATTATCAAATGTGATTAGTATTATAATTATATTTTAACATCATAAAATTGAAAGAATATATAAATAGTTATTTTTATATTAGTCATGTGCAAATCAGTAACTTTCGAATACAAATAGATCCCATTAATGATAGACATTTATTAAGATTCTTGAAAGAAAGAATCCCATAAATCTAATTTTGATATTTTATTTGTTAGAACAGCATCACTTTTAATATGTTACAATATATTTCTTTAATTTTAGGATTACTAATATCCTCAAATAAGCAGATTATCAAATAGAATAAAGTATGCTTTTATTATGGTTTTTAGATATTAAGACTATTCTTTCACTGATATTAAATTTTGGAAGAGATACTTAATATTACACTCTCTGATAATTTAATTCAAGATCAATCATAAACAGACCTCTTAGTATGATATTTGATAATTTTTAAACTAGTTCAATTAATAAGAAATTAAATTATCAAACTCATTTAAGACATTAAATTTAATATTTCATTTATTGGCCACTTTTTCAGAAAATCTTGATTAGATATGATCTTTAACATCAAAGTTATTGTTAAGGTTTCATGATTATTTTTAATAATTTTTGTTATCTTAATCTTGGATTTTGAGTCTAGCCATTCTAATTTGATTCAACAATATGAAGACTTACGAAAAGCTTCAAAAATAAATGATAAAATTTAAATTATTTATTCAGATTTTTATATACCTTGTTCTATTTTTTATCGTGAAATTCGAAATCATGATTGTATTAGAATGTGAATTTAGCTATTTCACATTTAGTTCCATCTCGTTCTCATCAGCTAATTAGACTTGGATCAAAAATAAGAGTGTAAATTATTTTCTATTTTATAATGATCAAAGTGTTGCTCATAATAAAAAGATGGAATTCAGTTATTATCATTAAACTGTAGCAAATCTTCTTTTTTCTTTCCAAATATGAGTGCTTTTGTAAGAGAGACGATTGGCAGTACCACTTACATTAAATTTAGAGACAACAACAATTTTATTAGAGCTTATATTTACATTATTATGAATTGTTGATATTGTTAAAGGAAGATTTAATGTACTAGTTATTTGAGCTGAATGTCCATTAATAATTCTCATAATTGGAAAGGAGACATAAAATTAAGTCAAATGTATAATTGAGTACTATAATTATTAAAATTAATTTATGAGTTAGTCTCCCATAGTCTTCACGAATAAACCCTCTAAGCCTCATCCTTTGGATGATAGTGTTTGGAGATGGGGAACAGTTTTGCCTAAACTACCCAAAATAGATCTTAAACCAGAAATCAAAAGTGAACCGCAATACTTCTAAAATAATTAGCTCGAGGATAGTTAAACAATCAACAATTATACAGTTAGATCAGCAGTATTGCATGAAGTAACCATTTTCAATTCCAATTTTAGGAAACTGACTATATAGAAGTCGACTGGAATGCATTCCAACTCATCTCTTTTGAATGAATCCAGCTCTTTGATGAGTAAATAATGACAAATAAACATATATTTTAATTGTCTCATGTCTATGTCCCTCTCTCTATTTGTTTTATTCGCAATTCAATAGATATCTTGAATCTATCCCCTTGTTTCTAAAACTATAACACATTTCATCATCAATGAGAACTTTCATTAATTAACCCAACCTTTTATTTAGTTCAACACCCTAGCCATTCCCTCGAAAATCGTGATAACTAGTCATACTTATGTGTCTCTACTTGTGCTTTCGGGTGGTCTGATGGAATATCCGAGTCCTTGATAGAATTATGGAAATTATGGGAATTTGAGTACTCCATTCATTCATTTCAATTTAAAACAGCAGATGTTGAAATAAAATGGTGCTCTTTCTTATGTGTATATAGAGAGCACCATGTATTATTTATTAACATAGATCAATTATGAAAAAATTCGTATTATTTTTTTTATATTGATTTGATAGTTTAATTACCAGTAACTCATTAATAAATTGATTTCATATTATATATGTGCTTTTAAACTAATCCAAAATTGTGTATTTTTAATATCGATATATGATTAATCTTATTTCATAATAAATAATATTAGAATGACTTTTAGATGAAATCGTTGTAATATAATATTTATATTAATCACACCGATAAAAAATACGGTTTTCTTGTTTTAATTCTTTCTAACAAAATCTACTCGTACCCTTCTGGCTTGCTTGCAGCCACTCTGGGAAGTGCCAACAGAGTTGTTCCATATTGCTGCACTTTGGGATAGCCTTCAAGCAAATTGACTTTCAAATGGGGCGATAGAGCCTGGAGGATTGCAAAAATTGGAATGTATGCAAAATCTGCTAGAGTTAATTCATCACTGTATATGAATTTGGTTTAATTTAACCAATTTTCAAGTTTATCAAAATACCACTTCAATTCTGCCAATCCATTATTGTAGGCCTACGTTAGAGTTAATAAAGTACCTCCTCTGTAGATGCTGCAGTCAATCCCAGGAAAATTCCTACGACGTCATTGGAAAATTCAGCCCTGCCTCGATTTATTGCTTTTTCAAGTGGATCATTTGGGAGTAAGGAGTTGGGGGTGAGTGAATTGATGTACTCCAAAATAACCAGGGATTCTTAGATGACTTTGTCTCCTACTAACAAAGTAGGGACCTTTTCTAGAGGATTGGCTTTGACGAACCATTCAGGTTTGTTGATGATATCAATGTCCTTCTGTTCAAAGGGAATCTACAAATAGTTTAAGGCTGCTGTGACTCTGAGCACAAATGGTGAGATATTGTAAGATACTAATGTGAGACTCATTTATAATTAATAAATTGAATGATAAATCTGGATTCTCAGCTCAAAAATATCGAAATGGATTATCCGAATTCCTAAAGGATATTAATATAAAATTGAATTCCTGTGGTTAAAAATAAATACCAAGATTTTGAGTTATATATGAATTGTGTTTGAGGCACGTTAGATTTTAATGAATACTAAAAATAGAGACTATACCTGTTCTTTAGGAGAAATGCAAATTTTATGAAAATGAATAAGCTAATTTGATCTGTCTAACAGCTTCTTGTTTGAACCAAGGCTTTTTCTGTTTTCAATGTAAGAATCATCATGAAGGTCACAACGTAATTTAGGGAATAGAATTCTTTGACACATTAAAACAATTGGTTTGCTATGATGGGTCATCTAAGTCTTCCAATAATGTGAATTAGGTTTCAGCCAGGATAGTAATGCTATGTTGACTTCGATTGATGGTTTAGATGCATTGAATTAATACTTCTCTGAGATTTTGGGGTAAATCAGATTACAATTCGAGAAATATTGCCAGATATCAAATGATGTAAATGTGATAAACAACTTCTTGATTTTCTCTTAAAAGTAAGGAATAGAACCATAATAATTCAAGGATAAATTTGAGGAGTGTTTGAAGAGACTCTGTCTTAAGTTACAGAAACTACACATCAAATCCTCTGTCACATGTCAATCTAATTCATTGTTTGTACCAGACGAGAGACTATTCTAGGAATATTTGGAACCCCTTTTATCAACCTTGAAGGAATAAGGTTATAGGCTGAATCTAGTTTTACTAAGCCTCTTTATTATAACAAATTAGATTTGACTTTCAAAAACGGATTGTTGCCTTAGGTAAATTCTTTTTTGAACCAATCATATTTGAGACAGATCAACCAAAGGAAGAAGACAAGGTGTTGGAGAGTTTGTGGATAGACAAGAATGAAACCATGAGAAAGATGTTGATGATGAAATAAAGAACAAAGAAAGAACAAGTGATCGATGATGAACCATTCTCATATGGTAATGGAAGATTGGAAAAAGTGTTTGCTGTAGCTGGATCCAAAGTCTGGTTCCTGGATTTCATCTATAATAAATTCAAACCAACATCTAAGCACTCAAAAATTGAATCAAAATAAGCATGTATAATATGCAAATGTCATCAGAAATTCGCAAGGATAAACGAGTTTTTCAATTTCAAATATGGGGATTTGTATGGACCCTATCATTTAGAGGCTAGACTACTGGCAATTTCAAGGTGGCCTTTGATAAGAGAACCAATAAGGATTACTTGATTGACAGAGGAGGTCTTTACTTCCACGATCTGTGTGTGTTTTGGTCATCATTGGTGGAATGTGATGAGAAGAAAGGAACCATTGATTTTGAATCTCTATAAGAAGTAGTCAAAATATCTCAGGAAACCTACTGTTATTTATGTAAGAGGAAGGGTCCCACTCTTAAGTGCAATGATGAAAATTGTTAGATTTGGATACAATATTACTGTTGGAAGAAATTGGAACCCTCTCAATAATACTTGGATAATCAGAAGTTTAGGATGTTATGTTATCAACATGTACCAGCCAAGTATCGAAAACCTGCTTGGGCTTCTCAGAATTTACTATTGGATGATCATTAATTGGAGAAAAAGGAAATGAAGGAACTCAGATAGAGTTAGTTTGTTAAATTCACTTATTAAGAATTTGGTTAATCTAGATATATATAGAAAATAGAATAATAGGCAACTAAACAATGATGTGAAGAATGATTATTTATATTTAATATAATTTAATTTTTAATTATATTTAACTTTCAAAGAAATAAGATTTAATCAATTATTTATGGATTGAAAAAATCAAATTATGATTTAGAAATTAATCGTTGAAGAATAGGAATAGGCTTGAAATATAAATAAAACAATTATATATTAAACAGATTGATTTTAAAAAGTAAATTGCATTTTGTATTTTATAATAAGAATATAATGTTGTGTATTTCAAGATTTTATGGCTTACATTTCTACAGATTGACTAAATTTTAATAGTTAATTAAGTATACCCATCTGATGCAGATGATTGATTAGTTATTATTTATAAGAAGTCTCCAGACACAGAAATCTTTAAATAATTTAATAGTTTTTAGTACACAACAGTTATAAATAATCCCCCTAATATTGAAACTGGAACAACCTAGATAATAGAGTGACTTACCTAACCAAATGCTTATGCATAGACTGTTTCAAATTTAATCACATAGAATGGAATCAAAAGAGCGACCAAAACAATCAGCACAACTATTCTCTATGTCTTTTTCCAAAAGGAGATCAACTTAAAATTCTATGAGAATTGATTCTCTAAGTAAATTCCTTTACTAAGTTTGATCCCAAACACAAAGCTTAGCATAAACCAAATATACAGACACATACTGAAACAAATATTTTATAGAACTGAAGGACTGTTGATTGAGTACAAAGTTGATTGGTTCTCACACTTCTCATACACAGCCTTCATCCATAAATTGGCTTCAGATGTGGTTATGAATATATTGTTGTTTAATTCCAAAAATAGAATCGATATGCAAGTCCAACAGAACACAATTAAGCCAATCACATTGATTGCTTTGATTGAAACTCCCTGTTATCCCACTTATAAACATTCTTTTAGATAATTGGCTATTCGATCATGCAAGTACTACATGTAAATGATGGAGACATATCCCTAGTAAACCCAACCCAGGATGATTTGGGCAAATGAATGAACTCCCATAAACACCCTTGCGAATCCAGTCATGAAGGTCCAAAAGGTGATTATAAATATAACTAATAACCTTAAGTATAATGGATACTTGCAGCTATGGCTATTAATGTAATTACTTAGGTTAATCTGTCCAAATTGCAGGGAACATAATGGAGGGCAACAAGAAACACATAGCTGATGATGTCATAGCATGACCTGAAGGCTTACCAAATTCTTTGTTGCATTCATAAGGTTCAATCTCTTCGACAATGAAGAATGGTCTTGCTTAATGATAGATATTTTTCAACAGAGAATTAGACGCTACTGAGAATAGAATCATCCCTCCATATAACAATGCTCCCAACTTATTATCCAAAATCAGGAAGGCAATTCCTGCTATGCTCGGAAGTACATAAAGGGAATAAGAGAAAACTAGGAACATTTCTTTCTCACCATGAAATTAGTGCTGTTGCAAATATAGTGTCAAAGTGGTGTTCGCTTCCCACATATTGGAATTGAATACAATGTCAAGTGCTATGTATATAAGTAAAACTAATGTAGCAATAATAAATAGTTTCATAAATTAATTATATTGAAATTCTTTTTTGGTGTGTGGATGACTATCAATTAAATTAGCATGAATGATAAGGGAAGAATAGAATTAATTAAAATATACAATTGATTTTAGTAATATCTTAGGTGTTAGCTATTATATTTATCATAAAATAATTGAGGAACTTGAATCATATATCCTTGTATACAATCACCTTTCGAGCTATTCATAATCAAGTGGCGATCATAGGAGGTGGATGTGCGGGATTGAATGTTTCCGCTCAATTAGTGAGGGATGGCCACTATATTCCACAATAGATTCGTGTTTTTGAGCCATACAAAATGCACGCCTATTAAACAGGAGGGGCCTTGGTTGGTAGACTATGATGATCAAATGAAGGTGCTGGTATGTGTAATGTGGAGAAAACTATGAGGCCTATGGAAATGGTTCTACCAAAAAATGTATGTTTGAGAGAATCGATCCAGAATAGAATACAATAGTGACCATAGATGGAAAGAAATACCCATACTATTAATTGATTGTAGCAAGTGGAGTGCAACGTGATTTTGCATCCATTAAAGGTATAAATATAAGTTTATCCATTCATCAGGTGCTTTGGAGTAACTTAACAACCAGAAGCACCAGTTGGTAGTATTTACTATTACAAATACGCTCAGAAGATAGATAGAATAATCAAAGAATTTAAAGGAGGTAGACTAATATTTTCGCAACCATCTTCAAAATGTGAAGGAATTCCATCCAACATTGTATTTTTAACACATGAAAGATTATCTGCCAAAAATATCAAATGTGACTTACATGTGTACAAAAGCCAATGATTTCATCTTTGGCACCCCACAATTACTCAGAAATCCTAGGAGATTTGGCACATGAGAAAGGATTGCATTGTCATTTAAAAAAAAGATTAGTTGAAGTTCAACATCATAAATTCATCTTTGAAGATGTTGAAACGAAAGAACAATATACCTCTGATTATGATTTCTTGCATATTCTGCCACCTTAAGTAAATAGTGTATCTTATATCTTGTTCAGAAACCAGCTGCATTCATTGCTGAAAGAGGATTAGGTGATTCAGATGGGTATGCACATGTCCATCCAAACACACTCCAACATCTACGTTATGCTAAAGTCTGGGCCTTGGGAGATTGCTCCTCACTTCCAACATTCAAAACTGCTGCTGTGATGGCCCAAACTCCTATTCTTATTAAAACCTCATCAGAACTTGGAAATTAAAGTAGTTCCCTTCCCAGAATATCAAGGTATTGAAATTAAGATACACTCAAGGTTATATACCTCTTGTCCTTTCTACGCTTCCAATAAGAAAGTGATGATCGCTGAATTCAAATACAACAAACAATTAGATGAAAGATCCCAGTCTTTTAATTGTCAAACAGTAAAGCCATGTATTTATTGAAGAAGCATTTCTTCCCATTTGCATATTGGCATTTGATGGTTAGAGGTCTTTGGGGAGGATGAGAAGGAATAAGATTATTCAAAGGAGTTTGAATAGATCCTCATATCGTTTAAATATAATATTAAGTTAAAATAATCAAATTTATCAATGTAACATAAAATAATAGTCTGATTAATTATTGCTATTAAAAATTAAGTTCAAATTTAATATTTGATCTTAATAATTGCTAATAAAATTTTTTGCCCTTTGTGGAATTCTAATTTTTTGAATTCGTACCTATAGTAAATATCAAAATAGATGATGAATTGATACAAATTATAGCAACAGCAATTTAAGAATTTTTATACATCATTCTTCAGTTGTAATTTTAACACTAGATAGACCTGCTACTATTACATTATATAATTTTGTATGTATTCAAATCCTTTCATCTGTAATAGAATTATAAACATTAACATCAACTTAGTATAATAACAATGTTGTAAAAATATAACATTAACCCATGCTTTTCAAAATTCTTGCATCCATCGTACTAGGTTGTGTAATTGAGCTTTAAAATGTTTGTATGCAAATCAGATATGACCTTTGTGGTTGATCACATTAATCTTACACCCAAACAAATACATATATTATTGTATTTTAGATAAAATTATAATACTCAATATTTTAAAGCTTGATTTAATTGGTTTTAAGTCTCCTTGTAAAGCGATTCAAAGTTTACTTATTCCAATATTAGCAACATCGCTATTCCTCTTACATTGTGGGCCAAGAATCCTCCGTAACCCCAACTGAAGTTCCATTCCTTCATATTAAATTTCAATTTCTCCCATAAATTCTTTTTTTTTGATGCTTCTTATTAAAACAAAATTGATTTCACCTGCAAACGACGTCTCACACTATCAATTGGATATATTAATGCATATGATCCCAAGTAAGCTAATTATTGATTATAAGGTGTTGTGCCATCTAAAAGAGAATTCAAACCCACTATGCCGTATGCAAACAACAATGTCTATAAACATCCAACTGTAAATCCTGAATACAGACCCTTGAAAAATCCACTCTCTATTTTGATATTAAATCGAGTCTCTTCAAAACCCACATACTATCTTTTCTACCCTGGAATCTAAATTTCAGTTGCCTATCTCACTCTAATTGTATCAAAAGGATATGAGAATATAGAAGTAGTAATGCCACAAAGTGTTGCACAAAGTCCCATAGACAAAAGCTTGAAATTCAATTTATTTATATACATCTTTGTCATAAGTGGCTTGTTTGATATTTTGATAGAAAACATATTGTGCATACACCTAAGGTATCCACATGTAAATTGCTGTTAAATTTGATCTGAATAATCCTTTTGGGCCTTCATTATAAATTGTTTTCTTAAGAAATTAATAAAAATTAGTCATCTTCTCTTTGGAACTCAAAGTAAGAATATCTTAGGTCTGTCTGATGAGTTTATACCTCTCCAATGGAGCGAAAAGTGTTTTTACAATGGATGTGCTCACAAACCCTTGTAGATATTCCTCCATAAATAAAATGAATAATTTTATGAATTTAATTATTTCCCATTAATTTTATCAATATTTATTTTCATCTTCAAAAATAAAACTCCAATTAAAAAAAATAATGTTATTTTAAACTAAAATCATGTTATTAGAATGACTATATGTGAATTCAATTTACAATATCTTATTTTCATTTACAGGGTTAAATTTATAGTGAAAATAAATCTTATGATGAAAATCATATAATATTTGAATATCACACCAATTGTATGAATACTTATGTCAGGAGTTTAAGTCGTTCATCATTATTTGATAAATCTATAATTGTAGAATAATTAAAAAATCAAATGATATTCAATAATGGATGTATCAAAGATTGAAGTTAATGGTTATTAATCTTGATGACCTTTTATTAGTTAATCTAATTTCATTAAGAAGATTCACAAAGGATAATTTAGTGTTTCTCAAAAATTGATAATTTCAATAAAATCTATTTACATAAAAAATAAGATACTTCTTTATCATCATAATTCAAGGCTACAATCAAGTTTAGCATATCCTAAGTTAAGAGCTTTACAATCCTTAATTCATATAAGTTGTAGTTGTTATTCAGTTTAAATTACCTGATGAAGCTCAATAAATCCTTAATGGATAAGATAAATTTTCAGAGAATGCCATTTCAATAGCATTATATACTTATATTGATATTGGTTTTGTCAATTTTTGAAACTTAAACTTAATAATAATTATAATTTATATACAATAATAGAAAGCTCATTAATTCTTGAGAGAAGAGTTGATAAAAGATTATATTAAATCACTTAATATTTTTTTGTATTTATTTTATTTCCTTGTATAGATTTGTGTATATCTCCAAGTTCTCTTGATGTAGTTAATCTATATTTTCGACAATGCTCTATATATTTAGATTAGGATTAGTGTGTCTCAGATTACTAGAGATAGTAGGTTATGCAACTCTTTGTACAATTTTTTTGTCTTTTTCGGACAATAGAAATTTTAATGAGAAAGTATCAGTTTCTTGGAATTATAATTTGAGTGATTCCATAAATATTCTATCTCTTATTTTCTTTTCTTCATTACGATTAAGAATGAAATGATCAGCCTCATTTAATTCTTTGCCTAGTTTGCGTACAATTAAATTGTCTCTTGTCATTTAGATGGCATCCATTAAACGGTTGACATTGCGATCACTCCATAAATCTACTACTCCCATTGACCCATCAATTGCAGCATCTCCAAAAACATCTCTAACCTTTTTAATTAAAGGTTGTAAATAGTAATTATTCTTCTTTTCATGTGTTCTGAAACCGAATTTAAGAAAGGTTAATCTTTTATTCTTGGATTGCTTATTGGCCACTCCAAATGTCTGATCTCGTTTCACTTAGATTTCTGTTTTTGGTACATCTTTCACTTTATTGTATTTCAAGAGACCTCGCAAATGTCCCAATGCAAAGCTCGATTTAACATTCTCTTTAAGAATATCGATATTTGGTAAGAGAGAAGGCTCGCTTTTTTATTTGGGTTTGTGTTTTCGTTCTGATTGCGATAATTATTTCATTATGAATATTTAGAAATTAATATAATTATTTCGAAATTATTAAGATATTTATATTTAATATTAAAGAACAGACAGGTAAAGGAGTAAGTGAACTTTAATTAGTAAATTTCGTAATTAAAAATGTAATTGTACAAAATGAGAATAGAATCTTAAATTACTTTAATGAAAATACTTATCATATTATGTATCATTATAATAAATGTATATCAAATTATTGAATTAATTATTATATAAGAAATACTAATTAATGAATTTTAGTAATAAGGTTATAAATCAAATGTCTTAATTTTCTTCTTGATCTGCTTAGCTAGTACTTTCTTAGTTTTTACCTAAATCATTCGTTTCTTTTTAACTAATTTTTTCATTTATTTCATTGCCATTTTCCTGTGGTTCCACTTAACTATTATTTTGGGAGACAACAAATTGGTTTGGATATTCATTTAATTCAAAATTATCAATTTTTTGTACTTCTATATTTTCAATTTTAATTTCTTGTATATTATTTCCATCATCTTGAACAATCTTCATATTCTAACAACTCTTCTTCTATTCAGATGCTGGTTGTTGTTCTTCTGTTGGCATCTCAATGTCCTCCTGTATTGTATCCTGTTTCTTGGCTCTGCTGTACATCATGAATCGTCTCTCTCTCTAACTAATAAACCCTTGAGATGCTGGTTGTTGCTGATCAGTGCTATTGGATCGAGAATTTCTCTGACTCCTCAATTACCTCTATTGAGTAATCCTCTGCTGTTCATGCTGTGCCTGTTGTTCGAGATGTTTCGCACTCTTCAGATCGATCTTCAACTGCAAAGGTGGCATCAACTTCCTGGCTGGATCAAACAATTTATGCAACAGATAATAAGACATGGTTTTCTTCTCTATCATTTACACCTACATTAGTAATCAAATCCTACTTCTCTAAAGAACTCGAATATCTCTATGTTGGAGGCTCTGGAGTTGGTGTCTAATAGGGCAGAAAGAGAGTTTATCAATTGCCTTTGAAATTGTCTCAATTCACTATAAAGATTACAGGCTAGTTTTTTGAGAAGAAAGTCATGGGGGAAATTAGATAAGGCAGTCTTCAGTTGAGGAACAAGCGATAAGCCTTGGTTAACCAGATTCTCCAATTTGAAACACTCTATCACCAGACTACTATCAATTTCAGACTCTTACTTCGATTGCAGGATTTACTTTCTGGGATTATTATTTCTATAGGCCTTTATTTCTTGGACATTCAATGCTAGCTTCTACAGATATTGCAGGAACGGAATCTGGATATTATCGAGCAGCCACACCTCATTTGGTATTTACTTGAAAACAAAGGTTTAAGGCTTTGATATCGGTCTACTTTACTATCTACATTACTTATTGAAATATGCAAAATTAATCTTTGAGAAGTGTTGGGCGAATTCCTCACTAATGTTCAATACTTAGTGGATTGTGATTAACATCTTCATTTTCACCGTATATATTTGCAAACTTCCATCTAAATAAACCTTGAAAAAATCTATAATATTTTATTCATCAGTTAGAAACGGAATCAAAATTTCCACATCCTCCTGTTTAAATACAAAATTATCTCTGGACAAACTTGATTTAGTTAAAAAGCTTTGGAACTCCGATTGACTCTGAAATAGTTTCTTGAATTTCTTTATCATATAATTAATAATATAATCACGAAAAAATTAAAATGCCCAATATTTCTTTTTATTTATAACATCCTTATCAACCAGGAGAAAATTTCAAAATATAAATATTACGAAACTCAAAGCCTTCTACAAGCTCGCTAAATACTACTTCAAATTCTGTTCACAATAAGAATATGTAATCCTTGATTTAATTATTTATCAATCAATTTTAATATCAATAAAAGTTGCAAATTATTAAGTCCATTACTACGCCCTTTCATAATACTCTGAGCAATCCTCTTAATATTACTAGGCTAATTTGAGGTTTAGCGGATTTTAGGGATTAGGCTTTTAAAAAAGACTCAAAATCTCTAAAAGCACTCAAAGGTTTTAAATATTCATTTACTTTTCTTTACGCCAATACTTTCAGACCATTCCTTCTTCAAAGTATTTAGAGCAATACAACCTTATTGATTCACATTCATGTGGTATATTTTATTCAATATGCGAAACTTTGGGGGAATGTTTGGATATTCTTTTGGAAATTCCACAAGGATGAAAAATTGCCCTTTTTCGTAAGGGCTCAACTTAGGACCCTTTATTACAATCTACCAACTATTCTCATTCAGTATCTTTAAATCTATTATACCATCAGGGATTTCCTTGCACTCATTAAATTCCTTTTGTAATATTTAACTCATCACTTAATTCATAAACAAAATGAATTTATAAATATTGTTTTACCTCTATAAATAAAAATTGTATTTATTATGATTACAAAAAACAGGATAAAATGAGAATAAATTTAAGTACTAGTTAAGAATTATAATTGCAGGAGAATGATGTTATAGTACGACTGCATTTTTCATAAGGTAAATTACATAATAAGTAACTCAACAGTAATATTGCCAATAATAGAATTACTTATTTTGTTAGACTAGTTGGATATTATACTGAGTTTTTTAGGCAAGCGAAGACTTCGTTGTAGCATATTTATTTACAATTTCAAAATAAATAAATCAAAATTGTTAGTAATTAATATTTAAACCTCCTATACTCAAAGCCATGTAACTTAAAATAATATCTATTCACAAGACATTAATAGAAATTATTCAGTTTACTATATGTACCTGTAATTTTCTTCTTCTAAAAATGATGTTCTTAAATGACAAAACAATAATTACTAATTACACTGTATATAAAAGGGTACTTATTGTATTTTTCTTGCAATTATTTTATTATTATATATATTTATAAAATATGATAGAATATCTAATCTAAATTGTGACTTATAAATTTTTATTTAATTTCAAGATATTATCATAATATTACATATATGTTGTTCGAAGACAGGAGTATATTTAGAGTGGTGGAATTTTCCCCTAATATGTACGACAGAAAGCTAATGGGGTTAAGGACTACAATTTATTTTTGTATTTAAAACAATAAAAAAATCAGAATCACGATTCAATTACTCTTGAATTTATCTTCTTAAACTTAACCAATTTGTCATGTTTTGGATATACTATTGGTAGAGGATCATTATTAAATTATGAAAAATCAATCAATGGTAGAATAGATTGATGAGTTTCAACGTATGTAATCTTTTTACTATATAACATCATTAGACGTTGATTATTTTAAAATTAATTTCTTTTCTTGGTAATTTTCTTAAATTCTTTGTTTTTCCCTTATCCCATCAAGTCTATTTCTAAGTTTTGCAAACTCATTGTTGGAGGATCAAGAGTAGATAATCTACGTTTGATATCTCCACTTTAGATTGCCTGAGAGTTTTCATTGTTAAGAGTTCTACGACGAATTTATATTGTCTTTCTTTGATCATTTAATCGAGCAATAATTTCCTTAATGTTTTATTGCATAAAATTAAATATTTTACATAGTAGTAAAATTAGTTAATCTTATTAATTGGAATTCGAATTTAGATAGATATCTGCATAAATAGAAAATAAACATAGTAGATGGATCCTTAAATTTAATTTATAATCACTTTGTTAAATAATAATATAGTGAAATAATATAAATATCAATCAACGTATTTGAGCATCAAAGAATTAATTCTTTAGCATATTTACAGGAATTATTTCTTTGTCAAATTTGTAGGCTTTTCTTCAACCACTAATTTTAAATTGAATTGATTCAAATAGAATATTGAAGTTTTAAAATGTTCGACTATATACATACATATTTCCAAGTATATTACCAAATATTTTAGAACCAGTATGCCCCCTTCCTCTGCTCCATCTAATTAATCATGCTCTCTCACATTATTCAATTTTAGGTTCAATTAATTCTATAGCGAAATAATGGAATTTCTTAATATAGGAAGCATTAAAATATAATGACTATTAAATTCTAATTCACTTTAGTCAAATACGGCTGCAAATTTAGTATCTTTAAGTATTGCATTACATAATGTCTCATTTCGATGAATGGAGTCCCACTAAATGATAAAATGAATATGGTTACCAATTTTTGAAATGAAATTCTAAATGTATCATACATAAAAGTACTTTAATTTATTAAATCATTCTTCTTGGATTAATCTATTGTGGAATGATTCTGATTTAAAATAGTTAAGAGTTGTTTAGATTTGAAAATGGCATGTTTGATAGTAAAGTACAATAATTTTTCTTTCAATCCTCCTTCAATTAAGAAATCAAAATGATCAACAATTTTAGCTATTCTTAAAATCAATTTAAGTAAATTTAGTATATTGTTTACAGCATCTCCATAATTGATGAATTCTTATCTGATTGCTTTTGAGTTCCTACAGCTTTGAAAAGAAAGATTCGATCGTTCTTGAGAATTGCTAGTTTTGGCTCTCTTTTCTAAATCTCCAATTTGATAATTATTGACTAACAATTAAATGGACTTTCTCGAAGGTCTAACTTACACTTATTTGAATAACTCATGTTCTAGTAATTGATTGCAATTGTATCGCTTGTTCTCCTCTAATTATAAGCATTTATCAATGAGATCTTTTGCTGCAGATGAAATATTGATGCTTTTCGAGAAATGAATAGGAGTAGTTGTGATCACTTTGATGAATTCTTATTCTGTACCTGCCTACCAAGGTACCTTTCCTAAGAAAATAAGGAAGACGTTACCATTAAGAATTTAATAGAACATCACTCCCAAACTCCAGACATCACTCTTTTCTGAATACTTGTTTTCAGTCAAGGCTTTAGGAGGCATATAGAGAGTTGTGCCCACATTATATTAGACTCTTTCGTTTTTGGAATAAACCATTTTCGAAAACCCGTAATCGGCAATCTTAAAAATGCCTTTGTTTATCAAAATATTTGAAGGTTTTAGGTCTCTGTGAATGACTCCCTTAGAGATTTGGTCTTTGAACCCATTTAAAATCTGATAAAAGATTAAGATTGCTTCATTCTCAGGGATGCACGCTCTTTTAACGAGCAGATCCGCTAAATCACCTTTATCCAATTAAAAAAAGTAATACCCTAATTGCAGTATTCAGTTATGATAAATGTGAAATTAGTATTTTGAGTGTAAAAATGCATTTTAACAATGTTGATAGAATCTAATACTTATAAAGCAATGATTTCCTATTGTAATAACTGTTTCTCTATTTCATGTTGTATTTTTGAATGATCACAAACCTTGATTTGAAGCATTTCCATACTTTTATTGCAACGACCTCTCCATTGATATCATTCTGACCTTTGAAGACTTGACTTCTGTATCCTGATCCAATCAAGTCATTTGGATTATAACTGTAAACACTCACTTTTATTCTCTATTGATTATTCATAATTTTATAATTAATTTCTATATTTATAGTTATCATTCAAATTACAATATAAATGAATATATAATTTACCTGATTATCAATTTAAACAATCACCTAGCTGTTTGTTATGAATAAATTGATGTAAATGTATAGACTACTTAAATTACAATTTGAATTTCAAAATTATTCAATCCATTCTATATCTATTTTTTTATTCTTATCAAAAGTTATATCTCCAAAGATGGAAAATTATACATTAATCCTTTTTATAATTTAGAATCTAGTATTTACTTTACTCTCAAATGGTTTTAATTGCTATTATAATTAGATACATATTAACTTATATTAATCTTTATCTGATATAATTACATTGATTCATTATCAATCAATATAATGAAATAGGATAATCCTATCTTGAATAAATTAAAGTAGTAGTTTCTAATTACTCAAAGTATTGACTGTTGTGAACGAGTTGCTATCTTTAAAGATTTAATAAAATATTATTAAATGGAATTTTTCCTCTAGATGTTGATCATAAATAGCATCTCTATTGGAGTTTATTATTGATAATTAGTATATTTTATAAAATGAAATCTCCTTAGAAAGATATTGATCCAATAAAAATTGATAGAAAGGTGAGTTCCTTTTGGTAATTTAAAAACATATCAAACTTACCTCCTAACATCGGCTTCGATAAATTCAACGTGTATTCTGAAAAGAAGAAAACGTTCAAAGTTATAGAGATAGCCAAGTTGAAGAGCCTAATCTTTAAGAAGAAGAAGAATCAAGTATGAGGTATATTTGATTTTAGACTGGATATATGATAGTAGATGTTACAGATTGCATCGTATCGATAGTCGAAAACAGTCACATTGGACACGGGCTATCCTTTTCCAAGTCAACCTTTAAGTTTCTGATATTCGGGTCCCAAATTCTCGATTGGTTTGAATCACTAAAAAAATATTGTTATCAAACTGAATTCAGCAATAAGTATGAGTTGCTGAATTTGCTCAACAGAGGATCAACATACAAGGTATCAATTTATAATAATAAAATAGGTATACGATGCAATTAATATCTTCGAATAAACAAATTATACTGTGAAAGTATATGAGAAATAAATATTAACAAAATAATCCGATATTGATGCAATCAAAAAGGAGATTCAAATCTTTAGATTGATGAATCATCCTGGAGTGGTAAATTTGATAGAAGTCTTTGAAAATGAACAAGAATTCCTAATAGTGTATGATTCATTTGAAGGAGGCACTTTAACAGATTTGATAAAGAAATATCAGATACCTGAATAATCAGCTGTTAAGATAATGTTCCGATTGCTCAATTCAATCAGTTACATTCATGAGCAGTGTGTTCTACATAGAAATCTAAAGCCAGAAAACATCTTAGTGAAGAACCCTTTGGCACCGTACAATGTGTATATCAGTGACTTTAGTCTTGCAGATTTCTTTAGGAGAGACGTTAAATATTTATTTACACGTTGTGGCACTCCTGGTTATGTGGCTCCAGAAATTCTATAAGACAAAAGTTATGATTTTAAGGTCGACGTCTACAGTTTAGGTGTCATCTTCTATACTATGCTCTCTGGAGGTATTTCCCCCTTCCCAACCAAAAGTTATGATGAAAGGATTTTTCTCAATTACCATGGCCAAATCGATTTCTCTATCATTGATACATCACCTGATGCACTTGATCTCTTGAAGTAGATGCTAGAAATCAATCCACAGAAACGAATCAACTCATCTTAGGCAATTTGGCATCCTGTGTTCAAAGGATTACATAAACTCAAAATTACTAACTTAGAATCAGAGAGGAGGAACTCTTCAATCAAATTAACCATCAAATAAAGTCTACCTCCTAAGACAATTGAGAATCTAAAACTAATCCCTTGTCCCATTAATTAATTGCCTGCTCCTTCAAAACAATATCAGAGAAGATAAAAATTTAGAATCACATTCAAAAATAGCCGCTAGTCATTAAGTAATGCCTCATCTCCTTTGACATCCCCAGGAAAGAATCTATTTTCAACCCAATCACAAAGAACACTCTTTTCTAATTTCACTTGAAATATTGAATCACTAATATATGCTTATATAAATCTATTGTATTAAATAATAATATAAATTAATTTAAAAAATTATGTTGAAATCTGTTCAAATTTAATTCATTTATAGATATTGACGAGTCAGCACATTTCTAGTAGAAGCCTCTCCAAACAAAAGAGCAACTAATGAGGAAACTATGTCTAAAAGCAATTCACATTATGATTGATGTAGAACTCAGAGTTACCATTGATAGTCGAATTTCTATACAAAAATAAAGAATGAGAATTAATTAAAATAGAATCTATGCTTTCCTTTGTATTTCACAATCTCAGATCTTGTACTTAAACTTGGTTAATCACTAAGCAAAGATTATTGAATTATATACTTGCTATATCTTTAGTGATATAATTCTTATTCTTCTCTTGATCAATTTTGATAGATTATATAACAATAATAAGATATGATTTGAGTGTTCAATTAAGTGCTTTATGTATCTGAATTTAGAAGATATTAGGTTCTATATTTATGTAAAAAATGAAGCTAAGATCACGTAATTAAAATCTTAAAAATTTTGTGTCTTAATAATTGAATGAAATTTCATAATCTAACCTAGTAATTCGATTAATAATCGCACAGAATGGAATCTCAGAAGCAACTGAATTATATGTCTATACTTTTTGAGACAGATTAACCTTTCTGGAGAAAAGTTGACCAAAATATTAAACTAAATGAATTTACTTAAGAAGAGTTTTTACATTATTCAAAAAAGCATAAAGAATATAGGAGATAGAATTTTGCTAAGAAGGATGCAATTATACTGAAATTCGGAAAAGAGGAAGTATGTTAATAATTTAAAATAGGATGATATAATGTGTTGTAATGTGAGTAACTTTAGGTTGGAAATTAGCAATCATCAGAAATTAGGAGCTGGACTCAAGTTAATCTCTAAAACTAATTGTTTTGAAGTTTTCGGTTCCATTGAACAATGGCATCAAGACCTTAAAAAATATTGCATTCAAAACAATCTTAAAACCAAATATACAATTGGGAAAAAACTAGGAAATGGGAGCTTTGCAGATGTAATTAGTAATCCTAAACATAAGGTGCATCTTCTTATTCACAAAGAGAGCAAGCAAGAGTTTGCTGTCAAAATATATGACAAGGCCTCTACCAAATTTGATTTAACTTGCGTAAAGTAGGAATTAGATATTTTACGACAAATGGATCATCCATTCACAAGTCAAATCATAGAAGCATATGAATCATCAAAATACTTATATTTAATCTAAGAGTTTTACAAGTATGGGAGTCTTTATGAGTATCTCCTAAGAAATGAAATTCCAGAAGAAGATGCCATTAAAACTACGCATAAATTGCTAGAAGCTTTGGTTAGTGTTCATTCAAAAGGAGTGCTGCATAGAGACATTAAACCAGAGAACATTTTACTTCGCAAACCCAATCTTGAAGATATCGTAATCTCAGACTTTGGGTTGGCTGTCTATTACAATGAACATGGGAAGTACAATCATCAAAGAGCTGGTACTCCTGGCAATATTGCTCCAGAAATTCTGAAAGATTAGAATTACGATTATAAAGTTGATGTGTATGGCTTAGGGATTGTACTCTATTAAATGTTGACCTCTCTGCATTCCCCTTTCTACAATCAAAATTACCAAAAGATGTTGTCTCAAAATCAAGAAGGCTTTATAGATTATTCATAAATGAAATGCTCATCTCAAACTATCGATCTACTTACTAAAATGCTCGATCCTGATCCCTTGACAAGATACACAGCAATACAGGCTAAGCTAGATTAAGTATTTAAGAAATATAATCGACAAACCATTATAATAAAGAGAAAGAAAATAGTCTAGGATAAAACTACATCTAGTTTTAGTCCAAGAAGTGATTCCATCATTTTCAGTCCATCCCCAAAATAAACGCCTCCATTAATCGTATCAAGTCCTAAAAACAGTTCTCAATTCAGTAAGAGAATATTAGGTCTCCAATTAAGATCAAAACCTGATGAAAGAAGACAGTTTTTTTCTCCGAATTCTTTTATCAATTGCGGTACTCCCAAAAATTCGAGTAGGCAACAATAAAAAACATCAACTCACTAAACTAGAAAGAGTATTTATTAAGGGCTTATTTCTTAAAAAGCAGCATTTTGAAATTATTTCGAAATCTATTGACTCTTTGGTTATTATATATATAACAATATTTAATATCTATATTTACATGTATTACTTAATATTAATCTTCATTGGGATAGCTTGGTATATTTGGAGAGACAATATCAAGTGTAAATATCCTATAACTACAAAGGATACAATTTTAATTACAGGAGCATGCATGGGATTGGGCAAAGCACTGGCTATTGAATGTGCAAAAAAAAAGTGCAAATTAATCCTTTTGGATGTGAGATCTGATTTATCCTTGGATTTACTTCAAGACGTAAGAAAAGAAGGAGGTGAGGCCTAATTTTTTAGATGTGACCTAAGTGACTTACAATCAACTAAGGAATTAATTTCAACAATAAAACAGAAATACAAGGTCACTATTTTGATTAACAATGCTGGAGTTGGAATATTTAAACTATTTGAAGACGAAACAATCGAGGATGTGATTAAAACTAACACAATTAATTACCTTGCTCCAGCTATGCTCACTTAAGAATTTATTAAAGATAACATCAATCACATTGTTAACATAGGCTCTGCTGCATCGATTGTTTAAGGGATGAAGATAACTGCATATTCAGCTAGCAAACATGCAATGTGGGGATTTCATAATGCTTTAAGAATGGAATTGAAATACTAGAATAGCAATGTTCGCACTACACTGGTTTGTCCTTGGGGAATAAAAACTGGGATGGTATATAAGTATGATTATTTTACATAGATACAAGGTTTGAAAACTAAATTGGATTACTTTTTACCCATGATGTCTCCTGAGTATGTTGCATAATGTATCGTATAAGCAATAGAGGCAGGAAGAGAAATTATTTTTATTTAATGGTATTAATTCTACATTGCTCACATATCAAGATTAGTATCCAGTAAAATATTAGATTGGTTTATATTGTTTGTTTAAGCAAAGCATGTTCATGAGTTTAAGGGTAGACAAGGATGATTTTGAGTTTTTTATTGATATTAATAATTAATTGAGATTAATTTAATTGATCATCTCAAAATCCAAATACATGATTAAACAAATAAATTGATGTAGCAAATAATTTGGAGAATCAGTCCAAATTATTTGAAAATATATTATATAGAAAATCTTAGTATCAGGGATAAAAAATTTGATTACTAGATAAATATAACGCTTAGATCTAATAGAGTTATAAAAAGTGTAGATTCGTTTATTTTATGATTATATACAACTACTAATTTATCATTATTCTATTATAACTGAAAAATTGTACTATAATATTTAGAATGGATTTAATTATAAAATCTTCTTAAAATAAAATTATATTTAATGCATTTTATATTGAGATTGGGATTTGCACTAACCTTTTTGTATGAGACACTCTCTTAAACATGCAGAGTAAAGAATTTTATTGATGTTAGTCAAAAAATACAGAGTATAATCTATTGACGATTGTGAGCGGTGAGACTTTCCGCTTGCCATTAAATGAATATTTCGTTGGGGATGGACTTAAATATTCTATTTTACCCTAGGGAGGAGCCTTTAAACTGAACTAGCCCGAAATCTAATAAGGAACAATACAAGGAACAATAATTTCGTCGACTTCTTCAACCTTCAATAATAACCCTTACATCTAGGGTAAATATTACTATGCACTTGCTCAGACTGGCAACTCTGATTATACAGTCTATAATTTAACACTGAATACATCATCTTATAACTCCAGCATTTCAAACATAACCTCAGGAACATGCTACTCAATTAATTATTTGATAAATATGGTTGTGGTGACATGTTCATAATAGGGAACAAATTACCTTGAATATTTATTCTATCCTGAATCCAATCCAGGGGATTCCAAGACTACTATAATCGATACTATTACAATCACTCCTGGATCATATGTGATGACTTAAATAGCTGGATAATATATAGTGACTTTGATGAATGCGGGAACATTCTAAAATGGTAACTATTCAGTCCTATCCACAAACATTGCGGTTTTTCAATTTGATGAGAGTTCGAGTGGATCAGACACACTCTCCAGAATCAACCTTCCCGTCATTCTGAGCAATAAGAGCGAATCAATAACTGACTTTTATACAGGGGTTTCTATAAATTAAAATGGAATTTGTAATGTTTATACTCTAAATTAGTGTTTGTATCTACTTATTACTCCGGATTTATGTCTATTAATTTGTAAGATGTTCAAGCCTCCAACTAGTAATTCAACCCTTTTAGCGTAGGCACTTTGGGTATCAGTTCTTTTAAATTGGAATACAATAATGATTTATTTTATATAGCTATTTGGAGCAGTGAAGGCTTGATAGTTGCAGAATTTCATGATAAAGTTGTAGATTTGGCCCCAGCTGTATATTCTAGGGATATTGGATATATATAGGCTAATTTCATTGAAAGTAATCAAATTCCCTTAACTTAAATGTTTACAACTTAAGTTTTCATGAATTCTAGATACATCATAGTTAGCAATTTCAATGGAATTTCTGTTTATCCAAGCCTTTTGAATTCTATTAATGATTGGAAATTGCTGTATTACTATAATACAAGCGTATAATCTGCTGCATTTGACTACTTCAATAATATTATGCTGGCTGTATCAGGTTAAATTGTGACTACCTATTTGTTCAGCAATCCAACCCTCACAATCTCAAATCTACCTGTTAATACAACCATCTAAAATATTACCATAACGGCAAGCATCAATATGTTTGAAGATATTCAAAACTCTGCTTGCGTATCAGTGATGTTATACTATAATGTCACTTCAAGTGAATATTAATAATCAATATTCAACTCATTTCAAACGAATACTACAAAACAGACATTTGTTCAATGGGGTCCCTTGTTCTAACTCTTTTTGGGATCCACTCAATTTGTGAACATTAACAAAATGCTCATTGGGCCTGCTATTTTAGCTGGATAACCAATAACCCAATAAGCATACTCTAATTTTGATATTTAATTTTCAAATGTTCTGTCCACTCCTTAAATAGATACACCTTTCAGAATCAACTCAAATCTAATAGGTGTATAAAGGATTTTATACTCTCAATTATTTTATGATGCACCCTTTTTATAAAATTATCATTATAAGGGATCTTTAACTGATAACTATCTACAATTGGTGTAGGTTTCAAATTACGTTGCTCTGTTTTAATGCGCAGCCCTATAGAATTTGCCATGCTATTTAATTGCTAACATTGCAGTTAAAGACATATTAGTTGAGCAATTCGCCTTGAGTATATCAGCCAACAATTCATTGAACGTAGCTTTTATGTGGAATGAATATGATATCAAAGAAAAAATAACAATTGGAAAAACTAGAATTTGCATGCTAGATTATCCATATGAAGCATTTTATTAAACATGCAAGACCTTGAATTATAACTTGAATTAAACAAACTCTTCCAAAGCAATCCAAATTGGATTGATTTAAAATAATTTCTTTATGCTTTATTCATAACCAATATCAGATGAATAATAAAAAACGAAATTCTCAGCTTTTAATCTTCTACAATTCTTGACTGAAGATACCAACGTTACTGACCTTTAATCTTTTAAAACATATCCAGCCCTTGACACTATCACAATAAATAGTTTCTCATATAATGTTCCTGCCTATGGAAACATCATCTTCCTTAATACTTAGAATGTTGTAGAAGGTACCCATTTTTATTACGTAACTTCTATCAATTATAATGCAGGCTTATAAATTTCCTCTACTAATTAAAGTTATTTTATATCAGAAATAGGAACTGTTCAAACATATAATAGTACCACAGAAATAGTTTCATCTCTACAATTAACCATCGAAGGAATGTACCATTTGATAATAAACGACCTTGGATAATCAACATTAACGTTTTATCCAAGAATCGAACTATTGCCAATACTACTTGTATATCAATATAAGTAAACAATTCCAAATGCCAACCTTAATGGAGTTAAATTGTACTTGTATGGAGTGCAGAAGATAGTGTAAACTGCTGCCTCAGCTCGTTTCCTCTACATTATGGTTTAGCCATCCAATTCAAATACATACCAAATTTATGTGTACAGGAATACCCCTTCCATTTAGAATGCCTTGTATTATGTGATCTCTTCCAATGTTAATGTTCAGATAGTCAATGCTCCCTTTAGTGTGGCCAGTGCCGCATAATATGATGGAATCCTATTCAAATCCAAAGGAAATGAAGGATACACTAACAGTTTGCTTTTAGAGGAATTTGAATTTGCTGTATAATGCAATTTGAATAGCAATTTCTTGGAGTAAACAGAATACAGCTATATTATTTTTAAGGCCTCCAGTCTATTGTAAACGGCAATATTACAAGAGTCTGCCTAAGAATATTGGGTAACCTTTCAATCTGTGAATCTAGTTTCCTTTGTAAAAGAAGCAAGTACAATAGCGGATGGATTAAGTATTTCACCATAAGGATACACCTAAGTGGATCCAAGAGAGTACTTCTTAGGCAATATACAAAACTTCTAATTAACAAATGGAACTAATCAGTCAACTTACTATTATTTCGACATCGCCTCTCCAGTGGAAAGACAACCACAAACCTAGAACTATTAGTTTCCAGTGACGGGAGTCTCGGCCTACATGTATATCGAAAATGTTTCAGGAGGCTTCTCGTAACCCTAATATTGGTTCACCTTCGTGTAAACTAATAGATTAGTCTATGTGACACCTTACTTTTATTATAAACCTCCTTAAGATTTTGTTGATAATTCAACAGTGAAAATCGATTATCCTTTGATCTACAAGTTGCCTATATTGGACATATCTCCCAATTCCTAGAATTGTCCTTTGATATTTGTCGATGCATACTCAAAAGGAGTGGTAAGTGTGTGTGGAACTAACATAAATAATAAATTTGCCGCTTCCTTCACATTATTTAACCCACTCACTAAGGAGGTGTAGGAAACCAAGATAATTCAGTTGGATGAAGCATTCCCAACACTCAAAGCGCAAAATTAAACAAATAACGGAACATATTTTCTTTCATCAGCTACATACTTGGATATAGGAGTGGTCGTGTTGCAATTCTAATACAATTATAACTTTGGTTCAGCTCCGCCAACCATTATAATATTACCATTTTTATATACTTCTAACTTGTTTTGGAGAATAGCCAGTTATCCATCCAATCCAAGTACCAATTTTTTCTAGTTCATTTAACCAATTCAATCTATATATCAGGTTCCAAATAACACTTAGGCCAATTAATATTCAGTCACAGTAATCCAGATGACTAATGAATACTTCGGAGGTTTAAATTAAAATTTAACATTAAATCCAGTATCTCAAATAATGTTCGGTTATATATGTGTATCAGAAATTGATGAGGTATGTTTAGTGTAATATCCACAACCTTCTAATAGCTTAGTCATTTCAAGTGGAATTGTAATCGCAGTCACTCCAGAAAATAATTTGTCTTCAATATTTTCTTCAAATGTAAGTGTAAGTGTTGTGCGTCGACAAACTCCTTGCTCCCATTCACATCATATACCAACAATCTGTAATTGCTTAATCTGGTTTCAGGTATTTAGTTCATTACAATTTAGATTACACAAAAAATTCAGTCCAAAAATTAATTTAAGCAGGATCTCCAATTATTCAATATAATGCAATCTCTGTAATACCTGTAATAGCAGTCAGTCAAGGAACAGCATATGTCTTCAACTTAGAATTTCAGTTGGCCAATGGAGAATATCTCTAAAGCAAATATGCTTGCACCCTCCTTGGATTATCTAATAAGAATCGTATTCTGCAAATTTCAGCAAGCAGTTCAAACACAGGCTAATATCAAGTAGTTGCTATTGTAGCCAATCCAACATCTATGATTAATAATTAGGTTACCCTGCTTAATTATGGATTTATTAATCAGTAAATTTCTTGTTCAATATATTTAGATAATGCAACATAAATTATACACCCTAGCCAAATGACCCAATTATTGTAAAATAAGGAGTGGAAGTCATAGTAACAGCCATAGGATCAACCACCTATATTTCTACTGAATCCAATCCTATTCTATCATTGATGCAACCAACTTCAGTAGCTAACTAACCTGTTACAGAAGTAGCCAGAACTTTGATCAGTGATAATCAAGTCATTACATTGCTTGATACAAGTCCTTATCTTACCATCTCAGCTTATCCTAATTATAATCTCAAAGGAGGAGTTACACTTAATTCTTCAGGAATTATCTCTAATGTTACTGAACCACTAGTCACTTCCATTTCAGCCATTAGCATTTAGACCTACATCAACAATTAACAGGTTTCAGGAAAGGGAGGATCAACAATCTTTAATTTCACTATTAAAGACATCCCTATAAATCCTTTATTCCCAGACTCTGTTTGGGATAGAAAATTATGGGGTTAGTTCATTTGGGGATTCTTCATGTTTGCTATTATCGTTGGAGTCGTTGGATACTTATTTTATAAATCTCAGCCATTACCTTATGAAAGGCTTTGATTTATTTCATATATCCCTTAAATTTAATGATAATTCTTCATAATAGATCTGATTATTTGTTCTTTTTATAACTCTCTTGTTTTTTCTATTGCATAGCATATTCTTATAAGTAGAATATTTACTAATTAATTTACAATAATCAATTTAAAGATTTATATGAGATATAGAAATTATCATTTATCTTAGTCAACACTTATATTATTATTATTTAAAATATAAAATTATTTATAGAGCAAGTAATATCACATAATGTTTTACACTATAGATTGGCATTCATCAATAATTTCGTCAATATCTCTTTCTATTTTCATGATTTCAAATTTGTGAATTGAAAATTTCATTGCCATTTGTATAATGTATTTGACATTTAAATTTAACACTTTAAGTTATTAAACTGAATTCTTTCTAATGTTATCTTGTTTAGATTTAATTTTTTATTTTTGATCAATTCTAGCTTGTAATAGTTCTTGATAAATTTATTCATGAAATGACGAATAATAGAGATCAATTTCTCTCTTTATCGATTTTCGATGTTTATTTTTATTCCAATCAGCAACAAGACTTTTAAATTTCATTCTCTTAATCTTTTCATAAGATTCTTATTTTTTTTTTATAATAAAAGATTAAACTAAATTTTCTTATTCTACCACCTTACCAAATTTATTCATCAATTTTTGTAAATAATTAGTATTATCAAATGTAGTTGTTTAAATTGTCTATTGACTTCTTGTGGCAATCAATTCCCTGATGATTTTATAATCAGGATCTGCAACTAAGGCTCCTCTTCTTTTCTTGGTTCTTACTATCATTTACTTGATCCTATCAACAGCCTTGATACACAAACAAATTTTACCAGTCTAAACTTCTCTCTCAATAACTTCTTCCTTGCTTACTTTTTTCCAACAACAGATAACATCAAATCTTACTGAACACTGATGTAATTTCGACAATCTATTTTCGATTTAAATTGCTATCTATTTTCACTTGATCTTCGAACCTGTTGTGTTTACACCACTTTACCTTCTACAATTATGGCAGTGGATCTTTTAAGTTTAACGGCTTATCCTAGGGTTTATTGGATTAATAACTATTACTTTATTTTTACTCTGCATAATCTGATAAAAGGATTTTCCTTCTCTTATACATCTAGTATAATTCAAAAAACTGAGTTGAGTTTTATTTGATCAATGACTCAAAAAATCTGCCTGGGCACATCAGAACAATACTTTTGGTAACAGCATGAGCATGCCATCTTCTTAAAGTCTGTTCAATCGATTCTACTTCTCCAAAGACCGTCCCCTCCATTACTCTGATAATACATTCCCCAGATGCATCCGATAATCTGACATCTCCACTTAGCAGGTAATAGAAATCCGACGAGCTTTGACCAATGTGATATATAGTAGAATATTCATCGTATTTTGCAAAGGTACAATAAGGCAATACCATTGTGGAGAAGTTGATGTCATTAGCAATGAAGGGAACCATCTTTAGTATTTCTCTTTAAGTTGATGCAATAATGTATTATCTTATACTCCAAGGCAAAGCTTAGACCATCTCGATAGTATTACGTGCCCAAAATGGATTATGAGAGATATTGAATTTAGCGAATTGAATTAGCTCTTTGAGTACATCTTCTATCATAAATGTTTGATCTCCCAATTCCTCCAGCAATATTAATTAATCTTCATACTCTTAACGTGGATTAACATTCACCAAGATGCAAGTGATATCACCAATAGTAAATGAATAGAATCCAACTCCGATGAGCATCCATATAATTTGGAGAAAGAACTCAAAAGATGTATGAGCAGCAACATCTCCATATCCAATCACTGTCACTGTTTAGATAGCCCAATAGAAACAAATCAAATACTGTTTTCCTATATTCAAATCATAGATATTCTCTCTTATAACCCAAGTTTCCTAATTAAATTCATGTATTCTAGCACTCCAAAACCATAAGCATGCAAAGATGTGAGTCAGGATTATCATATCTATAAATATAGTTACAACTCTCCTGATCCTCAGATCTATGTTGTAATCTTCTCTATATGATAAATCTTCATTCAAGATGACTTCCTTCTTTTTAATGATATCATTAGCTGTGTGGTAATTTTCACGTCTTTCGTACATGAAATACTTGGCTATTCTAAATAATCTCATCAACCCCAAGATTTAAGTGCTCTCGAAATCTTCGAATGGGATTATCGATATTAAGTCAATTAAAAACCATCTTTTTAGATAATAGGGAATTATGGCATCAAAAGTATGCAACAGAATGTTATGCTCATCAATGTGACAACTTATGCAATTAAAGAGGATATCTATTGCAAATATAGCAGACAGTATTTGAGTCACTATTGTTCCGACTCCCTTAATATTTTTAGCTACAATACTTGGAATGCCAACTAAAATGGCAGGATTATTGAGGCCACGCAATGCAACCCCTTCATTAACACTATCCATATGATGTACATCTTATCATCTGGGTACAAAGGGAAAAAGTTGCGATGCCGATATTTGTATTCCATGTGTTATGACTTCAATTGTTCAGCATATTACCGAAGTTCCTTCACAAAATTCATTGCATGGATCAATTTTCTACTTATTTGACGAAATTCACATTTTGCATTTCTCCTCATTTGCTACGAATGACTAACAAAACTTAACTTCAAATGAGAGTCCGTTCTTGACAATGTAATTCTCGATTCAACTGAAGGTGGATTATAAAGTGGCAATCTAATCTTTACATTTATCTAATACAAATATCGAGAAGTCTTAGCTATATGAAGTCTCTTCACCTAGTTTGATCCGCTTTTATGGCCACTTCCAGATGTAACCTCGTTAATAGGAGAATCATCGCCACTTATCGGGTATATTTGCATTTCTAATGTTTTGATTATTTATTATTATTACAATCCTTAGCAAAAATTATAATCTTTCCTTTCTTAATTACTTCAAACTATAATTACATCTACTTAGTCCATTCAAATTTATTCATCCCCTTTAATCTAAATCAGGATTCATCATAAATTTAAACATCCTCTCCATCAGTTATTATTTCATTATTGAATATTTAACATATATTAAATTTGGCAGTTCCTTCATTCAGATATTCAGTTTAATTATATTTGTTTAGAATTAGGAGAATAAAAGATTTGAATCATTTTAAATGTATTTTAAGTTGCAATATAATAGTATTAGACTAACATAAATTTCAAATTAATATTTTATAAAAAGACTATTCATTAAGTACTTTAATCTTTGGAAAAGTGGAATCGAAAATATAAAATACTCGAAAAATTTAACTCATATTAGTTTAGATATTTATAAACAATACAGGGATTTCATTCTTCATTGACTTCTGCTTGCTATTCTTAAGATTCAATTCTAGCTTTTAATTTTTGATCTCCCTTTCTAAGCTTCTTTCTTTTCTTTAGAGCTAGAGTACTGAGATCTTGTTGTTAAACGAAAACCTTTCCTCTTTTATCACCTACTTCATCATAAACAATGTTTTTTTCCTAGTATGATAAAAAATCAATTTACATGTGGCTTAGCTTTTGGTTTAGGTTAACGACAAGCTTTCTTAAATAAGTCATCCTCTGCCCACTTGGTTCTTCTTATATCAAAAACACTTCTAGGTCCAATCTCTTGGATTTTGATTCCATCTTCGTGGGTCTATTTTTATAAAACTGTTATTGCTAAAGTAGAGTCATCAGATGCAGTGATGCTTATGATTAAATGGATTTCTTATGATTTTATGTCTTAGATGGGAACATTTTCAAAAAAGAAATCAGTCAATAGATTATGCAATTTCATATGATTTGGATTAAATCCGAAGACTTCACCATTAAATACTATCAATGGTCTTGCATGCATAGGAACTTCAACAGATGTAGCAAATTCCTCCTGACTTTTGAATTCTTTGAGATGTAATTCAACCATATCTAATATTTTTTTATCGAATGTTCTTCCAATAATAAGATTATCTGGTCTTTTCTTTGAATTTGATACAAAGCAGAACATTGAACATTAGCTCCTTTCACAAAATGTTTCTAATTGTTTGGCATCTTCAAATGGTTGAATTTCGTGATTCTTATTGTAGGTTGTACTAAAATCTCTTTTTATCATATGCCATTCATGAGCCAATTATCTTACACTAAGAGAAGTCTTAGGACCTCTTATGAACAGAGTTTGTTTTGGACCTTCAACTAATTTAGGTTCACGAGACTCTAGAATTCTTTTGCCTTTATGAGTCTTAGCTCCTCTAGGTGTTGTTTCTTCTTGATCAGACATTATAATTTTAATTTAAATTAAAGAATTTTGTATATTCAATAAATAAATTTATTTATATATCAGAAATTTACTATTTGATTAAAATGTCAATAATCACTTTCTTCACTTTCCGCTTCATCATCTTCATGTTCTGATTTGATATCATTATCTTCCAATGCCATTAAATTTCTCTCTCGTTCTCTATTAATATAAATTATTAAATGTACTCTTATTTCCTTTCCTCCTCTAATAATTTCCTTTGTCTTGCCTTGATTTCTTATTATATTCTTAATTATTTCAACTGTTCCTTCTAAATATCCTTCTAAGTCTAGGGTTCTAATCTTGGCTATTTGAATTTGCTTAAAGTAGGAGGCTTTCTACTTTTTAGTTTTTTGATGTGATTACTCATTCTAAGTTTGAATTCGTCCTCTTTATTTGTATGCAAAGTCTTTATGCTAGATGATATAATTGAATGAATACTTTCTTCACTAAGAATGATGTAAGAATGTCTGTAAATTCAAATAGTAATAATTCATATTTAATGATGGATGTAGCTTTATCTAAAGTCTTTTTTTGATCTTTTTCAGCAGTCTGATCTTACTACTTCTTTCTACGCTTACTACCGTCTTCTCTGACTGTTTAATTAACAGATGATTGATCAATTTAAGAAATCGATTATTAGGTAATTTGACCTTCATCAGTATCAAAGTTTTTATCTACATAACTTATTAGAATGAGTTTGTCTTATTCTGATGCATTGAGTAAACTTATAGATTTACTCTAAATTAATAGTTCTATCAGTGAATCCAAATTATGTCTCTCTATTTTCGATTGACCATACATCAAATATTGGTTTGACTTCATCAATGAAATCTCCAATTATTATTTTAGGATGAGTAGATTTCTTAGTATCATCTAAGGATTGATTCTACTTGCCCTTCTTTCTTTCAAAATATGGAGTCAATTTACTGATGATTACTCTCTCAATAGCTCTATGTAAATCAACCAGATTTCCATATTTCAAGTATGATAATCTCACAATTAATTCAATAAAATGTCTAAATAGAATACACCTTCTTGGATCATGAATATCTTCAACTTTCTTCTTGAATGTTACATCTTTAAGTTGGAAATCTTGATAATTGATTTTTTCAGTTGATATGCAATCAAAAGCCATTTATTAATGAAATAGATCATTAAGTTCTTACAAGTTGATGTTACTACCTTATCTACTAAGAACATCAATCTCAACATTCAGTTCTAGTCTATCATATTTTAATCTATAATTATTCTTGGATCCTTATAAGAAATTTCTATTCAACTCAGCCAAAGAATAGTTTTGATTCAATAATTTTGCCTAAATAATACAAATATTAAAGTACATCTCTTGCAATTTTCCAGAAGCCTTCTAAACTCAAAGAGAAGGTATCTTCATAAAGCATACTTTCAAATTTGTTGGCAAAGAATTTATAATGTGTTTTAAGTGTATAATTGTGTCTCAATAACATAGTTTGAACATTTTGATCAATTAATTAAGAGTCTAATTGCAATCCTTTATATAAATCTGAGAAATCAATCATATAGGAATAGGGATTGGTTTCTATTGTCTTATTTAGATTAGTTTAAGTTTGATTGGGATTATTGATACCTGCCAATTTTTCAGGTCTCTTAGTGGTATTACCCAATTTATTCTTATCTTTATCCTTATCTTTATTATCCTTATCTTTATTGTCCTTATCTTTATTGTCTTTATTATCTTTATTATCTTTTTTTCTGTCTTTGTTATCCCCTCCTTCTTTAGGATTCTCGTGTTATTAGATTATTTCACCACCTTGAGGAGCTATTTCTCTGGGTAGGATACCAGTTCTAGACTCATTTTCTGTTGTTGCATAAACCTTAACTAATCTGTCTTATTTGAATTCTCCAAGAATGAAACCACCAGTATCTGTAATGAATAGAGCAACTCCATATTTGAGATTATTCCTCCAACTTCCCATATATTTGGCTCCATTTGCATAGTAAAAGACTCCAACTCCACTTCTTTCTCCATTTTCCCATTCTCCTTCATATCTATTCCTCAAATATTTGGAACCTTCTCCTTTAGGTTCAATCCATAGATGAACACCCCATCCATTTTGAACATTATCCTTCCACTCTCCGTAATACTTCTCATTTGAATTCAACCAAAACATCACTCCATATCCTTCTTTCTTATCCATCAAGAAGTCACCATCATAATAGTTGCCAGAAGGATAGCTCATCTTGCCTTTCCCAGATTTATTGCCTTGATAGAATTTGCCCTTCAAATGTGGCACTTAATTTATAATGTGACAATTATACCCACTTTTGAATGTAATTTTACCAAAACCATGTCTCAAACCAGTCTCCCATTAGCCTTCATATATGGCTGATTTATCTGCTGTAACAAACTTGCCTTGTCCATGTCTAAGTCCATTCACAACAGTGCCAGTATAAGTCGAACCTTCTGGCCAATAATAAGTCCCTTATCCTTCAATCTTGTTATATGTGAATTCACCTTTATAGATTACTCCAGATGCCCAAGTAAATGTGCCCTCACCTAGGTTATTGTAAATTACTAGAACCATGCAACATCCCATTATGAAACTCTCCTTCATACTTATTTCCATTTTTGAATGTAACTTCTCCCTTCCCATGTAATGCTTTGCCATAAACTTAATCAGGCTGATCCAAGATGGCCAAATCAGCATCCCACTTATCATAAATGATCTTTGCTAAATCCAAAGGGATTATCAGATTTTTTGGATCCTCTTTGAAATTCATTTTATATTATAAATATTAATTTGTGTACTTCACTACTATACATATAAATATTAATCAAATATTGCTAATATCATCAACAATCAATTCAATCCAGTCTCAAATCTACTATATCAAAACTACAATACTATACTTTATCTTTGAATAAAAGCACATACTTCTAAGGCTAATTTGGAAAAAGGGATTAATATTATTATCAATAATTTAGCACTGAATGATTTGCTATTGATACGTCATTGAATACTTAGGCTGCAATAAAATCTTGATAAATTTGAAAGTATGGTAATTGGTTTGATAAAAATATAATGGATTTTTAATTTGAATTTCAAGTAAATGAGAACTAAGAGTTAAATTCTTATAATTATCAAGTTATGGATGTTTACTTAACTTGAAAAAATATAAGATTCATTCCCTATTCTACATTTTGAATGATCAACTCTTTATTTTATTTTGGTATTACTGTTTAATAACTATGCAATAGAATTTACTAGAATATCTAAATAATCGATTGAATTTAATGATGGAAGATTTGTGATCCTATCATTGAGTAAAATAGATAAATGGACTGTTCGATAGATATGAAGATAGATCGAAGGATGCTTAATAAAATGTTAAGAGAATGGAATGGAATTTGAAAAATGTTCAAATTAAAAATTGTCGAAGTATGGAAGGACTTGATAAATCAATAAAGCTAATTAAATAAACTTAAGTAAAGTAAAGATTGTACCATTTAGAATTTATTGATCCAATTTTTAGACTTAAATTTAATAGAATTAGTGATATTTATTATATTTCTTAGACTATATTCTAAATCTTAATAAAAATTAAATAATAAATCTATTATACATGTTTTTATGTCCTATATGTTACTAGACTTATGATAACAAATTAGCCTTTACATTTCCTTCCTGTTTTGATACATTCTGTAAGAATTGCTTAAAGTCCACTTTTGAGGGTAGGATAAAGGAACAAAATGTAACATTGGATATCTTTAAATGTCCAGGATGTTAAAAGATGTTCGATTAATCTTTGATTTAGGAATTTGTTTCAGAATAAATATTCAAGAAATACTGTGAATTAAGTATAGAGATGAACTCGATCTATGGTTTGGAGGAAGACGAGATATTAGCGAATTGTTTAAACGAGGCTTGCAGAGAGAAATATGTTATTTGGAAGAATGCAGGTATAATACAATGCCATCAATTTAGAATACTAAAAATGTTTAAAATGCAAAATGGAATATTGTCGGTTGTGTTTCTTACCATAGCATAAGCCTGAGCGTACTTGTGAAGAATAAAAATTGCTATTTTAGGACAAAGTTTATAAAGATTTAAAGGCTCTTCTGAAAGCATGCAGATGTCCTAAATGTAATATTATGGTAGAGAAGACAGCAGGTTGTAATTTTATGACCTGCAAATGTGGTACCTTCTTTTGCAATCTCTGTGATATTTAACTTGAGAAAGCAGTAATAATTTATTAATAATAAAAAAGGATCATAATACCCATTTTGAGGGGAATAGTCCATTTAATAATAAATGCAAAATAAAAGTGAATGGATCATGGGTCACAAGACCAGCAGTGCAATAAGTTCAATAGGTTTAATAGAAATAAGTAATTTAACCAATTGAAAATCCGATCAATAAAATCCCTTGTCCTAATTGTAATTCGACAAATCCCAAGATTACTGCTCTCCAACTCTATGATAGAATAGCTCATTGTACCAGTGTGAAATGTTAAAGTAGGGCATTTTGCATTGCATGTAAAAAGATGATTCCTCAATAAGAATTGCTAAATCATTTCACCAACACATTAGAATGCAAATTTAAATGATCAGTTTAATTATATTTTCAAACATCGAATAATTATCACTCACTACATTATTTAATTATATAATGTTCAATATAATAGGAGAACTTTGGAAAGCTCAATAATACGCAATGTATGAATGCTGTTTCGAGGTTCCATAGACATTCTACATGCAAGGTAGCAAAATATCTCACTATTTCACCAGTTCACAATGTTCTGGTAAAATATTGAAGAAGCGAAAAGAGAATGTTACACTAAGGAGTATATTAGACACCTTCAACTCTAAAGAAAAGTATGTGTGTTCCTTTTAGCGACTGCTGAACAAGAAAGATGTCCAATTTAAATACTTGACACGTAATGAACTTGAAGCACTCATATCTGATATCTCTAATTTCTCAGAACTATATTAAGATGTTATAATCTAATAAACATTCTCAAGCGAAAACTTTATTACTTATTCTCGATAAGGCCATGTCACTTAGATTCAATAAAGGATACCCTTATCATTAGAACCATTAATAACTTTGAAAGACAGCTAATTTGCTTGTGAAAAAGTTATATTTGAAACAAGAGTAAATAAAATAGGAATCACAGTTGAAAAATTAATTAGTCTAATTGAAGGTCAATAAGTGAATGAAATTGAATTTTTTATGAAATATATCGGAGATAAATTGATTATTATGTGGAACACCAATCTTTAATGCAAGAGTATCAAAAGAACACTAAATTTCATGAATTCCTAGAACTACTTACACAATCAAGAATATTTTGAGTAATTTTAACCAAAAAAGTAAGTCACAGATGATATAACTATGATTTAATGTTTTGGTTGCAGAAAATTAACCAAAGTTAATGATACTTTCGAAGTCTTGAAGAATAGAATATGGAAGATAAGAATGCATAGAAATCTACATCATTTGAATGATTAGAAATTACATCTAGACGTAACAGGGAGAATCATACCAAAATTTGATGAGTTTCAATTTGTGAGAGTATGTGGATTATGTTATAATAGTTTCATTGAAACAATCTCAAATAATAATACGAAAGTTGAAAATACTCTAAGGAAATTACCACAAAAATAAAAAGAACTACAATCAATTATGTTGCCAAATGGTCCTAGAAGGAAATTATTTAAATTTCATGATAATTAAACATATTTGGGAAGTCGTACAAATAGCACTTAGATAAAGGATAGGAGAATGACAGCATAAATAATGAATTCGACATTTGATGAGAACTATGATAGTATCTAGAATTAAAGAATGGAAATTGATGATGAATTTGATTAGTTGTTAGATGAAGTAAAAAACGACATCCGAAGTTCTTATCAATCTAATAAAGTGATGACCAATAAATCTAGAATTTAGAGTGCTTAAAACAATCATAAATTTAAATTATATTACTAATGAACATATATATATATAAAGAATCAATCACAAACTAATTTAAGTATTTCCAATGAATTGATGTCCAATTATTTTTCATTCTAAAAATGTTTAGATAATAAAATACCAACTAATTGATCACTCTAATATATTTAGATACAAATTTCACTGCTTGTTAGATTTTATGTTTTGATTTATCATGAGTCTTAAGAAAATCTTCAAATTACTCATCTTATAGATCTTTAGTAAAAAGTACAGTTACAATTGAAAAGGATAGATCCTCCAAAGAGTAGCTTAAATAATGATGGTCCAGAACAATAGAATTAACAATTTAATTTATGGTTTTGGTCTTTTGATCTTGCTAGGTTTGGAAATCGGGAAAAGCAATATAGAATCTGTATATAATTTCATGTATAATATCTTGTAAGGTTAGAGGATTAGTGTGCCAATCTAATACTTTAAGAATGAGTCTCTCATATTATATGAGTTATTGCTTGGTCATGTTGAGTGATGACTATGATAAAAGTGAATTGATGTTGGGTGTTTCAGCATTCATTTTAGTAGCTACAAAGATCATAGCCAAGGAAAGAAATCTTAATTGAGTTTAGTTGGTTATGCTTTTACTTTAAAGTCTGCTAAGGAAAAGGTCATAAAGATATATAGCTTTATGGGAGTAAGAGTTATTCAAATTCTGACAATTATCTTATATTCGATTCAAGATGATGGCCCTTGTTTTATAGTTATATTCTTTCTCGTTGTATTCTTATAAGTACAGAGGATTGATATTGTAGAATTCTTTCTATATTGGGATTGGAGAGGATTTAGTCTAAAATGTGATAGGTGCTGATTCAATATTTTGTATGCTTTCATAGCAATATAAATCATCTTCATAGGTGTGGATAGTGCTTTCGGCAACGACTTTAACTTTCTAAGACAATTTGTAAGAATTAATACCTTAATAATTTATGGAGATTGTAATAAATAGTCAAATTGAGTGAAATCCTAAGTTGTTGTTTAAGTATTGACACATCTTTTGACAGTACTTGATTTATTTGATGAAGCAAAATAATCTATAAATTAATTGCAATCTCTTACTTGTTGACCCTTCATAATTAAGTCCTAGCATCAGTTTAAATCTTTTATTGTCCATCTTCATTAATTATTTTATGGCAAGAAATCCTTTTAATAATTGCCTTTTTATTTAAGACTAAGCGCAATTTTAAGATTTTCGTGTTTAATTTGTATATTGGAACCAGAAAAGTAATTTATAATTTTTAATAATTATATTGTCAATCTACAAATTTCTGTTCTTCCTGTTTTTACTTTTTCAAAAGCAGGACTATTACTAAATTTAAGGTATTTATTATGAAGTAAAAGACAATTGGTTCAAATCCAAAGAATTAATGAATAATAACCAAAAATCAGCAAGTTTTCCTATCAAAATTTTATTCCCAAACTAATTTCCTATGCCTATTATCTCAAGGTAAGACGGTCTCAGCATTCTCATCCCCTTCGCAGACAATTAACATAAATCTCTTAAATAAAATAACATGCTCTCTCTTCAAAGATAGAGATACATCTATGATAATGAAAGCGCTATTTAAATAGATCAAATATTTTATTGAATAATCACCCATCCAAAACATGCTTCTTCGAGACATGCAATTATCTAGAATTTTTAGAAAATATCCCTATAATTAATTATCCTGCGATCTGTGGTTTATATGAGTAGATGCAATTATCATCTAATCTATTAATTTCAAAAACACATGTCACTATACTGTAACTCTGCAAAATATAATATAAAGATTAATAATTAAATTAAAAAAGCAGCAGATAACACATTCTATCATAATTTCCTTTGAATTCTCCCTTTATTTCTCTATAATTTATGTATTCTTCACATAGGTAAATAACATACTCATTATTAATTATGTATATATAATTTCATTAAAAGAATTAACTCAATAATCCACCAATACCTTAAGACTATTATTCCTTTTCTTTAAGTCCAAAGTATTTCACTCCTACTTTATAATATAACTAAATTTAATGTAATATGATATACAGCTTAAAAGATTGGATCGGCATCAACAACAACTCTAAACTTATTAAAAACCAAATCATATGCTTCCCTGCTTTAAATTCTTATTGATTTCACCAAAAGATGAATAAATAAAGCTTCTTAAGTGACTGTGGTAGGAATCAGTTCATTCAATATCTTAACACTTTCATTGTATAATCCCTAACCAAGTTTACTAATTATTTGTTCTACAATTTACATTAATAAATATCTGATTAGGTTATATTGTCTTTCTTGCTCTGTCAATTGCTAATTCCATTTGACTAACATCTAAATTTCTGTATTGACATCAGATAGTTATATTAAGTATCTCCATGCTAAATGGAATTTATTATGATTGATTAGATCTACACCTACTTATTGGCAAATTTGATCTGTATATTTTGGGTATTTCTTAAGCACTTTATTTATGAATTGAACTTTCAATTTACTGAATTGAGCTATAGAATAGATTGACATGATCTCAGCTTCGAAATTAATGGATCAATCTTACCAATACTTTGGGAATCCAAATCATCTGATATTTTGATTACTTCTGTTGCTAAATTAAAGCCTGAGTTATCTTAATTGTTCTTAACTAAAACTTTGCTTGCTTATAAATAAAGAGTGATAGCTCCATCCTTATTATGCTAATTAATGAATCTGGATCCAAATGTAAGTATTTTTTGTTCATATTCATAGTATTTCTATTCCTTTATTAATTATTCTTATTTGAGCAGGATCTAAAGTATTTATCATAAGTTACTTGCTATACTTTATTAGAATTCTATGTTTCGACGTTCATAACAATTTATATATTATTTAATTATAATTCAATTAATTTTGTTAGATTCTTCTTTGACTTATACTTGTGTAATATTTTTATAGTTCTAAAATAATTTAGATTCTATTTTACTTAAATCATCATCATTAATTAAAAATTAACCATTTTCTATTAAGCCAATTCTCTTTGACAATAAGCTAAAGCAATTTAAGTATTATCAAGATTAGGTGTGCTCATTACTGGAATCATTATTTATTGATAAGTTTGAGGTGAAGGTTTCACTTCTGGAGAGATGGTTTTTATTTGTTAAGGTTATTCGAGATTATACATCGATTAAATCTTCCTACTCTGATTGTGATCTCCCAAATCCTATTTACTCTTATTTCGATCTCTTGTCTTTTTCTTGCCTACACGTCCTTCTTTACGATAAGTTTGCAAAATCGCTTTTGCTGTCGAGAAATTTATTCCAAATTCTTATGCTGCCTCCTTTATTGTAGATTATTTAGATAGTATGCGACGTAATAATTGAACACGAACAGATTAATTAATAATTGCATATTTTTTGTTGTCTCTATTTCTTAATTCTTCATTATTCTCTTAATGCCTTATTTATACATCATTAAATACCCTGAATCTGGTGTGAAACTGTTTATACTCTCTTCATCTGATCGATTCATTGATTTTCTAATGAGATAAATTTATATATAAAATTATAAAGATTCTATTTAAAACACTAAATCAACTTTTATATTTTAAGTTATCATAATATATTTGATTTTTATATATCTAAATTACTATATTTCATAATTAATTAAAGGATTTTTATTTTAATTATTTATATGATTTTGAATAACCTTCAATTCAGACTTATAATTATCAATAATTATTTGATCATCATTTAGACTCTATTAAATATTTGGTTTTATGAAAATATCATAAGTTAATGAGTTTCATAAATTCTTAATATTATTAAATTATTCAATTAAAAGTTTATTTCATTTTTAATTATATTGCCTCAATTAGTTACTAGTTTGTAATTTAAGATCACTCAAATACATAATTAAATAGCACAATTATTGTATATAAATAAAATCTAAAATCAAAATAATTTCTATTTGTCTTAATCAGATCCCATAAAATTATTAGTCAATTCTCTTTTTGCCTTTTGACTTAATACTTCATGCAAATTCTGCACTTAACTGACCTAAAATTCAATCAATTTTCTTTTAAATTAGTTTTCTTACAAAAATCTATCAAATCCTTCATTTGTATCCATTTCCATTTCTTGGTTTTTGTATCTACTTCTGGCTGTATCAAAATATGTATTCAACTCTCTTCCCATCAAGTTTATTCTTTCTTTAAATATTTAATTAGATATTTTGTGTTCATCCTCAAACATTTCGCATTTATCCATAATAGTCTTAATTTTGTAACTAAAATCAGTGTTTGGAATATTAATTGGCGATTTACTGTCATTAAAAGTACCAATTGATGTTGTCAAATAACTTGGTTTGAGTTCTTAATGCATAGAAATCTAGGGCGACATTGGGACAGTGGTAGGTTATGAAATAAAGATATTATTGGAAGGTGTAAATTATTATGAAAGTGTAACCTTGTGTTTGGATTCCGGTGTTTTATTCTTGGCCTGAAAGAAATGCTTTGTAAGATTATGCTTTGAAGAACGATGAGATTTAACTTTAAAAATTTCAGCAAACATCTTATCCTAAATTTCTTTTTACCTCTTTATTTTACACATGCTAATTTATCCTTATTTCTTAAATTCTGGTTCAAATTAATCATATCTGGTTTCCTTGTAAATATTTACAAGATTTTAATTGTATTATTATTCCAATTTCATCAATTACTCTAATTCTTCTTACTTAATTCTCTTTTAAACTAGTTCCTTTAATATTTGTTCTTAATTATCTAATTTCAATTCCTTCTTCTCAACATCCACGCTTAATAGGTTCCCTACATCGATCTCTGGATGATTCCTGCAAATCTCTGTCAGAAAGTATTTCACTTAGTCCTCATCTTCCAATTCCACATGATTCAACTCATTTAATTAGTATGACTTCTTGGATTGCAATTTTATTAAGTTGGCTTTCAAATTGGCTAGTTTGTATTCCTAATACAATGGACTAATTTAATGCTATCTAAGTAATTCATCATTTAAATAGGAAGCTAATCTAACCTCAGGTTTAACTGGTGGAGATCTAAATTTGTAGCGAAACTTTTTCTCTTTGTCATCTTATTACACTGAGATAGATTTGCGCTTTAAAGAAGCCTTTCTTTTTATTTTATGTCCCTCAGTATTCTTGTCTTTTGGAATTTTTATTTTTAAGTTCATAATTCGCTTAGCTGATATATCGTTGCTGCCACTTTAAACTAATAAATTCATACAATACATCTTAGATCTGCTAATTTTTTGTTTATGAAAAGAACAAAATTTTAATCAGTGTAATCATCATAATATACAGGCTTTTGTCTAATTGGGAACTATTAGATAGTTTTCTTAACCAAAAATCCTTAAAAACTCATTTATTAATTAAATAAAATTATATTAAATATTTGGCAACTTTATCATAAAATATTTAAATCAATCAATATTTATTAAAAGCCACTTTAATCTTATAATGGATGCTAAAGACTCGCATTTTATACCAGATTAAAATTATCGATTAATTCGAGGAATATAGAATAAAATAGAAATGTCCTTAAAATATTTTGGTCTTATTAAGGTATCTAAATTTATTATGCTTGTATTAATCTCAAAAAAAACAATGTAGTATGCCTTAAGATAAAATCAAATATGAAATATGATCAAGAAAAAATAAAGAAGAATAAATTATTTTATTAATCACAGTTATGGTGCTTTTTAGTTCATATAAAGTTGAAGTATTGTAAAATAAACTAAAATGATTCAATTGTGATGTTTTTGAATTATATTTTTAATAATTTTCATTTTATTTATTTATTTGATTTGATTTCATTATTGTTTAATTGAAAATTTACTTTTAAAAAAGGAATAAATGTTTCCTTTGTTTTCACAACAACAACTGCATTTTGAATCATTACATCCTAAACAAACAGTTTTATTACATTTGATACATTTAATTGTACCCTCAACTTATGATGTTTTCATCCATTTTTTACAATGTGGACATTCCTTATAATTATCACCATTTTTAAATTAATTATTATCACTTGCTTGACATTTATTAATTTCATGGCTTTAAGAAAAACATCTAAGACAGTATTTCTTTTTGCAATTTTAGCATCTATAAATTTCTTATCCTTAAAATACAAATTTTTTTCTGCATGCTGGTGTTGGACAACAAGAAACTACTTATTATGAATTATTTTGTAATTGGTTCAATATCTCATCTTTGAGTGTTTAAGTTTCACAAATTGGACATTGATAAGTCGGAAATATTTCATTTTGCATAATTAAATTTGGCAAGACACATTACTAATGAAATAAATGGTTGCATTGCAATTAGATGGTTTTCATTTTATCTTGTCCATGCACCTGCTGATGACAAACTTAGCAAACTCCATTTTATACATTTTATTAGGATAATCTTCTCAAAGAGTTTTAGACACTTTATAAAACATCAGTCAACTCAGGATTAATTAAATAATTACATTTTCTTTTTCATTAATTATCCTATCATAAATATTATCTCTAATGAAGGGACTAAATAGGCTATTATCAATTTTCTGTTTTAGATTCTTTAATTATTCTGCAACACACTTGAGGTCATTAAAATCAGAAATATTTCCTCTTCCTATTTCAATACCCACTATCAAAGCATCTATTAATAGCTCCTGTCCTCTCTACTCAGTAAGTTTAATGATTTCAATAATGTCGTATAATTTCATTATTATAAAATAATCAAAAAGAATCACATTATAAAAATATTCTAAACAAATAATAACTTTTTTTTTCAATTCTTTATAGCAATATGGGATTTTGAAAAGAATCCAAAATAAGCATTCTAAATTTTTTTAGCATTAACTTAAACAAATCAAATTATATAAGTATATAACATAAAAAATTATTAAATAAAATAATGTAAATTGTTCTCTTCAATAAATAAAATGTTCTTGCAATTTTCTAACGAACATTTCATAGAAAAAATAAAAATATTTTATAATTTAAAAGAAATTTTGGATATATCATACGAGAATTATTTATTATTTTTTTAATAATTTAGATTGAAGACTAAATATAAATACAAAAGGCAAGATGAATAAGATTTGAAATTAAATATAATGAAACTTATTGTTTAGTAGATTAATCAAATAAGTCGATTAAATATTAACTCTATTACTAATAATATCTAAAATATGTTTAAATAGTCTTATCATCGGAATTTATTTAAGTGGTTATTTTCTTTTTCAAAGTACTTTTATGGATTTTTAGTTAAATCCCCTTGATTAACCAAGTTTCATCAAATAATAATAAACAAGGATATAAAAACTAAAAATCCCTATTTTTCAAACCTCAACAATAACAGCATTTAATTCTTTAAAAAATAATTTGGCTAAAATAAAATTGGAAGTGGAAGTTTTAAGTTCCTATAAAAAAGTCAATAAATAAAAGCCTTGTTTTCTTTAAACCAGAAAATAAAACGGTTCTAAGCAATCATAATTCAACTTATAAATGGAATTGTGATTATAATTTTTAGATAAAGCCAATTTATTCATACACTATATAAGAATGTAAAAGTTTTATTATATGCCAATAAAGTAAGAACTAGATTATTTAAACATTCATAAAATTTATTAAAAGAATTTATTTATAAAAAACATTAATATTTAAACTTTTTATACAAAAAACCCAAAACTATAAAAAATCTGGAAAATATTGATAATTGCTATTGATAACAAATAGCCAATTGAAAGGGTTGGTTTTCATATAGGAAAGTTGAATAATTCATTTAACGATGTTAGATAACAAGAATCTGCATTTATTGATTATCAACAGTTGAAATTATGGGAAAATAAAATAGATTACCTTTGAAAATTAATAAATTTATGTAAAAATATATTAATTTAAACAGTTAGGTTCCAAATAAGAATGTGTAGAGTAACAAAAAGTTGTGTAAAAGAAAGCTTCAGCTTGATTATATTTATAATAATAAAATTTGTTCCAGAATTTCTATGTTTTATTTAGGGATGTTCAGATGGAATAATAATAATGAAAAATCATTATGACACTTTGGGCTTAGAGAGGAATGCTAAACCTAACCAAATTAAGTAGGCCTATCATAAATTAGCCCTTTAGTGGCATCCAGTATTAAATTGCTGATGTCTTTTTAGGATAAGAATAGTGAGTTTGGGGCAACAGATTAATTTAACTAAATAAATGAAGCCTATACTACCCTATCGAAAGAGGAATCAAAATCCAAATACGACAGAAGACTATAAACCAGAGAGAATTGGAATGACCTGATAACCTATTTTAAATAGTAACAAGAAGAACAAAATTTACAATATGATATTAGGGATGATTTTATATCAAACGAGGATCGAGAATTCTTAAGAACCTTTTCAAATAAGCAAGAAACTGAATAAATTTAAAAAAAAAGAATAAGAAAAAGAAAATGAAATCTTACCTTTACAAATAAATTAAAAACATAATTTGGATCAGAAATATTTGTCTATGTAAATGTGGATAATAGCTGATCCATTCTATTATCTTTAATAATAACCAATAACTCTTATTCTAATATATTTTTCATATAAATATTATCAGTAAATAGTATCTCCTTAATTCTCCTTAGCAACTGAATTAATTTCAATGTTTTCTTTCATTAAAATCTTTCATCATTAAAACATTTATCATAAATTCCTAATAAAAAATTTCTTAAAACACATAAATTCAACATATCTTTATATTTTAAATGGTTCTTATTCTTTAATAGAGTACAATGATCAATTGATTAAAAAATAATTGTTTTCCTTAAATTGTTATTATGACAGTATCAATAAAATTGTAATTATTAATCAGCAGCTTAAGTTGTCGCAATTTAATAACTAGCAGAATTTTAACATTTAATAATGAGAATCATTAATGGAAAAAAAAGTGTAATAATTGAATATCTTAATTAGATAAATAATAATTTGATGATAATTTTACAATAGAATAATCCAATAGTTTATTAAAATAGTTTTTTTATTGAAAATTAATTTAACAATGAATTTAAGTTTTCTATTAATTTATTTATATTTCTACAATTACCCAAATCTATCATCGAATTAAATGAATGGAATAGCTGTAATTGAAAATTAATACAAATAAATAATTTTTCGAATTTAATGTAAATTTAACTTGAATCAACTATGAGCTAAGTTTACTTATGTTTGAAACCCAGCATTTCTCTATTCTTACTGTACAATTAGTATTAGAGCTCTCCCTATTACTTATTCAAAGCCTAGATCTTGCTTTCCAATTTATCTTAATTCCATTAAATTAATGCATCCATTTTGTAATCTTTAGACTTCCTAGATCATATCATTTGTTTTAACATTCAAAGGTTAATTCGCTTGATTTTAAAGAATCTATATCCTATAACAAAGTAAAGTTCTTTCATTCAAAATTTTCCTTAATTTACTTAAACTAAATTTTGTTTAATTGTGTAAACTATCCTTTTCATTTAAATAATATATTCAATCTTTGCATAATCTATTTCAATTGCCTCTAATTTCTTTAATCTTAAATCATCCTTGTTTTGATTTGTAACCTTTGATTAGAAATTTTTCTTTTTTGAAATTGATTTAACATTAAATATGTTATTCATTCACTTATTCTAATTCAAAATTAACTTTATATCTTCCTTGATCTATCATTCTTGACTATTCAATTATTCTTAATCATGTTATAAATCCTTCAAATATTGTTTAGCTGTCTCAGTAGTTTAAGCTAATTATTCTTGAATGTTAGCTAAAGAATTTTAACTAATATAAATAATTAAACTCCTCTTATTTCTTCTTCTCTGATGCTGCTTTTTTAAATTTATCAATCTATTTTTGTCTAAACTTTTAAGTATTTTCTAGATCATTTCCAATTAAATAGTTCAATTTGAAATGATATTTGAAAATTTTGAAATCAATTTATCAATATCTGTATTTAATAGTTTATTAATAAACTAATAAATATAAATATTAGTATTTTATTTTAAATCTCAATTCCAAACTAAATTTAGTATAACTTCTATTTAAATTATGCAACTCTTTCTTAAAGTCCTAATTTATATAATATAACATAAAAATACACAACTTTAAATGAAGTTTTCTAGATCAACCTCAACTCATCTCACTAATTTATCATTTAGGTCAAATAATCTTAGCACTGTTTAAACACCCTAGAACAATTCACGTTTGAGTGAGGTCAATAATAAAATAGAGGATCTATTAAAAAAATCATAAACCACTATTGAGAATTAAGAATTTAGACTTTCATCCCAAGAGAGTAAGATTAATTAACAGCACAGTTTTTCTCTTGTGGTTGAATAAACATAAAAAGAAAAAAAATAATTATTGGCCATTTTAATGCAGAAAGATGGCATAATAAGGGATTAGCAGAATAAGATTGCCCAATTAGATTTAAAGAATAAGAATTTGATGAAATAATTGCAATAATTCACCAACCTACAACAAAAAATGCAACATTTGGAAGAAGAATGTTAATAAATTATTAAGTAGAATGAATAACTGAAATATGAGAGAAATTAAATACAAACATCTCTTAATTATTTGAAATGCTAAAATGTTTAAGTCATAAGCTATGAATTAAAGAACTCCTTACAACAATTGCATTAATAGATTAAGAAATATTACATATGCAGTTATAAGGAAGACTATTATAATTTAGAGTAAAGTAGATTGACTCTGAAAACAAGTGACTTTGATTTCTATACAATCCTAAGGGAATGTTTAGATTGCATTTTGTTTATGATTAAAAACACTGACCATTCAATAGAACTCTTTGTTAATAGAAGCACTAAAATTTGATTAATACTGAGTATTAAAGATAGATTTAAATCATAATCTAAATATAGTTAATCATTCAATCTAAGATAATAGCGATAGATGTTATAATCATATTTCTGCAAACTATCCTTCCAATATTTGTTTCCTTAGTCTTTGCAATCTTTTCCTCTTGGCATTATCAATGCTCTCCTTTTCCTTCGATAATTATTACAACATAGAAAGGAACTTATTTTTCTGTTATAAGCTTTATCTAACACTATAATTAAGCGATTTCTTGAGGTCATTCTAGGTATCATCCAAGAATCTTTGTCCTTAAATAGTATTATTTAATTTTTCTGACTTTTCTTCTAACGATCTATCTCTATTGCTCATTAAAAAATATAAGGTTTAGTTGAATTTATCGACTTAATTTGTCTTTTGTGAATAATTATCACTTATTGTAGTGTGAATTCTATTCTAATAATAATAATAATCCTTTCCTTCTTGTTTTGTCTTACAATTCTTCGGTTGTTAAATTTATTAAAATTCGCTTATGTCTTAATCTTCCATCTCTTAAATATATTAATCGTTAATCTTAAATTTCAACTGTTCCAATCTGTTTTTACAGACATTTACTTTCTTCTTGCAATCTTAAATACAATTTTCGATTTATATCTAATCTTTCATTCCAAAATATTCATCTAAGTCAGGTATGTCTATAGAATATCTATACGACATTGGAATTTAATGGAATCTGATACATTTTTTATTCTTTGCTTATTTCAGTCTATAACATCTTTAATTATTAATTTTACTATACATTTTATTCAAACAAAAGGTCTCTCAACATAGTTTTAGGATTTCTATTAATGAAAGCACTTCTATCATATTTCTTCTCCAATGTAGTTAAGGCTCTTTATGGCCTATGGTGTTTCATAGTGTTATGATTCATTACACAATAAGATAATAAATAATACAAAATATTATTAGGATATTTATACAAGTACTATATACAATAATTGAAAGGGCATTATTATTAAATATAAAATATTATTATGAGGATTAAATAGATTTTTTTATACTTCATTGCTATTCTAGTTTTCGGCTAGGAGAAAGAATATTGTCAGGTAAAAGATTTTAATAAAGGCTTAGTCGAAATAGATGGAAAATACTTTATTAACAATTGCAAGTGGCGAAAATTATGATTTACATTTATTTGACTATATATATGCAGATGACCTGACCTATAAAATGACAACTTATTCTAATCAATAGTCTGATATTCCTTTTACACATCTGATAAGAAAAACTAGATAGGGTGTTGTTGAAGATGAGGTTATTGAAATTCTGGAAAACCTTATCGAATAGAATGAGGGCCCTTTTTATTGCTTTTTAAAATCTACTAAGGATGAATAAATAGTTTATAGTCTAGTTAAATGTTAATTTGTTTCTGAAAAAATAATATATACTGAAGTGTAATTCTTTATAAAACGAGAACATTGCTATTAAATAATTTCCAATAAGATGTAGTATTTCATAATGTGTAAGAATGATATTACAAATCAACTTGAGATCTATATGTATTTAGGAGATACTAAAAAAATTTTCAATATTCTCATATCAGATGTTATAATACCTCAAGGATCAAAAGTCAAGGCTAAAAAATAAGAACTTTATGATTATCTGGGAGTTTTGATTTATAAAGGGAGGATGGAAAATAATAAGTACATTTCAGAAAGTTCTTCACTATATATATTTAAATATATATAACCAATGTAATATTATTATCTTCTTAAATAATATGAAGCTCATAGCCAATCCGATGATTTCATAACAGATTTTGATCTTTTTAAAGACCTTGGTAAGATTGATATTAATAGTATTAGTATTCATTACAAGATTCAAAGGAGGCTTAACTTATCGAAATTTGAAAATCGCATGGAGCGAGGAAATTAACGTTACTAATGCCGTAGCAGAACTTTTCGGAATTCATACTGTAAAAATCTCCACTGTTCACTAAATTGAATAATACCAAATTTTATTAATGTTTTGGGGTGAAAATTTTTTAATATTTGCTAATTTCCGATTAAATAAACTCTACAACCTTGAATTAAAAGCAAATTTTTAAATATTTCAGGAGAAGAGATATAACTTGAAATCAGAAAAAGTATTTAATAGAAACGTTGTATCAACATAAAATTATTTGATTTTCTCAAATGATAAAGAATTTTAAGCCTTTTATATTAAATAGGAGAAAGATTATGGAATTGTATTGGTTTACTAAGGTTTTGTAAATTCAAGATTCCACACCCTTAGTACATTTTCAAACACTCTCCTATATGAGGAGTAAAATGTTATATATATTTTAGATTTACAATTACCAAAAATAGAACTTGTAAATCTAACTGAAATACAAAATCCTTAATTGATCTAAATCTCAGCACAAACATCGGATCATCAGTTTGATAAATTTAAATGTTAAGATATCAAAATATACTATTAAGTATAACTATTGGAATCAACGAAAATATGGCCAAAATTTTATAACGAAAAAGAGAAGAATGTTTTTATTCTGAAGTATAATAAAAATGAGTTAAAAATATAAGTTGATTTAAGTAAAGTGTTTTCTGGTTCAGCCTTAAGTATAGAGGAAATTAATCTTATTAATAAAGAAGCAAAATTTATACCATCATATTAGGATATGACTTTTTAATTCGATTTAGATATTTTGTTTTTTTAGACGGATATTCCTGAATTTGCAATTCTCTGTTATTTCTTATTTAATCCTACATAATACTATTTAATCGCAAAAATTAAACAATATCTATTTATAAAGGAATGTGAATTTCAATCAATTTATAAATGTCGTAATATTAAAATTCTAAATTTTGAAAATGATAATCTGTAAGATTTATCCTGTTAAGAAAATGAATTGAGTGGTGCATTTTTATACATTGAAAAAATGAAGCATGGTTTTGTTGGAGAATAAATTTCTCTATTTTATATACATAAAGTGAATGGATAAATCGATGTTTCTTTAGAAGATTTCTATACGTACACTAAAGGAAGTATTCTTTCTATTGTATTAATGGCAAACTTGTAAGCATTCACAATTCTAAGAGATAATGTTTATACGCTAAATACGAGAACTATCGGTAGCTCTGGCGACTCAAAAGTTACCAGTATTGAATTACACTGTTAGAAATTATTTGAATTAGTAACTGGTATAGAAATTTATGAAAATTTACTTTTTGTTCCAAGTATTAAATGGAAAAATTTTGTGTACCAGATCATAATTGAAATTTATAATGTCAAAAATATTGAAGGAGAAATGAACTTCTTTGGTTCTCTTCTTGTGGGTGTGACTAAAAAACCAACAAAAGAGAGATTGTAAGTTTAATTAAGTAACAAGGGAATTTTTATTTTATCAGTCTGTGATATATCAGAGGATGAATAAACCAAAAAATTATTATTTATTGAGAAAACAATATTCTTAAAAAAATTCTTGTATAAAAATACGGACCAACTTGATATTAAAAATTTAAGAACTAAAATATATCCAACCTTCTAACTAAAGAAGATCCAAAAAATTAAAACAACATAAAATTTCTTATACGTGTATGGTAGTGAAATTGATACGCCTTCTTGTATCTATATATATAGAATCTATGCAAATCAAATGGATATTTTGTATCATGTGATCAGACAAAACATGCCCAGCATCCAAATTTATACTGCCATCACTATAAGGGCTTATGACTATTTAATAATATCGTCTAATTAGTTAACTTTTCTTCTTTTACACCCTATTCAAACTCTATAGTTAACTAAGTCAAATTTAATAAAGGAATCCAATTTGAATGACGATGAAGTTATTAATATTAAAATGAAGACGCTGATTCCAAAGAGTAATAACAAGATACATGAATTCTAGATAAAGCTTACTTGTACTGATTGCAAAAGTGTAGATAACTAGATTTGATTAGAATAAAAAGCTAAAATTAATTTTTATTGTTAAAAAACCTAAATCATTAATTTTTTATATATCATACATACAAATAGATTTATCATCAGGAAAAATACCTAAAAATAATACAATATAAATAAATCTATTATAGAATTTTGGAGAATTCAAAGGGTCAATTAAAGTTGAAATGAATTAATTATAAAATATAAAAATTATTATATTTCTAAATGGACACAAGGTAATTTGAAGCTATTCCAGTTTAACAAAGGAATACAGTGAAATAATAGGAAGTAAGGTGGTATTACTATAAAAGGACCTTTACATATCATTGCCAGATTTATATATTAGAAAATATGTTCTATCGGAAAAATTATTTGCATTGAAGAAACCATATATTCCAAAAGTGAATATGCACGATCACACAAATTAAGAGGTATAGATGAAAACTATTTGTTAGATTTTGAGAGTGCCAAAGATTTGGTAATAAGTAATGAATGATGTACAATTAAAGGCGCTTGATTTTCAAGAGCGAAAGAAATGGAAAGTAAGAGAATGATTTGAAATTGTGTAGATAGCTGTGAATTATTAATTGGCGTAGGAAGCAAAGGCTACTCACTAAATGTTACAGAAAGAAAGGGAAGAAATAGAGTAATTTGGAATTTGTATTTCGTATTCCTTGTGTCAGATGGTATAGAAAGCATTCAATTAAATGGGTAAGAATTAAAGTATAGGATTAGATATTGAAGAACAAAATCAAAAGCCAATATAGAAGTACTTGAGAACGATGAAGAACGAAAATCAAGAATTAGATGAGCAGAGATATTAAGATGCACTTTAAAAAGTGAAGAGATACTTGTCAACCAATAGAGATGTCTATGTGTCGTTAGAATCCTTGTTTCCAGATATGTAATAAACTTATTCAGAATCAAATACTCATGATATTCATTCTAGTGATAGGAGAAAGATTAAGCAGACAGTTGAATTCGATTTCAAAAAGAAATATGAAAATCTATAAGAGGCCTTGTAATTATTTGTGAATAAGGACATTCCATTAAAGGAATCTTTTGAGAAGAGTGTGATGAGTATAGAGAGTTTTCCTAACACTTTGGAAATGATCTATAAATACAAAGCAAAACCATATTATCAAGAACCTTGTTTGGATCCAGAATATGAGGAATTGTTATTCAGGATTGGATGTACTCCAGAATAAGTGTTAAATGATGGAGAAAAGTTGATGAAGAAGTATTAAATTGACTGAATTCTAGGATGAAGATCTTCTAAAATAATTAGGCTGTCGAATAACAATTACCTCCTTAATTAGAACTTAAAGATCTGTTTCGATACAGGTTCAATTATATCGAAAGAGATTGTCATTTTATTTAACAGAGTGGAAAATTTGTACCTTTAGATGCAGAAAGATTTAATTCACATGCTCAGTAGATAACAAAATCAAATGAGTTAGTTAAACAATATTTCATATAGTAAGGACTCTTTATATTCAAATTTTTAGTTATTATTAGAAATTCTAAGGGGATTTTAACTAAATTAGTTAAGCACTTTCATCAAACACTGTCACAGCCAATCTATATTTGTACACTCCCAATTTCTGTGCTGATCTCTATGCATGGTTGATCTTTACTAAGAGTATTCCATCAAACTCTAAATTTATTTTGCCTCAACAATATTAGAAGAAATGCGAATCAATTAAATACATAAAGAAGCCCTAATAACCATAAACTTAATATACTAATATACTCAATGATTACGAATCGCTTATTTAGAAGAAACTACCCACCAAAATACAACACTTAAAACCTCTTCCTTAGCATCCAATCAAATAATATACAAAATCTGTTTTCAAGGAATTACAACAAAAAATCAAGTTTGATGATCCAATCTAAGTTAAGACTTCAGGATAAGCTGACTATTCAATGGTTGAAAGACTCTCATTTTCTAATTTGAAAGATTTGGTCAAATCAGTAAACAATTCCAAAGGACATATTGAAAAAAGATATAAGAACATTTACGATATTGCAAGATAAGATTGTTATCCTATAGAATAAATTAAAAAAGAAATTGTATTTTATTCATATATCTTTAGCGGAAAAACTTCAAGTAATAAATGGCAAGCTCAAGAATATTCCCTGTTTAATAGAATAATTACAATAAAGCAACTATTAGTCAATTCTAACAAAAACCACCAACCATTGAGAATTTTAACAGTGCATAAACTATTTTGGCACAATAATAAGTGATGACTACTTAAATCTAACAACCATTGTAGCAACCATAGTAACAACCATTGTAACAAACATCATAACAACCATTGTAACAGGCTCCTTAAGCTGCCCAACCTCCACCAGCTGCTTAACCATATACACCATCCGCTTCATCAAGACCACGTAAAACTAAACTAGACACCCCTGCTCAAACTCCTTAATAACCTCCTCCACCAGTTGTTTAATAACCAACATCTGCAAAGAAGACCAACAGAAAAAAGGATGATTCAGTAGCCCAATCTACTTAAGCACCTACCCCTGCCAATGTTGAAACATAGGATCCACCTAAATAATCCAAGAGAACCAAAAAGTAAACCAAAGCCAATGATAAAAATAAGCAATAACAACCAGAAGATCGTAAAGACGACAGTGTTTGAGAGCCTATATAATTTTTATGTAATTTAATGATTTTTGGTTATTATTGAATATTTAAATACTTTTACAATTCATTTATACATTACGTCATGCCCTCTAATAATTATACTTAATTTACACTCATCAAGAAATGGCACTTCTCAAAAAGCGCAAGCAAGAATATAAGCCACGAAATCACACACATATATCACCCCCAATGCTAAAAACCTGTTCTTAACCTCCTTCTATTTCAAAGCTACAAAATCCATGAAGTAACATTATTAAACAAATTTTGCTTTAGCCTGCTCAAAAAGCGGGAATCAAATATTCATCTGCTAAAACTGTATTATTAGCTCACTGTAAATTATTCAGAGAAAAATTGATAAGAGATAAAATGGATGCAGTAAAATTTAGAAAAAATTGTGGATTTCTGTAAATGCTAAATGCTGTGGATATAAACTTAAATAATCTGAAAAGTCAGTTCAAATTAAAGTAATAACTAGATTTGCAATGTGACAAAGTCAATTGCTTACTCACTTTATTTGTATAGTTGAATTTTTGAATAAAATTAAAAATAATCTTTAATAATTTTATTTATTCATTACAATTTTACACCTTCGTTTTTATTAGTGAAAATATTATATTTATGAAATTAGAAATAATTCATCAATTAGACTTAGCAATGATGAACTTAAAAATGTCACAGACTATTCAGCTGAGATAGAATTTTAAATAAAGTCAATATCGTATAAAAGTAATCTCATTACTTAGAATATAAACTTAATTTTCTTGATGAATTAATCTCATGAATAAAAAGAATATAATTAATCAATCAAAAATTAGAAATAAGAGGATTTAAAAACTAACTGCCTTATTGAGTACAAAATATTTAGCAACTATAGAGGTTTTTAATAGTAATTTAATCGTAAGAATTATAATGTTACTTTACAAATAGAAAATATTTAGACATCAAATCAATTATTTCAATAGGATCTGATAAAATTGTTTTATTTCAACTTAACCTTTAAACCTTAAATAGAATTTTATGATTTTGAGAATATCCTTGTATTTAAACCAGCCTTAGTTAATAACAACTATACTATGTCTATTCAGATATAAAATATTGTACTTAAAATTTTGTAATATTAAATCGAATTTACATTTACAAATCTAAAAGTAATCTCTCCGACAGGTCAAGATAATATATATTATTAACCATTACAATTAATTAATCTATCTAATAATGGAGGTTGTATAGCAATATCGAAATTATAATACTATTCTTTATTCTGTTAAATACAGTAATGTGATATAATATTAATAAAATTTAACATATGTCTGAATAACACTTATAGGAGAGCAAATTTACTTATGTACAGTGTGTTTTAATTTTAGAGTTCAAATTTAGTGGTTTAAAGAGAACATGGTGTTAGAACAGATGAACCTTCTGGAGAGCCTGAATCATTAGTGGGTAAAATCAATCCCAGATTGATGGGTACTAAGGCAATCAGAGAAAAACCAATTAAGGGAAATAAATAATAAGGGTTGAAATTGGATAGATAGGTCGATATTGAAGTTGAGGAAGGAATAGGGATGCCAACATATGAAAATCTTTTGTACATCCCAAAAACAAAAGATAATCGATTACATTATGAAAAATTATTAGCGATAGTATATGGGTTATTTTAAGAACAATCATAAGATGTTATAAAGTCGATTGTAGACGAGGTGTTGGCAATAATGAAGAGTGAGAATTTGAAAGATTCGGAGAAAAGACAAGAAGTAGAAGCTATCATAGGAAAATTATCAAACGAACTATTTTCGGATATTGTGTTGTCAACTAAGGCAATAACTGATTATTAGCCAGAGGTTGGCTCAAAAGGAAATGAGGAAATGGATTTGCCGTTGAATTTAGAAGAGGAGTAAGAATCTAGTGAAGTGGATCAGATTTTAGAGGAAGAGGATGATTGGGAAGAATAAAATGAACAAGCAATAAAAACTAAGTTTTAAGAGGAATAGAACAGAAATAAATTATTGGATATTGATGGATTTTGGCTATAGAGAGAATTATAGAAAATTTACAAAGATCCAATATAAGCTTAGCAGATGGAGTAGACAGTATTGGACATTTTGAAATTGCTATCTGATATTGAATGTGAAAATCAACTTGTCTAACTTTTTGGTTAAGATAAATTTGATTTGATTAGATTATTACATTAAAATAGATGTAAAATCTATTTTTGCACTTTATTGAGCAGAGCTTAGAGTGTTGAATAAATACAATAAATTCATTAGTAAATGGAATAGACCTAAGAAGGAATGCGATTGTTGATAGAATTGCAAAAGTAGAATAAATACAGTAAAAACACAACTCAGTTACAAATAACGTAGGAGGATATCGACTAGTTTGAGAATATAAGCGTAGTAGATTAAGATTTATAAGGAATGTCAAAGAAAGTGATAGATTTAGAAAAATTGCAATTTATATCTCAAGGCCACTTAATGTCAAATGAGAAATGTCATCTACCTCCTCGTTCTTTGAAAGTAAGTAAGAAAGGCTATGAGGAAATCTATATACCTGCTCCAAAATGTAATATGAGAAAATCCACTCTGATATAGATAAATGAGATGCCTGATTTTGCATAATCAGCATTCAGAGGATTCAAAGAATTAAATACAATTCAGAGTATTGTTTATGAAACAGCTCTTTTAAGTGATGAGAATATGCTAATATGTGCTCCAACAGGTGCAGGTAAAACAAATGTAGCTCTGTTAACAATGTTGTAAACTATAGGTCAATATTATGAGAACGGCATTGTGGATATTTAAAAATTTAAAATTATCTATATAGCCCCAATGAAAGCTTTAGTTAATGAAATGGTACATAATTTCTAAAATAGATTAGAACCATATAACATTAAAGTTGCCGAAGTAACAGGTGACACTCATTTAACTAAACATTAATTAAATACTATTCAAGTTTTGATAGCAACACCTGAAAAATGGGATATTTTGACGCGTAAAACTTAATAGAATGACTTCATTCAATTAGTAAGATTAGTGATTATTGATGAAATACATCTATTGCATGATAGTCGAGGTCCTGTTATTGAATCAATCATAGCAAGGACATTGAAATCAATGGAAGAAAGATAAGAGTATGTGAGAGTAGTTGGATTATCAGCTACACTTCCAAATTACGCAGATGTTGCCACTTTTATTAGAGTCAAACAGTCAGGAGTATTCTTTTTTGATAATTCCTTCAGGCCTGTTCCATTATAATAACAATATATAGGAATTAACGAAATGAAGCCAATCAGAAGAATGCTTTTAATGAATGAAGTTCTATATGAGAAAGTCATTGAAAGAATTACTAAATCATAAATCTTGGTCTTCGTCCATTCTCGGAAAGAAACTGTTAAAACTGCTAAGATTCTCAAAGAAATGGCATTTTCAAAGGATGAATTATCTAAGTTTATAAAAGAAGAAAGTTCCTCCAAAAAAATACTAGAGACTGTTATTGCTCAAGAAGACATCAAATCATCAGACCTGAAAGAATTGTTAGCAAGTGGAATAGGAATACATCATGCAGGGTTGTGTAGAGGGGATAGAGATTTAGTGGAGAGTCTCTTTGAGAAAAAGAATATACAAATATTAATATCAACTTCAACATTAGCTTGGGGAGTAAATTTGCCTGCACATACTGTTATTATTAAAGGGACCCAAATTTATTCCCCTGAGTAAGGGAAGTGGATTGAATTAAGTCCCTAAGATATCTTGTAAATGATGGGTAGAGCAGGTAGACCTAGATATGATACATCTGGAGAGGGAATAATTTTAACAACATACTAAGAATTAAAATATTACTTATCCCTTTTGAATATGCAATTACCAATTGAGTCATAATTCATCACCCAATTAGCCGATCAACTCAATGCTGAAGTTGCCTAAGGAAATATAAAGAATCTAAAGGATGGCGTGAATTGGTTGGCTTACACTTATTTATATGTCAGAATGCTCAGAAATCCAACATTATATAACATACCAGATTTTAATAATGATTAGTATTTAATTAAATATCGTGCTGACCTTCTGCATTCTGCTTCCCTGTTATTAGATAAGAATAACTTGATTACTTACGATAAAAAGGCTGGTAATTTTGAGAGTACCATTTTGGGTAAGATTGCCAGCAATTATTACATCAAATTCCCCAGTATGTAAATATATAATCAACATCTAAAACAGAATATGGGGATGATTGATATATTCAAAGTTTTCTCCTTGTCTCATGAATTCAAATTAATTCCAATCAGAGAAGAAGAGAAAATAGAATTATCTAAATTGATGATGAGTGTACCTGTGCCAATCAAGGGATCCCCTGAAGATTCTTCAACCAAAATTAATGTGCTCCTTTAAGCCTATATTAGCAGATTGAATTTAGAAGGATATGCTTTGAATTCAGATATGGTTTATATAACATAAAGCGCAGGTAGAATTATGAGAGCATTGTATGAAATATGCTTACATAAAGAGTGGGCTTAGAGTTCTTTGCAATGTCTCTAATTATCTAAAATGATTGAAAAGCGAATGTGGAATTGCATGACCCCCCTAAGATAATTTAAAGGGTTGCCAGATGATTTATTAAGAAGAATCGAAAAGAAGGAAGGAATTACTTGGGAACATCTTTATGCAATGTCGTCTTAATAATTAGGAGAATTGATTAGATATCAAAATTAGAACATGACTAAACTGATTCATAAGTACATTCACAAATTTCCAAAAATTGAAATCTAGGCTTTTGCTTAGCCAATAACTAGGTCTTGTCTTCGAATAGATCTAATGCTATCATGTGACTTTTAATGGGATGAGAAACTTCATGGAAGACAAGAACCATTTCACATTTTTGTTTTAGATTCAGATGCTGAAAAAATACTATATCATGAATTATTCCTCATGAAATAGAAGAATCAAGAAATGTAATTTACACTCACAGTTGCATTATTTGATGTCATGCATCCAATCTATTACATCAAAGTTATATCAGATAAGTGGATATCATGTGAAACTGAGCAGCCTATCCCTTTTAAAAATCTCATCCTACCAGAACCTTTTCATAGATGTACTGAATTGCTTCAATTGACTCTACTATCTATTGATTAAATTAAACATTCATAAATTGAAAATATTCTAGCTAAGAAAATAATGCATAATAGATATTTTGATTAGATTCAAACTTAAGTATTCCAAAATTTATATCAATCGAATGATAATATCTTTATTGGGTCATCAACTTATTAATCAAAAAGCATATTACCATTTCTAGCTATTTTGCAAATGATCAATCACTTTAAAGGTTATAAAGCAATCTACATTTCAACAATGAACTGTGAAGTTAAGTTTAATTAATTTGTTTAATTATTTACCAAAACACTATCATTAAAAATAGGTAGACTAACCGGGTAATTATAAACAGACAACAAAATCTTGGAATAATCTGATATTATCGTTTCAAATCCAGTTAATTGGGATATAATGAGTAGAAGATGGCGATCTAAAAAAGGATTTAAACATATAAGATTATTGATAGCTGATGATTTACACACTCTCAATCAATCTGGAAGTGTTATGGAAGTTGTTGTGTCTAGAATGAGAATGATATCAATGGAAATTCCTTTTAGAATTGTTGGTTTATCTCTATCAGTTGCAGATTATAAAGAAATGAGCGAATGGTTAGGTAGTAAACATACATTCAACTTTTCACCAATTATTAGACCAAATAATATCTAAATTTAGATTAGTTCTTTCGATTAATGCTAGAGACCATTAAGAATATAAGCTATGATCAAATCATTAAAACCAAGCTTATCTCTATAAGAACTAAATATAATCTACGTGTCTGATAGAAAATAAGCAAGAGTTTGTGCCTTAGAACTCATGATTAACTACAATTAATAATTATCTGGATTCTAAATTAAAGAAGACTAATATCTTTAACACACCCTTTAAGCGTCTGTCGGATTCTTATATGAATGTATGGATCCCTAAGATGAAAGTGAAGTTTTAAAGTTCATTTAATCGAACGAATTGAAGATTGTGGTTCTTCCATACAAACAAGCCTTACACTATAATTTAAAAGGATAAGTCTTTATTTTAGATAATCAGAAATACGATGGAATTGAAAAAAGATATGTAGATTATACTATTGCAGAAATGTTAGAAATGGTAGAAAGTACAACAATTTAATGCCATATCCTAACATACACTCCTAAAAAGGAGTACTATAAGAAATTTTTGTATGAGCCAATGCCAATTGAATCCCATCTAAACCACCATTTAGCCAATCACTTGAATGCAGAAATAGTGGCAAAGAATATTCATAATACTCAAGATTGTATTGATTGGATAACCTGGACATTTATGTATAGAAGATTAACATAAAATCCGAATTACTACAATCTTCATGAAGTTAATGGAGTAGCCATTAATAATTATCTCAGTGAACTTATTGAAACTACAATCGATGAATTACATGAAAGTAAATGCATTGCAGTAGAAGAGGATAATGAATTAGAAGCCATCAACTCTGGAATCATAGCAAATTACTATTATATCAACATTGAAACAGTTAAGAATTTCTCTGATAAAATTAACTCTAACTCAAAATTAAGAGATCTCCTGATCATTTTATCTGAAGCAAAAGAATTCGAAGTACTTAACATTAGAAACGGAGAAGAAAATCTGCTCGCATAATTACTCGCAAAGATTCCATATTAACCATCCAATCCCAAATTGAATGAACCAAACACAAAGGCATTAATACTTTTATAAGCCCACTTATCAAGAATCAAATTAAATTCAGATCTCAAATCAGATCTTAATATTTTAGAATTGGCTATTAGGTTGAGCACTGCCATGGTGGATATAGCTTCATCTAATTTATGGCTTAAACCTGCTATTCTCTCCATGTAAATCTGTTAAATGATTGTCCAAAGTCTTTGGATTGATTAAGACAGTGTCCTACTATAGTTGCCTTATTTTGACTAAAATACAATTTAAATACTCAAAGAAAGAAATGTTTAAGATTGGGCGGACTTTTTTGATATGCAAGAATCTGATAGAACCTTAATTTTATCAAACTTTACATCAAGTTAAGTTGACGAAATTGCTCAAGCTGGAAACAGGTATTATTTTCTTTAAATTTAGACTACCCTCTGTTGAAATTACTGATATCATATCAGATCCTTAAGTTATATAAGGAGAAGTTTTTCATGTATAAGTTATTTTGACAAGACAAGATAACATATACACTGATTATGTCATTGCTCCTAATTATCCTAAACCAAAAGAAGAATAATGGTGGGTATTATGCGCTGATAGAAAATCAAATAGATTATTTGGTAACAAAAAGGTCTCTTTTTCAACAAATATTAGAGTAGATCTGAGATTTTAAGCTCCAGAAGCTGGTGATTATGATTTGACTATCTACGCTATTTGTGACTCCTATATTGGTGTAGATACGACATCTCAATTTCAATTAACAGTTAGTCCTATCATTGAATAAGAATAAGAATAATGAGTTTATTTTAAATAACTTCAAAGATTATTTTTATGATATAATATTTAGAATAATCTAATTATAATTATTTATATTGGCATTATATTAATTATCCAAATATTTTAATATATATAATTATGAATTAAATATATTTCTGAATTTGTTAATAATATTTATAGCCGTTCCATAATTGCATTTGTTGTTAAT